CGTAATACTAGCGGCCTGTAAAGAGAGGGTAGCTATAACGATAGCTTTTCCCTAATCTATAGTTAGTCTATTCCTTAGGTAGTAAGTTAGGTTTAAATACTATGAGGTAGTAATAAGTAATATCTTTATATAAGAAATTATTAAAAATAATACTCTTAAAACTAATTACTTAGTATTACTTAGATTAATTAGTAAAGATCTAGACTACCTAGCTATTAAAATACCTCCTCTTTAAATATATATTTATTTCTTTATTATAGACTTTTAATTAACTTGGTTAATTATTTAATTATATTCCTTATAATTATTCTAGTTAAACCTTAATCTCTTTAGTCGCCCGCATGGTTATGTGACCCCGCGTCTTAACTAGGCTGCCTCTAGTAAGGTATTGTAAGCGATGCCGCTGTGCAGCGGTGCGCATTTTTGTAAAAGGAATTCCGTGCAGTTATATACTAGAATATACTAGACGATCGGCCTGAGAAAGAGGCTCACGACATCACATTTAAGAGATTGTCTGGTAGTGAAGGATAGCCACCTTGCTACAGAGGCGGAGACAAAACTCATGTGAGCAATTACTGGAAGCAGACGAGGTTACTACGTACAATGCATGGCGATTACCCAAAAAGAAGAGCATTGCGTCTACTCATTTACGTCAAATTTGATTCTTATGCTATATAGCCGCCGAGCTTATAACAAGAGGCAGGTAGCCTGGTCACGGCACAAACACCCGGAGAAGCGTACCACTCTCGATGCTTTCCGAGGACAAATCTGGTCTATTGAGACGGTCAAGGCTTGATTTGAGTACTTGTACACGACTCAGGCCTCATCACGGGCCAACAAGGCCCGACGAGTGCGGCACTTGGGCGGTGCAGAAGTGCGGCGTGGCGCACCGCAAGCAAATCCCCACTGGCCGGAATAGGCATGTCACAGTCGTCTGCATGGCGCTGGGGTGTGACGAACAAGCCAAGATCCTGGGGCGCAGAAACCGCAGACACTCTTCTTTTTGCCCAAGAAGTTCCAGCGTCTTTTGTAGCCCGGAGACAACGACACTATATCGAGGTGTGGTGGTCGGCCGACAAAGAGACTGCAGCGAGGCGGAAGCCACGTTCCCCAACACAGCGGGCGGGGGTTCAAAGAAGACGAACTGCAGCTGCCACAAGAAGTAAGTGATGGGGAGGGAAGAAAGCCTCCATGTGGGCCGCAGAAACCTGGGGTCCAGCGATCGTCAACACCAGTTGAGCGGAGTTGCGAGTCTGTAATGGTCGATGGCGAATACGCGGCACGTTAGAGGGGACTTGGCGGACGCCGCCGAGGCTTTGAGTTGGCGGGCTATGGAGGGCATCCTTTCATCCATGTAATAGGCTGTGAGGGCCGGCCTTATTTTGTCGAGGCTGCTTTGCTCGAATGTCTACCATTATGGTGTACCAACAAGACGCCACGTCTCGTGACGTCGGGCTGAAGCAACAGGAATAATGCGTGTCTATCGAAACACGAGCGCACTGGGCTGAACGAGATGTATATTTGGCAGGCGGGCAATCACAGGGCGGGGTTTGAAGAGATGCAGCATCGCAAACAGTTTTTGTTGGGTGATGGAGTGCAGCAGGAAATTGCGATAGCAGTATTGATGGCGGGGGGGCGCCGGGATGAATAGGTAGGGTCGGAAGAATTGTCTCGAGCAAAAAGGGCTGATAGGCTTTGCTGGTCGGTGTCGTTGATTTGTCGATGGTGAGGAGGGATTGCTGTTCGAAGGAAGAAGTCAGGCCCCCAGCAAGCCGCGCTATCTGATTAGGTGGCGCCCAGCATTCTATATCGTGTGCCTACCAACGCTGATGCTGGGCCGCCTAGTCTGTCTTGGAGAAGCACGAGGCGAAATAAAGAAAAAGATTAAGAAGCGTCTGGCCTCCTCTTTCTTTTCTTCTTTTTTTGTATTTGAAGTAGTTTGCATTGAGATATCAGAAGCGCTTTCTTCTTGTTGGCGCGTCTCTGTTTGCGACACCTATTCTTTGCGCCCCTACATCATCAGTTTTGCACCTCTTTTGACTGGTTTACTTTTTGTACCCCGGCGCCGCCGCCGACGCCGCCTTTACTCTCGACTTACGACACGCATTTATCAGTTGGCAGTTCACTAATTGAACCCGAGGTTATTTGTTACTGCAACTCCGGCTAGCAACTCCGGCTGAAGCCTGATTTCGCGCATCGCCAGGTGTCTGTGCGAGCCGTTCTTGAAGCGCGCCGCACACCCTACTGGGGCAAGTTGGGGTCCATCAGCCCGGTCAGTATCGGAGAAGAAAGAACACAATCGGACTTGTCGTCTCTGAGATGGTTGGATGAGCGGAAGGCGAGGAGCAGCGATATATAACATACACATTGAAACACTGCAGAGAGATTGACGCAGCATCGACACCTGCTACGACACCTGCTACGACACCTGCTACGACAGAACTCGATACGACGGTGTCATGCGCTGTTGAAAATCCGGCGGAATTCGCAAGACATCTGCGCCGTTGGTTCATCGATGCGACGCTTGGTCGGACGATTAGGCGACATTCTCAGGATACGTGGTCAGCCCCAGCATCCACTTCTCGACTCGACAAGACCACAACAGCAACTCGGCCGCAGTCATCTTGCAACCCGATCCGACCATTCCTTGTCCCTGGTCTTGTTTTCTCCGGGCCTGGATAGAGATCCCCACCCCCTGCAAAAGAGACGAGAGAGGGCAGAAAAAAGAGGGCAGCGGGGGTATTTGTGCGGCTGCAATCGGACAATTTTTCAGCGGCCAGTTACCACTCCGGAACCGCACCTGCACCGCGCTGGAACCGCTACATTAAGAGAGCCAAGCTTTTTGGGCGCTGTGGCATTTGTGGTCCCCTGTGGCCTGTGTGATCCGCTGTGATCCGCTGTGGCTCCAACACGTTTGCCACTGTGAACGGCCCTGTATTATCTGGTCTTCAACTTATCTGCCCTCCATTCATTGCACTGCAATTGCCCCTTTAGCGGGCCTGCAGTACCCCCTCCCCCGAAGCCCCCGCTCACGTCGCCCCCATCTCCCAACCCAAGCATCAACGGCCCGCTGTAAATACAGCAGTCACAGCGCCCGCCATGTACACTCCAATGATGACCCCCTCGATCCTTGGCCGAGGTATGCTGCCATATATTCCAAATTCGCTGCCGCCATCATCGCGCCGCATAAAGACATCCTCCGACGCCGACGGCGAATCCCTCTCACAGTCCACCTCCAAGAGCTCCGAAGCCTTGAGCGACGGTGAGCCATCATCGCCGACTTGTCAGCACGCGCCGTTGAAGTCGGTCCGCCCCGCACAAGCCGCTGCCGTGGGTCCTGACCTCGACCACTACCAACACCACCATCACCAACGCCGCACTCAACGCAGGAGCAAAAAGCAACACCACGACGAGGAAGCAGCTACTCGTTGCAGCAGTGGTAGCATCAACAGCTATAGCAACATCAATCACATCAATCATACCGGCCGCTGCACAGACACGCTGGTAGCGGCGTCACCGTCAACTGGAGCCGTCTCCTCCTCGCACGCTAAATCCACCCCACCTCGTCCGCAACATAACAACCACCACCACCACCAACACACTCAAAAGGCTTGCCTGTCCGCCTCCTCTCCTCCCTTGCTGCCCGCCTCTTCTCCCAAGCACGTCGCGCACCACGGCGCCTTGAAGCGTGCCTCGCACTCTTTCATATCCCGTGGCAAGCACAACCACCACCACAATCACCAACCCGACAGCCATCATCCTCTGACGCCCGACTCCAAGCATGCCCATGCCCATGTCCGGCACAGTTCCTCTTGGTCGCCCCGGTCCCCCGCCGCAGCGTACATGAATGGCGCCGCGTCGCCTTCCGCCCACGACATTTCTTCACGCTCTGCCGCTGCCTCCGCCATGTCCTCGTCGGCCGACACCTCGTCCAGCTCCCGCGAGAACCTCCTAACATCTAAACCCTTTGTTCTCCGCAATGGCCGAGCCTACCTCAACGACACAAGCCTACCCTACCCGCTTCCTGCTGACCTGACCGAGCTGCACCGCCAATCCATGCGCACTCTGCTGCTCATCCAGGTCTTTGGCGGGCCCGTCTGCTCCCCCGTCTTCTCCAAACGGCCGCCCCGTCGCGTTCTTGAAGTTGGCTGCGGCTCCGGCTTCTGGTCCATGATGTGCCATCGCTATTTCAAATCCCGCGGCCATGGTAACATTTCCTTTACCGGCGTCGACATTGCCCCGCTCGCCCCGAACACCGGCAACACGACCACTGTTGGTGCAGCAGGGGGTTCCCCCGCTGACGCCGCCAAGCCCGATCCCGAAATGAATTGGCACTTCCTCAGCCACGACCTGCGCCAACTGCCCTGGCCCATGGACAGCGAGCAGTTTGACCTCGTCATGGTCAAGGACATGAGTCTGGTTATGACCAACTTTGAGCACCAGCACTTTGTCGACGAGTACATTCGCCTCCTTCGGCCAGGCGGCGTCCTCGAGATCTGGGATTCAGACCACCTCATCCGCATGCTGCGCCCGCACGTCCCCGAAGCCCATCTCGACGACGCGGAGGACCAGGAGGCCGCCGCCAGCCTCGGTGCCTACGTCATGAACGCCAACACGCCGCTCTCGGCGCCCCTCAACATCTTTCTCGTCGAGTACAATCAGTGGCTTTCGCGCGCCCTAGAGGCGCGCGACCTCTCCGCCGTGCCCTGCACCCTCATCGGCCCGGCGCTGCTCCAGGAGTCGGAGACGCTGACCGACGTGCGCTCGCGGCGCCTGGCCATTCCTCTCAGCGAAGTGCGCTGGGAGCGGGAGGGCGTCGGCGGCGTCGTCGTCACCAGAGACGGCAGCAGCTCTTCAAAGGACAAGGACGCTCCCGCGCCGCCCAGGGCAGAAAGCCGCGTACTGTCGCCCGGCCAGGAGGCGCTTCGTCAGACGGCGCTGCTCACCGTCGTGCAGCAGGTCCAGGCTCTCGAGCCCATTTTGCGCGAGGTCTCGGGCAAGAGCCAGGACGAGTGGGACGTTTGGATGGGCAAGATGATGGGGGATCTGATGAGCGACAGCGGCACGAGCTGGGGAGAGTGTTTAGAAGTGGGCGCGTGGTCTGCTACGAAGCGGAGTTGATGAGTAGCTGAACCAAGGCGCGTCAAGCTGCGTCAGCTGCGTCAGCGGCTGTTCATATTACAGGATTATGAATTGTATGGAACTAGAACTGTTTTGTATAAGCATCTCAGCAATGATCCATGTCGTGTTTTTCTTTAATCTAGTCATGAAGCTATCAAATGCAAAAGTAAAATTTCTTCTATTTTATTATGATGCGTCGAGATACATGAAATAGCTGATAGATCGTTTATGCGCCTGGTACATAGCGTTTTCGCAATGTGCGATATCGTTTTAAATAATATCTACACAATAGTTGGTTAGTATGCTGCCCCGTGGTTGACGTGAGTATGGCATCATACAAAGCTTCAATTTCTGAATTGTTTGTTAGCCTCTTGTTTTTTTTTTCCCCCCAAACCCTTCACAGGCTCCCCCCTAGAAAAACGCACCTTTTTTCACGTACTCGGCATGCTTGATGCCCTGCCGAATCTTGTCCTCGTCGCGCTCGCCCGCCTTGGCCATGAAGGCCTTGTGCAGACGCGGCTGGAAGTAGCTGTACCCTAGAGGGTACTCGCGTCCCAGGTACAGCAGCTCTGTAGAGAGAGAGGGGGAGGGGGTTAGTAGGGCAAATGGAGGAAAAGGGAAGGGAAAGAATTGACCTTTGTATATGGATATTACTTGGTGGCGGAGAGAAGGTGGCATGGCGGTGGTTAAGTGGTGAGGGAAGAGGCAGAAGAAGGAGAAGAAGAAGAAGAAGTAGAGAGAGATGTGTGCATCATGGGTTGAGTTGTGAACTTGTGAGAAGGCGAATGTGGAGATGGCATCGACAACCGGCGCTAGAGATCCGCAGCGGTCAATGGGATGTGCCAATGCTATGTATTCAAGAGAAAAAGAGAATAACTTAAAAAGGTGCTTAATTTCCTAGGCTTGGTACTGAGAAATATTGCAAAGAAATCAATCCAAAGAAATGAAATTTTTGTTCACTTATTATGAAAGGGGAAATTTTCAAAGATGGACAAAAGTTTGACAACACAATTAGCAACGGTGGAGTTGTCACGCTGGCTACTGGCTTTCTGCTCGCCCACCACATCGCGCCCTTCTTCAACCACACGGCTTTCTGGAAGCTTACAACGCGCCAGCGTACAAAATTTTCAAGCTACAGCTGGATTCCTCGTTGATTATCATGCCGAGATTAGCGCCTGGCCCTTTGCCAATTTAGTGAAGCAGTACAGGAGCCTTATTATTATACCTGACAACATGGTGCTAGACAAGTGCTCTTTACATGCGTAAGGGATGTTCTACCCAATGAAAAATTTGAACTCTGCTGACTCAATCGTATTATAATAATCAAAATGTTCACTCATCGTCCACATTATGTGTAAACACGCGGGTTGAGCCACATCTTTCCTCAATCTCTGCATGAATCGTAGGTTGAGCTACGACCGCGCCATCCGCCAAACATGGGCCTCGCCCACTCTGCTGCACCAAGCCGGCGCATGCCTATTCTCCTCTGCTCTCTCCAGCCTCATTCAATGAGGAATCAGCTGATGATGTCCTGTGTCAGCTGCCGAGCCTCTGTTATTGCCGCGTCCGGTATGTGGTGAACAAATAAGCGTTCACTCTCGGAGTAGCGATATATCTTGCCAGGCAGGATTTTCAGCCCCAGACTCTCTATAAGAGGCCGCGCTTTACGCCAAGTAAAGCCCTTGCCAGAGATAGTGGCCAGGTGGATCACCACAATCGTGACCGTATGTCCTTCTCGTAGAAATCGGCTCGCGATCTCGTAGGCATGATCTTCGTTTTCATAAGTCGAAAGCAATGGCGACGAGTCTTCGTTGTTCCAGTGCTTCTCCAGGCACCGTTTTACTTCCTCTTTTGAGGAGCGCTTTAGTTCCAGGTCGATCTCATCTTTCCCAGCAGCCGTAATTCCTTCTCCCGGCTTTGCGACGTCTTGATAGCCCCCAGGGCTTACATAGAACACATCGACGTTGTACTCGGACCTCCCCATAATGAAGCCGGATGGCGTTCTAGAGACCTAGTGTGCTTGGTGATAGTTTCTAGAAAAGTGTTGTGTTTGGTGAGAGCTTCATGAAGTGAGGGGTACGCACGCGTCCACCGCGCTGCCTTAATATCTGCAGCAGAACAGCACGTGATTATCAGCAGCCACTGAGTTAACTTGCCAATTATTGAATTACTGCAACGCGGCCATTCGTCACGCTGACATGCAGAATCGTTGAGAGCGAGAAACCCACCAGCTCTATCACTCCATCACTGACAGCCCAAGTTCCTTGCTAGGGCGCAGAGAATCCAGGAACAAGCATATCGCTAGGTTTAAAAAGCAGCTGTAGCTCATCACTGGAAAGAGCTTCTTGTCTTGATGTGACCTCGTAATATAGTAAATGTAAAATGTGGCAGCGACAGCTTTCGGTGTTGAAAGTATTAGTGGTACCTACCGATAGGCGTGAGGGGCATCTACGTTTATAGTAGCTTTACCCAGTCAAGTTGGGCATTTTCAATCTAAGAAAAAAAAACTGCGTGGATTTGAACAGTAGTGCAATAGAATAAGTTAGTAGCACATGCACATAGCTCTATAAGATCGGTGTCAGCTGCTGAACTCGTTCCTGCGGTTACAGGAGTTTAGATGGCAGCAGTCTCTGATCCTGCTGGGAATCGAAATCAGTTCTCCTGAGGACCGTGAGTAAAAGGAATTCGGAGCATATAAATGTGGTTAGCGTAGAGAAGCCTAGCTGAAAAACGAGGCTCAATTTATATACGGGCAATTACCAGCAACGAAGTATAGGCGAAAGACTCGGCGAGGTTGGAACTTGGTGGTGCTGTGTCACAGTGCCTCTTTGCGCAACGCTCGCCACCAGGTCGATTTTTGATGCGCTGAAGCTACCATGGCCAGATTATATGATTTCATATGCTATAAAAAATACAAACTCAGTGCTGAAAGCAATCTTTTGATTGGAAATTTTCCGTCTGGCTCTTTCATAAAATGCTGCTCATTATTACCGAGGGATCCCCCCATCCAAAAGTACGCTGACAGAGCCACCCCACGTTACTGGCCCAGCCTGCCCCACCTTGACACATCCCGCCATACTCCAACAGACGGTCATTGCAGAAGAAAAAAAAAGGTTGAAACAAAAAATTCTGGCCACCAATATTCTGGTCACCACCAACACCGCACATACTATCATGGCTACCGCTACAGTCACTGTAACGGCCGCCGCCACGGCCAAGAAGAAGGCCGTCGACCTTGCCCCCGAGAGCGAGCGCTACCTGCGCTGCTGCGCCGACGTCGCCAACACCCTCATCGAGGACCACGAGGCCAGCAAGAATGGCCGTCCCAGTCGCGACATCAACCTCAACAGCTTGCGCAACAAGCTGGCCAAAAAGCACAAGCTGACCAACATTCCGCCTCTCACCGCCATCATCGCCGCTATCCCCGAACACTACAAGAAATACATCCTCCACAAGCTCATCGCCAAGCCCATCCGTATGTCGCATTCTGACAGGGCTCTGTTACCCATGTGCGTACAGCTAATATCATCGCAGGTACCTCGTCCGGCATTGCCGTCGTCGCCGTCATGTGCAAGCCTCACCGCTGTCCTCACATTGCCTACACGGGCAATATTTGCGTCTACTGCCCCGGCGGCCCCGACTCCGACTTTGAGTACAGCACGCAGTCCTATACCGGCTACGAGCCCACCTCGATGCGAGCCATCCGCGCGCGATACGACCCCTTTGAGCAGGCTCGCGGCCGTGTCGACCAGCTCAAGTCGCTAGGCCACTCGGTCGACAAGGTCGAGTACATCATCATGGGCGGTACCTTTATGTCGCTGCCCGAGTCGTACCGCGAGGACTTCATCTCGCAGCTGCACAACGCCCTCAGCGGTTACCAGACGTCCAACGTCGACGAGGCCGTCGAGGCCGCCGAGATGAGCAATGTCAAATGCGTCGGCATCACCATTGAGACGCGCCCGGACTACTGCCTGCAGCCGCACCTGTCCGACATGCTGCGCTACGGCTGCACGCGTCTAGAGGTGGGCGTGCAGTCGCTATACGAGGACGTCGCCCGCGACACCAACAGAGGTCACACTGTTGCCGCCGTCGCCGAGACGTTTTGTCTGTCAAAGGACGCGGGCTTCAAGGTCGTCAGCCACATGATGCCTGATTTGCCCAATGTGGGCATGGAGCGCGATCTCGACCAATTCAGAGAATACTTTGAAAACCCTGCATTCCGAACTGACGGTCTCAAAATATACCCTACCCTTGTCATCCGCGGTACCGGTCTCTACGAGCTGTGGCGGACCGGCCGCTACCAAAATTACACACCAAACGGCCTCATCGATCTGGTCGCACGCATCCTCGCGCTCATCCCGCCCTGGACGCGCATCTACCGCGTGCAGCGTGATATCCCCATGCCTCTCGTGACGTCGGGCGTCGAGAATGGCAACCTCCGCGAGCTGGCTCTCGCCCGCATGAAGGACTTTGGCACCACGTGTCGCGACGTCCGCACCCGCGAAGTCGGCGTCAACGAGGTCAAGAACAAGATCCGCCCCAACCAGATTGAGCTTGTACGCCGTGACTACGCCGCCAACGGCGGCTGGGAGACGTTTCTGGCCTACGAGGACCCCAAGCAGGATATCCTCGTCGGTCTGCTGCGCCTCCGCAAGTGCACCGAAAAGTACACGTTTCGCCCAGAGCTCACAGCGCAGCCCACGAGCATGATTCGTGAGCTGCACGTCTACGGTACCGCTGTGCCTGTCCACGCACGCGATCCCCGCAAGTTTCAGCATCAGGGCTTCGGCACGCTGCTCATGGAGGAGGCCGAGCGCATCGCCCGCGACGAGCACGGCAGCGACAAGATTAGCGTCATTTCGGGCGTCGGCGTGCGCAACTACTACAGGAAGCTGGGTTACTGGCTCGACGGCCCGTACATGAGCAAGTGGCTTGATGGACGTCCAGGGCCGGCTGAAGAATAAATTGCGGATTGGGCTTCAAAAAAAAAATAGAATCGGGGTTGGCGTTTGGGATGCAGGCTACAGCGCCAACGCATGCATGGAATTCATTATGACACATTCAATGAAAACATATAATCTCTTTTTGCTCACAGACTGCTAGTTTGTTCACTGTTTTCTATCTATTCGGACTTGTCAACATCATCCTACTGGTACCGGCCTCCTACCCCGCGTACCGGGTAGCGGCGCCGGTGCGGAGTCACCTCAGATTTGCTTTTATCCGTCGATCGCTCACTTTGTACCTTTTCCAGGCGCGGACCATCTAACTGCTTCTTTCCAAAGCACCGGATCTAGATTGCGCTTGATCTCCTTGCTGAGTGAACTGAGACAGTCATGACTCGAAAAACTCTTATACCTCCTGTCCAGCATCCTCCACAGCCCCCGATGCAAGCTCCGCCTACGACGACGACGACGCCGCCTCCGATTCGTCAAGACGGTATCCCGGCGAAAACTTGTTAAGCCCTGGACTCTTCCTCCGCAAAAAAAAAAAAAAAACGTATGTCCTACACAACGCCAATGTTGTCGACGCCGCCAATGGCAGCATCGTCCCCCGCCAGACCGTTGTGCTGCGCGACGGGCTGATTGACTCTGTCCAGCCCACGCGCAGCTACACCCACCGCATCCTCCCAGCGTCGGCCGAGGACCACGCCGTCGCCGACGTGGCCGACAGCTACGGGACGTACGTGACGGCGCACGCGTACACGCCGCGGGCGATTCGGCACGCAGTGGACAATGGCGTCGGCGGCATCGAGCACAGCAACCTGCTCGACGCGGACACGGCGCGGTACATGGCAGCGCGCAAACGTCTGGCTGACGCCGACGCTCATCACCTACCAGGCCATGGGCGAGCACCACGTACAGCGCGTTTCTGCCGCCGGGCGAAACCAGGCCAAGAACCAGCAGGTGCTCGCGCGCGGCGTCGCGGCGCTGCGGGGTGGCGCACGACGCGGGCGTGAGTGACCATTTACCACGGCTCGGACCTGCTCGGGCCGCTGCAGGGCGGGAGCAGTCGCGGCGAGTTTAGCCTGCGCAAAGACGGCGGCGGGCCTCCCGGAGCGACGTGGTGCTCAGGGGCGCAAACGGTACACGCGGCGCGCATGCTCGGGCAGGAGCACGTGCTGGGGCAGGTCAGGGCCGGGTTCGCGGCGGACGTGCTGGTGCTCAAGGGGAGCCCGCTCGAGAACGTGGGGATTTTGGACGAGCCGGAGAGGAGCGCGCTGGTGGTGGTGAAGAATGGGAGGGTGTATGCAAGTCGCTGGAGTAAGATGGCCGAGGATGTGAAGCCGCGAGGCGTAATGATTGAGTAACTGCCGAGCGGTGGATGGCGTATCTTGAATGAGGTGGTGGGTTGCATGATTGCCGTGTCACAGGGGTTGGTGTCAAGGTCCGAGGTTGAGGAAAATGCGAAGCGAGGCGTGCTGAGCAAGAAGAAATTGTATTTCCTTTATCTATTGATGCCAGTTCTGTATATACGTGATTCGACTTGAGCTACATCCTATGTTTACTGTAAAATTTACTTGAGCAACAGCGGTTTTCTATCTAAACATGTGCTTATAAGCACACGGCTGCTGCTTCCATTCCAACCTCTCTTCTAAGATATTTTCACTGTCCACTTTCAATACAATGATCAAGACTGAGTTGACTTTGCATTTTTATTCATCCAACCTGTTTCCACGCTCATTCGTACAAGTAGCAAGGCGATGAGCGGTTCTGCTCTATATGTGATTCACAAGAGCCAACAAAATGACTATCACAGGGTTACGGAAGGTGCTTTCGGGTACGACGAAAGCAGCGTCCCATTGTGTCAGATTGCTTCTCTTGCTTGTCGCAGCTAGCTTGCCTTGCTAGTCTGCGGTCTGCTCATTGTTCTCAGCGATCCTTGCATGTGGCCTCACAAGAATTAGAGACTACTCGCAATACCGCTGCAAGTCTCACTTGCAGCATTTGCCATGATCTTGATGCTATACCCTTTCCTATTTCGGCTTGATGGTGGCTAACCCCGGCCGATCCCCCGATGCATCTCTGAAACGTCGGTATCGGGTACGACGAAAGTCTCACATATCCTATCGAGCCATGATGGCTGCGACGGCCAAGGGTCTCGTCGATGAGACATTGTCTAGAATCAGTCGATAAGAATGGCCAGCCTCGTCCCAACTCGTCGAGGCCAAGTTTCATGTAGTCTAAGCTGCACAAGTTGGCCCGCCAATAGGAATCGCGGCGCACCCGAGTTCAGCTCCGGCGCGTCTTAGTCGGCTCCATCAACTACACCCATTCCGTAAGTCAGTCAGGGCCAGATGCGGCGTAGCCTTCGAGGCCCGGCTTGCAGCGAGCTGAACAGCCAGCTGAACAGCCACCCAGCGCCTAGTGCCGCATCTAGTTGGCGGCGACAACTCTCGTCGTCTACTGCGTCTGCAGGCGCGACTGCACGAGCCAACTTTGCCTTTTGAATCTCGTCGTCTTGATAGAAGTTGGTTTCTTGTTCTGTCCCTTGCTTCTTATGCCAAGAGCGGGGTGAGGGGTCGCAATATTCCTCGCCTCGGCATATGTCGGCGGATTCAGCACGACCCTCCCCCCCCTCCGCAAGGACCGACGGGTCAAAGTATAGGTAGGTGGTCAGCAAGGAAAAAAGCCACGGCAGTTGTAAACGAGAGCGGGTTTAGGGTCGAAACCGTACGACGTTGAACTTTTAGTCTGCTCTCATTCGACCTTGCCAGGGGATACAAAAAATTAGGCGCCATTGTAGCGCCATGTGCCGGCCAATTGTCGGATCTCACTCCTACAATGTCATCAGCCCGTTTACTCCTCAACGCCGTTGACGTCGACGCCCGACCAGCAGTCCTGCCCGGCCCATCTCACCTGGCCTCTGCGCATCTTCCTATATCCTTTCTCATTATCATCGGCGTCTGCATCGGCCTTTGTTGATGCGTCAAGGCGGGCGAGCGAGCCACCCCGAAAATGGTCGGCATCCCCACCAGATCAGTCTCATGCCTGACCTGCCGCCGGAGAAAGAAAAAGGTAGGAGCGTTTCCCAAATGCTCGGACCAAGTTTGAAGCTCCTTCTTTTCTAACTACTCTTGATTATTTTCCGCGCGAATCAGTGTGATAAGACTGCGCCTGCGTGCCTCAAGTGCGAGAAAGCCGGTATAGAATGTGAGGGGTATACCGAAGGCCTGGTCTGGGTCAACCGGACCGTGGACAACCGCCCCAAGCTGCAAGTCCGACTACGACAGCAACAGCAACAGCAGCAGCAGCAGCAGAAGCAGTCGGGCTTGGTACAGCGTGAGCAGCAACTTCAATATGACTCCTCCAGCACGGGCGATAGCCCCGAGTCGGCGTGGCTGGCCGACCGCTCCCCCGACATCTTGCTACCAGTGCACCTGGCCCGCTCGGCGCGCGAGCAGCTCTACATGGGCTACTTTGGCGCAACTATGCTCGCGGCAGGGACGACGGTGCCCTCGGATGCAGCCATGAGCTTTGCGTCGATGGGCTGGACCAAGTACATTAGCCCGCTTTACGACACAGACCCGACCGTCCGGTGCGCCGCCATGGCCACGTCGAGCGCCATCATCGCCACGCTGCACAACGACAAGCAACTACAGGTCAAGGGCATTCAAGCCTACAACAACTCCGTCATGGAAATGGTCAAAGGGCTGCAGAGGACGGATTGGTATAAACGCGATGGATTACTGACGGCCGCCCGCATAATGGCCACGTTTGAGGTGACGGCGCAACGCCTGCTAGGTTCAAAGCAAGCATATACTAACAACTTGTGCAGTTGTTATTCATTTCCAAAGACAAAGACACACCCGAGCCTTTAGCTTGGCGGGGCCATAACCAAGGACAACAAGCCATCTTCTTGGCGCGCGGCCCCGTGGCGTTTGCTTCAGGCCCGGCGCATCAATTATACTCTGATGCGCGCATCAACATGGTATGTGCTCCGGAACCCATCCAGGAGTAACAGGCTGACAGACAACATCAGGTCATGCTGTCGATGGGCCAACGAAAACGCTCCCCCTTTGCTAGCCCTGCATGGGATAAGATCCCGTGGAAGAAGCACCCCAAAGCCGTCAAAGACCAGCTCATCGATCTAATGCAAGACATCCCCGAGATCCTCGAATACGTGGAAGAGTTCAAAGCCTCTGCCGATCCGCAGCGACGGCAGGACCTTGAGGCGCTCATCATGAGCCGCTCCAGCGAGGTGCGCGCAGATCTCGACGCTTGGGCGGCCGACCGCGGCGACAGCCTGCAGCGCTTCGACTGCTTTGCCAACACGGGCCCGATCGAGCCGCCGAGAAACGACGCCGAGTTTGCGTTTCACCACATGACGACGATATACTGGTTCACGTGCGGCATGCTCTCGTGCATCAGGAGCTTCTTCAGCTCGCGGCAGGGCGAGGAGCGAATACCGCGACGACCACCGGGATGGTACGCGACGTACGGGGGTGCGGCGGCCGGCACGCCCACCTCGACAACGACGACGACGACCAACTCCCCCAGCCACGACGACAGTACCAACTCGCCCTCCTCGGCGTCGACAACCTCGACGGCCGCCAGCGTGTCTGCCTCGGAGCACTATCTATGGGAGTCGGCCATGAACGCCACGCGCGAGGTCTACGCCATGGGCTTCTTCTTCACCCCCGACGCGGGCGTCGCCCACTCGGCGGCGGGGCTCATGTCGCTGGCCGTGATCTTGCGCTACTACCTGCACCCGGCCGCCTTTTGCCTCCTAGGCACCGAGGTTGAGATTCTACAGGGCCTGTACGCCACCCCGATCCTGGGCATCCCCATCGGCCAGCTGCTGCGGCGCATCCTGGGCGGCCACCTGCCGCCGCTCGTGGCGAATGTTGACGGCCCGCGGGTCAGTCATGGCCTGGGGTGGTTCTAGAAAAGGCTATCAGGGGCAGATTCTTATTCTTTCGGGGGTGTTTGGAGCGTGGCGTTTTATGAGACTTTGACATTTTTATGATGAATGTATACCAAACTGTGCTTTTTGCTTTTCTCTTTCTTTTTTTTGGCATGATCATCTTTTTGTTTCGCCCACATACATGCCTCGTGCATACATATTGCTTGGAGACGCGCCTTCATGACATGATTCGGAATACTTGGAATACTTGGAAATAGAAACTGTCTTTTTGCTGAAACACATTATAAATCTAAATTACTAAATCGACCCCTCAGTTGCGTCTTTCGTAATCTATTTGACAAAGTGCAACAGCCTCGCGCTACTGCACTTCGAGGCACCGGGGGGTTGTAGTCAAAGGGGGACATGACATCTCGGACACTAGTTATGGCAGCGGAAGCCCGGAATCTCCATCCCAACTTTAAAAGTCCTTTGATCCATCTCCACAAATACAGCGGGTTAACGCGCCACAGGATGTCATATTGTATGTAGTACCGCAAGCCTTGACGTGATTTGGCCGTCAACGATGAACTGTCGACTGTCGACTGTCGACCTTTGTTCAGTTTCCGCAGCATTACCCCAGTTGTCCAGCTCCCATGATCAGTGAGTGGCTTGACAATCCGGAGCTTTTTTCCCGGCTCACATCCTAATCCTACGCTAATGGCTGCGTGCCCAACTACGTTGCTACGTAAGGCATTAGGCGGGGAGTCAGGCCGTCCACGCCTGATTGGCCCTTTGGCAGCGCAAGTCGAAGGGTCCCCTACCCCCCGCCACGCAGCGGACCCTTGGGACGGACGATCAATTCCCCTCTCCGAAGAATAGCTATCGGTAACTAGAGGCACTTGATTGAGCGGGTTGAGCAGGAGGCAAAAGAATAAGCAGATTCTACTCGGTTTATCGGCCGTATCGTTCTTTTGGGCTCTCTCCTCTGTTGCCTTCCTTTTCCCTCGTGACAATGGTGATGCATAGTAGACGGCAGCCTGAAGAGAGCATGACGTCAGCGTCCTATTTTGGAGCAATAAAGCAGAGCATGCGGTTTGAAATCAACAACTGCAACACCCAACAGCCAGCCGTCTAAAAAAAGAGGGACAAGACGGTCTCCAATTTACCCTGGCCATCTGAGCAATGCGAGCACTGCATACCCGATTCAGGCTATCATCGCATCTCGTCTCGCCAGCACAGAAATGACCGAGCGCGTAGTAGCACAGCAGAACCGTCCGTTGCGCAAACTGCTCCCAGCAGCTGGAAACCCCGACGTCTTGGGCCCCAAAAAGCTCACTCACCCAGTGAAGCCAGCTCACACGACGGCAGCCTGTGATAACTGTCGAAAACACAAGACCAAGGTACGCGACGTCATACTGTGCATCTGCTCCTCTTCTTCCTCCTATCCCTTTTCGACTCATGCACCGAACTCTTTTCTTTGTTCCTTAAATACGCTCTGCCTCGCGTACCTCTTCCAACGATACCGTTTCTCCCTTGCACTTTCTGCCTCTTCCCCCGCTCTTTTCTCAAGCATGACAAAAATGCCAAGGCAAACTTTTGCCACGTGAACATGCCACTTATTTTCATGACCCATGTCTTAGTGCTCAGGAGAAAGACCGACATGTCGACGATGCGCGCAGCGTCGTTTTTCGTGTCACTACACGGCCCGACCCGGCGAGACCGAGTCGCAGGCTCTGCGGCGCGGGTACCGGGAACTGCGTGACCGCGCGCGCGAGCACGAGGAGGTGGTGGCGCTACTGCGCAGCCTCCCCGAGCAGGATGCGCAGGGTGTCTTCCAGCGCATACGCGCCGGCACGGGGCTCGGAACTATCTTGAGGCAGGTCAGAGCCGGCGATGCGCTGCTGCAAATGGCTGTGCCGCCCGAAACAAGTTTCCGGTACAGCTTCCCGTACCTTGAGTCGGTCTTCTATGAGACAGCGTCGGCGCGGCGGCCACGCAACGAGGAGCCACCGCAGTCGCTTGGCGGGGATGGCGATGGTGGCGCACGACAGCCGCTGGCGCGCGTAAGGCAGCAGCGCAGCAAAGACAATGACAGCTCGGCGGCGGCAAACCATAACGCCGAGAACGACGGCGTGTATCTCAGCCCGTTGCATGCAGAGCGTGTGCTAGAGCCGCGACTCACGGGTGTTCAGATTGCGCCGTTGATGCGCGTGTGCGATGACGAGCCGCTGATGCGGGATCTGCTAGAAATGTCGCTTCGCTGCGAGTACCAGTCCAAGGCAGCGTTTCACAAGGACTACTTTTTCCAAGATCTGGTGGCGGGCAGGGTGGGAGTTTTGCTCGTCCATGCTGGTGAATCGAATTCTTTCCTCTGCTTCGGTAAGTCGAGCCACGGTTCTAAACAAAAAACCTTGACCTCTTCTCAACAGCATCTGATGTAGGCGTCCCATCCCAAGCTGCGGAAGCACGCAGAGTACTAGTACTCCACGAGGTTGGCGTTCCACTTCTTCGCCGCGGCCAGACACCACCCGTGGGAGCTGGCTGCGCCGGAGCCACTCATTGCAGCGTTTCTGACAAAGTGTCCGCTCTGCACGATGTCGGTCGGCCGTACCGCATTCATGGTGCGGCAGTGACGAAAAGTTGGGCATCATGGACGCTCTGAACTTTTGCAGGCAGCGAGGCAGGGCCTTTACCGCCAGCAACTGTAAGAATGGGAGGCTAATGGTAGTGGTAGTGACGGAGATGGCGCACCAACAAATAAGTCGATAAATGGCTAGTAAATCGACAGAAAATGGAAGCATCAACGTGTTGGTTTTTGCACACGAAACTCGAGGCTGTGATCGATTATCGAAATCGCTGCCTTCGTTTGTCTTGATGCTTGTTTGTTGCATGTAGTCAAAATGCTCCATCAAGATGTGGCAAGCTTGGCCCCTCTGAAACATCGAATGGGGCAGTCGCAGCAACTGCAGCGCGCCAGTCGTACACGCACGAAAATGATCGGGAAAAATGATTCGCCGGCTCGCGCGTTGGGGCCGGTAGAACCCGAGCACGACTCGCAACCTTGCAACAGCCCCAGCGCCAAATTATAACGCTCCAGGCCAGATATCCCCTGTATTTGCGCCAGCCCAGCCAACCAGACAGCTCTCCCCCAGGAAAAAAAACCCTCCACCGAAAAAGCTCCCTTTCAACCACCGCACCTTCTCTACAAACACCTCTGCCGTATCATCGGTGCATTGTCTTCTACCTTCTTCTCCCTCTCTTTCCGTATTCTCACATCTACTCATCCTTGATCTTCCTTCCCCTCCACAATGCAGGCCGTCCCTAGAACTGCCGCTCGCTCGGCCCTCCGCCACGTTTCGAGTCGCTCATACAGCTCTGCCGCGTCACCTTACTCGAAGACGATTGAGAACCTGCGCATCAACAGCGACACCAAGGTCCTCTTCCAGGGTTTCACCGGAAAGCAGGGAACGTACGTTGTATTCCTATTCAATTGAGGGTTGTCAACGGCTGCTGTCTGGGCCTCAGACATGCCTCCGGCTCCTCCGGGTACCGACGCTGACGTGCTTAATCTACAGTTTCCACGCCCAGCAGGCCATCGAATATGGTACGATCCCCGACGCGAGAATCGCGATACTGTGTAGTCGCACCGATTCTCAACGGTCGACATACTGACGAGAAGTTGCACAGGCACCAAGGTTGTTGGCGGTACCAACCCCAAAAAGGCTGGCCAGACTCACCTCGACCTTCCCGTCTTCAAGAATGTCTCTGAGGGTGTAAAGGAGACTGGCGCCACTGCCACTGCCCTCTTTGTCCCGTAAGCGCAACTCTATATTCAACGAAGCAATTGCGCGCTGTATGACTGACCAACATCAGTCCTCCTCTGGCCGCTGCCGGTATCGAGGAGGCTCTCCAGGCCGAGATTCCTCTAGCCGTCTGCATCACCGAGGGCATTCCTCAACATGGTAAATTATCACCGTCATTGAAAACCCGACTGCCATGAAATACTCGAACCCGACAGCTAACCGATGCGCCCGCCCGCATGCAGACATGGTCCGCATCACCGACATGCTCAAGACGCAGAGCAAGACGCGTCTCGTTGGCCCCAACTGCCCCGGCATCATCGCCCCCGGCCAGTGCAAGATTGGCATTATGCCCGGCTTCATCCACAAGCGCGGCCGCATTGGCATCGTCTCGCGATCCGGTACCCTCACTTATGAGGCTGTCAACCAGACCACCCAGGCCGGCCTCGGCCAGTCGCTCGTCGTCGGCATTGGCGGCGATCCCTTTTCCGGCACCAACTTCATCGATTGCCTCAGCGTCTTCCTCAAGGACGAGAACACGGACGGCATCATCATGATTGGCGAGATTGGTGGCGCTGCCGAGGAGGAAGCCGCCGAGTTCCTCAAGCAGAACAACACGACCAATGGCGGCAAGCCCGTTGTCTCCTTCATTGCCGGCATCTCTGCTCCCCCCGGCCGCCGCATGGGTCACGCCGGCGCCATTGTCTCTGGCGGCAAGGGCGGCGCCGACTCCAAGATTGCGGCCCTCGAGGGCGCTGGCGTCATTGTCGAGCGCTCCCCCGCCGGTCTGGGCAAGGCTCTCTACAATGAGTTTGTCCGCCGCGATCTCTTGTAATTATAGACCCGCGGGAAGAGAGATGGAGAGGAAATGTGCCATTTATTTTTAGGTTTTATTTTTGTCAGAGGACACGAAAGCTGCGACTTTGCATTCCTCGACTTAATATTTCATCAGGGAAGCTTTCGACGGGAAGCTCTCTGGGAGGCTTGTTCTGGGTTGGAGAGCTCCTCCATCATGCATGCAGCCAGTGTCATTACTACGTGATAGATTTGGAACAATACAAAACGGGACAGCCGGTGTGCTCTAGAATATGAAACGTTTCTTCATTATTCCGCTTGAATATATGCGCTAGAGTTGTGAACTGTATTCGCGGCTGAGGACAGCGCCGCAAAGGAATTGTTGGCCATCAAATTATGCCCCAATCAAAGGCTGTTGGTTGCAATAAAGCTCGTTTCCCATGGTATGTATAGAAGCATGAAGCGAAAAGCAAACAAAAAAAAGGGTAAAAAAGACTCCAAATCAATGCATGAATAACACAATGGAAAAGTGGGGGGGGGGGGCATTACAGTCGTTGTGTTCAGAAATGGCTATTGCTCGCCGAGCAGTCGGGCAGTGATGTCGCCCATGTAGGCCTCCTCGAGCTCATAGTACTGGCCTTGATTTCTATCGATGCCGACGAAGCGAAAGGCGTCGACGACAGCTTCGACGTCGAAGCCCATACCGGTAAACTTGTCAACCATGTTCTTGTTGTACCCGTCATATCTACATGTCGATTAGCCGGCGGCGCGCGCCTGGAAAATGTTCATTCTGGGGGGGGGTGTTACACACCTCGCGGCTTCGTCTTTGGGCGGCGCGGCGGCGGCGCTCGCGGCAGCAGCATACTGACTCAAGTCGAGCTGGCGACGAGGAGCCCCGGCGTACTTGACGGCCCATTCGTGGGCGACGAGGGCGAAGCGGTCGGGTTGCTCGTTCATCATCTTGGCAACCTCTGCGTCCTGTGGATCCTTAGAGTTGGGAAACTCGAGGAGCATGCGAACGGAGAGTAGAGCGGTCTTGATGGTCTGCACGGGAGACCATCCGGTGGTCAGGGTATCGAGACAGATGGCGCCCTTTTGTTTTGTTATTCAAGTCAGCTCATAACATCATCCCATCCCATCCCATCCATCCAAGTTTCAGTCTTTGTTGCTGCTCCCAAAGCCTCCACATCGAGCGAAGCCAAGGAAAAAAAACAGAAGGGGAAAAAGGGGAGGAAAGAAAAAGATCATACGGTTTGAGAAGAGACGTTGGGATGCCAAATTTTGGTCTTAAGGCGCATCTTTGGCGGCTTGAACGGGTAGCTATCGGGGATCTCGACATCGACTTCGTAGGTGCCGCCGGCGTAGGGCGTGTCGGGAGGCGCGGGGAAGATGCCGACGAGAGAGCGCAGGGAGACACCGTCGGCGGGAGCAGCAAAGACGCCGGAGGAGTCCTTGTCGGCCTGGATATCGGCGAGCTCCTTGGCGACGCGGCGATCTCTGCTGCTGGTCATGGTTTTGTACGATGCGGGGTGTTGTGTCTGTGTGTGTTCTTGTGTGTGTACGAGTGTGTTTCGCTCGGCGCTTCGGGTTATTTTAGAAAGACGGGAAGGAGGGATTTCGAATCGTTGGGCGAGAAGAGTAAGAAAGTACGAGATGGACGCGGGGACCAGCAAAAAGGCAGAGAAGAAGTCGTTTTGTGCGAAAATGGAAAAAAAAAAAGAGACGGAAAGGAAAAGAGAGAGTTGAGACGTGGTGGTGGTGGTGATGGTGGGAGGAAATGTGGATGGGCTCGCAAAGTGGGACACACTGGGTAAGACGGATTTGGGGGGGGGAAACTTACATGAGCGAAAGCGAGACCAGGCAACTAATTAAGGTAGTTAGTTAATTCTCACTGCCCTGGTGACGTGGGTAAGCTGCGGCGGTTGCGCCTCAGGAAATGCGCGCCCAACGGGCTGTGCAACGTTATATAAAGGACAAGGTTGGGTTCAAAAAGCTGTGTTTCGCAAAAAAAAGCCTTGTCAGATGGGCATTCGCCTTATAAAAAAGTGTGAGTGGCATTGAAGCCCGAAAAAAAGTCGTTGGGCGCGCCGGAGTTGTCATCTACCTGGTACAGATATACTGAGACGGATCACGACAAGGCAGCGTGCCATGGTAAACCTAAACCCGCCTAACTCATCTCAGTTCTTCGTTTAATATCTGGATTATTCTTCCCATTATTTTTGCGCGTTAACATTCAAGTCCCACGTTGGTCGACAAGTCATGTTGGAGCAATCTGCATTCAGCGACATTGCGAGTCTGCCACCTACTTGCCATGGACAGACAGATATAACTCGACGGGAACAATTGCTGCGGTAGCCCTGGAACGATAGTTCACCGCTGGCTAGCTCAAAATAGCACCAGAGCCCGAGTATATAATTTTTTTTCCATCTATTCTTTGACATCATTTTTACCCCCACGAGTCTGGTGAGCGTTACGTGCGAAGCAGATCATCAAGTGTCTGGCGCCACCACTCACATGTGGCGTATAATCACAGCTGGTCGGCACAAGAAAATTATTGGAAATCATAGCCTATTGGTATCGTTATAAACAAAATAAAGCAAGTACTGTTAACTATCCACGTAAAACCAACATGATCCAACCATCAAACTTGTTTGTCAAGTGGCAGCTGACTAGCAGCGCCAGGTATTAGCTTACACCGCAGCCTCTCCTGCCCATTTACTGCTTGTTGGGGGAAACCTCATGTTCCTCTACAGGAGGAGTATGGGGCTTTTCGATGGCGGCAGTCTTGGCCGCAGCCGCCTCAATGTCGCCGTGCTCAGCCTGGCGCATGCGGCCAGTGACAGGATGAGTCTTCCAGGCAGGAGTACCAATGTACGGGATACCCTTGGGGTCCTCAAACATTGCCTCGGTCTCTTCGAGAGTCTTGCCGGCCGTTTCAGGGAAGTTGAAAAAGACGTGGACAAACGCCGCAACATTAAAGACGGCAAAAACAATGTAGGCCTTCCAGCCAATGTTGGCAAATGCAGGAGGGGTAAAGAGGCCGAGCGCGGTGTTGAATGCCCAGTTTCCGGAAGTGGACAGAGCGACACCCTTGCTGCGAAGACGGAGGGGGAACAGCTCGGGGGGGTAAGTCCAGGATGCGGGACCCCAAGTGGGAGCGTAAGAGGCAACAAATAGGTACGTTCCGGCAATGAGTGCCTTGGCAGGGGCGCCGGAGACCTTCATCGACAGGACATCTTGCTTGCGTTCACTTCTTGGAATGGTTTCGGCGTGTGTAGCAAGCAAACCAGCATTCATGAACATCCAAATGCCCATGAGGGTAGAGCCGACGAGCATGGTCTTGCGACGGCCCCATCTATCCGCCCATAGCAGCGCAGGAACGGTCATCAAGACGTTGATAATATACTGAATCGACGAAGCGAGCAGGTTGGCGTTGCCACTGTAGCCGGCCATTTCGAAAATGTAGGTAATGTAGTACATCATGACGTTCATGCCACAAAGCTGTGACCAAATCTGTGTAAACAGACCAATGATGGTTCGGTTGAACATTCTTGGCTTAAAAAGATCGAGATACGTCACATCAGCATGACGACGCTCAAACTCGCACATATCCTTGATGTCCTGCAGTTCGTACGAGACAAAGGGATGGTTCGGGTCGCCCTGGCCGTGGACGAGAGTAAGAACGCCGTGGCACTCCTCCCAGCGGTCCTTGCGCGCGAGCCAGCGAGGAGACTCGGGAAGGGGCATCATCATGAAAAAGAGGAAGATGGCGGGGATCATTTGAAGAGCCCAGGGCACACGCCAGTTGGCGGTGGTGTGGTCGTTCCACTCGTTCTTGCCAATCTGGGCGCAGCCGTACGAGATGTAATACATGATGAGGATGCCCCAAGTAATGGCCCATTGCTGGAAACCGATGAAGCGGCCACGCTTGGAGGGAGGTGAGATCTCGGCAATGTAGACTGGGACCTGAGCAGACTCGATACCGACAGAGAAACCGTTGATGATACGGCCGACAATGAGCATGCCCTTGTTCTGAGCTGCAGAGCAAAGAATAGAGCCAATTATCCTGATTTGGTGTTAGATGCAATCTTTTCACTCCATCATTGGAGGGCTTGCGCTTACCAAATGACGGCACCAATCATGATGGACTTTTTACGGCCCAAGCGATCCGAAAGAATACCAGAAATGAGGGCACCGAGCCAAGAGCCAGCGGCCATCGAGGCCACGATGCCGCCCTGGGTGAGTGGCTTGGGTCCGCTGCATGGTTCCTGCGTAAAGGGAGGGCCTTTGGGACCGTCGTTGAAGTAACAGTTGTATGACTGCTCGCCGAGCTGGGCCGACATGGACGAAATATCGAAGCCAAACAGGGCGCCTCCGACGACGGAGACGCCTGCAATGACGTACAGATTGCCGATGGGCATGGTCGAGGGGAGAGCCGAGCTCTCTTTGCAGGTGTTTGGTGGTTGTAAAGTGTAATTAGATAAAAAAAACAAAGGTCACTTGCGATAGGATTGAAGTTGTCGCCGTCCGTCAACGAGTCAACAACATGCAGGAAAAGAGGAACCGAGGCGAGAGGTAGTAGTAGGGGCGGGAGTGGGAAGCACTGCTCTTTATAGGAATACGAAGAATAAAAAAGAAAAAGAGATGGCGGCAGGGATCAGCACGAAAAAGGTGAGAAGCTGGATGCTAGGATGCTCACGCGGACCATATAGGGGAGGGGGGCCTTTCCCATGGGGTATAAGCAGGAATAATACAAGCAGCAGGAAGGTTAGTTGGCTTTAGTTGGCTGCGAGCTTCCATTTGGAGAAGACGCGCGCGGGCAGGAGCAGGGGACCCAGAACGGCCGAGCCTAGTTTTGCCAGTGTAGTTAGGTAGGTAGGCTTTAAGCCGACTTGGGAAGACTTGGGGGAATAACAACATCTACTTAGGCGAGAGGATGGTGTGGGACCGAGTTTTTTAGTGTTATGTGGAGGTGATGATGATGGTGGTGGGTGTCTGTGGCATCTATCCGTAGGTACTGTACCTAATAATAAGCCCGCCAGCGCATGCAGTGGTCCCCCAAAGAAGAAGCTCCAGACAACAAGGAAAATAGATACCTACCTAGATATAGTTTTACCTTGGCCGTCAAACTATCGATTATAGCTAATTCTCTGCCATGGCTCATTTTTTCAGAGGGCAAAAATGTTTGCATATAATACAATTACTGAGCCACCCCCCACCCCCAAAGGTATCCATGCCCCCGCGCACGCAGCCTTCTTTTTGCGGCTCCACCTGAATTTCCGCATCCAACTCTTCACATTTACACCATGCCAAATTTCGACAGCCTCGTGCTGCATCTTCTCTTGTGAAAAATGGAAAGTTGGCGTCACTCTTGCACGCATATCGTATGGTTGAAAATATGACGATGCTAATGAGTCCATTCTCGGGTAAACTCACGAATGTCGTGAGGCTGAGTGTCAGCAGCCGCTGTGCAAACAGGCTCCAAACCCCCTCTTCTCATGCGACACCCGTGTACGACAGCCGCACCCGTATTCTTCTGCGTACCGTACCTAAAAACTGCAAGTCTGTCCGTGACACCCACAGGCTAGCGGCCGCTGAGCTGATGGCAAAGTCGCCAGCTTGGGGGCTAACCACGAGTTATCCCAACTCGCGGCGACCGGAGCAGGGGGGCGTGGCAAGCCACGAAGGGGAGGGAGGGGGTAAAGGGATCGACCAAGCCCGAAAAGCTCACGACGTGGAGTGCATGACGCCGAGAATTAGGCCGTCCAGCAGCCATGTCGAGAAGAGGCACTAAAGCCGGCCCAGTTCGAGATTTTGCGTCAACGTCAGAGGCGCTCTCCATGGCTGCCGACGACCTTGTTGCCACAATGAAAGCGCTGCAGTGACAACTTTTCACTAGCTGCCCATTTATCCATGTGGTGTCTGGCCTGAATGCACCGTAAGTGTCTCTGCTGGAACCAGGGACTCCTTTGTCTAGTTGCCTTGCTGTTGCTGATCATCTGTTGATCGTCACTGCGGGGGAGGATACTTGCCCCAGAAACATGGTCTGGATGGTTGCCCAAGCGGCTTAAATGAGAAGGGTGTTCGCACCAACCCAGAGATTTGGGATTTCTCGGTACAGGCAACCTATTCTCAGCCTCCTCATTTCACGTTTCGCCTCGATAGCTTTGCGCGCTTGGCTTGCAAGGCTTTTTTTTGCTCTCTGCTTCGATGCTTTACATCCGACCGAAAAAAAAGCCCACATCGCCATCTCTCTCCACCATGGCTTGCGCCACGCACGCCAATTACTTGAAAGGCCGCTCTCCTCGCAGCTCGGCCCTACGCCAGCGGCCCGCCTTGGCAACTGTCTTCGGCTCCGGTTGGGCAACACCCGAGCGGGGATGATGTTGGGGATTGCAAACTGTGCCAGCAGAGCAAAGCAACAGAGGAAGCAGATCTCCAAGTAAGTCACGTTCCGCACGCAACCATCTCCAACCAATCAGCTAGGAGGAGGGCATGTTGGCCAGTCACGGGGCGCTGGTTCCATCAGTGTTGGGGCTTCAGGCAAGGCTACGGCTATGTTGCCAACTGCGAACTCAAAGTCAAACTCACTTTGTTCTTGCACAGGATACACACGAGGCGAAATGCCATGCTCTACCGTCACCTTGGTGCAACACGAATACGGAGACTCCTGATATACTGCTGCGCCCTTGCTACGCCTGTCTATTCATGTGAAGCATACAAGCACGAATACTGAGAGACTGTTTCTCCTTCAGCTGCCGTACATTCCCTTCACCACGGCCAGCGCCATCGATTCCCAGACCAGCCTTGTTAGCATCGGTCTGGGCCCGCTTTTGACCAGTGTGCCGCTCGACCTTTGCTGCGACGACTGGCAACACGCTCGCGGAGTCTAGCACCAACAAAGCCACACCGCACCCGGCCAGCCGTTGACAGCAGTGACGATCCCAACCCGCCATATCTCCACAGAAGGTCCGATGGGTGCAACTTTGCTCCGAGCTGCTGCCCTGCACCCTGCAAGCCTTGAAATTATCCGCACCAAACACATGGCAGACAGACGCTGGTCATCGCATGACCTGGCACACCTGGCTACTGCACTCCAATAGGACCACTTGCGCCAGCACTTGACTGTCAGCAGAGTTGGTAGCTTGCTTTGCTTGCTTCGGGCGACGATATTTACAGCGGCCGAGTCTAGGCCCATCAAGCCACTGGAAATAATTGTCAATGACACCCGACAGGACTTGGCAGAAATGAGTCGCCGACTAAAACAATAACTAGATAATGACGCTCGCGGTACTTTTTTTTCCCCTAAGCGATTCGTGGGGATTCTTATCCCAGGGCCCCCAACAATAGCCTCGTTTATCTCGAAGCCATGGCTCTCCATTGAACTGGTTAATGGGTTGCAGACCGGGCGATGCATATCATCCTTCACGAGCAATTATGGGACCGTTGGCCTCTAGTAGTTCTAGGCGATTCGTAGCATTCATTTGCCAGTTGCCAGCTTTGCCGGCCAACAGAAGTTGTGGCTTCCGAACTTGCTCTCAGTGGCGCTCGCAAGCGTGCGGGGCAACGGAGCAACTTCCGCCTCGAGCATTTGCCTGGCTCACAAAGTCGAGACCCAAGGAAACGTTGTGTCGTACTAAATAAACAAGGGGACATTGACTAGTGGAGTCGATGTAGGCGAATAAACTTGTTGCTCTGTACACTCTGCGACAGGCCGTCCCGACAGGTTTGAGAAAGACAGCTCAAATTGAAGCAACGGCTCGACCGCTTCAGGAGCATGCACTAATAAGACTTAAGCTTGCAAATATGCTGAATCTACAAGAGCATGGCAGCCACGCTGTTCAGCTCGAACCTTTGATGAAGTGGCTGTCATTTCCCCCACTCTTCATCTGCTTGGTGTCAATGTCATATGGCTCTTGATCAACGATGACCGTCACACCAATGTTACTCTGACAGCAGCGCGCCGCCGTCGCAACATGTACAAGCGCCACCGCGGCTCGCCCTCTTTTGGATATGCACTGCGTCCTTGCCAAATCTGCGGGAAATCGTGGTGGCCAGCACGCAAGGATTGCCGGATCTGCGGCCCGTTTACGTGCATTTTTTTGCGCTTTCGTGTGTCGGCTACATTTTGTTTTTTGTACATGCTTGCCCGTAGGGTTGAATTGTCCAGTCTCCGGGTGCGACTCTCATCGAGATGGGCTATGCTGACAAGTGCAGGGCTTGTAGGCGCTTCGTTTCCCAAACTGTAACTGCTCAAAAAACATCGTGACTGCGAGGACACAACGGCTGGGTTTCAATGACGGACACCGCTTCAGCAGGTGGAAGAGCTGAGGTTTTGACATGTACCAGACAAATGGGGAGGATGACTGCACGGTGATATTTGGTTTCACCCGTAATAGGCAGCGAACCGGGTCGCAGGCCGGACAATGCACTTGTACACACACGGGCGTATTTGGTCAGTGATTTCTAACTAGAACCACATCCATGAAAAGTGTAGCTACCAACGGGCTCCGTCTGATGCTCTATTGCACGAGCGGTCGTGTAGTAGCCTTTAGCTTCAGATTACCCTGCAGCTACGGAACGCAAACAATGCCAACTTACAAAGACCCGAAAGTTTTTATAAAATACATTGCTCTCATCTATGTGATTTTAGCTCCCATGAAAAGTTTCCCGACCGCCGTTTCTCGGCGCCCAATATTCTTTGCCATAACATGTTCCATCATCTAGCCACCCAAACGCAGTAAACGCCCTACCCATAAAAAGACCCCCAATGACTCGTTATGAAGAGGATTTAAAGCGACGCTTCCTTGTGAATCTCGATACCGGGCGGTGCGCCCGTTAGAGCCTTGCATTGAGCATAAATGACAAACTGGCCAGAGACCAGACCACAGGTCATGACGACACGAGGCGCCAGACCACTGGTGAGCAGCCTCACGGGCCCAAACTCGCGGGCGAGCTGGAACATGCGGCTGGTGGCGCCCTGCTTGGGATCGCCGGCGCCCTTGTTGATGGCGGAGAGCAGGGTGTCGGCCGGGTGGGACAGGACGGCGGCGGCGACACCGGCGGCGATGCCCGAGGTGAGCTCGATGCCCGTGTTTTGCAGCTGGGTGAGGGCGGCCTTGCGCTCGGTGCCAATGGCGCGGTAAATGACCTCGTTGACGGCCTCGTGGACGGTGAACTGGCCGACGGCGTAGGGCACCTGCTTGAAGAGCAGCGGGATAAAGCCCGAGTAGAAGCCGCGAAGCCCTTCCTCGCGGGCCATGCGCATAAAGCCCGAGGTCAGGCCGCTGGCGTAGCCGCGCTGCGAGACGAGGCGGATGCGGGTGGCCTCGAGCGGGCAGAGGGCAATGTCGGCAAAAAACTCGGCGGTGGCGCTGGCGCCGAGGTAGACGGCGGTGCGGTGGGGGACGGCGCGTTCGGGCCCGCCGGCGAGGTCAATGTACTTTTTCTTGAAAAACTCGTAGCCGGCGAATTTCCCGCCGCCTTGCACGAGGTAGCCGACGGCGGTGGGGCCGAAGCCGGTGAGGAGGGCCGAGGCGCCCTCCTTGGCGACAATGGTGCGGGCGGCGCGGATCATGTTGTAGCCCTTGAGGGAGTCGTCGACCTGGATCCGCGTCTTGACGACGTCGATGGGCGTGGCGGCCTATTGGGGGGTTTGCTGGTTAGCTGCCCGTCAGGTCAAGTTTTGGGGGGGGGGTTCGGGAAGCAAATTGGGGAGGGAGGGGAAACACGCACGCCATGGGTCAAGGTCGCGGCCAGCGCGCCGGCACTGAAGAATTTCAGATAGTCGGAGAGGGTAAAGTCGGGCGTCTTGTCCTGCTTGGCAGCCATGATGGGTAGAATGCGGCGGTGATTTGTAGAGGCGCGGGCGGAGGGAGGTGGAAAGAAGCGGCTGGTGGGAGGACAAGATGGGGCCGACGCGAAGGGGGATGGTTCGCCTGCGATGCGTTTCAATTGAGGGTTGAAATATGAGGTTGTAGAGGAGTGATTGGGGCAGAGGAGAGATATTTAAAGCGAAGCTAGTGAATAGCGCAACAATGATGGCTGACTAGGGTTGCTGATAAGCAGGGGAGAAATTTTGCGCGAATGGCGACAGCTACGAGAGTCGAGCAAGCAACAAGTTATCTAACGATGATGACGTCGTTCCGATGATCCCGAAAGCGGCCAAGACCGGGGGTTCCGCTTGGCAGCGATCTCGTCAGGGATGGCATTGGGCAGCGGAAGATGTTATTATGGAGGGGGGTTTTCTTCTTTTTTTTTTTTCTCGAAGAATTTTTTTGTTGCAAATTTTGCTAAAGAGGCAACTCTTGAAATATTTACGAATTGTCCTGTTTGAGGTCACTCGAGTATGCAAAATTGTGGCAGCCCTTTGAATGACGGCGACAATAGAAACTCCGTAGTACGGAGTAGACACCCTCTGTTTAGCGGACCATGCCCCTAGTTGGCGGTCCCTTTAGCGGAATGGAAAGCAGGTCCCTGGGAAGGATGCTTCAAATTGACACACCAAAAACAGACCGAACGAATACAAGCTCTGGCAAGATGATTTCGTATCTGAATGACAGAAATCGAACAAGATCTTACGGTTTTTATGAACCAAGCAAAAACCTCATGTAATTCTAGTGACGGTCCAAAATGCTCCAAGATATGCTGTGGGTCGGAATGGCAGGCTCCGGGCCGAAAGGCTAATTGAGGCCGCGGACGGCGATTACAGCGGCCGCGGATTTTATCCTGCATAATGCCGTAGTAGAATGCCTCAGCAGAATGCCGTAGCGTAACGGCATAGCAACGGTACCGTGATGACGCAAGCTTCAGTGTGCCACAGTTTTCGAATTCAGACATCAAACTTTTCAATCACCAACGGCTTTTTTGCACCGCGACACGCCCACAGCTTGTCTGCACGGCCATTGCCCTGCTTAAACTGATTCGCAATCTCAATGTCCGATTTGGCCCCAAACATGTTTCCGTATTCTCGATAGCCGATCGCAGGCGCGTCTGTAATTGCTTTTTTTCTCTCTTACAGAATATGCTCCGAAGTGACAGAAAACAGACAGAGGCAACACGTGTCCGCCCTGCTGCTTTGACCCGTTTGTGCCCAAATAACAATGTTGTGCGTTGATGCGTTTGCAGCGTTTCATAACAAGCAAGGAAATGGATTATTCTGCATAAAAAAAACGTGATTCAGCATAATCAACACAAAAAAATACACGTGTACGACGTGATATTCACGTGGTGTCATTCACTTTTGCCTGTCGTGGCAGGCCCCGTTTCGACCATGACCGTGACCAACAGCGGCACAACCTTATCACCAGCTGCCGGCCGCAACTTCGTCCCGCGTCCCGCAAACAACATCTCCCGAGCATCACCATCGCGATATAGCATCCGTGCCATCTAATCAGGCTACTATTTGCCCATCTACTCTTTAGAAGATATCCGACTCTTTTCTCCTGCTCTTCAATACAAGCGCTACAATGCGTCTTTCGACACATCGTGTGCCTCTAGACCCAAATCATCTCAACCAGCTAGCCGCCCGCGATCATCGCGTATAACTTTGACCAGCATTCAGCGTCTCACAACCAGCTCACACGTCGTATAGTGATCAAGTGCAATGGCGTACCTCTTCCACATCCACCAGTCGTGGTCGCGTTGTACCAATTGTCTGAAGTTTCACATGGCCTCACCGAATGCGCTTCTCCCTTCGTTTATTTCGGCCGCCACCCGACTTTTCTTTTCAAGTTTCCTCGCACACAAGGCAGACGATTCGCTGCCAACTCTCTCCAGAGTACGAATGTAGTGTTCTTCTGTGCTGCAAGCCAATACGAGCAGCATGTTACGCGAACCATTGCGCCTTGCTATAAAAGAATGACCGAATCGCAACACCCCAACCCTCCAGCCCAGTTCAATTTTATCATCATAATTTCCAGTCATCATGGAGCATCTACATACTAACAAATCGTTCGAGTGCGCATTCTACAAGCGCGGACAGGGCAACTGTATCCGCGGGGCCACTTGCAAATTTATTCATGCTGAGCACACAGAAGGCCTTGCCAACATCGGCGCCAGTCTTATGCCAGTGCGCCATCGCTTCACACCTTCCAACTTCTATTGGCCCAGCAATTATTGGCCCAACAACACTTGGTCCAACAACACTTGGTCCAACGATTCTTGGTCCGCAGACTGCCCCCAACCTCTGCCCGTTGTCTTGTCCCACAGCAATGCTCATGTGACCCCAAAACTCACTGAAGCAGAGGAACTAACGTCCCAGGAAGAGGTAGTCAACAGTCGAGCTAATCTTGAAACAGCAGAAAATAGCCATTACTGACATCTATATTAGGTCGCTGCCCCTGAGTTGGCCTGGATCCGCCACCTCAAAGGTGTCTTCGTCACCTTTGGCGAAGGAGCTACGGTTGCCACTGTTGCCCTGCCCTGGGATACCGTGGCAGTCCGCCTCTCTAAGCTGCCTCAAGACTCTACTACTTCTACAGTAGCAGAGCTCATAGAAAACTATCTTGGGGCCCGGGTCATCGAGGCAAACATTCAATTGCTGTCTGCGTACGGGGGTCGCGTTGCGGCAGACGTTACCTTAGATGACCAAACAATTGCAACTGACCTCATCACTGCTGTGAGGGAGGATCAAAGCACCGAATTTGATGCAGATCGCGTCATCCCGGTTCACCATAGAGCCGCTAGGTTCAACACCATTAGCAGAAACAAGGTGAGCTGCTCCTGGCATAAGCCGAGCCGGACCGTCACGCTCAGCTTTTCGTCCCAATTTCTGGCCTGCGAAACCTGGAAAAAGTTCCTCACAGGCGTCTACCAAGTCTCTAAATCCAGAGTCTGGCCATCACGCCCGCACAATAATGGTTCCGACACCGACACTATATGGAAGTTCAAGATTGACAACGTGCCTACATCTGCGAATCGAAACGACATCATAGAGCAGATTGACGAACCATTCCGGCCCCTCAACGTACATATGAGCTGGGCTTCTTACAGCAACCCTATGGAAGCGTCAGTAGATCAAATCATGAGGAACTTGTCAACGGTTGGACCAATGGACCCATTCGTCACCACCGGGTCCTCGAGTCAAAGTCGGCGTTCTAAGATGACTGTTCGGTTCGTGGACATTGAGCACGCAATAGCGGCTGTGCAAGAATTTGACGAGCAGCCTCTTCCTTTCTTCTCCCAGGGAAAGCTGACTGTCCAGCAGCTCTCTACCATTCGGATGTGCATCCCCAACCATGTATTCACGGCAGCATCCCAAGATATCGAAGCTCTCTACAGCGCTTGGAAAAAGGATCACGTGTATACTACCATCTCAAAGGAAAGAAAGCCCTTTAGGCATATCAAGTTTGAAGGCCAGATGCATGAAAAGGTGGTAAAAGCCCAAGCCGCCTTTGAAAATGTTACCGCGGGAGAACTGCTACGCATGCCACGCACCCACCTCTCAGAGGAGGGTGGGTGCGTGGCACGTGTATCTGAAAATGGCGCGCCGCTGTGGTCGGCCTCACTTGCTACCAAGGCCTGGGCCTACCATGAGATGCGGAACATTGAGCATAAATTGGGGGTCTTGGTCTTGTGTGACAAGCAAAAGCGAAACCTGCGCCTGCTCGGACGCCGAGAAGAGTTTGGATCAGCACGGAAACAGATTGCCAAATTGTGCAATGAGGATCCACGCTGCGAATTCTCCATTCCCATTGATCATCATGATGGAGATGCGCTTCGATGGCTCCTTGCTGGTGGCTATCAAGATCTGGGCAGGACTGTTGGCCTTGACAAGGTCGCGCTGGACGTTGCTTCACAGCCGCGCCGCCTGATCATTAGCGGTACCGATCACGATTACCAGAATGCGCGGAATTATTGGGACCACCGCTACAGAAACCCGGACCCGACGTGGAGCATTAACCCTGGCCAGTGCAACCTCTGTGGTCTTGACGCAGAATATCCTGTCTGCACGGGCTGCGACCATCTGTACTGCACCACCTGCTTCGAAGACATGTGCTTCTCAGGCGCGGGGACTCCTGTGCCGGAGCCAGCCATTCGCTGCTATGGCGACGGAGGTAAATGCATGAAACTGCTGACCATGACCAACATTCAGGAGAATGTTTCTTCATTTGCCCTCGAGCTCATTTTCGAACGCATGTTCAAGACGTTTGTGAGCCAGAATCCGGAACAATACCGCCTGTGTCCGACACACACCTGCGAACAGGTCTACAGGGTCAAGATGACGCCAGCGGGCGTCAAACCGACGGATGAGTTTGAATTCAACTGTCCGCAGTGCAACTTGGCACTTTGCTCGACGTGCCATGTTTCGCACGAAACGATACATTGTCCTCTGAGAGAAATCGAAGAGGATGAAGAACTATAGTATGTCCATTTTCCCCCGTGCTTTTTTTTTTTTTTTGCTGCAAAAGAACCGGAAATGTGGGATATGAGGACTATGGGCCCTGCTATGCGTCATCTTATCAATATAATTATCCACTCATCGAAAGTGATTGCGTTACTGTGACTGCGTGACTGTGACTGTATGTGAGTGCCATTCAGTGGATTGTGTAAGATGGTACGCAGCGAGCTTGGACTTGGGCTTCTACACGTTGCATTACGTGGTGAAGATGATTATTCCCGAGACATTCTCTTCTCTTTTCTTCTCATTATCAGTCTAATTACTCTTATTTAGAATAGATGATTTAGGATTTATTGGAAACATAATCAGATGAACTGTGGGTAATAAGCATAGGCAATGCCAATGTCATTTAGGTGGCGACTACTGCATTATTCTCTTTCACTAATACCACTTCTTCTTATCGCCATAGTCTAGGTATTAATACTAATACTACTATAAATTACTTTGTATTATATGCGACCTGTATATACTGCGACGTTTTACGTGGACGTGTGTGGCTACTTACTATGAGGATAAATGGTCTCGGCTAAATGCTAGTCTGACCAGGGCCACCCTTAATCGCCTTTTGCCCGTTTTGGCACGCCGGTGATGGTGTTTAGGCGTCGTTCCCCATTACTGCGTCCATTGACAAAGTCGGGATATCCAAGTGTCAGCTCAATACCACCAAAGAGAATACGGTCAACAGCCTCGACGCCAAGCATGAAGCTATCAGTAAAAGTGGTCAGTAGGAATTTTTCGAGATGCGAGGACAGTAATGTAATGTACCTGTGGTCCTGGTTGCTAACTTCATATTTCCACGAACCAAAGCGGCCACGAGAATAAATGTCCATGTCCTGTAGATACGGCAAGATCTTGTCTAGCGCATCATTACGGTCTAAGTGTGGCGTAGGATATCCATGGTCGAAGCGACGGATATAAGTGCTCACAATCTCGTCGTCAGGAGCCAGAAGCTCAGTATTGATCAGGCCTTGAATACAGTCCGCCAAGAGTGTCTCATGGTCAACGGGCTTGTACGATGACTCGGAAACCTCGAGCATCAGAGACCAGTACGGACCAGGCTGAGCAGCTGATGAGTTTGGCTTCTGACCGTTGGCAAGCTGCTTGGTGGGAAGCTTGACATTCTCTTGGGGTTGATTGTTGGGTGAGTAATTGGAAAAGACGGTAGCGCGGTAAAAAGGACAGTTATCCTCGGCAAAGTATAGCTATGCAAAACTTGGTAAGCTGTGTTTTTTTTGTGAGTGTGAACAGAGCAAACTGTGTTTTTTCAACTTACCCAGCACTTGTCCCCAATACGCTCAGGCCGTTTTCCACGGATGCCAACACCAATGACGTTGGTGGAGGAATAAAAGAGAGACTTGGAAATCTCTTGGAGCTTGGTATCGTTCATGGACTCGGCTAGATGGTCTACAGCCATGGTGGAGACTAAAGAGCCGTATTTGACAATAGTTCCTACCGAAATTAGCAAGTATAGCAAACTGTTATAGCTTGTTGGACGTACCATCTTTCAAATGAACCCTTTTAGAGTCGGCGTCGACCTTTGTGACCGTGGCATGCTCGCCAAAGCTGGTTCTGCTCTTCTCGAGCGTATCGGCCACAGCAATCCAGATACCACCTGTACCACCTCGTGCCGGAAAGCGAAAGGTTGCATTTGGTCCCCACGGTCCGGCCACTTTGTTCTGGACAGCGTTGGAGGTGAGAAGCTTCAGGTCAGGGGCGGCGACACGTTCTCCAAGCCAAGTGGCGTTCATCTAGAGATTATTCAATAAAAAGTCAAATGATCAAGAAAAAAACAAAACACAACTATACCTTTGTAGTAGGGATAGCCCACACCTTAAAGTTATAAGGACGCATGAAAATCTCAGTAAGATATTCACCTAGGTTCCTCACATTCCACTCGTCAAAGTTTTTGGGCTTGTCAGCGGGATCACGGCCGCGAGCTTGCAGCGAAGCCTCAATCAGGCCCTCTAGACATTTCGCTTGCTCTTCGGGAGACAGCGCAGCGATGCTGTTCTGGAACGGGTAGGCCACCCAAGTGCCCTTGTAACGGCAGTAGGAGACGCGCCGGTGCGTGTACCAGTCGTCAGGCTTTGGCAGCGCCTCATCAAGACAGTCGTCAAAGTACTTGTAATGGGAAAAGATGACGTGGCCGCCAACGTCAAACAGCTACATGTGTAGTGTGAGTCCTGAATGTTTTAATGGCAGACAGAACCCGTGGGGCTGAAGCTGGGGCAGATATGGGGGGGGGGGGGGGACGTACAAAGCCCTCGGGGGTGATGTCGGTGGATGCAAGACCACCAGGTGTCTCATTCGAATCCAGAATAAGCCACGATGCAGTATTCTAAAAGTTACCGGTATTAACAAGGAGCATGAAAAAAAAAAAAACGTTTACGTCGAGTTGAAGCATACCAATTGTTGCAGACGCTTAGCAGCACCCAGCCCTGTTGGCCCAGCGCCAATGACGAGCACGTCAACTTCACTTTCCAAGAAACAAAAGTTAGCAAAAAGAACAAGATGGTTGAAAGCGTACGCACATTTGTGAGCTGCCCATTTGTTTTTTTTTTTTTTTTTTCAAAGGTAAAAGGAACGCAAAGAAGTGGCGCGATTGAGAGCACAGAAAACAGCGCGATGCGATTGAGGAGAAAAGTTGGGAATGAAAATACACCCAGGTTTGAACGGGGAACTTGAGATGCAGGGGCGGGCGTTGGGACTAATTTAAAAACATTGGCTGGGCATTGGAAGATTAACCCAATTAAATAATTAGTTCAACCGGCCGGATCCTATATCCCGTCTCCTCACCGCCAGCCACTGTACTTACTGGTTGGTAATATGGCTTCGCAGCCCCGCCGGCCAAGAGATTGTTGTATTCGTAGCCGCGCGATGCATTGTGACGTGGCCTTTTTCGCTACACATACTGTAATACGTGGAGTAGCTCAGCGAATAGTCGACGCTCTCTTCATTGTCGAGAATGTTAATTGATAACAGAAAGGAGCTTGTCGTCAAGTACGTAGCCATCATCTCCCAAGCAAACCTGGGGCCCGCCCCGCCTCAACCACAAGTGGCTGCCCCTACGTACATGTACGAATACGGCTCGCTATTACTGGCCAGCTTTGCATCTGATCTATTTAGCGTGTCAGCGGGCTGTCTTGTCTTGTTGGTTGGTTCTGTCGCAGAAAGACAGCTCCAGCTCAGCCACAGAACAAATGCACAGGAAGTCCTGCTGGATCAACGATGAAAACTTTGGTTCGGGATTTTTAACTGGAAGCCATCTGTCTTTCTTTCTTCCACTTTTCTTACCTGCTGCAATTCTGTCGATTTCGTCGACGTTTTCATCCACGTTGGCCACAGCAAGGATGTCGCGCATCAAGAGCCAACAGTTATTACCGTCCTCGATCCGAACAAGAAAAATGATTAGCGCGCCCCAGCATTGGCTTGCGACCATAGACATCAGCGTCTACCCCATAGGGGATAGTCGAAGAGCAAGGTCGGGATCAGCCCAAATGCGGTTTCCAAGCTCAATACCAAGGATAACTCGGCTTGAACCTCTGTACCTTTGCACCGCAGATTGTCGATGGAGTTTGTAACGTTGAGGTACACACTATGGCAAATGTTATACTTTGGCTCAAAGCAGTGTGAGATAGAGAGCCGAGAGGAACATGGAGGTGTACGTACCCCAACGTCAAGAAAAGAGAGACAGTAGCAAAAGGCAGTACATGGTTCTCACGTAACATAATTCAGTCTAGCGTACAGGTATAAACATGACCAAACTATTTACATGTTGCAATTCTCATTCAAAACCTCTGCGCAATATTGACGCGAATGTTACTTGGACAGACAATTCAGACGCAGCGCACTTGTAAGTAGTGCTGGCTTATGGAGTCACAGATGAACAATGGGGCATGCGGCCAAGCGACAAGACAATGGAGACATTCGAACGAATGCTATCGATACGAGATCCATTCATATGCTCTCCAAAAGTTTGGATGCGTAATGATGCCAGTCTTCTCCAATCGTGGAGATTACGCCTCGCGGGTAAAGGACACCCATGTTGGTGTCTCCAAGGGGAGCTCGTTCAACAAGATGCTAGCATATATGGATTACCTCCAATTTCGAATGGCTAAGAGGACGGCGACCAGCAAGACATTTTCGGCATGAGATCAGGAACAGTGCCACAGACAGCTCGGCCAGTGATGATACCAACTCTTATGGCAGATAAGTATCACAGCCTCACCAGCAGTGTCTAAGCCTACTCTCGAATTAAAAGCATCGTTCACGCAAGCACAAAATATAGCTCCCAAATCGAGGCACATTGCAATGTATTTATCAAAAGATGATAGTCATTGTTTTGTATTGGCCGAGTTGCCTGCCGTCGAGGCAGCAACTAGCTACTTGGATCCTCCCTTGCGGCCCGCCTCTCGAGCCTTGTCACTGCCTGGCTCAAACGAGCCTGAAGAGGCCTGGCCGCCCTTGGAAGCAATTTCTCGCTATGTATGACTTTTGTTAGCATATATTTCTTCCTCCGGCACCTTTGCGCGCAAAACGTTTTCTTTGCAACTACGCACCTGCTTGTTGGGATCCATACTGGCGAAGCCGCTGTTGTGGCTGGCTTGGCCTCCCTTGGACGCAATTTCTTGCACTTCTTCTTTGGGGCTAAAGAGACGGTATTAGTGTTTTGTTGGTGTGTGTGATTATGTTGAAGATGATTCTCACCGGTTGGCAAAGTTTCCGGGATTAGTATCAGCCATGGTGTTGAATCGTTGTTTTGAGTTTGATAGATCGGTGTGAATAGTAAAATCAATGGCTCAGCAGCTGTATCGTATAGTGATATTTCCAGATATATATAGTCTTAATAAAAGCAAGGAATAGTCGGTGTTGGGTGGATAGGCTGAACTTGTACATGACGGGTCAACAGCATCACGACCTTTCAAAGACGTCATGTCCTTTTCAGTCGCGCACACTCATCATCTATTACATCAATTTTAAACTGGTATGAGAAATCCACACTGTTCTTGTTCAATGCAAGATGATCAATCCTTGAATGTCTGCCGCGATTCGGCTGTTGTGCCGCGTCGACGCCCATGCTCCTGGCCCCCATTCACCGCTTGTATTGCGCAAGACAATAGACAGCTTTACTTGGATGCAAACGTCATATAACCTGTTTCGGGGCGACAAATTTGACGTCTCAGCGCATGCAAGGTCCATCACAACATTGATCGGAGGCTGCCGCTGGGGACAATACCTCCGGCATAGCTGAATATCCAACTCTTTACCTTTTAAAATATAAGTGTAAAAAAAAAAGAAAAGACAAATACAAACGCTTATTTAGTTACCAAAAAAACTAAACCATGTTCTCAACGCTAATCATTTACCGAATTTCTAGAATTGTCGAATCTCTTGGCGTCACCCTGATCATGGGGTAAATGCTTTCTTTGTTTGCGTGTAATAAACTATGACGCCGCCGTTATTCCTTTGTTCTCTCTGTATCCAGGCACACAGGCACGCCTTTTCCAACGAGGGCTTACCGTTTTGGTTGACGTCGTTGCAGCATGAAGTCATTCTGGTGTAATGGCGGTGCCCAACGTGGCGTACCTGCGCCGTGACGTCCTGTGTCAAAGGACTGACACGTACTTTTCGTAACCGTATCGCATTCAATTCACACGGTTCTGCACAAAACCCAAATGTCAGCACTAGTGATTTAATGTTTCTCCTGTGCAAGAAACTTACAATTTTGTACCTGTCTCTCCCTGCATCGGCAACCGACAGTGTTTTACTGTTTTCCCTGGGACCGACATGTGCTTCCTTTACATGCTCTACTACTCATTCGTATCTTATCGACAGCAGCTGGGTTGGAAGTCAGCCAAGGCAAGTGCGGTACCTCATTCGGTAAGAATGCTCCATTTTTCAGTCTGTTTTTTTTTTTCGAGGCACCAGTCTCATGGCGTCAGTACACGCGATTAGAAGTGCCAGGCTACGGTAGCATGCTTTTGTCGGACTCGGTAAGTTGGTAACATTTCTGACGTACACAATACACAATTACCGACTCACTCACCAAAAAAAAAAAAAAAAAGGATTCTGTTTCCACCTTTGAGTTTGAGGCGCCCGAGCACGAATACAATAGCGACCAGTCAGTAGCTGTCTCAAACAAGACCAATCTCGTGAGCACCGCAAACCCAGGCCTCGCTGTGGAATGCAACAGTGGCCGCGTGGCCAGGGGAAGCACACACGGCCTCAACGTCGAGCCTATTCTCTTTTAAACAGAGGCAGATTGAATGCTTTGATTTTCTGCTTTCTTGAAGAAAATGTCTATTCGCTGAGCGGGACGTCGTTGGGTGCATGCTTGATGGCACATGAAGACTACGTTGACGGCCTTGACATTGTGTCTCACTTAAAAAAGAAGAGCGCGTCTTGAGTAAATGAATGGAGAATCGAGGATACAGGCTTTCAGCTCGAATACTGAATGTTTTCTCTTTTGATAAATTAGGAGAGAGAACATTAGCAATAAGCTGCAAGGTTAGTGTTTCGTAGTATAAACCGGTAGACAATCTACAGTGGGGGAATAAAGGTCCCAAAGTAAAATGTTGCTGAAAAAAGGCCACAATAATGGACTAATGTATTTGCCCTCCGAGTATACAAGCAGAGCAGTACAGTTCTAAAAGATTCACTCGAGGTGCCTGCATACAAGCTCGTTGTTGCTTGGGTGATTCTGGGATTAGTAATTAGAAATGGAGTAAAACTGGCAGAGAATTGCAAAGTATCGTTATCCGTTCAAGTTGTAATATACATGTAGGACAGAAATCGTGCTTGACGGCAGCTGCTTAGCTCGGCGCGTATCCCCCCAATCTGGTGTAAGAACGCGACCTTGACATTGAGCCTGTCAAGTAAATACCCCCTGTCCCCTTTTCTTGTCAGAGCGGACAAAAATGAGAGAGATTTTTTGTCTTCTTGTCATGAATGGCAAAACTTGCGCACCGTCTTTTAATCTGCCGTCATCCTCTCGAGGCCCCTGGCAGTTCAATCGATCGGGCACCCATCCCGCCCGCGCCCGCGCCACCGCCTACACCTCCCGACGGCAGCTTGTCTCGAGGCGCCGTCGTCTTGACCTTTTTATCCTCGCTCGGGTCGACGGCTCTTTCGTTGCCTCCAGCCGCTCCGGTGCCGGCGATGCCCGCGCCCTCGAGGCCCATGTTTTTCTTATCGCGCGTCTTGTTGGCAGATTTGTCGCCCGAGCCCTGTGTGGTGTACAAGGCGGCGCCGAGTGCGCCTGCACCAGCAATGGCCAACAGGAGTTTTTTTTCTTGGGACATGATGTATATTTTCTGATTAAAATCAAAAATTGATGGAGGATTTTTTTCCGAAAATTTGTGAATCATTCTATGGTGTTGGTGGCGGGTTCTTGCTGCCCTTTTATGTAGGACCCTACTTACAGACGACGACGCATCACCACTGTCACATTGACGCAACAATGATGGCCTGGACAGCCATTACCGACGGTCCAGTCACCCTTGTTTACCGCTACCCATACGCTTCTCATTATAACGGTAGCGAGTTTTGAATTTTTGAGAGGCTCTTGAAAAATGCCCAAGCCGCGTTAATATGCAAGTATCGTCGCTATTCATGAGGAGTGCCGTACTTTCATGATTCGAGCAGCAATGAAGCATTAAAATTTTGTCTTCATCGTCAGCAACCTCGCGCTCGAGGACGTCAGAGTTTCGCCAACTTTTGAAGCAGGTATAATATGCTGACATTTTTACAAAACAATTACAATGATTATGTTGATGTTTTAACCCGTCATCTCCCAACTTGTGCTTGACCAACTTTTCACCAAGCTCCCACCCACAGCTCCGCGCCCAGCCCGTCCGTCTGATGCCTGCGAGTTTTCGCTGCCCAGCGTATCGGGGTCATCCCATTTTGGTCCTTGCTCTCCACCTCGGGCGCCGTGAGTGCCCAGAGCGTGCTGTAGGAGCCCTGCTCGGGATCGCGGCTTATGGTCTTCATGGCGGCGGGTGATGAGCTAGCGAGTTATCCCGGGGATATGCATCTTTCCATTGGTTCTGCATGGCCGTATCTACCTGAAATTCATATATGTTAGCGAGGCTACTGGCGTGTAGCCAATCCCGAGAGCGCCGCCGGTGACGACGGGGTACACGGCCGGTGAGATTTAGAGGTTGAACCTTTTCGGGCCCAAACGAATTTATCGAGAACAGACTGCATGATTCGGAGTGGTAAAATGTAGAGATTGGCTTTGTAGAAAAGTTTGTTCTTTTTTTTTTTTTTTCTTTTTTCTTTTTTGACTAGATCAGGGAGATTTATGTAGTCATGTCGAGATGGGGTTGAAGCCTGACAACATGCCTTTTACACCAAACCAGATTTTTAGTATGTACAAGTTTTAAGAGTATGAAATCTCGTCGTATTGATTCTTTCCGAAAAGCGGCGCAACTACAGAATCGCGTCATGGTGGTTGACTACATGTTATCTTGACGAAAAGAGTGACTTGTAATTCTCAACCAAAATCCAGGAATTTGTCAACCAATTTGTGACTTGGTAGTATAGGTCTGTAGTGGCTATGTCGCGCGTGGAAGGGGCCCTGTTAGACCTATTATTAGGTCATCCAGTCCCGACCACCTGATGGCCGAAATTGACTGGTTGCTTGTCGGATTTGACAAGTCCTATGTATGTTCTAGACTAAACCAATAGTTAACAGGATCGCTGGCCTACTCGTTCTATTACTGTACAAGGTGCAGATGAAATTGGTGAATAGATTGTTGATTCCGTTCTATGCTAGGGGACGAAATGCTGCTCTATATTAGTGTTCCTTGTTTGCATGTGTGTGGCGTCAATTCTGACGCGCCTGTTGCCAGGATCAAGTGTATACGTATGTAAACGCGTCCATCTCTTATCTGCCTTGCGTAAGTCTTTTACCACTAATTAAACTTTAAAGCTATCGCGACGCCGAGAGGCACAAAGTTTAGTCTTGCGTATTTAGTAACACTACGTTATAACGGCCTAATGCTATGAGTAATTGATATACAATTAATTAGAGATCGTGGGGAATGTTGTTTTAATAATTCATCTATTTTTCTATAATTTATAGTGTGTAATCAAAGTTATCGTGTAGTTGGCGAATAATAGATCGAGGCATGAGTGACGTCACAAGTCGAGCCACTTTTGATCGACAGATACTGTACTCCGTATTTCGGTTGACAGATGAAAAAACCCCTCTATATACTACAACGCTTATCTTGTAGTAATTCTTCGAGTACTACAAGATTGTAACGGTCTAAGCCAAGTATATCGACCCCCTAACTGGGCGACTATGACGAGTATAATAAGTCAAGGAAGAAGAAGTTTCTTAGAGTCACTATCATAAAGACCGCCTTCAAGCATGCCTCTAGCGTGCCTCCCAGGGTGCCTTTGATAGCGCCCTTGAAAGTGCTTTTGAGCGCCTTGCGTGCCTTTGAGGGGGTGCCTCAAGAGACGAGTACAAAGCCGTTACGTAGCCACCTTTGCAGAATTTCAACAATTTCGTTGCAAAATCCGGGGTTCCAGAATTGGATAACTAAAAAGGCTCTATCCGTAACACGGACCGTTCCAACTATTAAAGAGCTGGTGGCCACGCGGCCCTCTTAGCACCAGCTGCTAGTGGAAATCTAGTGTGCGGCGTGGGCACGTTCCCGTTTCATTCCATCTCTGTAACTATTCTCATGATCCCCCCCTTCAAACGCTGACAAGGAAGAAAATGGCAGGTCAATTGGCTTACTTGAGCTCTCGGGCCTCCAAGCAAGTCGTCACAAAGTTGCTCGTGGTTTTTTTCTGTGCGGGCTTCATCCTGACTCTCATCAAATTTACTCCCAGCGACGTACTGCCAGACAGTATTCAGAGCTTCAAGGCCCTTCCAGATGCGACGACGAGATCAAATTACCGAGCTTGCCGAGAGAACAACATTGCAGGATCGCAACATCGCTGGAATGCTGCGAGGCAACGATACTTGCATCTAAAGGATGACAAGTTTACGTAAGTTTTTTTTTTCCGAGATGCATACTTGTGCTTTCAGGTGCAAGAGGCCGCGAATCGAATATCGGAGAGCTGACGGGGGGGGTTTCCCGCGCGCGCGCTTTTACAGCATCGCCATGCAGACATATAACCGCCGCGACGAACTCAACGAGACTCTCCATGCGATCCTGAGCGAAGAGATTCCGTCTCTGCTCGAAGTTGTCGTGGTATGGAACAATGTCGACGACCAAGCGCCTGCCGATTACGTCTCCGAGCACCGCGTCCCCGTGCGGTACCGGCAGTCGCCAGTCAACAGCCTGAACCAGAAGCTCTGGCCCGATCCCGCCTACAAGACGCAGGCCATCCTCCTCAGCGACGACGACGTGCACTACCACCCCTCGGACGTCGAGTTTGCCTTTCAAGCCTGGCGCGCGTTTGGCCGGCACCGGATGACGGGCGCCCTCGCGCGCTGCGCCGAACCCATCGAGGACGGCAAGCTCAGGTACTCGCTCTGCGCCGAGGACCAGGATGCGTACGCCATGGTCCTGACGAACCTGGCCTTTGCGCACATTTCCTTTATGGACTATTATTGGTCCGACGAGGCGGACATGACCACGATGCGCAAGTACGTGGACAAGCACATGAATTGCGAAGACATTGCCATGAACCACGTCACGTCGCTGCTGACGGGCCAGGGACCGCTGCAGGTGGCCGGGCGCAAGAGGTATGTCAACATGGAGCCCGCGTCGGGCATTAGCAGGAAGCCGGGCCATATTGGAGCTCGGAGCCAGTGTCTCGACGACTTTGCCGACATTTTCGGGTGCAAGGCCCTGATTAACGAGACTGGCCACATTCAACGGAGTGTAGTAGTACTATGAGTTTGAGAAAGAAAAAAATGGCAAGGAGCATATTAATGAGTGTATTATATACGGGCTTCTTTGGCCCTCGTGTTTTAATTTATAAACCGCCAGCTGCCGGTCCCTCATCTATTTGGTTAATCTAGTCTATATATACAGTATCTATCAAGTAACAAATATATTAAATCTCTTGAAAGCGGTTGCACAATAGACCAAAGTGGGACGGGACGGATCTCTTATACCACGCGCAGAAGTTTTTAGCATAGTCAAAGTTTCTAATCCGTATGCAACATGTCGTTCTATTACCCCCGGGTCGTGGGACTTTGAAATTGCCCGCCTGTATTAATTATACATTACTTTTCGCCGCTGCCAGCGGGTCCCCAACGCCCCGAGCCCGCGATAACTAGGAGGACACACCGTTTTTTGGACAAGAACAGCTTTGCCATTGCAAAAAAAAAGAAGAAAAAATGAATTAATCATGTAAAACTCATAAAAAAAAATCAGCATCTATCTTGCCATGGCAACCAGCTTCTTTAGCGCAACCATGGCTGCTGTCGTGTAGTCGTCATTTGCCATTTTCTTTTCCTCGTTGGGGTCAAACACCTCAACCGACAACCACCCTCGAAACCCAGTCGCCAGAACCGCATTCAAAACCTCTTGGACCGGCAAGTACCCGCCGTTGCACGGTAACGGACGGTGTCGCCGACTCCATTCCGCTTTGCCTTTATCTCTTCCCAGGGGCGGCGTGACCTTGTAGGCGTCGGATATCTGCAGCACAAAAATCTTGTCAGCCGGCACCGTAGTCGCCAGCTCGTGTAAGCTGCGCTGCCAAGACGTTTCCAGGGTGGTGTCCTCCTTGTCGACGGATTCGACGTAGCCCGAATGTGTGGTCGGATCTGCGTACTCGGCCCCTGCTGCCTGAAACGTGTCGAGGCAGAGTCCGAGGTTTGGGTGGTTGGCCTTTTCGACGATTTCCCACACGGCTTTCCAGGTTGGCGCGTGAGTTGACCAGCACCAGTTCTCGTAGGCTACCCTGCATCCTTTGCTGCTGCACAGTTGTGCGAGATCTCGGAGGTCTTTTGCCAGGACATTGCTGTCGCGTGATATATCCTCCGCGTCGGACGATCCAACCTCAATTGATCTTTAGCATGTGGATTGGCTACAAATGTAATTCGAAGAGTTTGTCAACTCACTTGCAAGGTATCTGTCCCAAGAGCCTCCATGATGCGAAGCCAATCTTTTGCCTTGGCGAATGCAGCTTCCCGACGTGGTGCATCCCACCCTTCGAATCGAGGAAACGGCTGCAGCATCATTATCTTGAGGCTAATGGCCTCGGCGGCGTTTTTGATTTGCTCAGAGGCCTCGATCAACACGTCGATATCCTTTTCGCTAGCGTCGTTGTTGACCGCAGTTTGGGCAAATTCGACAATGTCGGGCATGGACATTTCCATTCCATCGAATCCTGCGCTCTTGATGCTCTTCATACGCTGTAGCAAGCTTTCGCCTCGCTTGGAGGTGATGCTGCATGACGCGAAAGAGGCGGGAATGCCTACTCCGCCGTATTTTACGACCATGTTGAAGTGCAGTGGCCTGCTGAGACGAATGAATTATGTGAGAGTTGATTGACTTGAGATTTCGTTTTTTTTTTCGTTCAAGACTAATAACGATCAGTACATAAATGCAAGCTTTACTACTATGTGGTGTACCGCATGCTGGTTCTGTCAAGTAAACGTCATGTATGCGTCGAGCCAAGTGGAAGTGGAACTTTTATCTCGCCGGAATTCATTCCGTTCTCAGATTCGCCACGACTCCAGTGCATACTACGCGTGAAATATGAACATTAGATGAATATCATAAAATACTCCATTTTCTAGACAAGGTCTTGACAAGTACAGATTTTTTTTTTTTTCAGCTTCCAACTCCTTTTTTTTTTGGCAATTCTCTCGCAAGGCTTTTCAAGAGGCTTTGGAAGCTCCAACAGCTCTCAGGCGATAAGGATAGTATAAGGCGTTGGTGATGAAAAAGCCAAACTTCCATCTTAAAAAAAAAAAAAAACAAAAAGTGCTTAATATTAATATTACGTAGATGGTAATTATTTGATCAAGAGTCCTCTGCCTAAAATTACCATCCATCATTTAATATACCTCTCAACTAGCCATCGTTACGGGAGCGACGCTTTTCCCCAGACGACGCTAGTACCTCTACCCGTCACGAGATTGTCGCTCAATCATCGAGAACCCTCCCATCTCTTCCCTCTCATATACGACACATGACATTTCCTAGGCGCGTAGCGACATTACTTCGAGCGCATTTCGGCGGCCGACCAACGCTATCACCCGGCCGTTGCGCAAGACTGCGTGTGCCTGCCTCTTCCCAGCTTTACAGCACATATGTGGACAAACGCCTCTACCTTGACATTCACCCAGACGAAAAAGAACATTGAGAACCCGTACGACGTCGGCGCTACATTCCTGGCCACGTCTCACAACCCGTCGTCAAACACGTGCAGAGATTTCCCGCGCCCTACGGACCACCTTCGAGAACGAATCAGAACCAGGCACCCTGCTGAGCTGTGCCTAGAATACCTGCCAGACCCTGGCACGCCGGGCGACCGGCAGCTTCATCTTACAATTACTGAACAGCTCCAGGTCAGTGAGTGTGAGAATTCTCAAGTCGTCACCGCCAGGCCCCTGGCGGTGCAAGGCCAGCCTCTGCCCTTCAGCGTCACACGCGACGCCGTGGTCGCTGCCAAGTTTTACGACCCGCTGTACAACGATCATATCCTCATCGATGCCTGGAAATCCGTCGACTATTCGTACAGAAACGAAGCTCAGGCGTATCAGCGGTTGAGGCCGCTGCAGGGAGTCGTCGTCCCTCGCTTCTACGGCTCCTACACCGTTGGCATACCCGTTCCCCAGTCCGCCCTCCAGCACCACCACGCCCAGCCGCGGCCGGTCCGGCTGGTCCTGTACGAGTACATCAACGGCACGCAGCTGTCATCAGCCGAGGCCCGTGTTTTGAGCACAAAGCAGCGCCAGGCCATTATGCAAAAAGTCCTCAACTCATTCAGCAAGATGCGCCAGCTCGGCGTGTACCACCTCGACTTTCACCCAGGCAACATAGTCGTGCTATCCGCTGAAGAAGGCCAGGAGGCCGACATTCGATGTATTGACTTTGGTCATAGCAAACTAAGTGGCCCATCTGATTTACTGCCGACACTGGACCCGGAATCTCGTGAGAGTGTGGTTGAATATTGGCGAGACGAAGATTTGTGTGATTGTATGCTTGATTTTAGCCCCTTGATCGATTGGCCGTGGAACGAGTGGCTCGAAAATGAATATGTCGGGCCTAAAGCTGGGGCTCGATTATAAAGACAGTTTATTGCAGTTGTACGTCGCAACGAGCTGCCCATTGGTGTCTCCGTCGTAGTCACTTGCAGCAAAACAGACAAAGAACAATATGCGTAAGCTGGCCACAACGGGAACAACTATAGGAGGTACCAGAGTAGCCAAGGTTGTGGACACTACATGAAAAAATGATTTCACGACAGCATTAAGCAGATGATATAATTTTCCTTGCCGACTCTGGTTCATCATGTCGCGCCGCTTCCGAACGAAGCAAGTGAGCTGAAAATGTCCAATACGCAGAGGGAGAAAAAGGGAAACCGACACTTTGGACTCTCGTGAAGAGGCCAATCTTGCAGCACATTTTCCACTTCGACTTATCCTCACAGCCACAGAGAGACACATGTCTCGTTTGCCCCATCACAAATCATAGAGTCTTGGCACTGCAAGTCGATTGAGGCAATGCACAGTCACAGCTCAATTCCTTTTGGAGGCTTAGTTGAAGAGAAATCGGCTCAAGTAATTGATGAAAAAACCCAGTGTCTGCTTCTCCGCTTCTTTGTATTCCTCACAGGCCAAAAAAAAAAAAGCAATAACTCTTTTAGCCGTTGTCAAGATTGAGAAAACACCATGGTTGATCCAATACCTTAAATGTCGACCAACCAATAAAAAGAGCTGCTGCGCTTCGGACCTTTCTTGCCGTGAAATTCTATTATTGAATCTTTCCATACCGACTTTTTATTTTCACAACGGGCGCTCCCGTGTAGTGCCGTCGATAGAACCGTGACTGGTACGCCATGGTAGTGACATTGTGACGTAACTAACAGCATGCCCTGGTTCCTAGTTCTAGGAGAGAAATCAGCCGATGAGCGCAAAAGTGCATCATTCTCATGTGATATCTGACACTTTTTTGAGTCCTCATTGTGACCAGGGATACCGGAGCTTTTGTAGCTGCTGGGGCGGACTTGACGGGCCAAGTTGTGCCACAGCAACCCTCCACTGTTTCGACAATGTCAATATTAACTACAGCAATACATTAGCCATTTAAAAAATCACAATCTGGTGTGATGACTCGAGATTTAGCTCCGCAGAACCTCCCAGAGCCAATGTCAGCAGTCCAGCAAGCCCGATCGACAGCATTAAACATGCCAGCCGGACGACAGACAATGTGGCATCTGACACAGACAAGATTCCCAAAAGGCGCATTTGGTCCGCACAAACGGTGTCTTTCAAGTTAACTTGGGTCCCCCCATATTCGGTAAAGATCTAGACTCTGCAGCAGACTCAACTCAACACGGTCAAGGCGCCCGCCGCTCATGAAGAACGTCAATTCAAAGGATAGCCACGGTGGTACCAACGAGGACAAAAAGGTGCCGCTTGGGGGGGGGGGGGGGGCCGTCTTTCCATGTAACACGTGAAGGGACTAGGTTCTTCCATTTTCAACGTATTGTCCCTAAAAACTAATGTACTCGAAATATATTTCTTTACTTGGAAGCCTCTGTCATTGGAAAGCAGCTAAACCGCCCACATATACGTAGGCCGTTTTGCTATGCAGCAACGAGCAGTTGCAGTTGCAGCTGCAGACGGCGCTTCCGCTAGGTACTCTTCTGTTTGATCAACATATAACGCAAGAGGTGATAGGTAGACTTAAAACAGGGGTTAGTTCAAGACACCCACATGAAAAGGGTAGAATATACCTTGATAGACATTCCAGAGCTTTCTTCCCATAATATAATGTAATTTTGTCCCAACCTTTTTTCCTGCGCTGGTGTTCATCATTATTCCTCTCTGCCAATCACTACTGAACAGTATAGACCTAATGCCTGAACTACCGAGCAACATGGGCGCCAAAGCCCTCACGCGGCCAAAGAGTACGGCACAACTATCTTCATTGCACTGATGCATGAGTAGCGGATGCGCAAGGATTTCTGCTGCAATTGTTTGGCATAATCTGGGACCGAAAGTGTGGAAACCAAAAGTCACATGAGCACAGGACAAAGGAAAAGTACCTTTGGAAGCTTCCAGCATCTCATTCTGGTGACTCGCGATGATATTTCAGTGGGAAGTTCAAGCCAATCTCTTTTGGAGTTTTTTTATCCTTCTTCGGATTTCTCCTCGCGAGGAGAATTTCAGTGCAAAGTTCAAAGCCAACTTCTTTTGGAAATTCTTTTCAAATCTCTCTTCGCGAGGATATTTCAGTAAAAAGTCCAAGCCAATTTTTCCTCGAAATTCTCTTCAGATTTTTTTTTCCAATTTTTTTTCCTGCTAGCAAGTCTTTGCTTCACCTATCTCCAGTAAAGACAGGGCAGCAGTTTTGAACAAGGGCATAAAGTCAAGGAGCTTGCCATTGCTACAAAACTGGCTATAGTATTTCACGAGCTCTTGAATGCTGCTCGCGGCCTGCTTGCACACCAGCTCGGGCAGTGTCCCGTCAATGGCAATCGGTGCCCTATAGAGAATGTATGGCGTCAAGATGCACAAGACGCAAAAGTGATAGTAAGTGCTGATTGTGCGATATTGTCAGCTCTGCTCTGTTGAAGCGACTTAGTCCAACATGGAAAAGGGTGCTTACTGAACAAAGAGAATCAGTGGCATGTGGCGGTTTCCGCAGAGATTGGTATACTGAAAGAAAGAAGCATACCAAGTCAAGCCTTGCTGATAAACTCGTACAGCTTGGCTAAACGTCATATTCTGTGCCACCGATCGTGCTGCATACGTCCACTCTGTCAACTGGAATAGCTTGGCAGCTATCACGCGAGGATTATCCGGGGTTAAACAAAGGTCTCGACGGAAGAACGCATCATCTATGATGGTGAGATGATTTTGAAAAATAAATCGGCAGCGAAATGTGAGCGTCATACCTATGATGGAGCTGGACAGATCGAATAGACACCGCACAGCGTTCCCCTCGGATTTTTCCGCATGAACATGAACACTTGCCTTACCAGCTCCTCTTGCGTACTCACTCAATGTTTTGTTATAGTCTGAAATCAGAAAAAGTACTCTAGGGAAAGGGACTAGGTGGTAAGTATGATGCTGCTACGGGACGACAACAGGCTCACGAAGAGGAGGCTGCGATTTACCTGTTGGAGGAGACGGCAGCACAACAGATATTTGCGTGCACCTGCTTATCCGGAAAATACAAACTTTTCGAGTCGATCGGCTGCTCGGTGTGCCACTGCTCGATGATTGCAGCACCAAAGTCGGCCGCGAATCCCTTACCGTCGTTCAGCTTATTACAACCGAGACAATACAGGGATAGGATACCGAGCGCTTGTATATCGGCGATGCGCCGCGGGAGGCCCGTGCCATTGTACAGCGCAGATATTGCCTCGCGGGCGAATGACTGCCCCAGGTCGTCGTCTTCAAGTTTGCTCCTTGCTCCGAATCTGGCCGCGAGACTTGCGCTATCCATGGCCAGAAGGGTACTCAGGGCAAGGAGCGAATCTATGAGAGCCGTGGAGCAGTACATACCATGGCCTGTTCCGAAATCACGCCTAAAATCATTCCTATTGATGGGACAGAAAGAGAGGCAGTCCCTAGAGAGGATAAGGTCGAGAAGCTGCGGGAGCTGCAGCCGGTAGTGCTCCAAATTGGCGCGGAAATGCGACGTCTGGGTATTATTGATGCCAGCCAAGACGGAGGGCGACAGCGCATTGCTAGTTGAGCCATCCAAAACGGAGGGCGATTGCGCATTGCTAATTGAGCCAGCCGATGTCGTTGGACTGTTCAATACGGTAGCGACCGGACTGACGGTCGACGTGGCCTCGGTCACAGAGGGGCTCGTGACGGTGGAGGTGTCTGGACAAGTGACGAGTTGTCGTCGAGGTCAGAGCCAACACGTATACGTGTGACGATCATGACTATATGATTCCAACGCAGATAAGATACACACCTTGTTGGCTACATTCATCTTGGATGATGGGCCTCTGTGCTGCCAACGACGAAGTAACTTCTGCTCGTGGCTGGCCATCAGAGAGCCGGCGCAAGATGCTATTCAAGTCGGCCGGACTTGTTTCCTTGGACGATAGAAAATCGAGAAGCGTGTCATTTTCGGAATTGATCAACTGCAGTTGCGCCAGCCTTTCGCGCAGGTCTGCCTTGGAGACACGAGGAGTTTCGACATCAACGCAATCGACACCGCCTTCACGACACGCTTTGCATGGCTTCGAGTCGTTTCCATTGCACTGTAAGCGTTGACAACGATGTCAGTCGAGCGTAACAAAAGAAGGAGAAATCATGGTCATCAAGAGTAAAGAATACAAATCCGCCTCGACTCACTCATGGTCGACCCTACCTTGCGTTTCTTGCGGCGACAGCGCTCGCAAGCACGATGCGCATTTGATTCCCCACGCGGAATAGCGGTCTGCTGTTCTTTTTTTTTGCCCCGGGTTTCGCGATCATCCATACAGTTCAAGGTGTCTTACGCGCAAGAGCAAGGGGGGGTAGCCTATTATTTATGCCGGAGACGGCCCCGGATGGGGTCTGCTTGGCCGACGCACCATTAGGGGGATTGGCTTGTGCATTGAGGGTGTCGAGGGGGGGAAGAGGGGTAGTCGCCACTTGGCGCACCTAGACATGCATACTCGTCAAAAAGTCACAACTCTGATGTGCTGGTTTGGCTGGGAGAGCTGGAGAGGTATGGGGAGAAAGGGGGGAGAAAGGCAAAGAAGCAGAGAGAGTTATCAAGATGTAGTGGCAAACACGATGGCGTTTCGCACATCAACTCAAAGGGGTGTGTTGCATGATCGCACTAAACACCAATCAAAGAGAGGGAGGAAAGAGACACCCTCCGTCAAAGGCTGGGCCTCCGGTTCACAATAACACTACCCAGATTTCGAAGACCTCTTTTTTTTTTAAAAAAGGGTCTAAGGATCCATAAAAAACAAGATTTAAAAAGCCGTTACATTCCTACCATGTGCTCTTTGCGAATGTATAGTAGGCAATCGTTGTTTGTCTGGATACTCTCCGTGGTCAGGCAGCTTCTCCTTTCCCCGCATTTCCCAATTCAACGGTTGAATGCCAAGCAAGCAGGCAGGCAGGCAAGCGGATGCGTGTCAAGCGTGTCTGTCAAGGTGTCAACTGTGTTCTTGATGAGTGCGTAGTGCAACATGGTCCCTACAAGTCCCCCAAAGTCCCCCAAAGTCCCCCAAAGTCCCCGTATCTCGGCCGAGGGGCTAGTGGGCACTCATTATAACGTCAGACATACGTCAGTCAGATCGTCGAAATGCACACCCCTTTCGGGTTGCCTGGAGCGCCCGCGGAGATGCATCGATCCTCACCAATCATGGCACTATTCCGTATCGAATATCATCCCTGGTTCACTAGGCGGCACCAGTGTTACCTCGAAAAGGTCGAGAGTACTACCAAGGTCTGCAAGAGGGGTAAATGCACCTCCAAAAACAGGCCAGCATGTACATCTACGGTAACCAATTATTGAGCTGAGACGGTTGGAATGGGTCGACAGCTGTGGTGGGTTTCTCGCGCGAATGGAAACATATCTCGGAGCCCCAAAGCCCATCCGAGTCCCCGGTGGATGCGCCAAGGCTCCCTATTCATCTCGAAATTCGGCCTTGGGCATCAGTAATTACCACCCCATGCACCCCCATGCACCCCAATCGCAGACTCATGACAAAGCCAGGCTGTCGGAATTATCCCACAACTACTGCAATCCTATTTATGTGCAAAGATGACTTGATCACGTCCATGTTGCCTTTGTGCCTTGTTCCCAAGTTCCGAGTTGGTAGCTAACTAGTGTGCTACTTGAATAGGACGGATGACTACAACTTGACTTGCTGGAAGGCCCCCCCCCCCCCCCCCCTTTCTCCCCCCCCCTACGGCGCTCGCACGTCCGACAACGGTTATGCTTGCGGCTGGGGTTCTTCGGGGCTCGGCGGGGTTCTCGTCTGAAAACGATTTGGGGATAATTCGTGCTAATAAATAACCTCAACTAAGCAACTAATGCAGGTATGGCACAACTAGTGGGGAAAAGGCAAAGCCCATCTCGGCGCCGGCACCGCTGACGGGTGGTGGTGGTGTCTTGCAAGCGCTGTCAACGGTCTACTAGTGAACTAGCGAGCAAACCTTGAAAAAGGCTTGGCATGGCCGTACGACAAAATTGGCTCTCATGAGTGATCATGTAATATAATCCAGCAGTAGTCTACACAACTAGCTGCATATCTAATTTGTAAGCTACAATCTGTCAAAGGGCAGGAATAATACACACAAGTTGGCTCTGATATAACGCTCCTTCAGATTTACCAACTCCCAGTGCCTCAGGTAACAACTTGCATGGTGCCCTTATCATCGCTCCAAAGACCGCTGCTTACATCGCTGCCTGTAGCAACGCGGCTCTATAGTACCAACGATGGGCATGGACCTAGTCAGTGTTGACAATCAGGTTCTCTCGGTAATTCTTGGAGCATTCATCAACTAATATTGTCCCATTTCTTGTGTATATACCGCTATCGATCGAGATCAAGGTGAGACAGGCCGACCCTGGTCCCCGCTCATCTCGATTCGTTCTCCTGTCCACTCTTCTGGAAGCTCCCAGTCACAACTCGACTTTTAACTGCCGGATGCTACGCCGTTTAATAGTGGCTTTCATCTTATTCGGCCGTAGTAGTGCCAAAAAGTACAAATGGTGGCCCGTAGACTACCCTAAAGCGTTTCTTGGCCATCCTGATAATCGAGATGCAATCTCCTTAATAAGCTTCTTCATGACCACAAAAGTTCTCATCTTTCATGTCTAGAGCCTTTGAATGAAGTTTTGATTCTTTTTATATTTTTTTTCTCATTAAACTTTTTTTTCTAATTTTAAGCTTAACTCTCTTTGAAAAAAAAAAGACATCCTCTTAGGCATCACAGAAAACACAGTTGATGAACAACGTGTGCGCTATGCTTTGGTATCGTGTGTAAAAGGGCAAAAAGAAATACACCATTTCCCCCAACATTGCACCTTTGATCTGTGCAAAACAACAATTGTCCTCCTCCTCTCTTGACCGAAACAGCATTGAAAAACATATAAAATCTGTGCCTTTTAATGGGCTGCCGCGGCATTTGCAAAAAAAAAAAACTTTTCCTTTCCAAGTCTGCACTTCCCGTCTCCAGCAGAGAAGGCCTCAGCCAGTCGCCAGGCGGGCTTTCTTTCGCTTCAACTCCAGCTGCGCGAGACGACTGGAAAAGTCATAGTCACCGGTGGCCTGCGAATGCACGACATGGCGGTGTAGACGTTTTGATAGAGCTCAGCAGGCAGCTGCGTAACGGCGTAGCCTTGAGCAGAGGAGTAGCGGCGCTCGTCACCGTTGTAGCTGCCCACCTGTACCGCCAGTCTGTATTCAAGGACCAGTCCCTCCAGAAATTCGACCAAGCTCTGGCTGCGCGTCACGTACAGCGCAAAGTCGACTGCGCCGCTGGCAATGGCAGTCATGTCCAGATTTTGGCGCGCTCTATCAGCCTCTCGTAAGCGTCTCTCAATCATGGCGGCATAGACGCCGTCCCGGTCCCACCCGTCGTCATCGCGGCTCTCCTCGCGAGCGGTGAACAGCAGGTAGTTGTTGTTGGCGTCGTCAGAGTCAGAGTCGGAGTCTGAGCCCTCGATTCCGGCCTCGCGAGCGAGACGCCTAGCTTCCTCGGCTTCCTCGCGCTGCTTGGCCACTTCGTTGGCGCGAGCGGAAAACTCTTCATGCCTCTCATGAGTTTGGGCAATTGGCAGGATGTGGGCGCCGGTGACTAGGCATTTCAGGAGGGAGTCGTCAGAGACGAAGCTGGCGCGCTTGGTGGGCTTTGCTTTGCCGACGCGGCCCGGGCTCCGCGTGGCTGGCTTGAGGCAGCTGCGAGGGCTGATCTTGGTGGCCTTCATGGCGGCCTCAAGCATGGGCAGGCTGCAGTTGGACGAGGAGGGGGCCGGCGCGGAGGAGCCCGAGTTGGCCATGCTCGAGGCAATGCTCTTGTTGATGTTGTCCATGGTTGTTTTGATTGGCAGGATGGATAGAGGTTTCTGTATAAGAAGAAAGCTTTTTTGTAGGCGTGTATATCTGAACACAGAAAGGAATGCCCCCCCAAAAAAGGATTCAAAGAGTGATGTGTTTATGAGTGGAAAGTAGAGACAATAGATGGTCAGTTTTGTATCGAATTGGTCAGAAGGAAGCTCTCAAGAGTAAAGACAGAATCAAGACGGGCGGGAAGGGGGGTTTATATGCCTGCAAAGTGAGCCTGAGAAGCAAGAAAAGCAATTAATATACTTTAGAGTCGAAGGAATTTTCGAAAGTAATCTTTGTGGCGTAGAGTATAGCATACATCGTGATCGTTGGTTGTCCTCAGATTGCTTTGCTGAGCATCGTGTAAGTTGTTGTGGCGGCAGTTTGAAAAGTCTATCTGCGCCAGTCAATCGGTGGCGCCCAATCCAATACTCCAACTGCCGCGGATCCAGGCACATGGAAAGCCTCAAACGCCGCTCAATTGGGCACTTTGGCATTTTATACTTGAGTTGAACGCCACGAACTTCCTGTGAGGCTTGCCTCCACATAGTAGAACGGTGCCATCAAAGGCTATGTCGTGGATTTGGATTCTTTTCCCAGAAACAAAAGCAAAACCGTACAGCTCACAGAAAAGCCTCTTTACTCGAGTGGCTTTTTATCAACATAATTCATTCTGTCCACTATTTTTCTACACTGTAGACGACTTTTTTTTTTTTTCTTCACAGCTCGATAAGTCAAAAGTCGGCTGCCCGATCTCGGTTCCCCACCCGGCGCCCCGCGCTCCCCACACACACCAAGAAAAAACTTTTTCACTCGAGTGAGCAGTCCCTCTTAATAATAATTAACTCATCCAGAATCCAACAAGCAGCCACCGAGCGAGCTTCTGGATCTAAATGGCCTGGTTAGCTCAATCGGTAGAGCGTGAGACTCTTACGAGAGATCACCATCTCAAGGCTGCGGGTTCGACCCCCGCATCGGGCTATTCCTATAACATCTCGATTGAACGCTCGGTGTTGCTTACGTTTTTTGTCTTTTTTTTTTCGTCTCACCCAAACACGCATCCACGAATACTCCTTCTATGTACTTTTTTTTTTTTGATAAGATCGTTAATATAATTCTTTCTCCCCTTTTTTTCCACTTTCCTTCTCGTATATGCCGTGCCGTGTTACCTCGCATAGTTGACTTTGCACGTTCTTCCGTCCAAGATCAGTAGCATTCGGCCGTCGTGGACTTTGAATATGTCACCCTCGAAAGGCCCATACTGAAACTCTCTACTTGCCCAATAGCATCGATAGTATGGTAACAAGAAAGGTTAGAAGGTGAAGCGGCGACCAACAACGGAAAACAAGACGCAGGTACTGACACAAGTGCCGATCTTGAGGAGCCAGAGTTATGACAGGAGTAATTGGTTGCCCAGTCACAGGAACGAGGCCAAGCGGGTACCAAAAAGAAAAAGGCCGATTCTCACAGACATTCTATTTACCAAATGGTGGCCATGTTTTTAGTACCCGCTTTTAGTGAGGCCCAGCGTGCACGCAGAATGATTCAAATGCCTCCAATGTGAATAATCTAATGCTTTGAGGATCTGATCATGATTCTCTCGTCTGTTTAGTTGACAGTTGGTTTAGCTAGGAGCTTGGCAGCGGGGCCCTTTCTCAGCACCGCCCATCACCATCGCCAGCATCTCAACCTTAACTACCTTGTCTCATACAAATCATACAAACACATCTCCATTACCGCCCGCCATGGCCGCCTTTACACCCGCCCTCATCGTCGTCGATCTCCAAGAAGACTTTTGCCCTCCCGTACGCCCTTTCCATTTCTCCCCATCCTATGCTCTCACCACTAATTAAACCTACTCTCCTTTCCCCCCTTCCAGAACGGTTCCCTCGCCGCCCAAGACGGCCGCTCCATCACCCCCCTCATCAACACCCTCCTCCGTCTCCCCTTTGCCCTCAAAATCGCCACTCGCGACTGGCATCCCCCCAACCACGTCTCCTTTGCCGCCACCCACCGGAACTCTTCCCCCTACACCTCGACCTACACAATCACCCACCCTTCCTCCTCGTCCAGTGTCCCGCAGCAGTACACCACGACGCTCTGGCCGACGCACTGCGTCGCGCACACCCCCGGCGCCCAGCTGATCCCCGAGCTCGACGCCGCGCGTCTGCACCGCGTACTCGACAAGGGCACGCGCGCGGACCGCGAAATGTACTCCGCCTTTTGGGATCCGTTTGGTGAGTCGGACAGCGGGCTGGCGGGGTTGCTGCGGGACGCGGGCGTGACGGATGTGTACGTAGTCGGGTTGGCGTTCGATTACTGCGTGCGGGCGACGGCGGAACACGCCGCCGAGGCAGGATTCACAACGGTGGTGGTAGAGGATGCGACAAAGGCCGTGTTTCCGGATAAGTGGAATAACGTCGTGGCCGAGCTTCAAAGTAAAGGCGTCCATGTGGTCTCGTCTACGTCATCAGAGGTGCAAAAAGTAGAGTCTTTGTTTACATCGAGATAGTCAGGACGAGACAAGTACAATGGACGCAACATATGAACAATGAAATGTATGTTTAAGTAATGTATGCCTTGCAAAGCTCTATAAACCGAAACGAGGGGGTTGCACGCTATGTACCGAGTGCATGTGATCTAATATTGCGTTGTGATGCTATGTCGTGTCCCTCTGAATTTAAAAAAAAAATGACCCGATCCAATCTTCCATCTCTTGGTATCATTACTTTTCCCGTTCTTTTTTTGTGTTGATCACCGTCTAGATCGCTGTTGCGCGGCCGCACTCTTGCCAGTGGCCTTTTCCAGACCATTTGTCATGGCTAGCGAGACCGGCGTGACCGGGGGAGCCGGCGTCGTGCTTCTCGAAGGAGCGGCACTACGGTTGTGCTGCATGTGTGCGCGGACCAGATGACCGGCTGCCAGGGCACTACAGAGTGACAGCTCACCAGCGAGGACAGACGCCGCAATGATGCGGGCAAGACGACGGGCATTCTCACCGGGGTTGGTCGGGTGCGAGCCGCGCACGCCGAGAAGATCGAGCATGGAACTCTGTGGCTCGAGAATGGTACCGCCACCTAGCGTGCCCACTTCCAGCGAAGGCATCGAGACCGAAATTTGCAGTGCACCTTTGAGGTTCTTCATGATCGTGATGCAGTTGGAGCTCTCCACGACCTGAGCGGGATCCTGGCCGGTGGCGAGGTAGATGGCAGCAACAATGTTGGCCGCGTGCGCGTTGAAACCACCCATCGCACCAGCCATGGCGGAGCCGATCAAATTCTTGCTGATATTGAGCTCGACAAGAGTGTCCACGTCACACTTGAGAACGCTCTTGACAACATCCCCGGGAATAATAGCCTCGGCCACGACGCCCTTGCCACGGCCCTCAATCCAGTTAATAGCAGCAGGCTTCTTGTCCGAGCAGTAGTTGCCTGAGACTGAGACGATGACCATGTCGTCGAAGCCGCTCTCGGTAGACATGACGTTCAGCGCGTGCTCGACACCCTTGGATATCATGTTCATGCCCATGGCATCACCGGTGGTTGTGCGGAAGCGAATGTACAGGTTGGTACCGGCAATGGCAGTCTTCATAGTTTGGAGGCGAGCGAAGCGGCTGGTCGAATTGAAAGCCTTTTTCATCACATTCTGGCCCTCTTCAGAATCAAGCCACAGCTTGGCAGCACCAGCGCGCTCCAGAGTCTCAAAGCTAACACAGGGACCACGGGTCATGCCGTCACCAGTCAAAACAGTAATCGCACCGCCACCAGAGTTAATGGCCTTGCAGCCTCTGCTGGCACTGGCAACCAAGACACCTTCAGTGGTAGCCATGGGGATAAAGTAGCTCTGTCCATCAATGACGAGGGGACCGGCAACACCAACGGGGAGGGGCATATAACCAATAACATTCTCGCAGCACGCGCCAAAGACGCGCTCCCAATCGTAGTTATCGTATGGCAACTTGGATCGGTCCAGGGTATGGGTGATGTGGGAGGTGGCCTTGGTGCGGGAAATGATAGTACGGCGGATCTTGACAGCGCGCGTGAAGTCGCCGAGAGTCTTTTCGAGGGCGTAACCGGGAATTTTGCCACGCATCGACATGGCGACAACTTCCTCATCCGTCATCTCGGGTACACGTTTCTCAAGTAGCATCTGGTCTAGTTCGGCATTGCTGCGATTGGCAGAGGGAGTAGGCTTTGTCCTAGTCATAGTCAGGCCATCGCCCTCGTCGTCGGTGAGGGCGGGGGTGGCGGGCTGGGTAGGCTGGGGAGTAGGAGCGACGTATTGTCCCAGAGGGATGGAGCTGGGCTCGGTTTCGTTGAAGCGCTGAGCACGAGCAAGCTCCTTGCGGTCAATATGGTGCTCTGAAGTCTCGGAGACACTGGGTTCATTGATGCCCCAGCGGGCAATGTTGAACAGGTAGCCGTTCAATCCAACGCTGAGAGCGAGGGCAGCAATAATCCACTTGGACAGAATGGGATCTTCGAGGCTCTTGAGCAGGCTGCCAACTACGCGACCACCCACTCCGTAGCTGTCAAAGTGACTGGCCTGTGATCCGTGGACAGCAGCATCGGCGACAGCGGCAGGAAGAGCGTAGTGGACAGAGGGGTACTCGAGCTCATACTTGATAGGCGTAAGGATGGAAACGAGAACAGCCTGGCCACGCGACTTGGCAGCGGAGAGAATGACATCCAGACCATTGGCGGCCACCTTGAAAGGGTCCACGGGAGGGGTGGAAACGACACCACCCAAACCACCAGCCCAAGAGCGAAGGGTAGCAAAGGAGCTGCCACTGCGGAAAGGAATGGTGCAAATATTGACAACATTAATTAGAACAAAGCCAGAAATCATGAGGACCTTGAACTTGGGGACGCTGCTGCTCTTCATGCCGCGACCAAACAGGGCCTTATCCTCGGTAGTCTTGGCGTCACCAGTGGGCCAGTCGTTGCTGGAAGCGACATTTTCGGCAACACGGCGGCTCACGCCGTCAGCCTCGAGGGCCTGCCGCATTTCGAAATGGCGCTTAATGCGATTAATCTCGAGCTTGATGCTGAGGATCGCAGTGTAAAAGGTGAAGAGCAGGAGGCAGTCAAAGAAGAGGATCCAGGCGGCGAGAAAACAGAACTGCTGAAGACCACCCTGAACACCGGAAGCCGCACCAAGAACCAAGATAGTAATCTCGATGGCATAGTCACGAATAATCTCATAGCCCTTATCCTTGATGGCAGCGTGGATGGCGGTCCGGATGACGTCCTGAGTCTGGGACTTGTCCTTACCTTGGGGGCTTTGCGACTGGTTGCGACGAGCTTCGATAGCGTGGTTGAGGACAGCGCGAGTGAGGACAATATTCTTTTCAAAGCCAATAGTGACAACGAGAAAAGGTAGCCCCTCGGAAAGTAAGATGACGCTGATAGGGACACCAAGCTTGGTAGTGACGGCGAGACCAAAGACAAATGCAAAAGCAGAGGCAAAGAGAGTGCTCATGCCAAGCCAGAGGTTAGAGCCCATGCGGCGCATAGACAGAAACAGAGAGACAAATGTCAGGTGCATGGAAAGATAGCCAAGAACCATGATGACAATGTCGAGAGTCTCGGCGTTTTTGAGCAGATCGATAAACTCGGTCCAGGCGTTGCGAGCCCACTCGAAAAAGGTATTACGGGTGTGCACCTTGGCGGCCTTCATGATCCACATCTTCTCCTCGCGACCATGGCGGGTAAGGACCGTCTCGCTGTTCTCGGAGGGAATTTCCTGAGCAGCTGTGAGGAACTCACGGGCCTGGTCGTAAGGAAGGGAGTAGGCGAGGATGCTGTCCTGGGTGTAGGTAGTGAATGGGTTCTCGGTAACGGGCAGAGAGGTGATGGAGAGGTTCTGCGGGGTCGGAACGGCCTGGGCGAGAGGAGCGACATCGAGAGAATCGTCAGAGAGGGTGTCGGGGAAAACGAGAGTCAAAAGGGCGAGGTGGTCGGCCTGGCTGGTGCCCGGAGCATCGGGCTCGACGCTTTGCCATCGCCAGGCGGTCTCGGGACCAGCAAAGAGCTGTCGACTGCCCTCGGTCAGGGAGGACCAGTCGGCCTTGCTAACGGTGGCGGTCCTCTCGAGCAGGCTGTCTTGGATGAGGCCAATGTAGGAAGAGCTGGCGAGAACTGCGGCGAGAACAATCGTGTGAATAGGGTGCGAAGCGGCGAGGCGACCGAGGAAGTGCAGAGTGGGCGTGATGGTCTTGCCGGCCCAGGTCGGAGGAGCGGCCTTGGCCGGGCCGGTGGTCTCGCCTCGAAAGCGGGTGGGAAGAAAATTCATCTCGACGGTATCTGAAAAGGTGACTCGGCGACTCGGTTTACGACATTGGCGAGGGCGCGGGGCTTCGGAGATGGGTCCTAGGCGGGGTGTGAGCAAGTGCCGACGAGCAGAGCGGTCCATTGAGGAGAGCAAGAGGCATGTTCAAGGGTGGATGGGGTCGAGAGGGAATTATAACGCAAAGACGTGAAGAATTCGTAGGATGCAGCCGGACAGAGCGAGGCAGTGGCTGAAATGAGTTCGGCTGGGCTTACCTGAAGCAGGACCGCTGGCAGGATCGAAAGATGGGTAGCGTCAGACGCAGTTGCAAGGCTGGCTGCGGATGAATGATTTGTTAAATTCGCAGTCGGCGGTGCCGTGGGAGCGGTCGAATTCCGGGTTCTGGATGACGTGTTTGCCCGTGGCTTGCTATCGTCTATACCCGTTGTCAGTAGGCTGGTCAAGAACAATACCAACGCAAAGCGCGCCAATGGGGGTGGTGTGGGAGGCGAGAAGGGAAAAAAGCTAGTTGGCGCGGCATCGGAAAGGGGACAGCCCATGTATACATACAGGTACGGATGAGGCCAAGCAGTGTAACGGAAACTCTGCAAGCTGCGCAAAAAGACGGAGAAGAGGACGAAGAAGAAAGGAGGGACAAGAAGCAAGAGATGCTATGTTCTGGTGTTGAAGGCAGTATGGAAAAAGAAGAAGGGAAATAAGAGAAAGGATCCCCTAACCTAGTAATAGTTGAAGTAAAGAGCCAGCCAGTTAAGGTGGACGATCCCCTGGCGAGATTTAATTGCGGGCCCCAAGAAGAGGCGTTAGCGGGCAGGCAGGGGGGCCTGGCAAGCAGGGCAGAGATGATGTTTATTAGTTAACTAGCAGATATAATAATAGCGAGGCAAATACAGCTGAGAAATTTCCCTCACTGCGGAGCCCGTAACCTAGGAATGATCTCGCAGACAGCTGCTGTAATGGTTCATTCGTGTCTAATCGTCACTCTTGGCCACTGGTGCTGTTGCATGCTACTGGTAGCGCGCGTACATGCGTCATGTCTCCTTTGCACCTGCCGGTGATGCAACAGGCCTTTGCCATTGCCGGGCGCAGTACGCGATAGCGATAGCCGTAATTTATCCGTCGCTCAGGTCATGCACCCTTGTAAGCTCGCCCTGGCGACCTTGCACTAGCACCATCTGCGTACAATCTCGTAGTTACGGAGTGGTTACGCCGCAGTTCCTCGCACCTGCGGCGCTGCCCCACTATCAGAGCAAAAAGCTCAGACACAGCCTTTGCGGTGAAGCGCGAAAAGTGCAACTTTCCAGCGCGCTTTTTGCGAATACGCATACGCATACGCTATCATTGCCGACCTCGTCACTGGAGCATCATTGACGGCTTTGTCCGCTTCACGCGACGATTCAATTTTGAAATGGTCATGATGATCTGTTGCCCTACTTCACTCGTTATGCTTTCTGCTCACCAGTTCAGGCTCGAACACAATCTGTCATGCATGCATCCCGTTCTCCCCTTCACCACAGCTGCTATCAACGCTGTTAAGCTGTTGATATTTGATATGATTGATGCTGTGATGCAGGCCTGTTTCCACGCTTAATAAGCACGCATTTTTCGCTACAGTAATCCTCCCCGCACGCTTAATTCACCGTTATTCCCCCCACGTACAAGATTCAATACAAACCCCAGACTCAGGCGAACTCGACTCCCGACGGCGGGTAGTCGCCGCCTCGTATTGCCAAATCACCCCTGGAATCACCGGCACGCGACCGATCCCTTGGCTTCTCGGCCGCTCCCGACCCCCGCAACTGGGGCAGCGCCAGCATCTTGCACCTGTCCTCCTGGAGCAGCTTCTTGGTCGTGATGCGGTCCGGGTAGTTGCGCAGGCACATGCTCGTAAAGTGCGTCCCGTAGTGGATGCCCCCGTCGACGCCGCCGCTCGTGGCCTCGCTGCCGCCCGTGTACCCGGGTAGCGGTCTGAGGACCGACGAGAAGTTGGGCTCATGAAAGTAGGCAAACGCGAACCTCTCCCGCGTGTTGAGGCCGACCTTGTGCGGCGTCGACTTGAGGTAGCTACCTGTCATGTACTGCAACATGTCACCTTTTGTCGCGGTCAGCCTTGCCCGCAGAACAATATTACTAAGACCCTGCCTACGTACCTGGAAAGACTGTGAATACACCCGGCACAGGTAGCACGTAGACCCAGCCGGTCTCGTCCTCGTGCATGCCGGCCGCGCTCTTTTCCCAATTGGCGTAGTGCTCGCCTTGCTGTGGCGGCCTCACGAAAAGACCTGTAGAACATCAGCACGAGGCCATGGCGGCGGCGCCTCTACAGGGTATACATACCACCGACGTCGTCCTGCGCGGCCATGACCAACAGACCGTAGTCTGTGTGGGATCCGATGCCGCGTCCCTTCTTCCCCTTGCCATTAGTCTGATCTCGGTGCGGAAACCTGCCATTAGTTAGATGCATCCTGGTTTTAGCTTGGGGGAATTCTCGCCACACATACCGCAGAACTCGCATATGATGCCATCCGTCCTCGGTATACTTCTTGAGAGAACCTTGCGGAACGCGCAGGCCCAGCTCAACCATCTCCAAAAGCCGATCGCCGCTCCGGGAGAGGTCCTCTGTATATGCTGTCATGTTGTACTTCATGTCATTGTCCGGCCACGGGCACGGTCCATGGCACGGCCACTTGGCAGCGACTCTGTGATCCTTTTCACTTAAATCTTTCGTCACGGTGAAAATCTCCGAGTAGTCAGCCACGCCGTCCGTCACCTCCTCGCCGGAGGCAACGTAGCCCGAGTAGCTCTGCTCGTCAACGCACCGCCGCTTCTCGACACCGCTGCGGCGGAAGAAGCGTTGGCTGGCCGCGTTGGCGTTCTGGTAGATGCGCTGCTGCTGCGGCGACATGGCTACCTGGAAGATGCCATCCCGCCGCCAGGCCTCAATCATAGCACGGGCCATGGACCGGTCATTCGCCGACCCTGTGATCTGGTTCGGCAGGACAAAGGTGTTCAGCCGGCCAACAGTGGCAGTAAACCCAGGCGGCATGGTGCTGGCACCAACCACGGCGTCGCCGCGCTTCGCGACGAGCCTGAGTCGCGCTGCAGAGTGACGGCTGGCGATGGCGCCGCCCAGACTAGCTGTACTTGCTAATCTCGATTGCATTGTGTAAGAGAAGAGGTGCAAAAAGAGCCCCGAAATAGAAGACTATCTGTAATAGTAATTCTCGATGCAAGCTTTGTGTAATAGACGTGCTGATCGAATCGCGATCACGTCGATAGGAGACAGCTATGTGCGGCCCTTTAATACTCTTACGGAAAGGCCGACTTCTCTTGCGGCAGGTAATTGCTCAAATGCCACTGCAGTGGGAATTGACCGAAGCCAAAGTAGATATTAGGCATAGTCCGACTGCGGGTTTGCATGGAGTCTGCAGGTCATCGCAATGTCAAGTTGTACCACCGAAGGGTCCAGAATCAACGACGGCCTTGACTTGGGCTTAGGTTCTTGGTGCACAATAAAAGTACTACTCCAATCTGCATGCTCGTGCGAGTTGTTGACGATTGAATGTGTCACAGCTCCCTCTTTTTCAGAGGGGCACCACTGTATCTCGGACTGCGCCAGCGAAACTTTGCCACAGGAGCCGTCCCAAGTTCACTACCAGGTCACCAGCCAGCGAGAGCTGTCTGTTTCTCTAAACGACACCGAGCCGCGTTCGCGCAAAGACAGAAATGAAAGAGGATCAATGAGGTAAGGAGTATGTTGGTTCGAGCTATTACACATGACTACACACGAACACTACAAGACTACCAGGATTCAACCACAGAGACGTCTCGAATACTGGCCTTCGTCTGCTAGAGTGCTCCGAGGCGAGATGCTGAAGTGACGAAAATGCCGAAACCTGTTTGTCTATTTTCTGACTTAGCGATTTTCACAGAGGTCATACGGGATTGTAGATCACTCCAGACCCTGCAAAATTGTAGGCCTGAACACTGCCGTGTAAGAGCCGCCGATGTCGACGAGATCCGCATCCCGTGGCAATCATAAAGCTAATTGCGCTCCGGCATTTGCCATCTTCAACGAGGGCGTCTGGATTACGAGACACATTTCTTACAAGTTTCCACTTCACGAGACCAGCCCACTCTGGTACACGCACGTCGTACGCTGGATCATGTTTGCCGCATGACACGCCACGGCCGTGTGCCACTGCATCAACCCTGCCAAAGATAATGAAAAATCCCCGATTATTGGGACGATCTGCTGCATACGAGTTCTCTTGATGAGCTTGATTACCGTTGTGCAATCCTCGGGGAAATTTTGGCTGTCGAGTGCTGATACGATAGAAAATAGACCGGACTAGACTCATGCTAGTAAGACGGCTGGCAAGAGACACGGTCAACCGCAGATCGGCTTTGATATAGCGTATCGGTCTTTCTTTTTGGGACCCAAGACTCGTATCATTTTCACACAGGCATTTGTCCTCCTCGACTTCCCGAAAACTAAAAGAGAGGCAATCGTCGAGCTCATGGATTGTTTGCCAAGCTCACGCTATGGTATTCCACAGACATGGCGATGTTTCTCAGCTCACTCGCCTCGTGAAACTTCACATGTGATTGGGACAAGAATGCGAAATGAGGATTGTGATTTGCATACAAATGTGCAATAAATGCGTTTCATTCGACAACCATACGTAAGCAAGCCGACTAAGCGGAAGACTTTCCCAATTCCGTAATCCGCAGCTCTCGGCGGCGTGCCGGGGTGCCCAAGAATACAGTCCAACGCGAAGATAATCAGGCAGACTTTGCCTTCTTGGAGCGCTGCTTGTTCTTCTTGTCCTTTTTCCCCTCCATGGATGGTTTCACCGATTTGCCTTCGCGCATGGTGGGCAAGGCTCGCTAGTCCTCGTCCTCGTCCTCGTCGCTCGTGGCTTCGATGTTTGCCTTGTCCGACCTTTCCTTCTTGGGCTTCTTCGCGATGGCTTCGGCATCTTCTTCAGCACCACCTATCGCATTGACCAGTTGCCCCATTTTGCGAAGCTGTTCGTTGATGGAAGGCATAACCTTGATCAGCGTGGTGTACTGCTCCACCGACAGCGAGATGCCCTAAGCGCGTTAGTTGAAGATAATAGGCGGACATATTTCTTATCCTACTTTCTTGGCAGGCAAGAGTTTGCCGTCTTTTTCGTAATATTCTCGAATGTTGATCATGGTCGCGTTGTTGAACTTGGAAACTCCCACACGGCGCTTGCTGGACAGCTGTGGCAAAGCGTTAGGTTCTGAGAGAAATCACCACTGGGCTCGAAAAGCTTGCCTCCCAAAAAGGATTGCCTTCTTCATCTTTTCCGGTAGGTGAAACGAGGCTCGCATTCGGTCTGCTCTTCTTGGCGGCCTTGTGCGCCACCTCAACATCGTTCGCATCCGAGGGCTCGGTGACACTCGCGCGCCTTTTGTTCCCCATGGCTGCTGGAAACCGCAGAGAATGGTAGAGATGGAGCTTTGAAAGTGGCTTATATTAATTTTGGACTGAGTACATGAAGTTTTGAATAGATGATGCGAAGTCAATGAGGGGTCATCTGAGCCGTGCAGCGAGATAGTGAGACGCGCTGGAGCTTGACAAACGCGCTGCACTTAAATGGGATGGCCTGGACAAACGCAACGCCAACGCCTGTGCACGTGATGGTGCGTTCTGGCAGCTGGCAACTCTCCCACCGGCCTGGCAAGCCAACGAAGGAACCGAACATGTAACTGTAATGAATCCGTTTCCTAAGTCACTGCTACATACAAATCCCCTTCGTCAATTTATTATATTCGATGGCACCTTTGTCAGCCACTTTTTGCATGTTCACTAGAGCTGGCCAAGACCGACAGCTGGCACAGAGCTAGCGTCAGGGGTGGTTCGATCGAAACGTTGATTGGCAACAACTCCACTGTTTACCCCTTGAAGGTACTCCCCAGGCAAAACAATGTACGGATTACGCAGCTGAAGCTCCAAATTTTGGCAAGGGATGTCGGTGGTCGTGTTTCTGGCCGATCCCATTGCATCCTATCGTCTCAGCCTTTCCTCCTCGTCTGTGACGACGTTGACCTTGACGCTTGACATGCCCTCTGCACGTCACCGTCCATCGGTTTTTATCTCTCTCACACACACAGCCCCGCAATACATCACTACGACGACGTGACGTACCTCAATGGCCGACGCCGCCGAGCCTGCGCAGGGTCTCGAAGCCCCTCCTCGCGATGGCGCAAATACTGCCGCCCCAAATGCCAGCATCACTGAGGAAAGTGAATTGCTACTGTCGCAATATGAAATGCAAGATGCTGCTGCGCAAGCTATAGCAAGGCAGACAATGGGCGACATACCTGACCGCGCAAAAACGAACGACACACAACAGTCAGACTTAGTGTCCAAAGTCTTGTACTTTCTTTCGAAAGCCTCCCCTGCAACGCTGGCCGGTATCGCAGTCGGCTTTGCAGGTGTCACATATGCAATTCTTGGCCGACTCGGCCTGCTCATCATTGGCGCGGTTGGAGGTGCCGCAGCTTTCGTCGTCTGGGAAGGTCGGAACCCCGCCATTGCTCAGGCAGTTCGAGGCGAAAGGGGCCCCGATGCGCTGGAACGCATTTGGATCGACCTCCAGGCCACCAAGGTCACAGAAGATGAGCATGAGGCTGACAAGCCCGATCAAGTCATTTTCAAGGGCTTCGACGACTTTCGGCCGGAAACCCGCGAAGCTCTAGGCGGCCTCGTGGATACCATCATCAAGGATTACGTCAAGTGGTGGTACAGCCCTATCATTCCGGCCGATCACTCATTTCCACTTGCTTGTCGTAAGACCCTGACATCGTATATCCTAGCCGTCTCGAATCGCATGGCCAAAAAGAGACCCGCCGACTCCTTTCTCGACCTTCTTACCAACTCTTCCTCCATCGCTATCGCCTTCATGTCGGAGCTTGCTGCCGCTTTCGCTGATGTGCCGGCCGAGTCCAACATGACTGCTGTAGATGCTGTTTATACATATCTTGCCTCAAATCCGGATTCGCGGCTGGCAAATTTATTGAACCAAAAACAGCAAGCTGCCAAATTCAAAATGGTGGCAGATGACCTGCTGTCATTCATGGAACCCAGTGTCTACAATTGTGACCCAGCTCGTGCTCTTTTGAGAGAAGTCCTAGCCAACACAGTGCTGGAAAGCCTGCTGCAAACATGCTCAAAACCGGAATGGATCAATGGCTGGATTGTGTACCTTTTGGAGGCAGGAGAGCCCGACATCAATCAAGCTATCGACGTGGGTATGCAGCGTGCTCGAGATACTGCCAATAATCTTTTCGCAGACATTGACGGGAATGTTGGGAACATTGGCATTGTCAAACCTGCAAGCCGCTCCTCCGGCGAAATTGAACGCGGAAGAAGAAAAGATGTACAAACGCATAGGAAAAGGCTTAGCAAAGCCGACGAAGAAGTCGAGGTAGCAATCGAGGGGATGAAGCGCATGAGCGGCGTCAAGCAAGGCGTCGAAGACAGCAGTCGATCGATGACGAATGATTCATCTGCGTCATCTAAACAGAGTACGGATCCTTTCACAACAGACGCAGCTGCCTCTAGCCAGGCAGGTGGAACGAGTGCACACAGTTCGACACCTCCGCTTGCTCAAGGGCGATCGTCTCCGTCTGGTACTTCTGTTGACGACGCGAGTGAGCCAGCCTTTACTCCTGTCACTCCTCGCTCAACTATGGATACGTCGAGTCAAAACTCGTCATCACCAAAGCGTGACAGCAGTGGCAGCCAGCAATTTACCACTTTTGATCAAATTGTCCCTGCAGCGGGGCCCGATCAGCAAGAGGAGGACGCGCCAAAGAAAGCGCCTTTGACGCTGCACAATGCTTCCTTTACGCTTCATGACGATGCTACTGGAGATACTGCCAAAATTCGCAATAAGCCGACCTGGGACTATCTGATTCAAGTTGAACCATCATCAGCCGGATACCCAGGATGGATGATTGTGAGAAGATACTCGGATTTCGAGACACTGCACGAGATCATGCGACGAATCGCGACAGTCTCTGGGGCTACCGCCTTCACAGAACTACACAAAGAGCTGCCGCGCTGGAAGATTCACAGCAGAGAATCGCTGCGTGGCGAGCTGGAGCGTTATTTACGCGATGCGTGCTGGTATCAGAGTCTAGCCGAAAGCGAGGGCATGAAACGATTTCTTGAAAAATCTCAGGGTCACACTCATGGCAGCAGCAAGTCATTCGCTTGGGAATCTGTAGGCAAAAACATGCTTGATGTTCTCGCGATTGCACCGAAGGGCGCAATGGAGGGCGGCAAGACTCTTGTCGATGGTGTTACTGGCGTATTTGGAAACTTTCCCGGCATCGGCAAGAAGGCTCCAAGCCAATCTATTGATATGACACCAAGCAAGCGTCACTCTCTTACAACGCCAGTCAGGGCAGACGCTCTCAAGACATCACCTGCAAGGTCGGAGCGTGCCAGTATAGACAGCCAACGATCTTCTGTTGTGTCTACGCAACCTGGCCGAATGCCCATGATGGAGCGTCGACCAAGCCTTCAGCTTCAGAATGATAACGAAGGAGATGTGGCCCGCACGGGGCGCTCTGAGCGCGTAGACTCTACAGCGTCTGCCTCTGTCAGTGCTCGGCCAAGCAGGGAACACAGCAGAGCTTCAAGCTTGGCGCCACCGCTGCGATCTCCATCATCCATTAGCCTGGAGTACGTGAAGCTACCACCTCCACCGGATGAGATGGCGGATGATTACGAGTCGTCTTTGAATCGTGACATGGCATCGGTAAGTGAGACGACTCACAGTAAAAAACACTCGATTGGCCACATGTCTCAGCCGTCTGTGAGTTCCACGCAAGGGTCAGCGACAAATGGAAAGAAGACAGCCGTGCGACCGATCAAGGTGCACTCGAAACTTGGCGAGGGCGAAACGAGGGTTGCCGTGGAGCTACTCTTTGCTGTCATCAACGAGATGTACACCCTTTCATCAGCCTGGAACATTCGTCGGACATTGCTCACTGCTGCGAAATCCTTCCTGCTACGCCCTGGAAACCCGTCACTCCTTACTGTGCAGACGCTCATTCAGACCTCGGTGCTTGACGCGTACACGGCCGACTCGGGGATTGCGGAACAGCTACGGAAGGTACGGGAAAACAGCATGCCCACGGAAGAAGAGCGTGCTGCCTGGCCAGCGGAGCTTACTACCGAGGAGAAGGAGCAGTTGGCTGCCAAGGCGCGCAAGCTTCTTATTCAGAGCGGAGTTCCGGCGGCTCTTATGGGAGTGATGGGCCAAGCCGCGACGGGCGAGGCACTGGGCCGCGTCTTTGACTGTCTTCAAATCGAGGAAGTTGCGCGGGGTCTCATCTTTGGTCTGATCCTGCAAGCCGTCAAGGTGCTCACACACTGAAACAAGGACGGCATCTGTTGCAGACAGAGAGATGGCGTGACTCGATTATGAGGCGAAACGAACTAGCGATGTCTTGCATTTATGATTTTTGTTATTTATCTGCATATGATGGACTTGCCAACGGCGGCGACTTCTGCGCAACCCACGTGAGGGGTGGCAGAGCAGCAATCGCGCAAGATCTCGTAACGAATTAACTCGCGAGCAAGCATCATGGGAAATGGAGTTCCGGGAGTGGCACAATACCTCATGGGAGAGTGCTCGGCACAGATATTTTGGCAAGCTGTGCGACGAGGACTTTTGGGGGATGCCTGTCGGCATTACTATACCTGTTTTTATTCTTGATCTCTTGTCTACGTAACCGTAATGAAATTTTATTATGCCTATGTGCACAGTCGCAGCAGAAATGAGCATCATGAATATATTTACATACAACCTCGCGCTGATCTTCTTTGTTGAATGTTGAACCCTGCAAACGTGGAGCGAGCTCCGACGGTAGTTGACTTTTGTAGGCGCTGCTCGGAAAGAAGGTTTGAGAGCAAATTGACCGATGCCGATCTGTCGACGCGGCGGCTTTCGCGGGGTTGTAGCAGGGGTTGCGCGGAAACCCCTTGTAGCAGACCAATTGTTGGCATTTTTTTTACGCCAGTGAGCAATCTTTTGGCGTTTGCCAAGCTTGATGCGTTACAGTGCGTTGTATCAAGGAAAAAAGGGGGCGCAAACGTCGGAGCGTTTGGGCAGTTGGATATTTAAGCTGTTGGATAGCCGAGGACTACATGAAGAAGCGAGGAGATGGGGGACCCTGAGGACCAATACGTATGCAATGGTACAAGTCGGCTTGACACACGGCATCGGATTGACGAGTGGCTTTGAGGAACGGAATTTGCACTCTTACTTTCCGGCCTTGAAAGGCATTTGTAGTCGGCGTAACACAGTCAAGTGCTTATCTACAGTTTGACCTTGGTCTATGAGTCCGAATAGTTGAAACCCGCTACGCGAATAGTTTCCAAAAAAGCATCAATCAAATTCCGTCCCGATTAGCACCAACAATCAATACTATCCGCCGTCTCCGGTGTCAAGATGCTGTTAGCGCACGTCAAGTCGGTGAGTTGCGTCCAGCCCCCAAGGGGGTGTGTGTGTCTTTGCTCAGGTGAGGGTTGCTTGGGTAGCTAGACCGAGACGCGCGGGCGACGTCGAGCCAAAGAAAATACCTAATAATACGACGCTGACATGTTGAAAGTGCGGCACCGACCGTGATGGTCCCCCATTACAATGTCAATGCGTGACCATCTGCCTCTGTTGCTTGTCCAAGTTGGTTGAGCAAGCACAGAGCCGCTGATAAGCTAGGCAGTCGGCAGATTCTAGAAGAAAGAAAGACGGCCCCCAATTTGCACAAGCAAAATGTCTCATACCCACTTGTACCTGCGCAGAGCGCATTGTGAGTTTAGATGCACGTCGGGTTATCATGTGCGTTGCCGGCAGAATAGGGTTGTCATCTTCTTCTCACTCATTACGTGCAAGTCAAACATGCGAGAAGCCATCGTCGCTATCCCGTCTCCTTTTTATTTTTGGTGCATGCTGGTAGGGCATGATCGACACCTTCTCAAAAAAAGGCCAGCTTTCTAGTGCTGGAAGAATAACGTGGTGACGCCACAAAAGTTGTTTTAGCATGTGTGAGTGGGCTACCATTCACCTTTTGACCGTCTGTCTGTCTGTCTTGCATGATAACGTTTGAACCGAGGGACAGCCGGCACGTGGTAGAAAATCCCCATGTTGGCAGGAACATGCTAAATTAGTGCCAAGTTATAATAATAGGAAGCTGGGGGAAATAATTCACGCCCTCTTGGGGTCCCCTCCTCCCCCCCCAGTGTTCTCTTCCTGGTTGTAGATCCGTGTCAAAAAAACCCATAGTTATCGTCAAAGTGCAATTTCGCTTGAACTTCGCTTGGGCCCTTTTTTGTTCGGGTCCCCGATTTAATCTCGCCCGATTGACGGTGCGGCTTGGTCTGTCATGACACCATGTTGGGTTTTTTTTTCTACGGCGGGCACGGCAAGGCCGCGAGCTAGGCAAAAAAACACAAAGTGGCTTGTTAACTTTTTTCGAGATGGAGGGGCTGTTGGAAATGAGATGCCCGTATTAAGTCGGACAGAGTAAATGTTGTCATTGAGAGAGAAGGAGTGAAAAAGAACAAAACTTGTTCTCTGACTAGTTGGTGGATATACTGTCATCTCTTCTCAGATCGGTACAAATATACTGATGGAAATGACAAGGGCTCTGGACGATGCTAATGTCGTCATACCTTTTCGTACGTGAGTGACAAGCTGTACACTTCGATGCCGACTAGTACTGAGCCATAGCCCCCCTTTTCAAAGCCACCGCCGTGCCTCTTCCCCATCAATATCAATCATCATTATTATTAGAAACTGTTCATCTCGTCATTTCCAATGATGGGACGTGGCGTTCCTTTACCACCACCGCAAGTGAAAAGGCGTTTTTTTTTTGCCGGGACCCTGCATAACTAGTTAGCTGCAGTCAAATATTTTAGTTTCAGGTGAAACTATTCCATCTACCATCTTTGGCGGCCGACGTACCTTTTTTTGTTATTCAGCCCTCCACTGCCCCCTGTCAGTGGGATGGGGGAAATCAAATTTCGGTCTCTCGGCAAGGCAGATTGACAACGTTCGATCCATCCTGGAAAAAGCCCTGATTCTGACTACGTAGTACGCCGAAAGAGCATCTATCTGTCTCTTGTGGCGCTGCGCCGCTCGCCTGTGCTTTGGCAGTTCTGGTGGGTGGTGGTGGACAGGGACTGCAACGTGCCCTCTCAATATTGTAACTCGTCTGGCGTGATGCTCGCCTCGTAGGTAGTTCTGCCCAAAATCGGCATCCGCCTCCCCACCTTTACTGTCGCATTGGCAGTCATCGTATTTGCCATTAAGACTAGAAACCGACGACTTGTCATCCGAGATGTCATCACAGACTAGTTAAAAGTAGCTGCCTAATTCATCAACCAGCACGGGGAGGGTGCCACAGCACCACGGCACGTGAATCACCACAATCAACGTCCATCTTTTTATTCCCAATTTGAATGTATTAATAAAGAGTTGCCGACATTAAGTAAAATTAAAAAGGAGAGTAATGAGTAATAGCAGATGGGGTATCTAAAGGACTGTAAAAGCCGCCGCCGCTTCCTCCCAAATGTGCGACCATGATTTGGCATAGTTGAAACGCCCTCCATCGTATCATGACCAACCAAAAGAAAAAAAGCAAGAGAATAATCATCATCATCAATAGTTTACATGACGCACGATTCAATATTATGACCCTCAAGGCCTAAAAACAGTATTGCTCAGAAGCATCTGTGCTTCCTTGAGAAAATCCTTCTTTGCCGCACGGGCCGGCGACGCAGACGGTGGTGCGCTGCCTGCATCCACTGCCGGCGGCGGCGGCGGCGGCGTCGTCGTCGTTGTTGTAGTAGTAGTAGTTGTTGTTGTTGTTGCCGTCATTGTATTATGAGCCCCCGTCGAGTTTGGTGTACCATCTCCGTTTAGCTTCTCGTCGCTGCGCTTTCGTACATGCTCTTTAAGCGGCTGCACTGGCATGGGCTGCTGCTCTTCCTGTCCCGAACCGAGCCGAGATATCTCATCCTCCACGTCGGCCAGCAGCGCATACAAATCATCACCTGCATACACCCGTATGCTCTCAACAGCCTTGCGAGACTTTGTGGTGGCCGAGCTCGCAGAGCGGCCAATCGAGGCCTGGGCGGCCGCGGCTTGCTCCTCCTCCATGAGGGGCAGCTCGAGAATGGTGCTTGGCACCTGGGCCACCACGCGCTGTGGGGATGGCGAGTTGCTGCCGGTGCGCGGCGACGACGAGGCGGCGGTGGAAATTTGTTTCGTGGGGCTCCGCGGAGGGGTCGCTACATCGCGGATGCCCAGGGATGGTGATGCACCGCGTGTTTGATACGGCGATGATGCCCTGACGCTGCCATCGGGAACTGGGAGAATGGCGGCGGCGGCAACGTGCTCCAGCAGCTTCTGGCGGACCCTGGTGCGTCTGTTCTCGGCTTGCTCGAGCTTGGTGACCCAGTCGTCGATAGAAGCGTCCAGTTCCGCGAGCGCTTCTTCTTGCTTGAGCATTGAGTCGTGACTGAATTTGGCGACCCGGGGTGAGCGGAGGTACTGGCAGATGCGAGAGTGCAGGTTGCGGCGACCAGCTCGTAGTGAGCTATAAGTACGGCGGAGATACTCAGTTCGGTCGTCGAGCTGGCGAAGTTCCTGCACAACCATTAGTTGCCATGTTTAAAAGGACCGCTGTAGTCAATGTCGATTTACCTTTGAAAGAGCTTCCACGTCCTCTACTTTGAGAACTTCGAATCGTTCTGCTTGCCCTAAAGCCTGCTTGTGCAGTGCCATGACATTATTGGCGTTGAGTTTGCTAATGGCCTCACACGGCCTCCAGCCTGTTGGCAATTCCTCAAACGCGCGTCTCTCGGAACTATTGTTGGTGCTTTTGGCGTCGCCAGTCTTGCTGCCCTTTTCATTCCTCTTTGATTGTCTTCCCCGATCCATTGTGCAGGATGTCTCGGAGCCTGTTCGTCTGTGGCTCGATGCATTCGTGGTTCGGCTGCCGTCTTCATTGGAAAGGGTGTAGCTTTCCCAAAGCCGGGGTGAGCTCTTCTGTTCGGTGGGCGCGGCAGATATTGGTGTAGGGAGAGTCGACGTCGACAGTTCTGTTGCTGTGGCGGATCGAGGGACAGAGAGGTCTGGTGTAGAGGCCGGTGTCAATCGCCCAATAGTCGGCGTGCCGAGCTCGAATCTACCTGATCGGCAGGTCTCTGCGGGAGGCGAGCTGCCAGACCGTAGTTGACTGCTCGAGTGTTTAGACTGTAGTCTGGGAGGCGGGGCATTACTTGGTGGGATAACGAGAGGAGCGAGTTTGCGTGGTGAGGATGGTCGTGGTTTTGTGGCTGGGAGCTCAAAAGCGCCTTCGATGGCTCTTGCCAAGTCTTTTGTCTGTATACTGGGTTTGGGTGTTTGGTCAATGGGCCCAACTGGACTGCTGGTCTCGTCAGGGGCACTAGAAGCACGTTCGTGAAGAGCCGGGCGGCCAGGTATTGTGGCTGTCAATTTGTAAGCAGGGACCGTGGCAGAAAATCCGAGGTACACCTACGTGAGTCCATTGAGACTTCTTGCACTGTTGTCATAGGCCCAAGCTCAGGAACGCTCACTTTACGGCGTCTGACCAGGTTGTTTTGATTCAAGCGGATTCTGATGCCAGCCAAGGGAGAAGTTTTTTCGTTTTTTTCGCTAGTCTCGGAAGCCTGCGGAATCGGCAAAGCCTTTGTCGGAGGCAAGGTATTTGGAGTAGGTAGGGGCCTGTCTTTGGGGAACAGCTGATATCTTTGCGGCTGGTCTGCCTGTGCTGATTTGTGTGCAGCCGAGGACTTGCCCGCGTGCTTTGGTGGTGAGCCGGACTGCAAAGACGGCATGTCAGTCAATTTGCTGTATAAATTCCGAGTGTAGTATGCTCACGGGAAACATGGCTGGCAAAGGGGAGATTGGCTTTGTTATAGTGGCAGGCTCAACAGCAGCCATGCAGGTGGCAATATGTGCCATGATTGACTGTGTACGGCCGGCCTATATGTTCAATGTGGCTTGCTATACTATGAGATGCTTAAAACGGATCGATTGAACAGTTTGAAGCTCGCAGTACGCTTGGTATGTTGAACACGGAGAATTGACGACCTACTTCCGAGTCAAGTAGAGAAGTAGTCGTGTATGTGACGAACAGGTATATCGGAATCTCACGAGAGACGCACGTTTACGATATATACTTATTCATGTCGAGGGAGACCAGTGGAGCGCGGACCATGGCCATGGGACTCTGATTAAGTAGAGCATGGTTATGGAGTCCGTGGAGTTCCGGTGGCAGCGTCTCAGAGACAAGGTGAACCAGGGTTGGAGCCTTGGAGGCTTTGCAAGGATGGGTGGTCCATCGCTCACAGCCGGGCCATAGCGTGGGACAAGGTGTGGATTTGGAAAGTTCCACTACTGCCGTTGATTGAGGAGCCCGGCATGGCATGGCTGGAGCCTGGGACACGGATGCTCAGAGGACAGTGTGTTGAGGGGACCCACGACAAAGGTATCAAGAAAGTTGCAATCGCAACGCTGGACATCTGAGACGAGGCCGGCGACAAGCAGCAAAAAAAAAAAAGGCATGGGACGACAAGGGGCCAGCTGGACCAACGGAGACGAGTGGCGGCGGGTAGACAAGTTTTGAGTCAATCAAGGTCTTGTTGGAAAAGAAGGGAGGAGTAAGGAGGAGGGGGAGGGGCAACGATGCCTTCTTTCCCCCCCTCTGTCTCTCACAACTCAAGACACCACACGGAGAAAGATGTTCCAGAGGGGAATGGAACAGAAACACCATGTGCATGCGGAGGCGTAACAGTCAGACAGGCGTTCCTTTCGAGATGTTAGAGCATCGACTTGGCTAGCACAACAAGGAGGGGGCGACGATGATGATGGTGGGGGGGGAGTGTAACAGATGACAGGGAAGGCTGGCTTCTGCGGCAGACCCGCTCCATCTCTCTGCAGGCTGCAGCCCATGGTTCCTTCTCAAAGGGCAGCAGCAGGCGGGCCACTGGCGTGCAGCGAGCAATCCGGGGGGCGTGTGGCGTGCGTCTCTCCGCTGGGAACGGTGGGCGTTATGTAAGGGGGTGGGCGTCCCTGCCACGAGTTCCGCACATGTTGGGCACTCGCACTAGTCAACGACGCTATTCTTTTTAATCTAGGGCCAAAATGCCTGAGCGAACTTGTTCCTGTGTACTTATCCATACACTAACGTTAGTTCAATCTTTTCTTGCTTCTAAACACTGGAGAGATGTCACTAAATACTGGAGAGATGCAAGAAAATGGGCTGTTTTTTTTTTCTGCTGCTCGAACCTCTCTGGGCCAAAACGGCAAAGGCCCAACCAAGTAACTGGCCCACGCCGGAGCAGCGATTTGATGCATGTTTCGAGACTCGTGTTGTTACTTGATGATATCATGACTTTTTTTTTCCCCTACAGTTATCAACACGTTTGTTTGCCACAACGACGATGCGAGCTGATACTGTCAGAGCCGACAAATCCCGCAAATTCAATGTAGAGTTTGGAATATGTACATGCAGATGCTCGTAGGGAAAAGATTGAGCCCGGAGAAGCCCATCTGGACGCCCACTGTCGCGGCTGTTTGCGCCACCTCCAGTGCCAAGCCTTGCGTTCCAAATGAAAGATGCAGCATCTCTCACCGCATGGCTATTGCTTTTACTCCGTACTTTCTTTTCTTTTTCGTTTTCTTTTCTCTGAATTTGCCCCAGCCTGGCCTCGACGGCCCCATAAGGTATGTATGCTGCAGCCTGCTTCGCGACCACAGACTTAATCATGAACGCTGCGTGCAAAAGCCCACCACAACCCAGGCAACGATAAAACTAATAGTATGCATTCTTTTGTTTGTGGGCATGGCCCGGCCGTGCACAATGGCCTAGTCACCGAGGAACGAGTCGTGGCCTGAGTATAGCCCCCGGGGAAACCCGTCAGCAATGGTTCCTCGCCCAGCTGAATTCTTGTAAACTAATCATTCTGGGCGAGCCTCGCACGGCTGTGGCGGCGACGCATGATGATGACGATTCCCGATGCTTTTCGCAGGGCTGTAATTACTGAGTATTGGTATAAAAACTTTGCCATGTTCCCAGATCTGCCACCGGCAAAAAAAAACCGGCAATACCCATGTGCTGTCATCCATGCAATTTTTGGTCACAGGTACGGTTATTCGGGGACCTTGAGGAATCCTGGACCTTGAAAAAAAAAGTTCTTTTTAATATTTTTTTTTCTTTTTTTTTCAATCAGAGATGATGACATGGGCGACTCGTGATTCCCAGACCCTGGGGGCCCTGGCACTGTCAGTGCTGTTCCCGTCACCTCAACGAGCAGAGGCTGCAGACATTGTACATGCCTGCATTAATAAAGAGCGGAAACATTTTTTGACGTGGAAAAAAAAATCTTCTTTCTGAATCGCGCATACTTTGTGCATCAATCGTAAACTTGTCCAAACATTTACAGCATGATGTTTTCAGGTTGCCCCTCGTGTTTGCGCGTGCTAGCGCGCAGTAGCAGGTGGGAGACTGGCGACTGCTGCGCCTCTCCGTGTGTGTGTGTGTGTGTGTGTGTGCATTGTATTGCCAGGTTTGACCATGAGACCGTAAGCCGTTTTATTTTTATTCCTCTTTTGCAACAGCTTATTACTGAATCGTGGAATTGGCCAAACGAAGACTCTTCATTAATGATTGCTAATGACTCGGCTGGCTGCAAACGGGTTCTCTTAAAGAGAGGGTTGAAAGAACCAATACAGCTTCTGGCATCGCAACTTACCCCCCCCCCCCCCCAAACAAAACAAGCTGATGAGACATGGATTCGCATCTATAGTTTAGCTACGAAACCATGAAAGAATTGCAGCGAAACAAAGTCTGATTGTTGGCTACCCAAAAAAAAAAACAAGCAAACTTTTTCCTTGCATGCATGATGCGCATGACAACGACGATAATGTTTCTAAGAGTTGCATGGCGACTGGGTGGGGTATTAGCCAAAAGAGGCACTAGTATTTGGTGCTTCTCGTTTGAGCTGATCTAGTAGTCCGTCTTGGAGCGGCTTTTGAAATTTGTTTCAAAAACTACACCAACACTTTTTTTGTCATTGCTTGTTCTTCCTACGACCACTGTAATGTCACCAAAAACAGAAATCATTCCCAAAGAGCCGTGTGGCGGTGTGCTAGGCCAAGTTGACTGCTCAGCCTTGCGTCAGTGCGCTCTTATTTCCTCTTTCCGTAATCCGTACTCCGTATTTATTGTCCCCTCGGGTTTTGTCTCCTCGTCTTCCCCCCATGGGTTTCTCACGACAACGCCGTACCCACCTGTTTTTTTGAGCTCGGACGCTTGCCTCTCGCAGAACTGGTAACTGCCAACATGTACACACTGTTAATAGGTACGGAGTACATACTTTGTTGTATCGCATTGTCTCGCCCGTTCAGTGACCTGCGGGGAACCGTAGGGTGGTGCTGCCAACCTGCCAAACAAGAATAAATTAAAAACGGCCTTCTAGTTAGTTTTGGCACAAAAAGGACCGAGCATTGTCTTTCTCGATGGATAAAGAGTCCGCTTTCGTCGCGAAGCCTTGTTCATGCTGGCTCCTTCGGCATTGTCCGAGAAACAAGGGCCTGTCTGGCTTTTGACCATGTTGGCCCTTGGCTTTTTGCGCCGCGCTTTCGTACTTTTTTTTTTTTTCTTCCTTTAAATTTTTCCCGACAGGCTGAGCGTTACATGTGCATGTGAGTTGTATGGCATCTGTCATCTGAGATGCATTGAGACAGCAAGGGAGTTGGGCGGCGAAATGCTGACAAGGGCTCTCTTTTGTAACGTTAATAATATTTCCCCTTCTGGCGCTCTCATTGCCGCCGTCTTGTGACATGATCCTCCACGGGCGGAATTGATCATCGATGGCAGTTGAGTTGCGAGTGGTGCGCTTTGACACGGGTTTGTTCCCAAAGGCCTTCCCGTATACTCCGTATCGAGACTACCAATTGTACAAGACGGATTATAAGACCATTTCGACGTCATGGCCCTGTACGATACCAAAATCTGCCACTTGTAGAGTCTTGGATCTTTCAGCAGCCAGCTGACCTATGCGTTTATGCGATAGGGAAACACACTAGAGACATGTTTTGTGTATTGCAATCAAACCCAATCGATTCGCAGAAAGCAGGCAAAAAAAAACCCGATGGCCAATGTTGGCAGACACAATAGACAAGCAAGCTGAGCTACTGTTGATAGCGCCGATTGTCCAATGCAAGTCCGTTTTCTTAGTTCCAAGCCCCCTCCCCCCTTCCAAGCCATTGGCTACGTTATACTGGCGTGATCTGGCACAATTGCATTGCATTAATGCATCTCAAATTCGAGACCACTTTTTTTTTCCATGCCAGCACAAGGCTCTAGTAATGCAAGCCCCAAGTAGAAGTAATGCAAGCCAAGTAGAGTAATGCACGCCCAAGTAGCCAAGCCAAGCTTCCCATTCGTGACAAGTGCCGGACAGCACTTGGCGTTGCGTGTGTTCGCAAGTTGACCGACAGCCGATAGCTCCGGGTCCCATCATCGACACAATCAGTCCTCCCTTACTTCTGTTTCTATTTTTATGGAAAATAGCTCTCTATAACATACATCCCACTTTCTCTCTTCGCCTGTTGCCGTAATAGAGGGGAAAAAAAACTGGCTCCATTCCCGCCTGCCGCCGCACCACTGGCAAGGCTCGAGACGTTGGTTTCAGTGCAACAGGAGCGAAAGAAAGGGAAAAAAAATTATAATTCTTGTTTTAAAGACCGCGATGGCTTGCCGCCTTGCTTCATCCTTGACGGGTTTGCGATTTTGGAGAGACGGCCTGTGCTTTTAGCCGCAACCCTGTACCCTGTCAGAAACACCAAAGAGGGGGGTCGACAAAAACGACAAGTTGATTACGAGTTATGAGACCTTGATTATCGGAGACTGACCGCCTGCAAGCCATGAGGTGCAGCTTGCCGCTCGAGACCTTTTTAAACTTGCTTGTTTGCTTTTGAATGTTGTTTGTAAAAAAAAGGGATACGCCTGGTGTGCATGATATTCATGACTTGGCTTGCAGCAAGAGCTTCCGAGCCTACCTACAGTTGCTATTGTCGCTGCGAGTAAGGTATCATTTCTCTTTTCACCCCCACTAGCCGCACTGCATTCGAGTTGCATGAAACGAAAAGTTTGGGCCAGTCCAGGAAGTGGTGTTTTTTTTTTTCTTTTCGATCATGTAGGTGCACACTTTGTTACTTTACAGTTTCTCGCAGCATATGCTCTTACATCTCTTGTCGGGACTCTTGCTCTAGACATTAGGGTAAAGAGTAGTATTGATAACTAAAAAAGGCAACCACAACGAGCCCCAGCAGTGTGAACGGCCAAACAGTCATAGCGGGCATAATACCTTGGGGGTCGTTTCTTTCTTTTTTTTTTTTTTTTTTTTTTTTCCATTTTCCCGAGTTTTGTCTGTTCTTTCTATATGCGTCGTAGGTGAGCATTAGCTTTGACGCGATGCAACAATGTGATCATCGGAGCCTTTGTGCATGGTGTTCCGGGGAGGAAGGGGTTGGGGGGGACGAGAGTACGGATATTGCATATTCCGAAAGACATGGGAGGCCACTGGTCGCCACTGACCACCGGCCGAGCCTTTGCAAAACCAACACATGTCGCAATTACCTGAGAGATGAGATCCTGTCCCAGGTATGAGCAACTAGATGACACCATGGATAATTCGGTGTTGCACTGGACTACGGTCGGGGAAGCACGAAGGATGAATTACAAATATTGTCCCAGCAGCGGTGTCTATAAACGGTGCCTTGACGAGCACGGAACATTTTGCCATGTACAGAAGTTGAGGAGGCGTAGCAACCTCACACAATATCCGAGCGCACAATATACTCTAGACGAAAAGAAGAAAGAAAATATTTGTATCTTGGAAAGCGGCGATCAGCGCTGCAGTGCACTGCATGAAAAGTGCACCTCTCCGACACGCACCTGACTCGTCATATAGACTAAAAGCTCAATTGGAGGGGGGCGTCTTTGTGGCTTTGTGGCGAATGGCACTGATTGGCGATGTTATGTTTCGACTATCACATACGACTTACAACGACCAAGCTTATTAATCTCCGACTCTGCTGCTCGTATCACACACCTTGTTTGTTATACCTTGATTGTGAGAGTCGCATTGTTGTGAAGTGGTTGACGTGGCTTGCTTGCATGGCTGCATGATTGCACGTCGTCGGCGTCGACGTGGTGCGAGTCTGGATCCGGCTCTGTGCTTCCGTTATCTGAGATGATGCAAGGTAAACAATGCATCTACATACGACAACAATATGCACTATCGGAGCATTTTTCTATTTACATGCAAGGATGCATAATGGGCCGAGATCGCATTGTGCAGCTTATTAGAGTTTCTCCGTCAAACATATGCAGATAGAGAGAGCTATACCTGAGATCTGTCTCGGCCCGTCCAGACTCGTGGGGTTGGTTTACTGATGACTAGTTAGCATGAGATGCGCCAATGTATAGCATCTCAAGTATGATTACAGATGTTAGAGTGTCTCAAAGCTAGATTTGCATAATTATTAGTTTCTGAATTTACATTTTTGTCCCGAGCGCATTGGAAAATCGTCCACCATCGCTTGGCATTTTCCTCCAACCACGCGCCGACACTAGTCAATCGGGAACAAGAAGCGGCCCGTGGCCGAAAGAAATAGCATAAATAATAAGTAAAAGCCATGAAGCCAAAGCCCTTTTTTTTCTGTTCAATGCCGACCAGCCAGACAGGCATGCGGCTTGTTAGTGTATGTATGTATGTACTGATAAAGTTTTAGGGGGGAGGGGGAGGGAGGGGTGAGGTGGTTTAGTGCCCGACATTGGCCACGATCTTGTTTCATGCGCTGCAAGACGGAAGCTAAAAAGCTGGTTGACGCTTTTTTTCGCGAAGGAATTGGTCGATTCCGAGATGGATTATCAGGCGCAGTATTAATTTTTTTTTTTCCTATTCCCTTAATGCTCCGATTTGAGTTTTCATGTGCAGATCGCCCAGAGCGCGGTTGTGTGCGGGGGAGGGTCCAATCGTGCGATTGATCAAGATGGTAACAAGTGGGATGGATAAGGCGCTGCCTACTCATCATGATAGTTTTACATATCAAGTAACTCTCCTGTTGTTGTATTGTTTCTTTTGAAACATCTTCGTTATTTCTTTGCCTCTTTTTCTTCTCTTTTTTTTTTTTTTTTTTTTTTTTTGGCCACCTCATACCTTGTTAGCCCGTTTGCCCTCTTTCTTCAGTCTGGGACGCCAGGGCTTCAATCCCATCTTTAGGTGCGGCTTTCGGGGTCACATTGTCTTACAACGATGCATGCTGGCGTCATGAGGCTAGCATTTCTTATGCTCACATGCGCGCATGTAATCAGAAAAATGCTGCATGCATTAGCGGTACGCAGACTCTGGTAGTTACATCTACTGGTGAAACTCGAATTTGCTCTTGGTCTTGGACTCTCCAGCCTAACATGAATGCGACGCTAAAAGTGTCAGGGCTTTGGGGAAACGAATCAATTAATAATTAGTCAATGCTACGGCAATACGTGTGAGCGGGTTTGGCCGACTGCAAATCTCATTTCGTTTCCTTACTTGGCAAGCTGCAAAGACAACGGCGAACACGCCTCTTTTTTTCCCTTTGCTTCTTTTTTTTTCTGGACCAATTCTAATATTAGCAATGTTATTATTAGTTCAGGCTGGCACACAGTTGTTATGAAAAAAATAGAATGAAATAAATAAAATAAAAAAAGAGCAACAGGCTGAGTTCTCTTCTCGGGCGTAATACGGGCGCTGGATCGTCTCCTTCTGTGTCCTTGGACTGAGAGTCCGGTGGGTGCCACCATGCAGGGTCAATTGACAGGCGCCACAACTGACACAAGTCCATCCCATCTGCCCAACTTTTTGTATGTCTCTACACGAGAAGGGTGTGTGACCCTTGGACTGGCAAAAAGTTTCAGAAGCGCTAGTTGGGCCAGGGTACAAGTCCGCAATGGTACTGTAACACTGGGTGCTAAGTTTCGGAGGGGGGGGGATGCGCAGGGCCTGGGTGCATGGCGTCGTCGTGTCCATGCATTTCAATCACAGCTCGTGTTTCTCATTTCGTGAATGGTGGCTTTGAGGCGTTCTTGACCTGTAACGAACGTGTAGCCTGGGCGGGCGGATGGATACGGGCGGCGAGCCAGGCTCGGTAGGCAAGGCCAAAGGAAATTGGTAGAAAGCCCAATATTGAAAAGTGTCGGGCCAAAGTAGAAGCGAAGAAGGCTTTGGCGCAAGTGCGGTGGCTTGAGATGTGGGCAGATTATATCAAAAAGACTGGAGGCTCGGATGTATGCCGTTGGTGTGCAGGTCAAAATTACAAACAGATTGGGGAAATCCGGTATGCCGGAAAAGGACTCTATTGAATTCAATATATCCGTACGTAGTAGGTCAATATACGGATTCGTTGCCGGATGTATGTGTTGCAGCCACCGTCACCTGAGCTGGCGGATAGCCAAGCCGTGGCTGCATGTATAGAGGGGTGTGTTGGGCTTTGATATATGACTGGTAAGATTCAAGACGGGCGAGATTATAAACGAATTCATTGATTTTTTGGGATATTTATCCCATCTCTGTTTGTTGTCTCTATCCTCGTCGTCCTGCGTAATGTATTGGTATGAGAAAGCGGGCCGCTTTTGGACACCACGTCATGAATGCATCGAGCCATGTACTGCAGCGAATCAAATCGACTTCTTAGTCAGTAATCTGGCGATTGTCTCGCAGTTTCCCCGGGTGCCATGCATCAAGTGATCACTTGATCGTGCGGCACCTCGCATCACCATTGCCCAACCTCCAAACCTCACCTCCTCCGCTACACCGAGGCGGACCCCGCCTTGTAACTAGGACACCAGATCTCCATAAGGTAGTAAGACAGCGCAGCGGGCGATCCGTTATTAGCCGTTGCGGCAGAATGGTGTGCTACTTTCCCCAAAAGCTTCCCCATTGACATTTGGATTTTCATTACAGGCTCTGACGGCATCGGCACCCGCAAAAAAAAATCAAGTGCACCCCCAAAGTTAGATGGCGTCGTGGACAGCTGTCATCACCAACAACAGCGGATCGCGAATCTCTAGCCGTCTCTTCCGCTTCTCCTCTGTCCCCGCTCCTACCCTCACCATCACGACGACTGCGTCTCGACGGAGCTTTGCGACGGTGCCAAGCTCCTCCCAGCCCACATCACCAGCACCAGCAGCAGCAGCACCAGCAGCAGCAACCATGGCCGCGCAGCGCGATCCCACCACCCTCTCCAACTATGGCCTCTGGCGCACGCGCCACACAGCCGTCGACTTTTATATCGATTTTGAGCGCAAGCGGCTGCGGGGCTCGGTGACGCTGCGGCTCGAAAGCCAGACGGACGCGGCCCCCGGCTCGGCCGAGGTGGTGCTCGACACGCGCTTCGTCCACGTCTCGGGAGCGCGCGTCGACGGCGCCGATGCCGCCTGGGAGCTCAAGCCGCACCAGGAGCCGCTCGGCGCGCCGCTGCACGTCACGCTGCCCGACACCGCCGACACCGCCGCCGCCGTGTCCAAGGGCCGCACTATTGAGCTGACGCTCGACGTGGAGACGACGGAGCGCTGCACGGCGCTGCAGTGGCTGACGCCCGCGCAAACGTCCAACAAGAAGCATCCGTACATGTTTTCGCAGTGCCAGGCCATCAACTGCCGCAGCATCTTTCCCTGCCAGGACACGCCCGACGTCAAGTCGACGGTGGCGTTTCGTCTGACGTCGGCGCTGCCCACTGTTGCCAGCGGCGTGCCCGTCGGCGATCACGCGCCGACGCCGGGCGTCGAAAAGGTGTACGAGTTTAAGCAGGATGTGCCCATTCCGTCGTACCTGTTTGCCGTCGCGTCGGGCGATATTCGCACAGCGCGCATCGGTGAGCGAAGCTCTGTGGCCAGCGGGCCAGACGAGGTCGACGGATGTCAGTGGGAGCTGCGCCGCGACATGGACAAGTTTCTCAAGGTTGCGGAGAAGCTCATCTTTCCGTACCGCTGGGGCGAGTACAACGTCTTGGTCCTGCCGCCCAGCTTTCCTTATGGAGGTGTGTATGCGGTTTGATTTGCCATCTTGACTCTCCGATGCGTCGGCTGACAATGCACAGGCATGGAGAATCCCATCTACACCTTTGCCACTCCCACCATCATCAGCGGCGATCGCCAAAACGTCGACGTCATTGCTCACGAACTTGCCCACAGCTGGAGTGGCAATCTCGTTTCCAATGCCAGCTGGGAGCACTTGTAAGTGTATCATGTATGCAAGTATCATTCTGGCGTGAAGCTAACTCGTGACAGCTGGCTCAACGAAGGCTGGACCGTCTACCTGGAGCGTCGCATTGGTGCCGGCCTGCACGGTGAGCAAGAATTCGACTTTTCGTCCATCATTGGCTGGAAGGCTCTCGGTACGTATTGATCGCCTACGTGTAGCGGGAATCGACAACGCTGACATGCTTCCAGAGGAGGCTGTGAATGACTTTGGCCACGACCACGAGTACACCAAGCTCATCATCAGCCACAAGAATGTCGACCCCGAGGACGTCTACAGCACGGTCGCGTATGAAAAGGGCTTCCACTTCCTCTACTATCTCGATCGCCTCGTCGGCCGCGACAACTTTGACAAGTTTATCCCTCACTACTTTACCAAATGGGCCGGCAAGTCGCTCGACTCGTTTGAATTCAAAGCGACGTTTTTGGATTACTTCAACGGGCTCGGAGACGAGTCGATCAAGCAGAAAATCGCCACCATTGACTGGGAGGACAAGCTGTACTCGCCCGGCCTGCCGCCCAAGCCCGACTTTGACACGACTCTGGCCCAGCAGTGCTACGATTTGGCGAATCAGTGGAAGGACAGCGTGAGTAGAGTACCGTGCTTACACCACCACCAGCCCAGTACATCAGACTAACCGCATTTTCCAATCTAGTCATTTGAGCCCAGCCGTAAAGACATTGAGGGCTTGACGGCGAACCAGCTGCAGGTGTTCCTCGGCGCGGTGCAAGAGCAAAAGGGCCTGTCGGCGGAGCGCGCGCAAAAGATGGGCGCCGTCTACGACTTTATCTCGTCGGAGAATGTCGAGGTGCTCGCGGCGTACTACCGCATCGCGCTGGCGGCCAACGACCCGACGTGCGTGTACGGCGTGGCGGAGCTGCTGGGCCGCGTGGGCCGCATGAAGTTTGTGCGGCCGCTGTTTCGGGCGCTCAACGAGGCGGACCGCGATCTGGCGCTGAAGACGTTTGCCAAGAACAGGGACTTTTACCATCCCATCTGCAGGGGCATGGTAGAAAAGGATCTCAAGATTTAAAGGGGAAAATCAAGTAAAATTTCCGAGTCTCAAGGATTTTGCAGATAGATAGCATGCACCAGGATAGACGTGTGCATGTGGGCTATACCTTGATAGAGCATAAAGTCAAAACTATAAAGACGAAGCCATACTAGTCCATTTTATCATGTCTATATCGAAGTATCTACGTGTGCATATGGGATATCACTGATCAAGTCGTACTATAAAGACGATGCCATGCTAGTCTATCCTATCGTATCTGTATTAATGCGTGTACTATCCTAAGAGGTAAGAGACTCCAACGAGTTACTCGAGCCAAGACGAGGTTCCCATGCTGTCGGCCCATGTCTGCTCTTGATTGCGCTCAAAGCGCGATATCGAGTCAATTTCAAGGGCACCAAAGTTGCCATACAGGTGAGGGAAGCCGTTCTCAAACTTGACGGGATCTGATAGTTTGGAGAGCTCCAGCTTGACGACCCAAAGCTTTGTGTGCTCGGCAAAAAACAAGTCTGCTGTTTGGGGGACCTGCTTCCGTGTTAATGATGAAAACTTGATTTTCTATGTCTTCTTGAATGTAGATGGAGCTGGTTGGGTGTTTCTTGTACCTGGGTTGCGGTGCTTAGATGAACGAACCCATCTTTGGCGTCCAGCTCAGACAAGGGTAGCAGGCCGGGCAAGGGTTCGATCGGGGCGTCGGGCAGGATCTTGTATACGAATTGCGGAGATTCGGAGCCCATTTTTCACAGATTATCGGCAGCTTATGTAGTGATGCGCAGAGAATATGTTGCAACAGTTGAGGGGACAAGATGGAATTATGACGTTTGGGTTTTAGGGTAATGGCGAGAGGGGCACATGGTGGCGCAGGATTGGTGGGCGGTTTTTGACGGGGAGGGTCAGACTACTACGATGGAGGGGGGAAGCAAACGCGGCAGACGTGCTCCTCACACAACAAATGTTCTACCTCGTGAAGAGAAAAAAGGAATGAGTAGAGGGCCGCTGCCGTCGGAGCTATGTTTACTGTCTTGGCTGCCTCGTCGTAAAATTGACGACAAGGTGCGGTTCCTTGGCTGGTACGTTGTCGCGTGCAAAAAAAGGGATTTTTTTTTCTGGCCAACAGGGGGGGGCAAAAAACTAACAAGCAAGTTGGGGGGGGAGCAGTGTCACGGCTTACTCGACCAAGACTGCGTGCATCACGCTGGGCCATCTGTACCCGCGAGGCACAAACGTGTCGGTGACGGTGAATGTCGAGCTGCTGCTGGAGACGCTGGCGTCCGAGGCGACTCGCACGGGCGAATGGGTCAACGTGATTGGGTACGTCAAGGGCGTGGACGTGGTTGGGAACGGCGCGGCGGCGGTGCAGGCGCTGATGGTCTGGCCGGCCGGACCGATGGATATTCAGCATTACGAAGCTGCGCTGGAGGAGATGCAAGCGACGGCGCACACGGATTCATGAAGAACGACGAAGGGACGGCTAATAATACCAAGTAACGTCGAGAGCAAGGTTGCCCGTTTTGTCTCGACGGTGTGGGTTGGAGAGCGAGTCAGCGGCAAATGGAGCCGCGCAGGTTCGAGGTTGCATTGCGCTATCGAAGCGACATGTTTATAATTGGCAATCTCGGTGCATTGATCTTTTTTCTTCTTCTCCTTTTGATCGACGAGTTGTGATGGGTGAAACACGTTTCTTGTGTTGCAAGAGTCGGCGAGAGGGAGCATTGTGTGGATGCGGGTGGAGAGTGAGTGAAGAGAGAGATGCTCGATTGATTGTGAGATGGAAACGCGTGCATAATTCAGCCCTTTTCGAGGTAATAGAAACAATTGATATATGAAAAATAAAACGTTGTCGCTACCCGCTCATGCCGCTGTCATATGCGGGAAACCAGGCACAAAAGCATCAGGGCGGGGCAGCCAGTGAGAGAGGCATCTCGAGGGAGCCACGTGAAAGTACCTAATTTTTGGTGGCTGCTGGTCCGGCAAGTCGCAGTGATGACTTTTTGTAAATAAAGTTAGCAAAGAGCTTGAATTAGCTGCAACGTAGCCGGGCGTGATTACCGTTTCGCACTCGTATGAATTTTCTTTCTTAACCAAGCAACTTGGGCTTAATTCGTTAATTCGTCGACCAAGTACCTACGCAAGCCAAGTACCGGATTATTTCCTGCGTTACCTATGCAGAGCACTACTACGTCAATGTCGGCACCGCGTCTCGCGTCTCCATGTGAATCTTGACTCCTGTCTCCCTTGCTGCTCACCTACCACCCACCTTCAAATCTACCACGACTTGACGAACATTTGCGCTTTACCTCAACATCTGGCCCTGCATAGCTCTGGCGCTCATCTTTGGAGAATGTAACATTTTTTTTTTCTACCTCACACTCTGTCTACCTTTTTTTTTCGCCCGAACGAGGCTACAACAATACCCACACGGGAAATAGCGAACATCCGCCCCTCCGCAATCTCCAACTCAACCTCGAAGACGCCCAGTCGCAAGTCTTGCGCTGCAGAATCCCCTCGCTGGCCAAAGCTGTCGCCGAAATAGGCTTCTTCGACTTGACGGGCCCTGATATTTGAGCGAAAAGTTCTTGGCGAATTTCGAAACAAACTATATTGACCACATTGCGACGCGAATCGCATAATTACGTCCATACCCCTTTCGACGGGCTGCCACGACGTGGCGCATTTCCTATCGACGACCCAATACATAATCAAGGGGACCACACTCGGTCCCCAACTGCAGTATCGCTGCCATGGCTCCCGCAGGCGGTGGCAATATCAAGGTCGTGGTCCGAGTTCGTCCCTTCAACAGCAGAGAAATCGACCGCGGCTCAAAATGTATCGTCGAAATGAAAGACAACCAAACCGTCATCTCTACCCCAGACGGTCATGGCGGTAAAAGCGCAAAGGCTGAAGCCCCCAAGAGCTTTGCATTTGACAGATCATACTGGTCCTTTGACAAGAACGACTCAAACTACGCCGCCCAGTCCAACCTCTTTGACGACCTCGGCAAGCCCTTGCTCGACAATGCCTTTCAGGGCTACAACAACTGCATCTTTGCCTATGGCCAGACCGGTTCCGGAAAGTCTTATTCCATGATGGGTTATGGCAAAGAAATCGGCATCATTCCCAACATTTGCCAGGACATGTTTAGCCGTATAAACCAGATTCAGGCCGACGCCACGACAAAGTGCACAGTCGAAGTCTCCTATCTCGAAATCTACAACGAGCGCGTACGCGACTTGCTCAACCCCTCGACAAAGGGAAATCTCAAAGTCCGAGAGCATCCTTCCACCGGCCCCTACGTCGAGGATCTTGCCAAGCTGGTAGTCGGCAGCTTCCAAGAAATCGAAAACCTCATGGATGAAGGAAACAAGGCCCGTACAGTCGCCGCCACCAACATGAACGAAACCTCGAGTCGATCCCACGCCGTCTTCACCCTCATGCTCACCCAAAAAAAGTACGATGCCGAGACCAAAATGGAAATGGAAAAGGTGGCCAAAATCTCCCTAGTCGACTTGGCTGGTTCAGAAAGAGCTACGTCCACTGGGGCTACAGGTGCGCGACTAAAGGAAGGTGCCGAGATCAACCGATCTCTATCTACCCTCGGCCGTGTTATTGCTGCGCTGGCCGACCTGTCCACCGGCGCCAAGAAGAAAAAGGGCGGCTCCCAAGTACCGTATCGCGATTCTGTCTTGACATGGCTTCTCAAAGATTCGCTCGGTGGAAACAGCATGACTGCAATGATTGCAGCCATCAGTCCAGCCGATATCAATTACGATGAAACGCTCAGCACCCTGCGATACGCCGACTCTGCCAAGCGCATCAAGAACCACGCCGTCATCAATGAAGATGCCAACGCGCGCATGATCAGAGAGCTCAAGGAAGAACTTGCGCTACTACGGAGCAAGCTTGGCGGAGGAACGGTCGGAGCTGGGGGTGCTCCAATACCTGCAGACGAAATCTATGATGAGAATACACCGCTCGAGAAGCAAATGGTCAGCATCACCGGCGCGGATGGCTTGCCCAAGAAAGTCTCAAAAGCAGAAATTGCTGAGCAGCTTAGCCAAAGCGAAAAGCTTCTTACAGACCTTAACCAAACATGGGAGCAGAAGCTGCAAAAGACTGAAGAGATTCACAAGGAACGAGAAGCGGCACTCGAAGAGCTTGGCATCAGCATCGAAAAGGGCTTCATTGGGCTGCATACCCCAAAGAAGATGCCCCATTTGGTCAACTTATCAGACGATCCATTACTGGCAGAATGCTTAGTCTACAACCTCAAACCGGGTACAACGACTGTTGGAAATGTAGATACCAACGCCGATCATCAGGCCAACATTCGACTAAACGGAACTCGAATCCTACACGATCATTGTACTTTTGAAAATGCCGCCGCCGACGGCACAGTCACCGTCATTCCTAGCGAAGGCGCCTCTGTCATGGTTAATGGCAAGCGCATTACCGAAGCCACTCAACTACATTCTGGCTACAGAGTCATCCTTGGAGACTTTCACATTTTCCGATTCAACCACCCCATGGAAGCCAGAGCGGAAAGAGCAGAAGTCGGCAACAGTCTCCTGCGCCAATCCGTCACAGCCAGCCATATCCAGGCTTGGGAGAGGTCAACATCAAGTCCCACACCTGGCTCACGCCCCGGCCATGAGCGGGCGTACAGCAAAGCATCTGATTTCGGTGACCTTTCAAGACCGGAATCTCCGTCTCTTCGCAATAATCGAGATACTGACTGGTCTGCGGCGCGTCGAGAAGCTGCAGGCGCCATCCTCGGATCTGACCAGACAAACTTTACTAGCCTCACAGACGAGGAGCTCAATGCTTTGTTCGAAGAAGTGCAACGAGCACGAGCTGAGCGCGTCAACGTTCGCGAGGATGGCGAGGATACGGAATCTGTGACTTCCTATCAACTGCGCGAAAAATACATGTCCAATGGAACCATTGACAACTTTTCTCTCGACACGGCTCTGACCATGCCTTCAACTCCAAAGCAGGGTGAGGCTGAGGACAGGTTAAGAGAGGTTCGCGAGGAGCTACAAAGCCAGCTTGAAAAACAAAAGGAAGAATTTCAAGACCAGCTCAAGAGTGCAGAGGCCGCCAACGTCGAAGTCGAGGAAATTAAAAGAGAAAAAGTCAAGATGGAGGCTGCTCTGCAGGAACTCAAAGAAGACATGCAAAAGCAGCTCAAGATTCAGAAAAAGCAGTTTGAGGAGAAGATGGAAAAGATGGACCCGTTGAAGCGACCCAAGGCCAGCCCCAAGCTCTCGGAGGGAGAGCTGGAGCGAGCAAAGAAGGTCATTGGTATTTGGCGAGACCGACACTATGTCAAGATGGCAGAGACGGTGCTACAAAATGCCGCGGTGCTGAAGGAGGCGCAAATCATGAGCAATGAGCTTGATGAGAGTGTTGTTTTCCAGTTTGCTGTCGTGGACGTCGGCCACGTCATGTGCTCCTCGTACGATATGGTTCTCAACGGACTTACCAGTGAAGGAGAGGATGTGGCCCTTGAGGAGACTCCAAAGCCGTGCATCGGCATCAGAGTCATTGACTACCGCAATAACGTTGTCCGGCTGTGGAGCTTGGAGAAGCTGCACGACCGCGTACGCCAAATGCGCCAGATGCACCAATATCTCGACCAGCCCGAATATGCTCAGCACCTCAGTCTGGATAACCCGTTCATCGAGCACTGTATGCCTTCCTACACGTTGATAGGCGAAGTCGACGTGCCTCTAAAAGCCGTCTTCGAGAGCCGTGTACAGGACTTTTCCTTGGACGTGCTATCGCCATACACGTCTCACGCCATTGGCATTGTGAAGCTGTCACTTGAGCCATCTCATGCTCGAGCCCCCACAAACACGCTCAAGTTCAATGTGGTCATGCACGAGTTTATTGGCTTTGCCGAGCGCGAAGGCACCGAGGTTCACGCCCAACTCTTTATCCCCGGTGTCTCAGAAGAGGACGGCGTGACAACTACACAAATGATTACCGAGTTTGACGAAGGCCCTATTCGCTTTGAGAGCGTACACAACATGAGCGTTCCCCTTTTCGCGCCCCAAGATGTCATGCTGAGAGCATCCATCTACGCCAAAGTCCAACCAATGCATCTCGATAAACTCCTTAGCTGGGATGATATGAGAGATGCAGCCCCATCGCGTGACGGTGCCAAGGCAAGCCGCATCAACGAGGCACAGTTCTACACGCAAGAAAAGCACGACATGCTTTCCAGGATTCAGATCCTCGAACTCAACGAGATGGGAGAGTATGCTCCTGTCGAGGTCACTCAAGTTAGCGAACTGGACACGGGCACATTCCAGCTTCACCAAGGGTTGCAAAGAAGAATTGCCATCAACATCGCCCACAGCTCCGGCGATGCCCTTCCATGGGGTGATGTGACAGCTGTCCGCGTTGGCAAGGTACGCCTAGTCGACTCTGGCGGCAAGACACCAGATATGGGTGCGAGCGAACCTGACATTCAATTACGCCTCACGTCACATCCCATCTTCCGCCAAAACCCCAACGGCACGCGCAGCATCACCGTTTTTGCACAATGGGACTCGAGCCTGCACAACTCCCTACTACTCGATCGTGTGACGGCCGACAAGTACAAGGTGCAGATGAGCATTAGCTGGGAAATCAGCTCCGAGAAGCTGGCGGAGCCTATGAAGTTTTCGCAAAAGGTCTGCATACAGGTTCTCTCGCGAACATTTGTGCGCCAAACATCCATGTTCTCCGCACTCTGGCAAAATATGCGCTTCATCCGCTCCTCGACTGGTATCTTTACAATCACCATGAGACCAGCGCCGATTAAGCGAGTCGGTGACTTGTGGAGGATGAACAGCCGACACGACTACGTCAAGGGTGAAGAGAACCTTGACAGCTGGAACCCACGGGGAGTGTCGCTTGTGAGCGACTTTATTCTCGCGCGAAAGAAGAGACGACGGATAGCCGAGATTGGTGCCGTGCACATGATGCTTCATGTTCTTGGCATCGATCCAAGTGGGCAACTGGTCAAGGAAGCATCTGAACCAGAGCCAGAGCCAGAGATTCAGAAGCCTGTGCTGCCCGACGACGATGATTTGCTGCATGACACGCCCGAAACTTCGCAGGTGCCGTGTCTTGAGGAGGAAGCAGAAGCGAGAGCTGCTGATGGCGGAAATGAGGACGAGGCAAAGGGCGAGGGTGAAGCTGATGGCGAAGAGACAGTCAAGATCGAAGTTTCGGCACCGTCAGAGAAACCAATATACAACGAGCAACAAGTCGAGCTTCTACAAAAGTGTCTGTCACTATGGCTCAAGTACCCCGACCCGCTCACCAAGATCCTCAGCCCGGCCAACACGGCACCTCCGACCAACGGTGTCACGTCGGAGCCTCCTGAGCTGCCGAGCCTCATCACGACAGTCGTGCGCGTGTCCAAGAATCCCAAGGTGCTCAAGGGCGGCTACCTCCTCGTGCCCAACAGCGACTCTACGCGGTGGGTAAAGCGCTTCGTCGAGCTGCGCCGGCCGTACCTTCACATCCACTCGGCCTCGGACGGCGACGAGGTGGCCCTCGTCAGCCTGCGCAACTCGCGCGTCGACAGCCAGCCGGGGGTGTTGGCCCTCCTCAACGGACCCGACGACTATGACAATGCACCCGGCCAGAACGGCGGCGCCGACTTTACGCCCGGCCATCGCCGCACAGCCTCGGGACGCGTCATTTCGACGATTTGGACCGGCAATAACAATGGCGGCGGCGGCGGCAGCAGCAGCAGCAGCGGGACCCGCGCTAATAATGGTGGCGGGCCGGGCCTGCAGCGCCTCAGCGAGCGCATGCAGGCGGGCGTGTTTGCGATTTACGGCACGGATAACACGTGGCTGTTTGCGGCGCGCAGCGAGCGGGACAAGATGGATTGGATCTTTCGCATCGATCAGACGTACATGTCGGCGGCGGGCGAGAGTCAGCCCGGGAGCGGCTTTGCGAGCCCTCACCCCGGAAGCGATTACTGAAAAAAAAAAAAAAAGTAATCAAGTTGGGAAAGAGAGAGAGAGAGAGAGGAGGGAGAGGAGGGAGAGAGAGGAAGGGAAAGTGTCTCTCGAGGTGTGGGATTTTTTTAATGATGTCTATGGAACTACTAATTTCTACTCCTTTGTAAAGGGAGAGAAGAAGGAATCTTTTTTTTTCTCTTTTGTGTGTCTCGGTGGTGGTGGTGGTTGTGCATTTCTTTTTTCTCTTTTCTTTTGTTATATACCTCAAAGTTGGGAACGGTTGTTTACACTTTATAGGCCTTTTTATTTTTTTTTACGTTTTAGGTTTTTCATTACCCTCATTATCTTATTGTTATTAGAAGGTGTGTTTGATTAAGACGGTGGGGAGGGAGATACTTTTGACAAGAAGAAAATATTTGAGGATTAGATTAATACCCCTCTGCTAGTAAGACTGGAATGACATTTCTGATTTCTGGATTTACCTTGTTCTGCGTGTGTGTGTGAATTTGGATATATGGCCTCATCATCCATTACACGTAACCTATTCTTGCTTTCAGTTGCTAAATGAGAAGATAGATGGTCGTTTGAATCATGTCCCGGGTGTATAGCTTCAACGTCTCTCTTTCCCCGGCCTTGAACAAACTACAAAGTTGACGGACGAGTGATCCGAGTATACCCGTGCCTTGCTATTTTCCTTGTAAAAGTGTGGAGGCTAACATTTCTCCCCGAACCGCGTGGCGAGTTTGCCTCACAAGCCGGCCCTTGTTGTGCCTGACCAGGTCGACGCTGTTGTTTTGGAATCATGTCTGACGTGTCATGTCACTACTGATAGATGATATCCGCACTTGGAAACCTTTGTCCTCATCGATTTCGTACTTATAACGACACGAATGTGTAACCCATGCTTCTGTTTCCAGAGAAAGAAAACCAGCTTTGTGATACTACAGAGGTCGAGCGACGGGGAAGATGACGAATCGAGTTGTCGAAGAGAAAGGACGTAACAAGGTGGCGGGAACTTTGCAGAGGATTGATTGTACCTCCGAGGGATCGGTGTGTGGTCATTGCCAAACTCAGCAACCAGTGCCTTTGCAAAGTCCACGAATCCATGTCCCTCGCAAAGGGTTTGGACTGATCAGCATGGGGGCCTGCAGATTGAAAGAGACGTCTGGCCATGTACTGGTATGTTTTTTTTTTTCAGAGAGGTTCTCGAAACAGCTTCGTCAAGCAGCCGCTCTCATTCGTCTACTCCGTGTTCCAGCCAACTTTTTGGATTAAAAAAAAGGCGAAAGCTGTGATCATCATGACATGAAGGGGAGCGCCACGAAGAAAGAAAAAAAAAAAAAGGAACCAGGTTTTTTTCTTTTTCATGCAGCCGACCGACCACTGCAGGAGGCGGGACCGTGCCGCTGATGCGGTCGTGGCTGGGGGGACAAGCAAGCACGTGTTGACCGGTAATTACAGGCGGATTGGGAGAGAAGGTGAGGCCATTCCTGCAGAATTGGGGGGGGGGGGGCAAAATACCTCTCTGTTTCCCCCCTCACGACGAAAACTGCTGAAGAAAAGGGAGGGGGGGAGGCTTGCAGCTACATGCAACCACCATGTGTCCTGGTCCCTGCAAAACACGGAACGAAAAACGTCAGAGTTCTGGAGGCTCCCTTTGAGCCAAATAAGTGGCTTGGCACATGCACGGCTTGTTGTCAATCAAAGAACAGGTGGTTGCCAATATTTTGGGCGGAACAAATGGTTGGATGATCAGTGATGATGATCCTCCTTGACACGACAACCGCTTTTGCGCAAAATTGCCAGGGACTGAAATTTACCCAAGACTGGTCCGATTATGTGTGGGGATGGCCTTTTTTGTCTCTTGACAAGGCTCTTCTTTCTCGCCGTGTCTTTTCGTCTCTCTTCCGCGTGCTTCGCGCTCATCGTTGGCTAAGTCGTATTGATGTAATGTGTATCTATCAGCTGCGTGATGCAAAGATGGGAGTGGGAAGGAAATGCAACAATTAGATTCAGTAATCCTGTATTTTACCTTGTCCTTGTAGTTTGGTACTTTACCAGTAACGACTTGACAGGAGTGTGTCTGCTCCACGGGGGTAGCCAACTATTGTTCAATTGTTTATCCAAGGTTTCCCTTTATTTTAAATTGAGACCCCTACCTCAGCCGTGGAGAGGGGTCAGTGCTTTTCGGGCTTTCCATGTGCCAAAAAAGGCGCGTTCCCGTAACCAAACCGTCGGGTTCGCGTGCCCAGATCCTCGGGTCCCGCGTCCACCATCACCCCCTTGCTGACGCGCCAGGGAGGGGGGGACCAAGTGCTTCTTCTCCACAGAGGTTTTGTTCTTTGAACAAAATTCAGCCTCTGAAGAGCTCGAAAGAAGAGAAAACGGAAAGGGGAAAAAAAAAAAAAAGAAAAAGAAAAAAAGTCCTCAGCAGTGGGACGCTGTAAGAGACAACAGACGTACGCCTGGCGTGACTTGCCAAAAATAGTTGTTGGTGGGCTTTGATTAGGACTTGGCGCGCCTAGCAGCTAATTAGCTGACTTTGCAGATTGCAGGTTTCGAGGGCAAACTCGATGCATCATGATTCTTTTGTGATGAAAGTTGCAAGCATCGAGCGACAGCCATATCGGGAAGTTTCTTGGAAACTTTTTCTTTTTTTATAAGGAGCTTCTTCTCCGGTCGTACTGCCACGGTGTAGTAGAAAAGGCTCAGACAAGGCGGACAAGGCAAACCTGGCGTGTCTGAGACATGGGTTAATGGAATCATGGAAGCTGTCAACTTATTGGCCCAATCTCTCGGGACAATAACGCTAATTTGGTGATTATATAAATAAAATAAAAGACGTGATTTTCGATTACTTTGCCTAAATGCGTACTCTGTACGGATTACTCTGTACGGCACTAGGACAATACTACTGTATGTATCTCGCTTTCACCAACTAGAGGCCCATTGCTCGTGCCACCTCTTTGAAAGAGATACCGGACTGGCACTAGCTGTTTCGATTTACAAGCAAAAACAGTCAATAACAAAGAATTAGGCTCCTCTAGCTGATTCTCAAAAGGTATTAATCTAATCCGTAGTCTGCGACACTGTTGGGTAGGCTAATAAAAGCCTTGAAGAATCTGTCGTCCGTCCCTACCGAAAAGGCGCCTATAGGTGTCGAATCCGGGGACGACAGCCGTCTGATTCGTAAGCTCACCCTCTCCGTTTCCTACTTGTAGCTTTTCTTTTTCTTTTCTTTTTTTTTCTACTCAAGCGCGCATGCCGCCAGCACTCGGCAGAGACCAGGGCTGGATGGTTCAAGCCAGTCAGGCAACCAGGGTGAGCCGGGCGGGAAGCCTTTTTAGTTGAAGGGGCATGGGCTTTGTTCAGCATCACTCCTGTAACTTGAGTATATTCAGCCACGCTAGCTTTGCGTCTTTTTGACAATGTTTGGTGCGTAATTTGTTGACTTTTGCTAAAAGAAGCAAATAAAACAACTCGATAAACAAAAGGACATGGTATTGATCAAAGGTTGGGGGCTGGAGTAAGTTTTACTGTGAGCACCCATGGTACGGATTACCTCCTTCTCAATTGATCCTTGCTGCTCATAATTTATCATCAAGGTGAGGCTAGAACGATGGTCATGCACGATACCTGTAATATGTAATGAACTAGTCAACTGACAATTTTGCCATTTTATTATCTAGCCTCGCATTAGTGTGCTGCAAGTGGTCGACAGGCAGGTTTGTCAGTTAGTTTTGTGGCAGAAGGTATCAGCCCAATTTTCGCATCAGACTATCAGAGGAAGAGTTTGAAGTTTGCTTTATCCAGCAAACCGACAAGTTTAATGATACTAAATCTCGAGTCGGAGTCTCTCATGTTCATCCACGAGACGAGCCTGCGCTGAAAATCGTTGTGGCGTATGTCATGACCATCTATTGATGCCATTCGGTCTCACGGACTAGACGTCTCTGACCCAGATTACCGGGACCTCGTACTCCTCTTTGCCCCGTAGTTGAAAGGAGAGAAGGGGAAAGCTGGCAGGCCTCCACCCTTGCTCATCCAGACCCCCCATGTCCCTTGAACCCACCAGGCTGGTTGGCTAGAGGCGCTCCAGATGTAGCCACGGGGACGCCACTGCAATAATACGGAGGGGCGGGAGACCCGGTGGGCTGGAACCTTACCCGCTAACAAGCCAGCTAGCAGTAAACCTGGAACCTGATGCTGAATCATTTCCCCAGAACTCGGGCTGCTTGTGCCTGTGTGTGCGTGTGTTGCTTTTGGTGCTGCAACACCAACGTCAACTTGTCGCGACCGACTCTTTCAGCTGTATGTCTTGCATAACAGACCTTGATCGGAGTATCGGAGTGCGGTTTCCGAATGCTGGGATCAAGCTATTTGCTTATGTGAAATCTCCCCAGTACGGATGCTCTTGCCTAGATTCCACGCCCGCCTGGATGGTCAAGGGATTCCGAATTCAGAGAGACTTGCATTAGGGCCGCGAAAGCTCTTCTATTAGAGGTGGACCGACGTGTGGAACCTGCCACGTCTTGGACCTTGCCGTATAAGCCAACTTGGCTTGCCGCGGAGCCTCTACGCAACGCTCCTCGTTGTTTGTTTGGTGTGGCGGTGGCCAGTACATGCTTCGCTTAACTATCATTCAGTCATCTCTCTACGCTGCATACGAGATATCGAAGAGGTGTTTTGGGTTTTTGTAGTCGCGTCATTGTCATTCGTATTAGGACCTGCGGTACTTCAGATCGAAGCGACAATATTGCGTCTTGCCAGCACCTCGACTCCGTTTCCTGCTGGAAATTCTCTCACGACGACAAGAAGGGGACGGCAAGCAAGACAAAGACTCACCAACCAACACATGACCAGTTCTTACTCTTGGATTACCGCGGAAATCTTTCATTGAAAAGGACAGAGGTTTGACGAGAACAAAGTGATTAGTACTTTGCAAAACTGGAAAACGGCACGAAAACTCGGAGCAAATAACTAGCAGCACAAACGCTACAGATAAATAATGTCTGGGTCGAATCCTGGAGGCCAAGGCCGAGATGGTGGGCGAGGGAGCCCCAAGGACTTGAGTCGGTACGAATTCTCGTTCAACTCGTCGTTGCCACCCGCCGAGATGGAACCAGATGTAAGCATGTATCAAAATTCCTGATAACAACAGTCGAAAAAAGCCTAATAATAAATCAAAATAGTCAACGGTAGAAGACATGTACGTGTATCGAAGCCGGAGCACCTTTTTCAGAGACTAACGACCTTGTCAGCGTTGAATCGTCATGGTCGCTTTCCGAGAGCATCAGAAACTTTCCACAAGAGTTTGGCAGAACATATCACGCATACAAGGCAGGGTGTAGGTTGATTGTCTCCAAACTGAACTACATGGAGCATTACAGAAAAAGAGAGGCTAAAAACTGACATTTCAAAAGCATATCCCTTTCCCAACGACACCATCGAACAAGAACGTCTATTTCTGCAATTCAACGCCTTGACACGGCTTTTCGGGGGCAAAATCTACTTTGCACCTTTATCTGCCCAGAATCCCCCACGCTTGGTGCTAGATATCGCCACTGGAACGGGGGAGTGGGCTATTCAGATGGGTGATGAGTTTCCACAAGCGCAGATTGTGGCCACGGATCTATCCCCTATTCAACCAGAAGATGTCCCACCAAACGTGTCATTCTTTGTTGAAGACTCGTAAGTTCGAATTCTGCTTCCGAGAGGAGTCGCCTATTCACGTCGCACAAGGGCAAGGGACTAAATGAGCTAATGCACGAGCTGTTTTAGATCGGAGCCCTGGGAGTATTCGCAAAAGTACGACTACATCCACACACGAGTGACGTCGGGCTGCTGGTCGTCCTTTGAAGAACAGATTGCCAAGCAGGCGTTTGAAAACCTGCAACCGGGCGGGTGGTTTGAATCTCAAGAACTCGACAGCATCATAACCAGCGACGACGACACGCTACCCCAAGACTCGGCGCTGAGCCGCTGGTTCCACGACATGGCCACGGCCGGAGCCATTTGCGACCGGCCGACCATGATGGCGCACACGCTTCGCGAGGTCTATGAGCGCGTGGGGTTTGTGGATGTGCAGGAGCGGATATTCAAGATGCCGTCGAATGGATGGCCAAAAGACGAGCGGCTCAAGGACATTGGGCGCATGTGGGAGAGAAATTTCTTGACGGGCCTGTCGGGGTTTTCGTTTAGCATGTTTAAAAAGGCATTCAACAAGACGCAAGAGGAGATTGAGGTACGAAAAAAAAAATTCAGTGAGTGCCTCGGCGAGTTTATGTTGTGCTACTAACATTTTCTTTTTTGTGGCAGGTTGCCTTGGTGGATGTGAGACGTCAAGTTTCCGACACGCGTATACATTCCTATATGCCAATTTGGGTTGTTTGGGGACGTAAACCATATGAAAACGAATAGCGGCTATATTGGTAAAGAATCCAGAGAGAAATAATTTCGAATCTAGTCAAACGATGGAAAATCTAGTCATCGAGCCGGACTTTGAGGGCATATATGGTAGTAAAGAGTTTTCCAAGATTGCCAAGGAGACTTGACGGCTCTACTGATGGCTAGATAGGACAATTAGCCTATTCGAGGCATACAATGTATTCCCCTCAGATACAGATAACGCATCATTTTAAGAAGCTGACTTTGAAAACTGAAACACCGCTAATTGGCCATTGTACTGGTGAGTCGCGAAAGATCTAGCCGGAGTCGTACTTGAATATTATAAGTGACGGCATCTCGAATTTGGTACTTGAACGAACCCTTCAGTGTCATTGAAATTTTTTGTATATATTTCAGGCAACCTGCCAAAGGCAAAGGTAGCGCGGATAATGACAGCGTAGTATTGTAAAGCGATGTGACTACACTAAGACTTGAACGTTGAAAATACTCCCACGGTTGCAACGACAGTTATCAGCCTCCCTTTAAGCGACCAGCCAACTTTGAGCGACTAGCTAACTTTGAGCGACCAGCTAAAAGCGAGACTGATAAGGAATGCTGGTGAAACGAAAAGTATTGCTTGGGTAATGTATAAGCTTGAGACGTCATCATTGACATTTATTCTACTATTGCCCACAAGTATCGGTCATGAAATTTGAAAAGAAAAAAAAAAGATACACCTGAATCCGAAATCTGCAAGTATTTTTTTTTTTCTTTTTAATGATGAAGAAAATCTCACACTTGTCTACAACTCATGTCGTCCTAATGTAAGAAGGCTGGCCAACAGCAACGAGTCAGGCAGAGAAGGGCAGCCCCACTAACTTGAAACTCTGTGCGTCGACCTGGGGCCGAAGTCGCTTTCCAGAGCTTCCCCAGACTTGAACTTGGCCTGCCTCACACAGCCTTTTCATCCAATTGTCGTCGTCCCCCCCCTTGCGACATCGAAAACGACCCGAATCAAGATGTACGCAACGGTCCGACTGGCCCGCGCAAGCCGCATTTGCCTGCAGCGGGCTCCTTCGTCGCGAATAACTGCAGCCGCCGCCAGCCCTGTTGAGCCGGCCTGTCTCGCATGCGCGCCGCCGCTTCCGACCACCACCACCCCCCGCAGAGCGCTATGCAGCTCGAGTCCTCGACAGCGACCGGGCCGCGGCGACAAAGGCCAGCAGCGGCAGCAGCAGCCAGAGCACGTCACGGGCACATGGGAGAGGCCAGCCGATTTTCAACGGCCGCGGCGCCGCCCCGATATCTGGAGCGAGGCGGGGTACTACCGGTTCGACCCCAGAGGAGGCTACGACGACAATGGCTCATCAGGAGCACCACCGCCGCCGCGTCGGACGGCGCGCGAGGCAGCATCCGGGCCGCAGTCAAAAGCGGCAGTGGCGGCGGTGATGCTGGCGGCGGTGGCGTTTTACGTGTGGAACTCGCAGACGGTGCCGCTGACGGGACGCACGCGGTTCAACTTTTTGTCGGACGAGATTGCGGAGCGCATGAATCCGCAGCCGGTCGAGAGCATCCTCAGGCAAGTGTACGACGCGGGCGGGGTGATTTTGTCGGAGAGGGACGTCAGGACGCAGATTGTCAAGAATGTCATGAGGCGGCTGATTCCTGTGAGCGGGTTGGCGGATTTGAAGTGGGAGATTTACGTCATTGCAGATGATTGTGAGTTGGTTTTTTTTTCTTTTTTTTTTCTCCTGCCTTGAAGGGGTGGTCAAGAGAGGACCGAAAGCAACGAGGAACAAGCAGACAAGACAGAACGCGCTGACATTGAAACCCACCCCCGCAGCTCAGGCCAACGCATTCGTCCTGCCCGGCGGCAAGGTGTTTGTGTTTAGCGGGCTCATCAACATGTGCGGCAACGAGGACGCGCTGGCGGCGGTGCTGGGCCACGAGATTGCGCACCAGACGGCATCGCACACGGCGGAGCGGCTGTCGCTGGCGTGGGTGGGCAACTTTACCACGGGCGCCCTCTTCTTCTTGGTCGGCACGCTGCCGGGGCTCGCGCTGTTTGCCATGTGGACGGCGACGGGCGCGTTTGTGCTGCCCACGCTCATGTTTGAGCTGCCCATGAGCCGCACGCACGAGTACGAGGCCGACCACATTGGGCTGATGATGATGGCTGAGGCGTGCTACGACCCGCGCGCGTCGATTGGGTTTTGGAAGCGGATGAGCGCGCAGGGCCAAGAGATTGAAGAGGTGCTGAGCACGCATCCCTCGGTATGTTCTTTTGTCATGTTTTCTTCTTTTTTTTTTTTCCCTTTTTTTTTCCAACTCGGAGCTCTTTCCCGAACGGCATCGGAGAAAAGAAGAAAAGGAAAAATAAAAAAAAACTAATTCCGCATCGTCTACAGAATAATCATAGAGTTGCGAGGCTCAAGAAGCTCATGCCAGAAGCCTTGGCAAAGCGGGAGCAGAGCGACTGCAAGGGAACAGAGTCCTTTGCGCGAAGATTCCGGTATGCAATGAAGCAAAGACAGTCTGAAATGCCCCGCCCCGACACAATGGCGTGACCATTTCCTACGACGTATAGAAATGTCGCGACAAGACACCATTAGAACTTGAGAGACGTGAAGCAACCACGCGTTATAGAAATGTCGCAACAAAAGACCATTAGACTTTAATAGAACTCGAAGTAATCACCTTGTTGGAAAGAGTTATCACTACTTGCACTGAACAAGTCCGAGTATAACAGCCTCGTCCACCTCCCTCAACGGCTATATGCCTAGTCGGCACAAGCCAAGATTGCCTGGGGAGCACCAACCCCCGCAACGGGCGCAAACGGGCTTTTACGAATAGCAGGGCGCTCATAGGCCAGCGGACGGCAAATGACGTCCCATGAACTTTTAGCGGGAGACTCTGTGCGCCAGTGGTGGCTTTTTTGTCTTGTTGGCAACTGATAGCGTTTGCTGTGGGGGGACCCGTAGACCGAGCCGAGGTTAATTGTTGCGCTTCCATCATACTACTGGCCGCTTCTTCTTAAGAGCAACAAACTGTGTTCACTTTCTCTTCTCTACTCTACACTTGTTCGATTGCAAAATCATTTGATAAAATCTCCGTCAATTACTGTCAACGTTTGTCCGACCAAATACCTCCAACAGCCACCGTTTACCCCCTCTCCCCAAAAACACCGCCATCATGTCCAAGACTTTTGCCGCCGCCGAGGTCAGCAAGCACAAGGACAAGGATAATGGTCTGTGGCTCATTATCGAGGGCAACGTCTACGATGTAACCAGTAAGTGAAAGTCACCACAAGCAAGCCCATGCGACAGTTTCTCTTCGGGGACGAAGGCAATTCAGATGTCGCGCGGTCGCGTCACAAGCTTTGGCCCGCTTTGCGACCTCGGCAACCGACTGCAACTCCCCCAATGCTACAATTCACTTGAACAAACCGACTATTATCTCTAGAGCATGTACGATTATTAACACCGTTTTTTTCTTCTTCTTCAGCCTTTGTCGATGAGCACCCCGGCGGCGCCCGCGTCATTCAGCGCATGGGCGGCAAGGACGCTACCAAGGCGTTTTGGAAGTACCACGGCGAGAGCGTCCTGGCAAAGTACGGCGACCGCTTCAAGATTGGCTCCGTCACCGAGTCGGCCAAGCTATAAACGTCGAGAGATGGGACGAAGAAAAAAAAAGCACTATACAATGAGAAAGTTTTGACGTGGGCGAACACCAGACGCCCCCGCGTATGCAATTCGCTTTTTAGCGAGCACCATCGGCAAGCCTGCACTGTGCGCCGCCGGGTCGGTCGGAAATGGGGAATCGAGTACTTCCAGAGACTTGGGGCCGGGGCCCTGCAAGGCATGCATGTACAATTGTTTAGAGGAAGAGGGGATGGGTTTTGCATTTGATGCGGACATGTTGTGCATGAGGACGTGTTCGATTTAGGCCAGCATATGAATAGAACATGGGCTGCTGGAAAATCGTGAAAATATACGAAAAAAAAAAATCTGTATACTACTATTGTCCCATTTCTGCCTTTTCGGCGTGCAATAGTTCTTTTGCCAGACATAAAAGTATTATAACTGTGCTGGTCATGTGCTAAATGCATTCTTGCCCTGGTCAACGTAAGGTACCTGTCGTGATACTCATCAAACGGATCACTTTTCAGCGGTGGAATATGCAATAGGCACCACAGAAGTCACCCAGAGCTCCCCTCTCCTTATGCATGCACTCGCAACATGTATTTTCCAGTGGCGTTATCCAGTGGCGTTATCCAGTGGCAAGGAACAGGGGGATCTAGCTCCCCCGCGGGAGTCGGTGGATTCCATCGCACAGCCGCCGCCGCCACTCTCTCCTTGTACCGACATCCAGCCCTGCAATTGAGGATTTCAGCTCCCGTCGTCCCAAGCAGAAAAACAATATCAAGAACGAGTTTGACAGCAGCGCTTCGACTGCTCTAGAGTGACCTCGATGCCTCCATGACACCAACCAATGACCCCGGCGGCGGCGAGCTGGGCGCCGGTGTGGGCACCGAGCTGACCAACAAGGGCACCATTCGCCAAAAGCGATGGACCACCAGAGGCAGGACAGGATGCCTCACTTGTCGGTTCGTATATTCTCAGGGCCCTCACCCATTGCATAGTCGAAGGGAAGGGGGGGGAAGCGGGCGGGAATCTCCTTGATCATCAGCGCTGACAGGTTTCTTGTTGGACACAGCGCTCGCCACATCAAGTGCGACGAGACAAAGCCTGCCTGTCGCCGCTGCGCTACAGGTCGACGCGAGTGTCGCGGTTACGACTTTGGCTGTGACCCAGACATGCTCACCGTTGTCGCTGCGCGTCAATCGAAAGAAGAGACCAGGACAGACGCCCATTGTGTCCGCCGGGGTCTCGTCCAAGAGGCCGTCGCCGTCGCCCGGCGCCGATACATTGACGAGCCAGAGCCCCCAGACTGGGAATGCATGGAAGCGGCCCGATACTGTATGTCGCCCCTATATCCATCTTTTTTTTTTTTTACCTGTTTCCCCCCCTCTCCCGTGTTATTCGTGTGCTCAACCTTTGCTTCGAAAAAAAAAACAGACCTTGTTTTTGTCCTGCCGTGCTGCGATGAGCAATTCATGGCCCCCTTCACCGGCTTACCGCCATGCCACGGCCCCAATCGCCCGATTTTCCTCCTCGACGTCAGCTGCCACCGAATCGCCGACGCGTCCCGGGCCCGCGGCAGGCTGCTCCGCGCCCGCGAGGATGCCTCTGTCGACGGGGCCTGGGCTGCCCACTCGCGCCACATGATCGACATACTCTCTACCGTCAACAGAGGCATATCAGACAACAAGAGCCTCGTGTCCCGCAGCAAAAAGGAGGCACTCCGACGGATATTGACGTTGCTGTACTTTGATATGATTGTGGATGCGTCCACGTGGCGTCCGCATCTTGTTGGCTATCTCGCCTTGGCGCAGCACATGGGCGGCGTGCGAGCACTCATGCGAGAAAATGATGCCTACATCAACAGCACGCAGTGGTCGATATTGGTGTATGTTCTCTGCTTTAAACATTGTTATTTTCGTATTCGTTCTTTGAACCGGACTGACCTTGTTTAACCGCCGCAAACCAGCATCGCCATTGCCGCCAACACGACTAGTCCGGCGAGCAAACAGCTCTGCGGCTTCGAGGCATACACGGACGAGGATGTCCTGCTTCTCTCTGCCCTCGATACGAGTCCGGACCTCGCGTGCCCGCCGCCGCTACTCGTCATCGTCAAGAACCTGACACAGCTCCGCGGCCGCATCGCCGACGGCAGATGCTCCAAAATCAGCCTCAACACGGAGCTGCGAGACTTGTTTGACCGAATCGGCGCTTTCGACTATAATGCGTGGGCCAAACAGGTAGACTCTAAGCCGGAAGCCGTCATTTCCACGCTATCCCACATCTTTCAAGTCGCGGTGCGTCTGTTTGGCGTCCTCTCGCTGCCCCAATCGGCCACAGTCTCGTGGGCCGTTGCGGCCGGCTACCAGCGCTTGCCGGGCATGTCCATGTACGACAGCGTGCGCATCGCGCACCGGTGCGAGCTGCTCAACATGCTGTACCGGTTTTGGGGGAGGTTCAAGACGGCGCTCGCTCTCGCGTGGCCGGTGACGGTCGCGGGCGTCTCGCTCGGCGGAGACGGCAGCGCCGAGGATCGCGCATTCGTCGCAGAGGCTCTGCTGGATATGTGGATGAGCCGGCTTTCACGATGCGGGCCAATCCTGTGTCTGCAGAAGCTGCGGGTCTTCTGGGACGACTCGAGCAAAACAGAATGGGACGACTGTTTTAATGAGCCGGTGCCGCCGCTTGCGTAGGGCGACAATGAGCGTAATGTAGGATGAGGATATGCCCATTCCCATGGTGGCAACCCTTGGTTGTTTTGTATATACGCCGTTGTTCTCTCGGCCAGTGGTCAGCCAATTGTACAGAGACTGCATTAGCTCTGTCTTGCTCTGTCTTTCAAAACAGATCATGTGCAACAAAGACCTTCAATGATTCAAAGTACAGCCTTGTAACTAGTAAACGAGAATGATTACGCTCTTCCTGCAGCCGTCCGCCCCCTCCCCCCCCCCCCCCCCCCTTTCCCCCCCTGCAGGTCTCGTTCCAAGCTGTGACGAGACTGACAAGTCGATCAATACACAGAACCGGTACTAGTTTACCCGCGCCATGGAATAAGCCCAGCCGCACCCGCACGCACGCACGCATGCACGCACAAGGACTCTGCCGGCCTGCCTGCCTGCCTGCCTGCCTGCCTGCGGTGTCGGGCACTTTATTAAAACAAGAAAAAAGAAAAAGCGCCACACAATGAATTTTCCCAGAATCGCAGCCTCGTTCGACCGCCGTGGCGCTCACCCTCCTTTTTCTCCACCCATCAAAGTTATTTTCTGGCTCTGACCTGGGGGTTTCCCCATCACGAATCCTACCCAAAGGCATCATCATTTTGTTTTCCCCCAAGTCATGGCCTGCCAGATCTTGTTGCTCGACTTTTCGCCGCGCAGCAGCGGAGGTAGTAGCAGCAGCAGCAGCAGTAGCAGCAGCAGCAGCTTGAACTTGACGGGCGGCGCGGTCGGTCCCGAGGCACCACTTGGTCGCACGCAGACGGGGGCGGTGCGGCGAAGGCGATGGGCGCCGCGAGCGAGGACAGGCTGTCTTACATGTCGGTACGTTTTTGAACACACACACACACACATCTTTGTTGATTTCTTGTTTCTTCTTTTTTTCTTCTTTTTTTTTCCAATTACTCGCGTCTCAATGTGTCTTTTTTTTTTTTTTTTGTGTTGCCCTTTCAATGTTGTCTGTCGAAATTTACAAAAAGCTTTGGTGGATGGGGATGATGATGCCACGCAGTTGGTTCTCTGTCAAAGACTACTAATATTAAAATACAACTCCCAATCTAACATACGCCGGGGTGGGGGGGGCTTTTTTTTCCAGAACACGCCGCGTCAAATGTGACGAGGAAAGGCCAATTTGTCGGCGCTGCGCATCGAGTCGCGTTACGTGTCGCGGCTATCAGACTCCCTCGTCGCCGTCGCAGGGCAAGTCGCGCAAGAATCATACTCCTGTCGACAGCGGTGGTGGTAGTAGTCGTCATCACCACATGCTGCAGACGCCGCCAGAGAGCCCGCCGCATCATCATCGTCGCAGCGAGACGACTGCTTTGCTGGCCTTGGGCAGTGTGCACCAGCATCACATCAACATTGAGACGGAACCACCAGACTGGGACTTGCAAGAGGGAATTCGCTACTGTACGTTTTTCCTCCCTCTTTTTTTATTTTTTTTTCTTCTCTTTTTTTTTTCTTCATCTTGTGTGTGCGTATGCGTGTGTGTGTGTGTTGATTTGTGACTCTCGACTGACTTTCTGCCCCCCCAGACTTTCAAGTCGTCTTGCCCGGTCGCAGCGCCGAGGTGCGCTCCGGAGGACACCCCGAATTCCACGCCAAAACCTTTCACAACTCGCGCTTCATCTCGCAGGTCATCGGGGACCAGATATCACGCGCGTCCAAGGCCCGCGGCATGCTCATCCAGCCCGGCCACCACCCGGCGTTTGCGGGCGTCTGGACCACGTACTCGCGCTATCTGAGCTCCAGCATCACCATTGTCAACCAGCACATCCAGGACGCTGGCGGCGGTTGCGGCGGCGGCGGCGGCGGTGGCACCGAGTGGCGGCGCGTCCTCTACGGCATCGACCAGCTGCTCGTGCTCGACATATACGTGGAGCGGTCGCAGTGGCAGGCGCATCTTGGAGCGTTTTTTGAGTATATCCGACACCGAGGCGGCATTGCGGCGATGCTTGACCAGCCAGAACCGCCATATTACTGCCTAAATCATGTATTGGCGTAAGTTGGCTTTTACCTTGCTGTCTTGTTCTCTCTCTTTTCTTTACTCTTTTTTTTTTTTCCTTTTCGCTTTCTTTCTTGCTGACTGGTCTGCTACGATGAAAACAGCATCGCCATCAACGTCAACACCACAAGCCCTGCGAGGCAGCAAGTCCATGGCTTCGACGACTATGCAGACCATCAGCTCGTCTCCATTCTCGAATCCGCCTACAGCACCTCGATGCAGTGCCCGACGGAGCTGTACATTGCCATGGTGCATATTTCCAGGCTACGCGCCTCTCTGGCCCAAAAGCAAAACGGCAAACTCGACAAGACAAAAGAAGTCGTCGTCGTCGTAGAGCAGCAGGTGCGGTGCATATTTGCATCGATAGCCCGCTTCGATGCCGATGACTGGGCAGCAGGGCCCGAGTTTAAAGACAAGAGGGACACGGTAGCCAAGGTTGGGCGCATCTACGCCATTGCGGTCCGGCTCTACGGCATCATGACGCTTCCGCCGTCGGCCGTTGCCTCGTGCGTGGGGCCGGCGTCGGGGTCGGAGTCGGGGTCGGGGTCGGGGTCGGGGGCGGAGCAGCCGGCCGCCACACACAGCAGCGGCACGCTGATGAGGGCCCAGCAGAGGGACGAGTTGCTGGCGCTCACGCGGCGGTCCTGGGACCAGCTCAGGCACACCACGTCGCTCTGCTGGCCGCTCATTGTCGCGGGCGTGGCGCTGGCAGACGGCTCGCCAGAGGATCAGGACTTTATCGAAAGTTCGCTCCTGTCGATTTGGAGCTTGCCAAACACGTCGGCCTGCTTCATCACTGCGATTCGAAAGTTGCGGCCTTTTTGGAATTCGGGCAAAACTGGGTGGGAAGACTGCTTTGATACGCCCCTCATGTGTGTAGTGTAAAAAAAAAAACAACGCCCGTTTTTTTTTTTCCCTCTACTTGGAGCGTGCCTGTATATAATATAAAAGCACAGAGGTTTGAGCACATGTAGCTATATGACATACGACCGATTTACCCCATTTTCAATTTCGGATTTGGTGCTTTGATTATTACAGCCTTTTCTGCTTGCACTTTTGGCCCAGTCAAAGAAATTCGAAAAAAAAAAAGAAAAAAGAAAAAAAAAGCCCACCATGTCAGCCTCGCCTCGCCACCCCCCTTGGAAGTTTTGGTCAATATTCAAAGGTCGAGGCCGTGGATTGAAAGTTCCAGGAAACACTGGGGTAGTCTGCGCGATTACCAGTTAAAATGCGTTGCAAAGGTCAATTCGGAGTTTTGTAGAGCCGTTGTCCTAGGTAAACCCTCTTGGCCCTGTGAGATCAAAGTCTTGTGGAGAGAAGCTGTAACGAATTAGTGGGCCTCTCAGTAATAGTGGCATTGACGGGATGGCAAGGAAAGTGTGAAGCGAGGCTTTGTCATTTTTCTACTCGCCAACGCTGTAGCAGTAATCCGCCGGCAAAAAGGGCTGCTATGACTTTATCTGAGGTCATTTTCAAAGCAGGAAAAGGGGGCAATACGATTCATAAGAGTAATAATATGGGTGAATATCCGCTGACCCCCGGCTTTGTAGCAAACAGCGGCTACCTGATTTTGCCACGGATAACTCTGGGGAACGCCCGATGAGCCCACAGGCTACCCCAGATTTACGCAACAAATGACAATGTCTTTTTTTTTTTTTTTGTCAATGAATTTCGTCCATGAATTTTTGAACTTGAAACAAAAAGTAGCGCAGACCGCCTCCGCTCATTCATCAGCCTCACAAATTCGCAAAAGAAGGGCTATCGAAATGCTGCAGCTACTCGACAGACAAGCGGCACAGCGACCAGGGGTTCACTTCAGCCAACTTTAGGGAAACGGGGACCGTATGAGACGCGGGCCCATCTGATTGGACAGGATACTCCGGACATTGTCTCCGGCACATTGAGAGCTTTTCATTGGTGCAATCGCATCAATTCGGGGCTCTTCTCTCTCTCTCTCTCTCTGCTCACCTTCTTGTCTTCTCCCGACGACGCAGAGGGAGGCCTCGAGGCAACAAGCATTTTTTTTCTCTCGATGCAAAAAAAAAAAAAGGGTTTCGAGTGATATCGAGTTCCCCCAAAGCGAATTTCGTTCTGCAAAAAAAGACGCCGAATCACCCCCTCCACACACCTCCCCCAAAGAGCTTTTAGGCTCTCCAACAACGATGGGGGATATCGAACCAGGACGGCCCCTCCAGCCAAAGGCGGCTCGCGGCCAGCAACGCGCGCCGCCGTATCCAGCAATGAAGCGAAGACGCCCGACCGGTATCGCCTGTCACCATTGTCGGCTCAAAAAGATCAGGGTAAGATCAAGTCTCTAGCCCGCCTCCATCCCCCCCGCCCACGACCTTGACCCCCCGCAGCTAACCTCCCCCTGATGTTCCAAACAGTGCGACGGTCAACGCCCTGCGTGCTCGTCCTGCGAGGCCAAGGCGGTGACGTGCACCTACCGCGACACGCTGCTCTCCTCCAAGGTCTCGCGGGAGTCGATCCCGGGCGTGGTGCAGATGCTCGGGCAGCTGTGCCCCGCGGAGCTCGTGCGCGTCGTCTCCCGGCTCAAGGACGAGGGCGATGCCGAGATTGTGCTGGCCACGATACGGGATAGTCTGGTGAAGCAGAGCCGGCAACGGGACGGCGCCAGCTCGGATCCGCCGTCGTCAATGGCGGGGAGTAGTAGTCATAATAGCGAGGACCGAGGAGCCTGCGGGCCGAGTACACCGGAAGAGGCGGTGCTGCCGGATCTGGGCGGTGCGACGACGCCCGAGATTGACTGGTACTGGCCCCCGTGTCAGGCTACTACCGAGTTTGCGTTACATGGTGGCATGCCCGACGCGTATGGCAGCATACCCGACACGTTTGATGAATATTGGCCCCTTCAGTGGTCTAGAAGCTGGGCTCAAGCTACCGACCACATCTGCTGAGACGCCCCGGTGCATGGCAATACGTAGGTCATGCACCAGTCTATATATGTCACAGGCTTCTTCTCAAACCAATCTCCTTGCATTCTCGAGGGGACATTTGGAACCAGTCCAACCGCGCCCGGCCTTTGCTAAAGCTCTTTGAGTTTTTTTCGACGTTGACTCCATTACCGCAGCTTCACTACCCCTCTCAAAGTTACGGCACGCATTGAAAATTCAAGAGTCAAGAGCCGGCTGGGCATTCAAAGATTGCACGTTGCCATATAATCGATATAGCGCAAGTATCAAAGGAATGCATGCGCTACATTCTGTCGTCTGCCTGTAGACACGGTTCTATGGCAGGCGTTTTTTTTTTTTTAAACAAACTCAAGAACCCGCAGCCAAGCCACCATATTACACTTTATCAGCCATTCATTTTCCTTTTCCAAGGGAAGAAACGGGCTTACATTTTCTGCTACTGTGCTGCTGCTCTTTTTATATCTTCTTGTTCTTTAGGCGTTTTTGGGTGGAAACATGCGAGTTCGGTGGACATATTTATTACAGAAACTAAAGAAAGAGAAAAAAGGTCCGCAGACTGGCGGCTTGCGGGGGCACAAATTAAGACGTGCGAGGCACTTGTATTTTCATTTTTTTTCTATCTATAGGGAAATACTTGGTTGATTGGATGTGCGAACGCGGCTTTTGCTTGTCGATTCTGCAAAAGGGAGCAAAAAGGTTCGGGTCATTGAGGTGCACTAGGCCAATGGCAAGATAGCCCAACGCACCCTCCCTATGGGCGGTATATATATAAGCTGCAAACGCAAAGAATAGGCCAGTGGTTATTTGATTTCAAATCGAGATTTTGTCAATTGAAATCTATCAAATTGAGACTTGTATCGGGGCTTTATCTACTAAACAAATCTTGTCCTTTGGAGACGACCCGCGTAGTGCCTTGTATTACCCGGGACATAAACTTTGCTCAATACCGGCAGGGCTTGCTTTATGATTAAGCCCAGCTTGGCCTCTCCTTAATGAAAGAACTTCTTACTCCCCAGCGATGCTTAGCTTACTTGCATCAACAAACCATTACTCACAGCTTTGTGTGGCGGCCGGCCCCCCCCATACCTCAAATGCTGGCAGGCTAGCTTGATGAATAACCGAATCGACGTGGAGCGTATCGGTCAACAGAAGAAGCACGTCTTGGAAGTTCTTGGGCATTGGTCATCAACATGGTCAAATCAAATCTTGTAGAATCACTACAACCATATGCCATTACCTTGATCATCGTCCATGCCGCTTAGTGCGCCGACCGGCCGGCGTTCCGCAGTGGGGTTCCCGGGACCGCCCCTCCATGTAAGCCGCAAGGCGCAAAGCTTCATATCCTCACAGCCGAAGCTTGCCTTGCTTCTTCTTCTTCCCCTCCAGCACTTTCCCTTTCTTTTTTTCAGACACAAAAGTACACACCGATTCGAGCAAACGTACCCCCCCCCCCCGAAGAACCATGGACAACCTCTTTGACATTGCCGCGCAAGAACGGCGCTTCGCCCAGCGCCACGCCCCCTCCTCCTCCTCCTCTTCCTCCGCGCCTCCCACCCTCCCCGCGCTCACCACCATCCGCGCCGCCGAGGCCTCTCTCCCGAACCCCTCATCACCGTCCTACCTCGCCGGCGCCACGCCCTCGGCCGTCGCCTCCCACATTGCCCGCGACATTGCCCCCGCGCTGACTGGTCAAAACGCGTCCTCGCGCTACCTGGGCTTCGTCACCGGCGGCACCCTCCCGCTCGCCGAGTGGGCCGACAATGTCGTCTCGGCGCTCGACCAAAACGTGCAGGTGCACCTGCCGACGCAGACAGTCGCCACGGCCGTCGAGGATGCCGCGCTCGAGATGCTCGCGCGCGTGCTGCGGCTGCCGGACACCTGGCGCGGTCGCACGCTCACCACCGGCGCCACGGCTAGCAACATTCTTGGGTTGGCGTGCGGCCGCGAGCACGTCATCGGGAAGAAGCTTGCGGCGGGGGCCGGCGATGAACAGGAGGAGGAAAGAAGAAGAAGAATCGCGGCGGTGGGGGAGATGGGGCTGCTGGCGGCGGCGAGGGCGGCGGGCGTAGACGAGATTCAGGTGCTGACGAGCATGGGCCACAGCTCGCTCGGCAAGGCGGCGAGCGTCGTGGGGTTGGGCCGGCGAGCCGTCAAGGAGCTGCGGCTGTCTGAGGCGGAGCCGTGGCGGTTCGACATTGACGCGGCAGAGGCGGCGATGCAGAGGCCCGGCGTGGCCACGATCCTGGGCATCAGCGCGGGGGAGGTCAACACGGGCCGGTACGCGCTGCAGGGCATCGACGAGTGGAAGCGGGTGAGGGCGCTGGCGGACCGATACGGTGCCTGGATTCACGTGGATGGAGGTATTTGAAATGAATTTTTTTTTTCCCCAAACGAGCCCGGGCAAAAAAGAAGGGTTGTCGAGAACTAATACTTTGGCTGAGTAGCATTCGGCGTGTTTGCGCGTGCGTTGGAGCAGACGGACCAGTACAAGGTCCTGCATCAACGCCTCGACGGCATCGAGCTCGCCGACAGCATCACCATTGACGGGCATAAACTTCTCAACGTGGTATGTAATTCTCTTTGTCCGCATCATCTACTCATTGAATCCCCCGTTTTTTTATTCCTCGCCTCTAACCCCGCCGGCGCAGCCCTACGACTGCGGCATGTTCTTCTGCAAGTCCTCCACCATTATGCAATCCGTCTTTACCAATCCCGGCGCCTCATATCTATCCTCCAGCGCCACTATCACTACTAGTGATGATATCCCGTCACCCCTCAACATCGGTCTCGAAAACTCGCGCCGCTTCCGCGCGCTCCCCGTCTACGCGGTGCTCCTCTCCGAGGGCCGCCCGGGCCTCGCCGCGCTGCTCGGCGCCATGACGCAGCTATCCCGCGCCATTGCCGCGTTTCTGCGCGACTCCCCCGACTATGAGCTGCTGCCGGAGGAAAATGATGGCGCCGCCAACGACGCAAAAGAAGAAGAAGAGGAAATTTTCATATCGGTGCTGTTTCGGGCAACAAACGCGGCGCTCAACGAGACGCTGGTGGCGAGGATAAACGACACGCGGCAGCTGTACGTCAGCGGGACGACGTGGAGGGGTCGAAAGGCGGTGCGTATTGCCGTGTCCAACTGGCGCGTCAACGCGGAGAGGGATGCGGCGGTCGTGCGGGAGATTTTGACGTGTGTCGCCCAAGGTCGGGAGTTTGATCTCAGTAATTGCCAAGGATATACCAAGGAGAGGCAGAACGAGCACAATGTGGAAATGGTGAGAATCGAGAAAAAATCGGGTTGACGAGTAGAAAAGAAAAGTAGTCGTCGTATAAAACAAGAAAGAAAGAAAGAAAGCCAGAAACGCCGTGCTCATCATGCCATCAAAACACCAAAGGAGAAAAATGTGAGGGCGTTCGGTTTTTAACCAAACTTTCTGGAGCCGCCCTTTTGCGTCAGCTTCTTTCCCTTTTTCCCCTTGCCAATGAGCTCCAGATGACCGGCGCGCTCGCCCAGCAGCGCCTCCGTCTTGGCCGTGAGGCCCGACGTAAACTTTTTGTTGAGCGTGTCCTTGGACTGCTTGCTGCCGGCCTTGGTCACCTTGGAGGCCTGGCGCTTCGAGTGCACAGCCTTGGCGGCCTTGGGCTTGCCAGACATTTTGATGTTTCCTTGCGCCATTTTGTTGCAAGTGTCTCGGGCGCTCGCGGTATCGGATTTGTTGGATATTCGGGGGGGGGGAATTGAAAGGCGGTGATGGGAGGGGGGGTTCCAGGCGGAAAAGAGAAAAAAGTTGAGAGTTCTGGGAAAAAGTTTTTGTGGAGCTTTTCTGGCCCACCCTTCCATCAGCAGAGGGACGACAAATGGAGGGGAGACATGTTGGTATAGTTTTGTGCAAAAGAGAACCTTTGTGCAGCCAAAATATTGGTATGCCCAATCTCTGAATTCATCATCATTACCCGAATAGTAGTCTATAGTGGTGTCATCTCTGGCGATACGCAATGAACTCGCCCGAGTTCGTGTTCTGTATACCCAAACGGTGACACTATCAAACTTAACAAGACTGATTTCAAACTCGTTCAAAACATGGCAACGAAATCAAGAGCAAAACTAAAGAAGAGGGAGAAATGCGCCATAACCGTTACAACTCGGCCAGAAATGCAACATACTGTTGCATATAATGCCCACTGCACCTTCTGACCGACGTTGATACACCACCACCACCACCACCACCACCACATAAGCAATATCGGCAATTATCAAAACGTCTCGTCAACAATCTGCCTTTCCCTTCAACACAAAAATTCATTCATCCATGAAAAGCATCAACATCATTACAAGCGACGACCCGCGCGAGGGTCCGATCCTCGGCTAGTCGGCCAACCGTCTCCACTCTCCGGATGGTGCCATCGGCCGGCCCATCGTCGCCATCCGGAGCACGCCTTAGCGGTGCTCAGATGGCGCCAGCCCACGCCTGCATCGATAGGTCGTCGACGCCCTCGTCGGTAATGGGGTCGCCCATGTCGCGGATGCCGTACATGTCCCAGCTCAGAAAATTCTGCAGGTCGTCGAGGTCGAGCGCCTCGTACATGGGCGCCGCGGGCGCGGGTCGTCGCGGCGACGGCATCGGCTGCTGCACCGTCACGGGGCGCTCGTGCTGCAGGCCTGACCGCGCCGGGGCGACGTCCTGACTCAGGCCCGCGAGCTGGTGCGCGGCGTTGACGTGGTCCCACGACGTGGAGCTCGCGGGCGACGCCGACGGTGCGCTCCACGTCATGCCCGGCGTAGATACGGACGAGCGATCGGCGGCGCGCCGGGCGCCGACGCCGGTGCGCGCGAGCGAGTGCAGCGAAATGGACGGCAGCGTGAGATCGCTGTTGTCATGAGGGCTGTTCGGCGGGCTGTTGGGCCTTAGTAATGCGGTTAGCCCAGTTCTCTTTGAGGGAATGAATTACGCCATTTCTTTGCTGAATCACTCACAATACGGCGCCGGGAATGTCGGCACGGGATTCAAATTGTAGCTTATTCAAAAGGTCCTCCCTGTTTGTCGCCTGCTTGAGCTTAAACAGCCATCGCTCAATGGTGGTCGACTACTCATGTTAGTTCTCAACCATTCGGCTGGGTAGGGGAGATGGTGGAAGACGTACAAGAGATTGCGCAATGGGAAACAGAGCGACCATCATACGCAAGACGCGATTGTTGCTCTCCACTGCATGGATCGCATCGCGCACCTTGTCCTGCGCGTCAAGCCGGTTGGGGTCGAGGAGGCGCGCCACGTAGTAGAGCATGACCCTGCTGCTGTCGTAGACAAAGTACGGCAGCAGACTGTCCGAGAGCAGCCTGGCGCCGTGGTCGGCGGCCTCGGCCAGAATGTCGGCAATCTGCTGCGCATGGTGGTAGCAGTTGGACTGCGCCGCCTGGAAGAATTCTTGGTGCTCTGGCGGGATAGACACGGGTTTGGACAGTTTAAAGAGGTCAGGCATGGACAGCTTGTACAGCTCCAGATAGTTGTGGTGGTAGGTGCAGTGGATGAGAACGAGTGCGCCAAGCTGGTTTGAGTCAAGACGAGCATATATCGTTTCAGCTGAATATTCAACAAAGTCTGGAAGCTCCCTGCGCCACAGACGTAAATCAGCATCCAGGGCAGCAAAGTCGGACTCGGGCAGCCACGGTGGCAGGCTGGCATCCATACGCGAGTCCAACCTATTGACGTATCTGCATGTTCCTATTAGCATCTCAAGTCTCATATATCATTCAGTTTACGTACCGGACAATCTTCTTCCAAAGTGTTACGATGCGAATGTAGTAGGCCATGATGCCCATGTTCTCGGCTGGTCGGCGCGGCACCACTGATGGGGGCAAAAATTGCAGCACATGGCCGACTCCGAGTGTCTCGGTGACGCAGGCAATCCTCAGACCAAAGTTTCTCTCGTTGCAGGGCAGCTGGATCTTAATGTCGTTCTCTCGCAAAAGAGTCAGCTGATCGATGCCGCTGCCCGCCCAGGCATCGAGGATGTAGCACGCCCACATGAGGCGGCGGCGGCTCTCGCGGGAGACGATGGAAGGGGCAGCTTCGTCAGACTCTGAGCACATGATATCGGCAGAGTGCTCCGAGTTGATCTTGAGAGCGTGAGCCATGCGCACGGCCAGGCCGCTCATCATCAGGGCCTGTGAGTATTCGCCATGGCGAAAGTGGAATTCGTGTATTAAGATGGCAGTCTACATGGGTTAGCCGAGCTGCAGGGTTTTTCCTATTCTTCTCTATAATGCTTACCATTAATCTTTGTACAGATATCTTGCCAAAGTTGGCGAGCAGTAGATACTCGGCGCGCTTAGCCCAGTGACTTCCAGCAGCCGAGATTAAGCTGGTGTCGCGGGCGTGATTACCGACAACGCTGAGAGCGTGGAATCTAGACATGTTAGTGTTTGTGATGGATTATTTTATGCGAATGTGGCGTACTTGGCTCCGTGGGCACAGACAATGTGCAAGAGGGCAGACTCATCGTCGGTGCTCAGGCCTTTGTCAAGCTGTCTCATAAACGTGGGCTTGTGAACAAAGGCAAAGCACCGCAGGGGATGTAAGTTTGTAAAGTACTGGTCAACCACACGGCGCAAGTTGCGGCCGCTGGGGAGGCTGGGTGATACGAGCCTGCATCAAATCAGCATTCGTCGTCGAGAACCAGCGCGCAAACGGGGACTACACACCAAGACTGCCCGTCCGGAATAGACACATTCGGCTTGCCCTCTTGACCACTCTGCTCTCCGCCGTCCGAGTTGGCCGGAGTATCGTCCTGCCGCGGCGGCAAGCGCCTCTCGCCTGCGAGAAATGACGATCGCTCCTTTTCGACGCTCGCGCGCAGCAAGCCGTCGGCCGCACCAGTGGCCACATCGGTCCCGTTGGCATGCGACGACGCCGTCGACACCGGACGGTCAAGGTTGCGCGTCCACCTGGGAGCAGCGCCGCCGTCGTAGACGCAGTCGACCTGTTTTGCGGCGCAGCGGCCGCACTTGGGCCGGTCGCCGTCGCATTTTGTCTTGGAGAGGCGGCAGGCGTTGCAGGAGCGGTAGGTGCGAATCTTCTTCAGGGCAACGGCCGAGGCCGACGAGGAGCGCTTGACGGCGGCGGCGGCGGCGGTAGACGTGGATGGGGCAGTGGTGCCGTCGTCGGCGACGCAGTCGAGCTGCAAACGCTCGCAGTTGCGGCAGCCGTTGGGGCGGCCATCGCACTTGACCTGGAGGTTGGGCGAGGCCAGAGGGCCGCGGCGTTAGTGTGTGGTGTAGATTTAATGTGGGTGTTTTTTTTTTGTTGTTGCTCGTTTGTTCTGCGATGCTCACCTTGCGCGCGCGACAGACTCGACAGCCCATGATGACCTGCGAGATGCGGCGAAAAAAAGGAATACAATGGATGAAAATACTATCAAGATGCCAGATGTGAGAATAAAGAAAAAAAAGTTATAGATTGGAATGGGTTTGAGATGCTAAACACCGTTCGGCCCGCCCACGCCAGCCAGTTCTGGCTGGCTGACGGCATCGACAGATGCTACCTCGCCTTATTGTGCTATCTCTGATGGCTTCATCTACAGCGAGTTACAGTGACTGAAGAGTCGAATTACAGGTGACGGGAACCCCCATAGAACCCCCATTTCTCGAAATTCCAGTGGACTCCTCCCCTGCAGCAAGCGCGCTGCCTCTCACTGTAAATCTAGCCACTCACGGAGCGCCGGGCCTGCGGGACCGAGGGTCCGATCCACCACACTAGACCAGCTTCCGGTGACGTGCTCGCGTCCAGCAAAGACGCAAACCCTCTTTCGCAAAAAAACGATGCACGACGTGATCGACGGCCCGCCACCACAACAACTGCACGACGCCATATTCCGTGCTAATGAGCTCAATGCATTATCAAATCCCCAGCGTCGAATCGCAGCTCTAGGCCCTTCCAGATTGCGTTCCCTGCTGTTGTTGCCAGCGGACTAAGTAATGACTTGCCATTCTTGGGTGAAAGCTAAAACTTATAGCGTTTCCATGGACCCCCAAGCGAACTGCCGACAGTCCACTGCCTACGGGCCGGTCGCCCGATATCGCCGTTGTGTCTTTTGTCGATGAGCATATCAAATCTGCAAAGGCGTGGGGTTGTGTCTGAAGGGCTGATCACCACAGCAGCCACAGTTGACAGCCACACAGCATACATGGCACAACTGGGCCTTTTTTTTTTTTCTTATCAGCACCGCACGACGAATCAAGTCCACTGGATATGTGTTATTGCATGAGCAAACTGCGGAGGAGAGCTCTGCTTCGCAGCAACCCCCCCACGATCGCGTGCTTCCGAATTGGAGCCCCAGAAGAGGTGGGCGATACGGCGAACAAAGGTCTGATGCATTCAAAAGCAGCCCCCAGAATCATGATACAGTCCATGAAAGAAATCTACAGCACAATGCATGACAGATCTTTTAACCCCGAAAATCGTCCTCGCGTGACAACAGCCGACCTTAATGCCGTCGTCGCAGCCTACGTGCCGTCACCACCATGGCCACATTCCAAATCAAAAATTCGTCTTTTGTTCACGTCATCTCGACAACTCTATCCGTCGTCGGCTGTTTCGCACGTGCTTGAGGTCTACGATCGCACGAGGCCAAGACCCCCCGATCGTGCGTGTCGTCGATACTCCACATTGGGAGCCGTAATACATACTGCTTTAGGCAATTACCCTAATAATTATTCCACAGCAATTGGGCGGCGGATCTACAGAAGCTGACACTTTGGGAAAAGGCCTCGAGCTAGCTATCAATCAGGTCATGATTCCGCACAACCTGATATTCATTGCTTTCGCCATCTTGACTTCGTTCCTCAGAAATACCTCCAAGCGACTGCTGAAGAGGGCCACACTCTGTGCCTAGTGTGCCAGACAGCGACACTTGAGCGTATAATCATAGAAGCATCATCACCTGCTTTACTACCATGACACGCTTCAGAAAGATACAACAAATCAACATAAACAAGTAAATCTATGTAGTAGAATTAACTTCATTGAGCGACATACTTTTCCTACCCATAAAATAGCTATGAAAGAAACCCACAAAGTAAACCGAAAGAATTCATGTACACCGATGTATGCCTCTTCTACTCCTCCATCTCCTCATCCTCGGCCTTGGCCTCAGCCTCCTTGCGCGCCTTGAACGCCGCCGCCCACTCGTGCGCCTTAGCCGTTACCTTGGCCTTGCTCTTGGCATCGATGCCCTCCTCAAACGTCGTCCATCTGCGGAACCACTTCTCTGCCTGCTGCGGCTTCAGGCCCTTGACGCGAGTCCGCCGCTCAAATACGTCGCGCACCGCCGTCGGATCAGCCGCCGCCGTGCCGCCGGCCCCCGCGAGGATGCCCATCTCCAGATCCAGCAGCTGGTTCCACAGATCGCCCTTTTTCGGCCACGTGTCCAACAGGCCCGCAAACATGGTCCGGCCACGCTCCGGCTCGCCGTTGGGGGAGTGGAACTCGAGCGCCGCGAAGCGCGGCACAATGGTGACGGCCTGTGCGGCGCCGAGCTGCTGCGAAGCTCGCGGCAAAAGGGCGCGCGCGCGCGCGGGGTCGTTGCGTGTAACGTGCAAAAAGTGCGCATAGTTCATCCACACGCTGGGCGCCTTGGCGCCAAACTTCTTCACCATGGCCTCAAATAGCGCCTCGGCCTCTTTGAGCTTCCCCGACTGGATGTAGATGCTGGCGAGACGCTCGTGAATCTCTTGCGGGTCATTGTATTGACAAGCACGCTTGAAAACCTCCTCAACCGTCGTCTTAGTTCCGTAGGCCACTTCCAAGTTGAGGTAGGCCACCCAAACGTTGAGCTTTTCCGTCTCCTCGCGAATGTTGATGGTGCGGATCGCACGCTCCGCCACCTCGCGCGCCTTGGGCAGCTCGCTCACCTGCATCTGGAACGCCATGTACGCGATCCACAGCTCTGACGAGTCGGGCTGACCCAGGAGCAGACGCTCGTAGTCGCTCGAGGTTTGAGGGCCGTTGGTGTCGAGCTCGGCAGTCTTGTCGACCTCAATCTCATTCTTCTTGCGCTTCTTGGTCTTGTCAACTTTTTTTATCGGCTCGTCGCCCTCTGATTCGGAACCTGAGTCGGCGAAGGGATCAGCCGTCCACGCAGACTTGCCACCGCCCAGCCCAGCACCAGCAGGGGCATCCTCCATCTCAGAGTCTTCGTCCCCATCAGCTTCGTCGTCGTCCTCATCGTCGTCGTCCTCGCCATCCTCATCGTCCTCATCCTCATCGTCATCCGCTTCCTCATCTTCATCTTCATCTTCATCCTCATCCTGATCCTTATCATTAGCTTGATCTTGAATGAGTTTGAGAAGAGCAAGTTCAGCTGTTTCATCATTGCTATCGTCCTGGCCATCAAGAGCAGCACCATTATCAGATTCCATATCCGTGTCCTCATCTTCAAACAGCGAAGGTTTCAAGCCAAAGCTGATTTTGCGCTTCTGGACATCCACCTCTAGAACCATGGCCTTGACGGCATCGCCCTCCTTGTAGAGCTTGGTAGCATCCTGCACAGGCTTCTCGGCTATTTGGCTTCGATGGCATAGACCACTGACGTTGGCCGAGTTGTCAACCAGGATGAAAGCACCAAACTCCTCCACTTTCCGCACCTTGCCGGTGACAACTTGGCCAACGGCAAGGTCCTTGTAGGTGACGGGAGGTGTGTAGTCCTCGTCGACAACTGACGACTTGAGACTCATTTCTAGTTGCTTTGTCGCATTATCGATGGCAATGATGCGACCCTTGACCATTTGGTCAATTTGGAACTGATCCTTCCACTCCTTCAAGTAGCGGTCGGACAGGTTCGAAATCTTGACAAGCGCAGAAACAGGACCCCCAAGAAGAACAAAGAGGCCTTTGTCAGTTACATTCTTCACAAAACCTCGAACAATGTCGCCAGAGGATAGCTGAGCAAAACTGCTGATTTCTTGATCTTTGATGGGCAGAGTGGAGCTCATGATACGGGATGGGCGGATAGAAAGGCGCAGTCTCTTGTTGCTCTTGTCAACATCGACGACAGAGACGCGGATGATTCCACCCTTACGGTACTGGGTAGTGTTGACTTCGTCAAAGTTATCAGCCATGTCGGGTAGGTGAACAGGTCCAGATACAGACTCGCTAAACTTGACAAGGATCTGTCGCTCATTGACTTTGGTTATCTTGCCAGGAAGTACCATATTGGCCTTGATCGAATCCCAGGTAACCGTGTCTTTGGACGACGAAGAGCGGGCAGAGAGGTCGAGATGACTGTTTTCGGGATTGACAGACGTCACACGGACCCTGAGCGCAGATCCGGCAGGGAAGTTCCCTTCCAAGTCGTTCAACTGAGACAAGTCGTCGGAGGCTTCCAGGGCAGAGATGCGGCCACGGACAGAGGGGGAGAGGTTGACCCAGAGATATTGCTGTGTCAAGTTGTTGACAAAGGCGATGTGTGACTGTCCAACCTTGAGGGAGTCGACTGTGAGCTCCTTTAGTCTATCGGTCTCTAGGTCAGTCTGGCGCGCAGTGAGCTCCAAGATGGAGTGAGCGGATCTGTGGGAAATCGGCAGAAAACGATGATCCTTAGCATCATGCACGCCCACAACCCTGACGCGCAGCTCTTGGCCTTTGTGGAAGGTGGCGAGAGGGTGCTTGGGGTCCGCAATATCGTCCCATTTGTCAAAGACGTTGGAGATATCGATTCGGCCCTGCACGTTATAGTCGACAATTTGGACATTCAGTTGCGTCTCCTTGATGGAGGTAACCTTGGCCTTGGTGATGGAGCCAAACGCCAGATCATCGGCGGGGGCCGCCTTGGCTTTTTTGCTCTTGCCGGCAACATCCTGATCAACAGGCGCGGATGATGGTGCGACCATGATACGGCTGAGATCAGGAATGGTTGATACGACACGGACTTCGATGGAATCGTTCTTGTGCAGGCCAAAATCGGGCTTAGCCTGAGCTTCAGGTGCAAGACGTGCCTTGGGGAGCAGCGCGTGCAGAGAGCCGGCAAACTGGACGAAAACCGCAGTGAGTGTGATGTTTCTCACAAAACCGGCAAAAACACTGCCCTGCTTGGCCTGCTCAAAAGACTTGAGCAGCTTCCCCTCCTTAGCGGCTTCGACTAGGCTGGGCTTTTGCGACAGGATGACAGAGCGACGACCCTCGTGCTTATCAAGGACAACGAGATTGGGCAGAGTCTGACCAGCAGACACCTTCTTGAGCGCAAATTGATTCTTGGACGCAGACTTGTCGGTAAGATGGCCAACAGGGAGGATGGCCTTGAGTAAGCTGCCTTCGAGTTCGACAAAGACTTGATCTTCAGTCTTTTGCGTAACCTTGGCGGAAACGACGTCTCCAAGTGACAGCTTCTTCAGTGCATTTTGCTTTTCGAGACCGAATGCGCCAGGGTCCTTGCAAGAAACAACCAAACGCCTTGACTCCGGATCAACATCGAGCACATGAACGCTGACTACTTGACCAACGCGAAAGTGCTCGGAGGGGTCGCGAATGTAAGCCTCGCTCATTTCAGAGATGGGCAAGAACCCGCGTAGCTCGCCGTAGAATTGGATTCGAGCGCCACTTCTCTCAAGCTTGATGATTGTGCCAAGAGCCTGGCTGCCGACCTTGACATCGTCGTAGTTTGTGATGATTGGGGTTTCGGAGTTGACAAGAGTCTTCTTGAGTGTAAGCCTTATGCTCTTCTTGATCAGGTCATTGCTCAGCACGCGGGCCTTGATCTTCATGCCTTGGCGGAACTTCTTCTCGGGATGCTGCAATTTGACGTCGGAGAGATGACGTTCAGGAACAAAGCCAGTGATGCCTTCGGCGATGTTAAGTACGAGACCGTTGACACCGTCCTCGTTAATGAGGAGCTTTTCAATTTCGCAAGTCAGGACGGTACCGACGGGCACATCTTCGTGGCGTATATATGTTTGGCTGAGGATAGACTTTTGAAATGAGAGATGAAAGACACCGTCTATCTCGCTGTAGCCAACAATACGACCCTTGTGTGTTGAGCCCACCTGGTAAGGGCCACTGGATTTATAAAGGGAATCGACCTTTCCGTCCTTGACGCGGGAGATGTGAACAAATCCGCACAGGCCGGGAACGCCGACGTCCACAAACAAGCCCATGTCAGCTTCAGCATGACGAACAGTACATTGTTCGACGATCGAAGCAATAGGAAGTACTTGTAGAGGAAGACTGGAGCGCTTGGGACCCTCGGGGTGCTTTTTGGTAAGAGCTGTCAGGTGCGGCAACAGTGTGATACCCAGCTTGGGGCTCTTTGCTGTGGGGAAGTTGCAAATGATTCTTGCCTTGATTTTGGAGCCGATTTTGTATTTTGATTCGACGTCGGTGCCAAAAGGGCCAATCCCGGAGTGGATGAGATCGGCTGTGGCGTCGACGTGTCCCATGATTTTGCCAGAGAGACCACTGTTGCTGTTGCCGGTGACAAGGACCGAGACGGCGGTACCAGGTAGGAATGTGTTGATAGTAGTGGCTTCGGCAGGGTAATTTTTGACGTTGCCAATCTTGTCCTGCTTTAGAGTGAGCTGTGCGACCTTGCCGCTGCCTTTCTTTGCGGTAACTTGGCAAAGGAATACGGCGCCTTCTTGAAGGCGCTGACGTTTCATGTTGGTATCGACTTCTGCGTTGGGTAGAAAGCCGCTCAAGCCGTCGATTCCGAGATCCATGATGCAACCATGGTCTTCGACACTGGCGACGGCAGCGACAACGGTACACTGAGGCACGACATCGTCCTTGGTGAGACCGGTGTTGGCTTCGGTGGGGCGGAGAGAGAGCTCAATCTTGCGTTTTCCCTTGCCAGCAACAGCGCCTTCGGTTGTAGATACAACGTAGGCGCGTACGAATTGGCCAATCTCGAAGATGGTCTTGGGATCGACGTCCTCGCCTTCATCGTCGTCTTCCTTTTCCTCGTCATCGCTGTCGTCATCTTTGACATCGCCTTGTAGTCGATTCGTGAGCTGTTCGGAAACGGCAACGATGGAGACGTGGCCGGTCAAATTGTTGGGCAGAGCGACTTCGAGAGCGAGATTGCTGATGCGTGTGATTTGGCCGAGGACGATGGATCCTTTGACTAGTTTCTGCGCTAGTTAGCGGTATACCAGGTTGTAATACAAGATGGAAGGATTACCTTGAAATTGAGACTTTCAATTTTGACAGAGTCGTCCTCTGACTTTGACTCTGACTTCTTGTCCGACTTTTGGAGAGCGGCGGCTCGCTTCTTCTTCTTTTGAGGCTTGCCGGCGGTAGAGAACTCATCTTCTTGCGCAGCGTCGGCCTTGGCTTCTAATTGAATCTGCTTCTGTTCGAGAGGAGTGAGGACACTGGCGCCGCCTCGGGGAAAGAGAGGCTCCTCGTCTTTGAGGACGGAAACGACAGCCTTTTTCGGGGCGTCGGCATCCTTGGGCTTGCCAGTCTTGGGCTTGTCGGTCTTGGTTGGGTTCGCCTCTTTGGACTGCTTGGCGGATTTGGCAGGAGGATGGCCACCGGGGGCATCCTTTCGTTTGAGATTGCTCATAGCGGCGTGCATGTACAAAAGCGAAGACAAATTTGTCTTTGCGCAATTGCATGTATGGCCTGCACCATGAAATCAATGCGCTAACAGGTCCCTCGAATTTTTTTTTCTGCAGCTGCGATAAGAGAGGACACCGGCGCGATAAGAGCTGTCCGATCCGAGGTTGATCCGGGTGGCAGTGATCACCTACGAAGCCAGGAAAGTACGTGAAATGGGCACTTTACAAACAAATTCAATTATGTTATTATTTGTAAAGTCATATTCACTTGCAATTCGTCTTCAATCATAATGGTGGGTAAGCTGTCTCTTTCACGAAGGCTGCTTTGGTAATGGACCCTCAACGTGTTAGTATAGCGTACAATATTGGTGAAGTTAAAGGTATTTGATGCGGCATGCGTCTCTTTTAATGCTGAAACTAGCCATAAGCTTGCAAAACACGAATCCATTTTTGATACGCAACTTGGACTTTTTCCTGAGCATAATTATAGCGCAACTCAAGCTAGCCACATGACGTGCTGACGCTTGAGTGAAACCAGCTACTGTACTGTGCCAGTAGGTATGTCAAGCATCAGCGGAAATCTTGGCAAGATCGCTGTAAGTTTGACAGCTTCTAGATACTTGCATCAATACCCAGGAGTGCTCTTAAATCTGGTATGGTCCGTATGAAGACCCGGTGCCAGCGGGTAGCTGTGTGCCGCGACCTCGCCTCGTCAGATTCAAGACAATACCTTTCAACACTCAAATTCTACCTTACCATTACGAAGGCATGTAAAGAAACGAACATTTGCTTCAAGCCAACGGCACCCGCAGAAGTCGCCACGAGGCTGGCCATTGGCGCAGTGCAGGCAAGCACGCAGGTTGATAAGAGCGGGGCATGACAGCTAACGTGTTACTAGGTACCTAGCGGTGTCACTCAGTGCGTAGCCCTTCATTATACAGTGAATTTACAGCACCTCAGGCCAGGAACGGGCGACAACAAGTTGCATGCCAACCGCTCGTCTACTCAACAATACAACATTTCCACGTCACACGGCGCCTCGGCCAACTCTTAACAGTGTATTAATCCCAGAAAATTATCATTCCCGATTATTGTACCATCTCTACAGGCCATGCCGTAGTCGCCACCATGGCTCCGCGAAAACGGCACCGTCCAAACCCCAACGACGTCACGGCAAAGTTGCCTCCCACCACACAATCACAAGATAGTCTACCACGGCCCGCCCACGCATCTGCCTCGGAAGACGCATCACACTGCAGCCGACCCATGCCCCAACAACTTCCGGAGAACAGCCATGGCCAAGAGAGCGCATCTCATCTCTTACATCACAAAACAGTACGTACGGTTACTAAAGCTGACGTGCTTGATCTCACACCATCTAGGTTCGCAAAGCCCAGAGCTGGTACGGTTCCTGGCCACGGCCGCCCAAAGCATCAGCCTCACTGTCCGTAGCGAGGGAAAATATTCACGGCGACACGTTTCGCTCTAAAGCCGCTGACCTGACACGCTTCGAGTCAAAGAGCATCGACGACACCGCTAGCATTCGCAGCAAGCTGAGCGAATCCGCCGCGGCATCGGACCAGGCAAAGTCCATGGCCCAGTCCGACTCGAAACCATCCCAGAACGAGCCTACGAATGGGAATCCGACGATAGCAAATGATACTATACCTGAGCATTCAAAACCTGACGATAACAAAACTGCCCCGGAACCAAACGGTACGACTACTACTGTTACCGAGGCGGTGACTACGGACAATTCAGAAGACATTCCACCAGCACCCACACAACCACAATCCGGCTGGCTAGGTTGGCTCACAAGGACATCTGCCACAGTTGTAGAAACGATCCCAGAAGAGTCGCCAGAGCCCCCTCGACCATCTACACCGCCTGCACAAATCATCGTCACCGCACCCACTGCCCAATCGGAGCCTCGGCAACCGACTACATCTTGGTTTGGACTGTGGACAACCACGACGCCACAGGCCATGGCATCCGACTCGGAAAAGAAGCCGGCTGACGATGCCCAGAAATCTGACACAGACGTAGTCATGAAGGATGCGCCCGCACCCGCGTCTGCGCCGGTGCCGGCACCGGCAGTGCAAACGCAAGAACCGGCGCCTAAAGCTGGCTCAACCTGGGCATTCTGGTCAAAAGCTACACCAAATCAAAAAGAAAGGCCCTCAGCGCAAGAGGCTGGCGAGATCGCAGTCATAGGAGAAGGATCAGAGGCTCATCCGCTGCCCGCGACTCAGAACAGCGTTTCGTCTGAACCCGGCACGGAAAAGGGCAAAGCCAAAGACTCGAAATCGACATGGCGGAAGAGTAAGCGCTCAAGGCCAGGCTCAGTAGACGAGGCGTCATCTGCATCGCCAGCTGGTAGTCAGCTCCATCTTCCGGAAGCAGGTGGTGGAAAATCAGACCAATCTGACGCAGAGAGTCGCAAGTCTGTTACCAAGCCAGAACTATCCAAGTCGACGGCAGAAAGCGAAACCACTGCCAAGCACCCCCCAAACCTTGTGCTGCCGACCTTCGCCAGCACATACCGCATGAAGGAGAATCCGTCTATCTTGCAGCAAATCACCAATCTTCTCCTCAGAACATCGCAGCCCCCCGCCAATCACGTCTTTCGCGTGCAGGAGACTCCCAAGATCAAGCGCGCCCTCGCCATTGGCGTTCACGGCCTGTTCCCCGCCACGTACCTCCGGCCTATGATGGGGCAGCCCACGGGTACGTCGCTGCGCTTCGCCAGCCTGTGCGCTGACGGTATCCAGCGCTGGGCGGACGCGCACGGCTGTGGCGACTGCGCGATTGAAAAGGTGGCGCTCGAGGGTGAGGGCCGCATCGGCGACCGCGTGGAGAATTTATGGAAGCTACTGCTCAACTGGATCGACCAGATCCGCCAGGCGGACTTGATTGTCGTGGCCTGCCACTCACAAGGCGTGCCTGTCGGCGTGATGCTCCTCGATAAGCTCATCGACCTGGGCATCATCACCGATGCTAGGATTGGCGTCTGCGCCATGGCAGGTGTCGCACTGGGGCCGTTTCCCGACTACAAAACGAGTTTTCTTATGGGCTCCGCCGCCGAACTCTGGGACTTTGGCAACCCAAAGAGTGCCAACTCGCAGCGCTTCGAGGCGGCGCTGAAGCGGGTACTGGACTATGGCGCGCGCGTGACGTTGATCGGAAGCATTGACGACCAAGTCGTCCCCATGGAGGTAAGTCCCCGTTGACACTATAGATTGTCCAACGACTAACAAGCCTAGTCCGCCGTGTATTCTCCCGCCTCGCATCCGTACATTTACCGCGCCGTCTTTATTGACGGCCGCATCCACGCGCCCGACTTTATCGCGCATCTGATCGGCTTCGCGCTGAAGCTGCGCAACCTGGGCATCAGCGATCACGGGCTCGTGCGGGAACTGTCGCTCGCGCTCGCGGGCTCCCTGTATTCGGGTGAGGGCCACTCGCGGCTGTACTATGACGACGCCGTGTACGACCTCGCCATTGCGCACGCCCTCGAGACGACGGACGTACCGAAGCATACGGCGCCCTGTCGCGTGGAGCACCGCACCGTGCCGACGGCTACGCCGACGGGGGCGGCTCCCGCGCTGGCTTCCCCGAACCCGTACGTGCTTCCGTGGATTATGCGCGGGCTGCTCGAGGAGGATTTTGTCAAGACGGAGCTGAGCGCGGAGACGGAGGAGCTGCTTAGGCAGTTTGACGACTGGAAGCCGAGTAATAAGGCGTTGAAGGATGTCAAGTATAGACTGGAAGCGGTGCGATCAAAGTTGTGAGGACTTGTAGATGGTTAAAGTGGATGGACGGGACACGGGATGACGGTGTATACATTACATGAAATAGACGGCATGGCGGCAAGCTGCACATACACGAGTGTACGTCTCTAGATGTTTGCAATTTTTAAGCGATGGGCGGAATTTTACCGAATACATTTTTTTCTTCTTACCCTTAACCGTGGTTAGTATATTCAATGGGTTTTGATTTTGAGAGTTGTTTCTATTCATGCTCCTGTTCTACACGTTTTCCTGACCACGATCGTTGTAACTATTGCAAACACAAATCCATTTTGTAGTGTACACTCATTCTCGAAACCAAATTGCCTCTTTTTTCAAATCCGTCAATTAGAGTTGATGTGCTATTCCTCTAGACCCATGTACATGTATTTGCCCTTTAAAAAGAAATTCTATAAGCCCTTTGTTAAATCGTACAATCTGCCCTCTCCCTCTCCTACTCATCCCAATTCTATAATACAAAGCCACCTTCTCTTCTCTTGTCTTCGTTTCTTTTGCGTTCGTCCCCCCTCCTCGCGAGGCCCTCACGCTCTACGCCCCAGCTTCCACCCGTCGATGCGGTCCTGGATCTGGTCCCAGGTCATGGCGTGGCTCGACAGCCCGTACGCCTGCGCCTCCTGCAGCACCACAGTCGGCGCGCCGCTCCCACTGCCCGCCTTGCCGCCGACCACCATGCGCGCGACCCTGCGCAGGTCGTTGACGGTCAGCGCCTCAATCTTGGCGCACATTTCGCGCACGGGCACCTTTTTCCCGTGCACCTGCACGCTGCGGCCGAGGTCCTCGAGCTCGACCATGCGGCTCTCGAGGTTCATCAGCAGGCTGGAGCGGAGCTGGTTCTTGGCGCGCTGGACCTCTGCCTCGCCGAGCTTGGTGAAGCCCGCGTCGAGCGTCAACGCGCGGAGCTCCTGGCACAGCACGTCGAGCATGGCCGACGTGTGGCCGGGAAGGCAGGACGCGGCGATGCCAAAGAGGCCCGAGTCGGTGTAGCTGTGGTTAAAGGCGACGCACGACTCGACCCAGCCGTGCTGGTTGAGCACGTGCGTGTAGAGCCGCGAGTACATGCCCTTGCCGGGCCCGCCGGCGGAAAAGGAGCCCCCGCCGCCGAGCAGCGTCTGCAGCGTGGCGAGCGCGTAAATATCCTCGGATGCGACGGGCAGACCCTCAAAGGCGAGGTGGATGTGCGTGAAATTGGTCTTGTGTAGCGAGGGCGGCTGCGGCGGGAGTGTGAGGAAGCCGCCGGTGTAGTGCGAGGGCGGGTATGCGGGGGTGGTAATGGTGGAGGACGCCGGGGAGGAGGAGGAAAGCGTGGCGTGGGAGCGCGTGGCCGAGGTGGAAAAGGAGGCGGCGGCGCTGCTACTCGCCGACGACGACGAAGAGGAAGAGGAAGAAGAAGAAGAGGCCGAGGTCGCGATGCTGGATTCGGACCCGCGACGAGACGACGACGACGACGCCGTCGCCGCGTCGCCAAAGTACTGCTTCGCCAGATCCACCGCTACATTGTGCTCTACGCCCGCAAACGCCAGCACCATCCTCTCGGGCCTGTAAAACCGTTCCCTGTACCTCAGCACCGTATCCCTCCCAATCTCCGCCAGCCTCTCCTCCGGGCACAGCAGCGGGTTCCCCAGCGTGTTATCCTTGTACGCCGCCGTGTGCACCAGCTCCGGCAGGATCAGCTCGGGCTTGCTCCAAATCTCTGCAATCTCGTACCGTGCCGTCTCCAGCTGCTCCGCCACCTCCTGCTCCGTCACCTCGGGCACGCGCACCGTCTCGGCCAACAGCGCCACCGCCTCGGGCACCGCGCCGTTAAACGTCGCCGCCTGGTACATCATGCTCTCGCGGGAGCTGGCGCACTGAAAGTTGCCGCCGAGCGCCTCGACGCGCTCCAGCATGTCGTCGGCGGAGCGCGCGGCCGTCGATTTGAACGCGAGACGGTCCATGATGTGTGACACGCCCCGCAGAGAGGCGTCCTCGAAGCGCGAGCCGCCCTCGACGTAGACGCCAACGCCGGCAAAGGAGCCGGGGAGCGCTTCCGAGGCAACGCGCAGGCCGTTGGGTAGAGTGGTGATGCGGTCGAGGTCGGTGGGTTCCTAGCAGCGCGTGCGAGGGATTGGGTTAGTTTTGTGGTTCTTTTCGATTGAGGAGAAGGGGCGCAAGAAGGGGGAAGAAATCACGGACTTTGGGAATGCCCTCAACGGAGACGGTCGCCATGGCGCGTTTTGGCAGGGCAAGACGGCGCAGAGCGGCGCTGCTGGGGGCACGGCTGCCGAGGGGCAGCCGCGCAGCTAGTTGTCGCAACATGGTGGATTGTTGGTTGCGGCGACAGGATGTGATGTGTGTGTGTGTGTGGTGATGATAAGGTTGACTATAGCGGGCATGGTGTTGGCTGCCTTGGTGGTGTGGTTCTGGAAATTTGCAGGCCTCGGCGATATATCGGATCAATTCGTGGCGGCTCCGATCCGGAGACGTCACTCGTATGGGGATTTGGTGGTGACTTGCTCTGAGTCTGAATTACCCTGGACCCACCGAAGAATACAGCGGCGTGTGAACACTGAGCAACGGATGCATCAAGGCTAGTTTGGATCAAGTCGTTGGCCAACTTGACAAGAGTTCAATGAGTTAATTTTGTCAGTCAACCTTTGTGAGTTATTTCGCCATTCAGGAAAGATTTGCAAGCTATATCGTCGGTCATGTCATATTATTACGTGACAAGTTTTCAGATAGGGATAATAAATGGTTCATTCATATATTAACAGGAGTCCCACCCAAGGCAGGCTGCACTGCTGCCAATGCTGGAACAACTGCAGCTAGAAGACTGTCGCTTATGTCATGTACAAAGTTGATAAAAGAAATGCCTCCGAAATGCAAATGCTCCCAAAAGAATCAACGCCCGAGAATTATGGCACATGGCAGAAACAAGTCTTGCAGCTGCAAAGGAAAATGCAGTTTCAAGGGGTGATGATGTGGAAAAGGAAAGACGAAAAACAAAATACCATGAATGCGCATCTATGAGGTCGTGAGACAGCCATGAGCAGCTGCCTGTGTGTAATGAGTGTAAAGATTAAGAAGATAAACACTGGGTATACTATTGTGCATTTTCGTCGCCGGCGAGAATAGTGACGTCCATTTCCGTGGCTGCAGCGTCGAGGCTTGTCATTTGCACTTGAGACGACTCACGACCCGCACGTCCATCGAGCACCCAAGGTCCAATGTCATTTCTCGGGGTAATGGGACCTTCGGCACCTGGACGGGGTGGTGAAGGTGTGCCCCGGCGAGCACCCGACGCGTTTCTGATAGGCAGCGGCGAGGATATCGCGTGGGCGATGTGATTAGAGGCTTCTGGCGTGTCTGCGGATTCACTTATCGTAATGTCCATGCGGTCAGGGTCGGAGACTTGAGGCTCAGCGGGGGCAGATGATGTCTCGGCAATGGCATCGAGCTTTTGGTCCTTTTCTGGCTCGTCAAACATTCCCCATTCCTCCGAGGGTTCCTCGACGTCGGCCTCGAGATCGGCGCCGGCGCGGCAGTTGGGACAGATGAAGACTGGGTATGAGGGCGACATGAGAAGTGATTTGACGCATTTGTAGTGCCACGTATGGGAGCAGGGAGCGACAAAGAGGGATTGACAGGGCTAAAATGGTCAGAGGTTGTTTCAAGACAAAGCCAGCCAGCAAGGCAGGCGGGCCGAGGTATCAGTGACTTACAGCAATAGAGTTGAGGCAGATGGAGCAGTCCTGGGAGGAGTTGGCAGCACCACCAGCGGCCGTGTTGGCCGAGGCCATGGTGCGAAGACGTTTGTGAGCGGCGACACTGAGACAGTTAGAGAAAGAAGAGCGAGTAAGTAAATGAGATGGGTAAGAGGGAGAAGGTAAGAGGGGAAACAAGCAAGATAAAAGCGAATTGGAGGGAAAGACAAATCAGAGACATACTTGAAAGAGTTTGGCTTATTTTGCCATCCGCGATTGAGCTCGAGCCTCATCTTGACGCAGCGAAAGATCATTTCCTCACCACCCTTGAAATCAATGCCGAGCTGAACAATGTCACCGTCGTTAACAGCAAAGGCCTTGCTTTCCTGGGACGGGGGGCTGAGGCGGATGTGGTTGAGAAAGGTGCCCGAGGAGCTTTTGACGTCCTTGATATACCACTTGCCGTTTTCGTGCCAAAACTCGCAATGGCGGCGGCTGACGACCTTGCTCTTGAAGCCGACGTTGGCAGCCGAGGGCTGATTTCCAGAGACGCTGGCGAGGGGATGGGCGTCGCGCTCTGAGAAGCGGCCGACACGTATGACCTCTGTGCCGGTGGGCAGTGTGCGGGTGATGGGGGAAAAGGTAAGCGAGGGCCTCGAGGCGCGCTGGTCAAAGTAGGAGGAGAAGCGAATCGAGGGTGAGGGCGCGGCGTCGGGGGCGGTGCTGTTGCTGGGACCGGCTGCGGAAGAAGAAGTGGGAGAGGAAGCTGGGGCGTCGACGGGAGCAGATGTTGGCATGGCAGTGGCAGCATCATCGCTGTCCGAAGGGGTGGCGGGGGTTTCCATGTGGGATTGAGGTCTAGATTGTTCCGTCGTGGACTCGGGGATGGAATCAGAGGCGGCGCATGATCGGGCCGGCCTAGTCTCGGGGGTGGAACTGACGAGGCTGAGACGGTTCATGTTGGTCGGTGTAGGCGCCGGGCTAAGCAGAGCGCCAGGCGTGTACGAGGCAGATCTAGTGAGGCCGGCCGACTGCCTCGACGCGTTTGTATTGCTGTTGGTGTTGGCGGCGGCAGAGGAAGAGCTAGTGGTTGAGGCGTCGCGCGAGAGAATGTGATTGTGGGTATAGTTTCGCAGGTAGCTGAGGCCGCGCAGACGAGAGGAGCGCGAGGGCGAGACTGTGCTGGAGGGCTGAGGCGGCGCGGTGGGTGGCGGCACGGGCTGGGTGAACATGATGGTGGTGGTGGTGTCGGATGCGGAGCGAGGAAGTGGCGATGAAGGGAACGGTGTGTAGAGAGGCGGGTGTTGCATTTGGGCGCGAGGGCAGCGCCGGAGCGAGAGGCGAGAGCAGATGGGGTCGAGAGAGTAGAGAGAGAAGTCGAGTTGCAAAAAAGACGAGTCGAAGAGGAGGAAGGAGAAGAGACTCGGCTCGATGTGGTTGTTTGAGTGAGGTTGGTTGGGCCAAGCGGGAGGGAAAAATAAGGTGGTCAGGCCACTCACTGGGGAGCGGCGCAGGTTTAATTTGGTGGCAAGCCAGGCGGGTCGGAAAATGGAATAAGCTCGGCGGCAGGGAGGTGAAGGAGGGAAAGGTGGTTGAAATGTAGTTATGAAAAGGAAAACAGAATGAGGGATCAAGCAGAAACGAAGTATGTCAATAAAGCAAGAAGGGAGCAAGGACAAGGAACAAAGGCAAAGGCAAAGGGTTAGAGGGGTGTATTGAGGGCGTCAAGTGAGAGGATGCAGAGGGTGTGCCAATGAGACCCGGGAGAGTTCAAAAGCAAGCGGCTACAGCGAGACACGGGAGCAGATTGATCATTCCCACAGGTACTTTGTTAGCAGACAATAGCAGACAAAAGGTCACCAAACGAACCAGTTGGTGCCTGGTTGTAGCGGCCACAGGGCGTGTTTGATGGACGTTTGTGCCCTTGATTAGCGGGCATGACTACCTACCTTGGGTAGGTAGTTGTCTATTTAGGGCGCCAACTAATCAAGTAGTTCACGCAGGCAAGCAACCAAGGTATCTGACCGTATCAGGCTTGTGATCAAGTAACCGACGACTGGCATATCATGATATTACACTATTACACCCGGTTTGATGACCCGAGTTCATGACCTCTTCAACTGCCTGGTGCTCGTTTCCTTTCCCGACTGTCTGCTGCCATTTGGCCGTGGCGTCGGGCCTGGTCAGTTGACTTGGGCCTACGGATACAACTTTATGCAATAACACGCCCATTATGCACTCCTGCACTCCAGGTTTGGTAGCAATAATAATACGTATATGGGAAAAAAGAAATCGGAAAAATTGCCAAACCTCGATATCAAGACTCTCTATCCGTACTGCGTAATTCTTCTCGTCTTTTTTTTTTTTTTTTGTTACCGCCTGCTTCCTCTTGTCCGTGACAGCCCGCCGCTTTCAGCTGCGCCTACCTCGGCGTCGCCGCTCGCAGCCGAGACACTGTCCAGCGGCGCTAACTTGGTCAGAATAGCTAGAGCCTGAATAAGGTAAATAGAGCTCTACGGCCTACCTACGGAGTACCTACCCGCATCGTACTTTTGCCTGCCTGCAAATGCACATATGCAACCAGCCACGCCGCGTGGCTAGCATGATGGTCATTTCATAGCACCATCCGCAGATACACACGACCGCCCTATCTTACGTTTGCGGCAATTCTTTTCCATTAGTTGCCCCCCCATGTACCTGTTTTGAAATTTTCTTCTTGCTTGATGCTTCTGTGCCTTGGGTTCCTTGGCAGTTACAACACCACCCTCCACAGGATCCGCCCCGGTCACAGCTTGGCCTTGGCTGACCTGACCAGAAAGGCGGGGTGTGACAATGACTTGACATGACAACAAGACGCCCAACTTGTGTTGGTCCCGCCCGGTAATAATATAGATCATTAGATGGGTAGTTGAATGACACAACTCCTCCCAGCCTGCGGGACACAATGCATTTACAGCGCCTGGCAGCTGACTGGACTCGAAACCGTTCGTTCCCCCCTCTTCCCCCCACCGCCTGCACAAGGACATCTCGTGCCATGCCCGCATGGGGAAGTAAAAAAGGACGACGGACCAATCTATGGTCTCGAGGAGCAAGGCCTGGATGCAGGTGGCTGACTCGAGTCATTAGGATCTTTCAAGTTACAAGTGTTGCTAGTGCGCCACAGCCCACGATCCTCCATGGCCGCCGTGAAGATTTCCCCTTTTTTTTATATTTCTTTTTGGCATCCAAACCCTTGATACAAATTCCCCTCTTCAAAAAACCATCTGCATTCCAATTCTTGACCCCTCCTTGCCTCAAACCTTTTGCAGGGCAAGACATTTGACTCGCTTGCGCTGGCGCTAGGCCAGCGCCTCACTCCTCCAATAAACCCACCACACCTTTCCCTTGAACCCTTGATTACCAGTAGCTCGGCGCCTTTCTGCCTCTAGCAACCCAGCCATTGGGCTCCAGATGCGGTCTAGACTACAATGTCTCGACGAAAAGAGACTGCAATAATACAAATACTTTTTTCCTCCGGATCTTCACCGTCGTCCCGAATAAGTTGGCCGTACGAACCCCCCTCCCTCATCAACTTGGCCGTATGTGGCAGCCCGGCACGCTCCCGCTCCTTCAAATAGCACCGGCCCGCCGCCATTGTCTTGCCCTGCGACCACAGTCTCAGCTCTTCACGGCAAGGACCTTTGCTGCCCCGGTGAGTCGCCCAGACATGCAAAAGAGATGTGCATCCTGGTATGGGCCATGCCCTCTTCAGGCGGCGTAGCAGCCCAACACATGCCACACTGCCATGGCCGATGAATTGCAAATGGTCAATCTCTCGTTGTATTATTAGCCGCATGTCCACGTACAGGCGGGTGGCTTAACGAATGACGAGACTTCAACCAGTGTTGATGGTTGTTGCTAGACATAGGAAAGACACGAGAGAACGGTCGGTGGGTATTGATGAAAGAAATCAAACAAGACTCGCTGGTCTTATTTTGTCACCCAGCTGTTGAATCTCCGGTTCCATGTCCGTTCTGTCACTTTCGCGTTGCTTTCAACTTGACCGCCTGTAGTATATCTGTAATTATCATGGTCCTGCCTTTTCATACCTACGCCGATACAGTCACCTTTCCCACCCTGCCCTCCTAGCTAGCTACATTCTCTATATCCTGCACCGTCCCCGTCTTATTTTCTCTTATATCGTCAAAACTTTCTTCCACCATTCCCATCCCTTCCCTCACCTCACCTCACCTCACCTCACATCATCATCGCGGCCACCAGCATCTTCGAGCACGCCATCATTGGCCTGTCCGGCTCCCGTAGAAGCTCATCCACCGCCGCGTTGTAACACATCACGCACAGCAAAACTGCGGCAATCACAAGACTTTGCCTACACACGCGACGCATCCGCGGCCGGACCGCCAGACCACCCCCCTCCTCCTCTTCTTCCTCCTCCCCCCCAGCCCTGCTGCGGCGTGTGACCGCCTGCGGGATCCGCATAATCACCAACAGCGCAAGCAGATGCGGCACGCCGGCCGGGCAGTCGGGATACTCGCCGGCGCGGGGGAACACGCGAAAGGGCGTCTCAGGGTCGATGGGGAATATGGCCATGAAGAGGCTTTCGAGGGCGGCAAAGGGCGCAAAGAGGGGGACGAGGATGGACAGGTGGGAGAAGAGGAGCTCCTCGGCTCGGGACAGAGCCATGGCAGAGGAGGCCAAGAGGAAGCCTGGAGCTGGGCGGGACAAGGTATAGTTAGGAGGGGATGATCAGCGTTTGTAGTCGGGGCACGGCCACGGTTTGTTTTGTGATATCTTGCGCGTGTAGCTGCGTTGTTGTATTGCTGTGCGAAATTGATGGGCGTAGAGTGTTGTGCGAACAAAGGAAGCTTATTTCTTTTCAAAAATAGAATTGACAAACGAATCCTGGGCCTCTTTATCCCAAATTTTATTTTCTTTCTCTGAGTATCTTTGGAAACTTTGAGGGCGTCGTCGGTGGCGTCGCTGCCAGAAGCCTCGGTACCCTCAGGCACGCCCAGTACACGGTGGCTCTACTTGACATGATGCAATAATCACAAGCCTCATATCGTTGTATCCAGCCCCAGTCTGGGATTCGAGATAGATCGTCTGCGAGGCAGACGCCTTTCATCCTTGGCCTCTTTGGCGATGGTCCCATGCCATCATGTAGGAACGTGAAGCTCATCCCTCGTCAAGCCAAGCCCAGTCAAAGACTTGTTCATAGCATGAATTGCAGGTCAGAAGCGTACCTCATGGACATATTTACGAGCTAGCCACTTGTCAAGTGGCCGACGCACGTAAAAAGCATCAAGAAACTCAACTGGCGAAGCTCCAGGCCGAAATCTCCTCGGCTACGCACAGTAATGCCGAGTATCAAGAAAGTAACAGCACATATCTGCAGCAAAAGCAATGTAATGTTGACACATTGGATTCGCTTGAGCCATTTCACTTTGTGTAACTGAATCGGTGTGGCATACCAAGTAGTTGAAGATGGAAGTCTGCGGCATAGAGCGCTGATGAGAGAGATGTGATAAAGACAACAAAAATGAAAATATCCCGCCAGAAGCATTGTTACAAAGAAGAAGTAAACACAGAGGCGCTTTCAATTCACGTCACTTTATAAATAAAAATGTAACAATACCCATCCATAACTCCAACCCCATGCAATGCTCAACCACCAGCACCACCATCAACACCACCACCATCAACACCACCACCATCAACACCACCACCACAACCTCACTCTTGCCTACACAGCACCTTGGCCTTGCAAATCACATTTCTGTACTGCATCTGCGCGCCATGCTCATCCCCCTGCTTCACCACCCCCGGAAACACCACGCACCACACCTCGCGCCGCCGCCGCCGCCCACCGCCCGCCGTGCCCCCCTCCTCCTCCCCCCCCATCCTCATCCTCATCCTCCTCGTCATCATCGGCGCCACCCCCAACGTCCTCCATCGTGCTCGCCTCAAACAGCACCGGCCGCTCGTGCGGCGGTCTCATCGTCGGCATAAACACCCGCAGCACCGCCTTTTGCACAACGAGCCGCCGCGCAAGCTCAATCGAGTTGTTGACCAGCACGCGGAGCGCCGCGTCCCGCGCGCCTTCTACCGCGCCGTGGTTGCTGCTGCTGCTGTTGCTGTTGCTGCTGCCGCTGCTGCCGCTACTGCTGTTGCTGCTGTTGCTGGTGGTGGTTGTGATGGTAGATGTGGTCCCGCCGGTTAGGCGATCGAGGAGGTGGTTTGTGCGGGAAATGACACACTCGGCAAAGGCGGCGGTGTCGTCGTGTAGGAGCTGCGGCGCCTCGCTACGGAGCAGCAGGGAGAGCGTCGATGCGCGCCACTGGTTGACGGATTCGGACGCGGCGCCGCCGCAAAAAGACGCGAGAAGCTGCTCCATGTCCTTGAACAGGCTGGTTTGTTCGGGAGAGAGCCCGACAAAGTAGGCGTCAAAAACGGCGTCGACGAGGACGTGCGAGACGAGTGACTGTAGAAAGTGCACCTTGGCCGTCTTGGCCAGCTCCTCGTACGTGGGCACCAGCGCGGCAATCGCTGCCCTCGTCTCTTGATCCAACCTTGACAAATCTATCAAAACTCATTAGAAACCCTTCTTCTCACTCTCTCTCTATCCCAACATCCCAAGTTACACAGACACACGCACACACACAGACACACACACACACACACATGAACGTACCGAGCTTTGCTTTTCGAAAATTTGAAATCACCCAGTTCTGCAAGCCATTCCCCAGCCTCGTCATCCCATCCCCAAAAACCTCGTCGCTCGTCTGCCCGTCCGCCCTCGTGCTCGTGCTCACCCACTCCTTGAGGCCCCTCACCTGCCCGCGCAGCCGCCTCACCTCGTCGTCCCTCTCCTTGAGCTCCCGCCGCAGCACCTCGGAGCCCTGCCGCAGCACCTCCCAGCCCTGCCGCAGCTCCGCGCGCTCCGCCTCGCGCACGTCGACCTTGGCGCGCAGCAGCCGCAGCTCCGTGTCCGTCCGCAGGTGCTTCGTATTGAGCGCGCTGTGCTTGTTTTGCCAAAACATGGCCGTCTCGCTCTCGGCCGCGCTCAGACGGTCCAGCTGCGTCTGGAAGGTGCGCTCCATGGTGTCCATTTCGCGCTCGAGGTAGGCGATGCGCTCGTCCTTTTGGAGGACCTGCGCGGCGAGGCTGGCGGACTCGCGTTCGCGGTCACGTTCGCGGTCTCGTTCGCGCTCGCGCTCGCGCTGCTTGTCCAGGTGTTTCTTCGAAGCTGATGTCGTGCGCGTGACGGGGCTGTTGCTGCTGGCGGTTGTACTGGTCGTGTCCTTTGCCTTGCCTTCCTTTTCCTTACCGTTACCCTTGTCGGCGGTGGCGGTGGCACCGTCGGCCGCGGTGCTGGCGTTGTTTACTACGGCGACTCGCTGCGGCACGGCTGGTAGATGGTGGTGCTTGCTGCTGCTGCCGCTGCTACCGCTGCCGCTGCCGCTTCCTGCCGGCGGTTCCGTCCCGGCAGGACCACCGCCGCCGCCGCCGCCCAGCGAGTCGGAGTGGTGGTGCGCGTGCCGCACGGACGATCCTGTTCGAAGAACATGGCTTCCGGTGCCGCCGTGCGAACGGCGCTTATCCGGAGAGCTCATGGCGGCGGCTTATCGTCCGAGAGTTTTGCTGTCGTCTATGTGCGGGGGAGTTAGGGATCGCGGTCATGGGTCGCCACGCATGGCCGCGTCGCTCTGGGCAGAAATTGAGCGAGTATCGCGTTTCGCAGGCTGGTTCTGTTCTTTGACGGATGTAGTTGGCTAGCACAGCGTGTCGAAATTGCCCAATATGGCTGCCTTGAGGCGAGGTCACCCTAATGTGACGTGGGTTGAGAGAGATGAAGATGGTGGAGTTAAGCGCGGGGCTGTGGCTGGAGGGGCTAATAAAATCCGTCATTGGTGTAAGTCGTGGATAATAGCTACTTGCGATCTATTGTTGGCTTTTGGCCGGCTTTTGGGCATCAAACTCGTTACATTCGTGCTTTCCCACCCGAGTCCTTCATTCTCAATCATTATCTGGACCAGATGAAACGAGTTGCTTTAATCCCACATCTACATACTCTACTCCTGCCTCTACATCTCTAGACAGTCACCTCCTCCACCACCTCGTATGCCTCGTCCCCTGTGTCACCCTTTGGTTTCGCGCCCATTCTACAAATTGCCAGCGACCGCACCTCGTGCCTATCCAGCCAGACGTGCTCTGCATACTCGTCCATCAGCGCCCTCGCATCCAGCAGCAGCCTCTCCCTCCTGCGCCCTCCTCCCCTTGCACTCTTCTTCACATGCGCCGTATTCACCACCGTCGCGTGCAGCAAAAATGGCCTCCTCTCCGCCTCCATCAGCCCTTCTTCGATAAACCTTGCCCGCACCGCCTGGCAAAACGCATACAGCAGCCCTGCGCCCTGTCCATCCGCGTCCGTCGGCGGCGCGTACAGCACGCCCGTGCTTGTCGGATCCTGCATCGCGCGCAGTCCTCTCAGCGTCAGCCACACGCTCCCATCCTGCGCCGTCCCGTCTGACATTCCCCGCGCTCGCTGCCGTAGCGTCGCGCGCGTCTCGGCCAGTACGTCCCGCAGACGGAGCTCCTTCAGCAGGGCCACGGCCCGCGCGAGCCGCTCCGGCTGCGGCAGGCTCATGACGCCGAGCGTAATGTGCAGGGTACCCGGTGGCCGCACCGCGTCGGGCGGCAGCGGCGCGGCGCTGTGAATGTCCGTGACGTCGGCGCGAAATGCGGCCACGCTACGTGCGAGCTGGCGCCGCAGGAGGGGAATGCAAAGAAAGTGCGTGGGGTTGGCGCCGCGGCGGGCGGGAGCGGCTTGACGAGCCGCCATTGTATGGCAATGTAGATAAAAAGATGCCAACGAGCGTGCGTGTTTCAAGAAAAGGGATACTCAATTAGTGGGTTGGCAGAGCCGCGGCAGATAAGACAGTGGTTCGACGCTGATGATTGTAAGAGGAGAAGCTCGAAGCCGAGCTTGGTTAGGCGTGAGATGCGCCACGGCACCAGCTTTGACGAACGGCGCAACCACCGTGTGCGCTTTGATGAAAGTTTTCACTACGAAAATCGAAATCTTGAAGCAGAAACTCAGTGGCTAGGTCATGAAGAAGTCCCTTTTTGAATTACTCCAATTGCGCTGTTGAGTCATAATTGTGCTAACCAGCAGCCTCATTCACCCCGTCATTGTCCTGGCCCATTGGCCAATTGGCACAGTTTTCCCTCTTGTCACACAGCTCTTTGTAAAGACAAAACTTTCAGCTATCCAACGTAGCCTCAACCGAGCATAAAAAGGTAGAAGTGATTTTGATTCATGAAAGTAGTGTCCTGATGGATGCACTACCGATGCAAACGTGGTATTCAAAATAGCGCCCCCAATGTCATGCAGCGAATCACGCTGCGTCGTCGTGTCCAATCGGCCCTCACCCATCTCATTTTCCGTCTAACTGTACAAGCGTTGGCATGGCATATGCTGCACCCATCTATATGCGACATTCTAGCATCGTATCCCGCCATAGACGTCCAGTGCTTCCAATGCATCTGTGCTGATGCGCCTGTAGCCGTCAATCTTCGCTCGCCAGCACATTGATTCTCCCAGCAAGTATTACGTGGCTTCAGAGATGCAAGCTATGCATGATGTGGTATTAGGCATCCTCGCCACCCTCGGCCTTGTAAAATTCGCGAAGTCGTATCTCAGCAGCCTGGTAGTCCGTCTTTACGGTAGCCAACGCCTCCCTGATGCGCTCAAGACATAATTCGGCGTCGGGTTCTGATGAGCCATCCTCGTTCTCGAGCTTGCCAAACCGCTGAATCTTTTCGCAGCCGTCGCGTACTCGCACGAGGCCGAGGGTAGCTGAAGAGCCCTTGAGGAAATGGCCAAGCGAGGAAAGCTCTTCCAGGTTCTTTTCCTCGCTATCACGAGTGTTAGCGCTCGCGGCATGTCTTGATTGAGCTAACGGTAGCTACTTACACGGCTTTGTCCATGGAAGCAAACGTCTCCTCGACCTGGTCAAAGAAGCCAAAGACGATGGAGGAAGAGAATTCGCGGTCGCCAGGCTCGTCCATTTCCAGAATTTGGCTAAAGGTGGGCATGTCCACCGCGTCTCCAAGATCAATTTCCATTTCGTCGTCGGTGTACTATAGAATTCAAGTCAGTAATCTCGTGCGCCGCAGATAGCAGGGCCTGATGGGCCTCTGGACCGAGAACCAACATCATCTTCAGCGTCCGAGGCGGTTGGCATGTTGGTGCAGACACAATCCTCGGGGCAGGTGTACGTGGGCGGGTAAGAGGAGGAGGAGGGCGAGACCGCAGAGCGTTGGGGGGCAAGAGAAAGCATGGACAGGGACGGTTAAGGACGAGAGGGAAAAATGTAGAGATAGTGGATAGCAAGATCAGTCAGAGAGTGGAGGAGGCATGAACCAGGAGGAGGACGGGAGCGGCAGGGGAGGGCAGTGGTGTATGTATATAGCAAGGATGTTCCGCCACCAAAGTCGAAACCGTGGGGGAGAGAGGCGAGGCGAGGTGAGGCGAGGGAGCCGGAGCCTGAGAAGGTGCGGGCAGGGTGGCCATTGAGGCCTGTGATGGATGGGACGGTTGGGCGTGGAGGACAGCCCTGCAGCCGTGTCTGCATCGAAACTGCGTTGACCAGGCCTACATGCGTCGGTGTATAGGTAGGTATGGGTAAAGATAATCCAGAGCACAGAGTCGGTGTCAGCTCGCTGGAGCTAGGCTGGCATGGGAGGGCATGGGAAGAATGGAGGACATGGAGGACATAGTAAGTGGGTAGTAGGACCGCGGGTTGCATCGCATCGCGGGCGGTTGGGTGACGGCGAGGCGCAAAAGCGAGCGTCGAGCGGGCGCAAGACAGAGTGCCGTGAGGCGGGCGCAAGCAAGCAAGTGCGAAGCGAGACCGTGTCGCATCTCGCGACGCACAGCATCTCAACGGCAAGGCATGGTAGGAAGATTCAAGCAAAGGCGCACCAAGCGAGAAGCGAGACAGACAGGCCGCAGGACAGACGAGGAGCCGGCGCTGGGTCGGGGAGGAGGGGCAAGCAGAATGACGAAGGGGCAGGGGAGGTGTCGGGGAAGATGTGTGACGTGTAGGCTGATGGTGGTTGACCTTAATTTTCCCCTTGCAATTCTTACCTTTTTGTGCGGGAGAATGAATCGTATGCTAACGTTATGTATGTATGTACGTACGGAAGACGTTCCGGGAGGGCGAGCGGAGCCTTGCTGGTCAAGGGGAGTCGAAGAGGTGTTGGATGTAGTGATGCGCGTGTGGTATTACTCGGTACAGGAGTTTGCTCTTGTGCAGCAAGCAGTAAGTTCGGTGGTCGAGTGTGCGGGACGGACGAGGATGGTGCGGCTGAAGAAGAAATAAAGAAGGTGCAGCGGCACTAGCCGGCTTTAACGAGAGTCTTTGAGCGAAAAAGCAGGGTGACAGGGTCGCAGAGGTTGGAGATGGTCTGCCGAAAGAAGATGGCTCGCAGGACGAGGATGGCAATTAGTTGGTGTTTGTAGGCGGCGAACGTGGCGGGGAAGCCTGACGAGGTCTTGAGAGGCGTGGAGGCGTGGAGGCAAGGCGTGGAGGCGTGCAAGGGAGGGGTAGAAACGGCGAGATGAGAAAAGAAGACAGGCACCCTTGCAGCGGTGGAAGAGTAGAAATGTGCGAGTGATGTGGGCGAAGAAGGCTTGATGGCTTGGGATGTGCGACAATGAGCGATTGGAGGAGAAGAAAATATCGTGGTGGATGTTGCATGAGAGGCTTGGAGGTTGGAGGGGCATCCAAAGCCTCCTTTTTGCAAATATGGCAAGCTAATCTGTACCTACCTGCCTAGTTGCTAGGCACGGTATAAGCGGAATTCCGACATAGGTAGGCGCCTAAAGAAGGGGAGGGATTGGTTCTTGGGCGAGCCTTACAGTGATTACAGTGAACAATTGGGCCTTTGAGAGACAGAATTAGGACAGCTTAGTGGGTAATCTCGCTGTTCAGTGGGTTGCTTTAGTGGCCGACACCGCAGAAAACCACTAATTCGGTGGATGCACTGTGGATGAGGTGGATCATGACCTCCACTGAGACGACAAGTCTTCAGTCTGAACGGACAAGGTCAGCGAGAAACACGTCAACAAGCAAGCACTGACAAGGAAAAAAGGAAAAATTGTCACGATCAACATGATCAAGAGACACTTTATTAATACGAAATCACACAACATATATACACCGTTTTTAATCTCATCCTCGTATCCTCGTAGCCCCCTTTCGCAACACAGCTTCCGGTGAGCATGCATCTGCCAGGGCACCGACGCATCACCAAAAACTCCCACCAACTCTCACCAACTCCATCACCTTTATCACCTCATCTCCATCACCTCCATCACCTCATCGCCATCACCGCCAAACCCACTCGACCACTTCAATACAACCTCATCATCGAACAAACACACACAATTTGCAACACCACCTACACCATCATCATCTCCACTCCGTTCCGTCAGTCCAGAATAGCCGCCCGACATCAGTCCGATGCATCTCGAGAACTTCTTGTGCTCTTCAATTTTCCCAGCTTCGCCATCCCTACCGCAACCTGTCGTATCATTCGTACCATCTCAGGTTCGTCTCGCACAACACGTCCTCTAGCGCCGAAGCTAATCTGCATGTCCAGGCAAAACGACGTCACAGGCTGTCTTGCCGTTCGCCACCCTCCATGCGCGCGTCAAACTCCCGGACTGAGTTGCTCGTTGCTAGTCCGAGCCAACGAGCCTCCAAGTCAATGCTTCGCCTGTCCGCCCGCCACCATGATCCAGTCTCGATGCCACGCTTGCTACATGGACTCGGCCGATGCGCTGTTCGATTTCCAATCACCACTTTCCATCAAGCCTATTCCCGTGGCTCTTGGCTTGAACCACCATCGTCCGCTAACTAGCCTGCATTGACAGTCACACAGATCTACCCCTCCGACGACCCAGTCCAAGAGGGGCATGCCCTTTCACCTTGACACGCTTGGGCAACCAGCGTGCAAGTCTGACAAATAAAGACACACAATCCCACGGCAGAACTCTGCAACCCAGCAAACCCGGCAAACTTGGCTGGAGATAGAATGCTGTCGCCATAACCTCTCCTTCAAACAGCATCCTTCCCTCGCCATCCGACACCAACTTTTTGCTTCTGATCCCGACCGCTGCCACTCACACTCATCTCGTTAGCGTATTCAATCCGCCGCGCCCCTCCACACCACAACCCACACTGGCAGCGTCTGGACTCGGTCGACCCTCAAACTGGAGGATTCCAACTCACTTGCTGCCCGGTGATAGAGTGTCAACCAAAGATGAGAAAAATTTCGACCTGTCCATGTGGCTCTGTGGCTCTGCGACGTAATGAACCGGCCCACACCTGCTTCCGCTGTCTTCTTGGCATCCAAACATCTCCACCGTCAAGAGTCCATTTGGCGGCATCCTCGGCCGCTGTCAGTTCTGCGCGAACCAACTATATATGGCATTCGGACCTAAAAAAAAGTCTACACAATGAATAGATTGCCTAACCGCCATGCCGCCTCTTGGGCTAGGCTTGTCAGCCAAAATCAACTCAAACCAAAGCACCTTGACCCTTGACACCCTCCTGGCACTCTCCAGGGCGGGATGGCGGGGAACCAAGTGGCGCCAGCAACAGGGGCTGGCCACCACCAGTTACATCATCGGACCCTGGATACGTCTCCCGTACCCAGCCTGCAGCTTTCTACTATTGCTGGCAGCCTCTTGATATTCCCTAGCCTCGCCAGCTCACAAGTCACAACTGCCCAAGCTCGACTTCAAGCTCCATCAATTCCAGCCCAACTGAGCACAACGGCGCATCTCCACACCAACTTATTACTCAGTAGCTCCTAGCTCTGTCAGCTAACGCCTACTGTTTGGCCGCCGTGTCAAGTTGCAAGTCAGAATCTCGTGCACAAGGATCACCCTGTAATGCAGCCCATGTTCGCTGTTGTCTCGACCGCCCAACTTGAAGGGCATTGCTACATCTTGACTGGGCAATGGACAACCAAAGGCTGCACACTTGTATGCTGCATGCATTCACTCAGTCGCATTGTCGCGTCAACTGCTAGTAATGGATGAGCAACGGCTGCAGACCTGCATCTGGGCTGACCTTCTAGGGTGTGTTCTAGACTCTTTGCCCCTACGTCATTGCGCATACGCTACCGACTTCAAAATGCGGGAACTGCTGCCACCACCCAACCGCTGCTCGCTCTCTTGAGCTCGAGATCGGCACACCGCACTTCATCCAGCCCGTGTTCAGTGTCCACGTCAAACAGACCATGTTTGCAGCAATCGCTCCGCACACGTAGTTTTCGGCTGCCCAACAGCCTACAGCCCCGAGTGTGAGCCCCTCGTGCCCCTGTTCAGCCTGTTGTTGTCCTCGGCCCCCCAGTGGATAAGACGATCGTGGAACATTCTTTTGGGCTAGCTGCTCCGACATCGAATAACTAGCTGGTCAGCCTGTCGACCAACCACTCGCAGCATAGTTTTGATGCTATAGACCCTTATCGAAGGCAGTCTATGTGTCGGCCCAACACATCGTGTCAGCCTAGAAAGAATCAGTCTTTGCTGGCCAATACCACCATGAATGGGCCTAGTCAGTTAACGTGTCCAGTGTCTGGAAAGAGGTAAAGAGGGTCCGCGACCATGTTCCGGCAAATATTTGAACATGGGTCATTGGAAGCGGGCATAATTTCAATGCGAAAAAAGGGCCATGATACACCGAGATCAGGCATACATCACAAAGTAGAGTCATGCGGCTTTTGTTGCTCCTCGAATGCTTCTCCGGCGTGGTCACACACCGTTTTGGGCGGCCAAAGTTTTTACTCCATGCAACAGCCAATGACCCCACGAGCCACTCGGTTGCAGCTGAAAAGTAAAATCTTTTCCTGAGTGTCTGGACTCGATCACTGTTAATAAGGAACGTGCCGCAATGCGCTCTCCGATTATCAAAGACAAGTTCTCCACCGGGCCGTCCCGGCGCCGGCGGCCTTTATTCTATTGACGCCGGGCCGACGGGTCCGATTAGTCAGGAACAAGAGTCCGCACGCGGGCAAGCTGTCGACAACAAGATGCAGACTGCCTCAACCTGGATTTTTTCTGTACATCTCGATCAACTGGGAGGCGAAGGAGAAGTAAAATGTGAAAGCAGGATTCGAAATTGTGTGCGCGCAATGTCAGGGTCTGCGTCGCCGCAGGGACCGCGAAGTGATCCCCGGGTGTTTGTCGGGACTGCTGAGCTGGTGCGGGAAGTAGTCAGATTTGCTTTGAGGGGCCTGCAAGTCGGAGAATCTGGGAAAGGAGAAGGGGATTTGCAGTTCTGGCGACCCTTGGGAACTGGCCAGCATATGGACTCCGAGCTAGGGATGACTGCGGCTGGGCGATATTGCGTCCGTACGTGAAAGCCGAGACCCAATCTCTTTCGTCAGAGGACTTGGGCAACTCATGATGGTAACTAAACGGTCATGTGAACAATTACCATTGCATCACACGCCAAAGTATCAATGTAAGGTCAGCTATCTGCTATCGAGTATCGGGTTGCATGGTCATGTCCAACGGGGCTCGTGTGCGCAGAGACACGGGCATGTAAGGGTTTTGTGCGCCGACATATCGACATGATTATGATCATCTTTTACAGTCATATTGTCGCTACTTGTGACTGCGTGCTATTGTCGAGGTAAGAAGACGCTGCTGGCTCTCTGTTTGTCATGACTTGTTCTGTTGACTTGCTTTGGCCGCGTATCCGGTCCTTGACTGCCATTTCTTGCTGAAGCCCCCGTGATCTTGATTCGTGCTCTCTAGTTCTTCCATATTCGGTGCATCTAGTGAGCAAATGTGCGCCAAAATGCTCGCTTGCTAGGGTTTGAAGTAGTGGCATGAGAGCACAAAATCTGGGGCTAACGAAAGTCTGCGAGACCAATCCCTTGACAAAGAGCCACTATGGCGAAATAATCTTGGAAGTTGTAGGTTCATGTTGATAGATTGCTTGCCATATTTCCAAAGAGGCTTATTTGCAGTGGTCGGTGATGTGGGAAGCTTACGAGCGGTCGGGTAGGTGTTGAGCTGTGGAGAGGGATGGGTGCCCGAGAAGCCTTTGCAAAGTAAAACGAAGAATTGCACTATAATCTTGAAGTTCTTCTTCTTCTTCTTCTTCTTCTTCTTCTTCTTCCGTTTAGTCATTGAGTATAAATGTAGAAATTGATCCTTGATTCGTGACAAATTTTTCGTCGAGATGCTTCGAGTTTGTAAGAAGTGAACAAGTCTGCGGTGTGTCTGGTAACTTTTCTCCCCACGGCTAAGAAGACTTTGCAACTTGGAATCAAATCAGGTCAATCGGCATTATAATACCACTTGCTGCAATGTTTTTCTATGCATGATATCAAGGGAAGGCTATCTTGTTCCGTGTTCCTTTCACAGCCATGCTAGGGTACGAGATAGTTGGGGGGTTTTCAATCGCTTGCTTCCCGCCCCAGCACTGTACTTGTACAGCAGTAGAGAGTAAGGGAAACCAAATGCAACTCAGCAAGAAAGCATTGTGCGTGGTCTACCACTCAACGCACACCTTGTCTGATCTTGCTTCTAGGGCAACAAGCTGCGTGGCCGGAGCACCGCTGAGGGCGTATCTTCCCACGACGAATTACTCTCCGAACCAATGCTTTAGGCATTTGCGCAAATGAGAATTGCGTATCAGGATAACTAGTGGCCTCTCATTTGCCGAGTCGGGCCTTGGAGCAACATGCGTCCCCGCATCGCCGTGTAGGCCGGCCGCGATCCTAGCTCTGCACAGTCACAAGCCGCTCCGTAGAGGGGGGAGGGGGCCGGTTAGAGGCTGACAATACATGACAGTGGCTCAGGACGGATCATGACGGACGGAAAATTCGCCAGCCATAAAGAGCGCTGGCGGGCATCGACACTGCACAGCAATAGTCTGGGGAGATGGTATACCCCATGCCTCTTCAAAGACTGCGATGAAATTGCTTTATCGAAAGCTCGAGCCCTCCCCCGTCCTCCTCTTTGCCTCTGACAGAATCTCTCAACGGTTCTGAACTTTTAACAAGCAAATCACGTCTGCGTGTGTAAATGGCCTGATGGCTAACCTACAGCACTGCCCAGGATGAACGGAGTTGGGCAGGCGAAATGCAGGTCATCGTAAACTTTTGCAAGACTTTCACAACATCGTCTGTCGTGCTAAAATGACATCTTTAACACGACTCTCGTTGGCATAGTGATTGTGGAATCAGACCGTCATGCTCTAGCTTAGTAGAACCTCGCCAGCGAGTTGTTGCTTATTATGTGCGTAATCCGCCATTTTTCATCTTTACCCGGCCCTTACAGCTATAACATGCCTGCGTAGACAAAACGTGACGAAAGAAGATTGACACATGAACTCCCAGTCCCAGAAGTCACTAAATTTATTTCCGTTTTTTTTACAGCTAACTGATCTCAAACCTAGGACTTTTTTTTTTCGCTAAAGATGACTAGAAGATACCCTGTTTATTTGACCTCTACAAAACCTGCACATGCTTGTTACACTGGCATATTGGCACACTGGATGTACTATCAAGGACCTCACTAGACAAAACTGATCAAGTCTCAAGATAGACCCTGGCAGCAATTCATGGACAATCTTTAACAGGAAATAGCAGAGTAACTATGAATCATCATAGAAATTGCAGCCAGCATAACTAGAAAGAGACTTACTGGCCGCCCGCGCTATTCACTCGGTCCCCCGCGGCAATTCCCCACCTTAAAAAAAAACAAAAAAAAGAATTCTCCGGGGACGGAGTCGAACCGCCGACTTTTCGATGACAATTATTCAATTACAGTCGAACGCCATGAACCAACTAGACCACCCAGAGTTGTTCTTGTTGCCAAGTAGACCTATTCTTAATTATATGCTTCTGGCCATTTCTGCTGAGCGCCCACCGAACGCCAAGCCGTCTCTGTAATGACAGATTCTCCATTGGAAACTACAGTTACTATTTCCCTCAAGGCAAACTCGATTGCCGTAGTGCTGCTGGATGTAGTTTCAAACTGCTGCGTGCTCATCCTTTGCGCGCATTACTTTCTTTTGCCCACCATGGCGTCTCGCGCGCCTTTTTCTCGTACCACAAACAACAGCCAACATCAGCGCCACGAGATCCTTTTTGGCGCAAGCCAGCTCATTCGTCTAGACACCCCGCGCAGCGCCGACTGTTTCTGATAGCTCAAGTTTGACAAAGGAGATCGATTCGTGACTGACGCTGCAGTTTTCAACGGCATCCGTCGCACGTCTTTACACTTTTCGTCAGCCCAGCAAAGTTCTTACTTAGCATCCATCCTCCTCCGGCCAAGCCCTTGTGCTCACACTTGGCCTTTTTTTTCCGCCGGATAGCCATGACTGTGATTGGCTGACTTTCTGTATACGTAATGTTATTCTGACAAGAGGTAGACGTCTATTCTACGTTGGTAATGTAGGGTTTCCGGAGCTGTCGATATGACATGGCCATGGAACTAACATCGCTGGCCGTAAATGTCTGTGAACTTGAAAGCAGGATGTTGGAACAATCACCGTCCACTGTATCGAAGACTGGCCGTGAGAGCTCATGTTTGGCAGTGTCAAGGGATATTGTTGAATGGGGCCAAGGCACAGGGCTGCGGAAATAGGACCACTGAGATGACCCGGAACGTATTTGCTTGAATTATTACAATGCGGACTTTGAACAGCTCAAGGATAGCGATGACATGATGTACATGGCGAGTTTCTGAAAACAGTGTGCCAGAGAAACTCGCATCAGTGCAATTCGACGACTGAATATCTCTTGCTACTGGTCGCCAGGGCTGCATACAATGTCATCTTGGGTATTGCCTCTTTCACCGAGTGAGCTCCAGCTCGCATGCTTGTATTGACGCGGAACGTGGAGTGAAATCATCAATGCGCCTTGTTTGTCCATTCATAGAAATTTTGTGCGTCTGAAATTAATCGCTCTCATCATCGCTGCCATCACTACCCTCCTCCTCCTCATCCTCCTCATCAAGCTCCTCCTCGCTGTCCTCGGCATCATCCGGCCGCGGAATCATGACAAACGCCGCCAGGCAGGTGATGCGGTTGTGCGTCTCGTACAGGCCCGCGAGCTCGCCAACTTGCTCTCCCTGCTGGCCCCCGCGGCGCAGCGCCTCGTCTTTGACTGTCCACACGCGCACCTTGCCATCGCTGCTCGCCGCTGCGACGTACAGCAGACCCGGGTTTACTTCGCTGCGGAGCACCGCAAAGTCCTTGATGCGGCTGGTCACGCCGGCGTCCTTGCCGCCCACCTGTCCCAAGAGCTTGGCAAGAGGCAGCTTCTCGCCCTCCCCCTCGCCCTCGCCCGCGGCCTTGGTGCTTTCCTGCTGAACCAGGTCGTCCGCCTTGGTCGAGAAGAAGAGCACGCGGCCGTCTTCGGTAGACACTGCCATGACGGAATCGCCGCTCTGCCCTTCTTGTCCGTCTGATTCCTTGCTGTTTAGGCTGATGTAAGTGACTTGGTGAACCTTGGTCCTAAACGGCATGACGCGGCACTTTGGCACGCTGTCCATGCCAAACGCCACGACATCCCTCTCAAACGCCACCGCAAACTCGTCCGCGCCGTCCGCGCTGCCCCAAACCACCCTCCTCCCCTCGCCGCTCGCGTGCTTGCCCTCGCCGGCCTGCACGAGCATGTCCCGCGTGAAGCTCAGCACGCCCGCCTTCTTGCCCGTCACCAGATTCCACAGCCGCATGCAGCGCTCGCCCTTGCTCACGCTAATCATGACCTTCATGCTCGGGTGGATGGCAAAGTCGACGACGCCCGACGGCGTGCCGTCAAACGGGGCCGTGTCGCCGCTCGGCCGCCCAAAAGCTTTGGGGATGGGCGCCTTGATCGTGCTCAGCACCGACCAGTCCCGCGTTCGCGTCACCGCAATCGTCGAGTCCTCGCTAGCCGACAGCAGCTTGGCGCGCGTCGGGAACCGCAGCGCCGTCACCGTCGACGAGTGGTGCAGCAGCGTGCCCACCTCGCGGTTCTTGGGGTTCTCCATGATCGGCCGCGGCGCCACCGTCGCCAGCAGCGCCCGTCCCTTCTTATCCTGAGGTGGCGGGTGCGCAGACAGATTGTACACGTGGATTCGCTCGTCGGTGCTGCCGGTCGCGAGGAGCACCTTTTGCGCCTGCCCGGAGATTTTGGCCGACACGGGCGACACGGCAACGCAGCGAATCGCCGAGCTGTGCGCATTGAATAGGAATGTGTCGGCGAATTGGCACTCGGCACTGTTGTGTAGATTCGCCGTTATGCCGTGCAGCACTTGGTCGTAGGAGCCTGCAATGATCTGAAGGGTCTCGGGCAGCAGGGTGACAGATGAGCTGCCATTTGCTTTCGTAGTCGTGCTCGGGGTGCGTTTTGCTTTTTTATTTTCAACTTGTTTCGTGGCTGCTGGAGCTTCAGCCGCAGCGGCTTGTTGTCTCTTTCTTTTCGCCATTATCGTGAGGTGACGTGATTTATTGTAAGACTGAGAGAAAAGCTGCTCCAGGAAAGTGCCTGGCGTCAATGTGAAGAAAAAAAGTTTTGGGCCTGCACTGATAAGATAAGCTCCAATTGCCTCTCTGGGCCACCACGGAGCCCACTAAAAGTGACTTACATGAGTTTCTGCTTACCTGCAGATGAATTAATAGAAAATGAGTACTTTAACCAAACGGCTTAAAATGAGAATGCAAAAAGAATGTTTCCAAGTCATCGTGCTTTCATACAATCGTATATACGTATACATGAATGCTATAGACGCCGCTTAGCTATATACCAACTCTATCTGCCGCCACCACCTCCTTCGATAGCGCTTAGGCTAGGAAATCGTTTCGAGAAATCGTCTATATAATCTTCCTTGTCTTGCGCAGACCACTCCAGGGCTGGCTGTCCGGGCAAATTTTCCGCAACCAGCTGCTCTGGCTGGTTCTGCAACCTATTCTTTACCGGCGAGAGCGACCGTCCGCTGGCGCCGGCACCTGTGGGAATGCTGTTCAGATATTCTGGCTTCTTGGGCGGCGGCCGAGGTGTAGATTTGTTGAGGCCCGTGAGAGATGGTGCACTTGCAACGGGCGTAATGTCTGCTTTGGCCGCGGACGTTGTCGCCTGTGGCAAGGTACTTGAGCGGGCGATGCCATCGAGCACAGGCTTTCGTTTGACTTGCGGCTTGGGCTTGCTGGCAGCTGTGGCCGCATCTGCATACTTGCCGTAGCCTTCAGCCGTCCGTGCTACGGTATTTTGCGCCTGTTCCTCTCCCATATAAGCCTGCATTCTGTTTTGTATGCTGTTGGGCTTTGGCCCAGGAGCAGGTTTCTTTCCCTGCGCTGCGCCGACAAGTCGCTGCCGGTACTCAGACTGCGCCGCGGCCACCCGTTGCTCTTCTTCCTCTAGCTGCAGACGCTCGCGCTCACGGCGCATTTCCGGCGTCAGCTCTTCATCGCTATCATCGCCACTACTCTTCTCCTCCTTGTTATCGAGGCTGAGTGAGTCGTTTGGTGGCGCCCAGGTTTGCGCCGGCTGCTTCTTTTCACCAGTAACATAGGAGACCTGCTCAAATTTGCTAAATGCATTTCCGAAAGCACCATCGCGAGGCTTTTCGTCCGGTCGGGTATTGACATTATTGGCCTCAAGGTAAACACTGCTTCGTTTAGAGTTTCCGGGGGCGCCAGGCTCTTTTTGAACATGTTCAAATCCATCGCGCAAGGGAGCCGCAAAACTCTGAGTTGGTGCTTTGTTGCGATCTGATGAAGATTGCTGCCGGCTGTCAAAGTTGGTGCTGACGGGCCGGGGTCGGCTCGCATTAAACTCCGAGTAGCCACGCACATTCTCAAACTTGGGAGTTTCAGGTGTATCTGGGCGGACTTGTGGTCTGGGAGCCTGTACAGAAGCAGCAGAAGGTGTCGAGCGAACGGCAACAGAGGCCGAGCGCATAATGGGCTTTTGTGTCGCTATCTGAGCCGGGGGTACTGCAGCAATAGGTTTTCTATCATCTAATGGATCGGACGTCATCGTACCAGTTGATACATATCGGGAAACAGCAGTCGAAGGTGCGAGCGGCTGTATAGGCACAGGCCGACCACTGACAGGTTGAGATGCTGATAGTTGCATAGAAGCCGACGACGTCGCTGGCAGCGAAGCAAGTGGCTTGCTCACGACCGGCGTGACAGAGTGAGGTCGCTCCACTGTTGCAGGTACAGGAGCTGCTTGTCTAGATGCAGCAAAGGCCGAGTCGGCCAGCTTGTCCGCCATGTTCACTTTGGGGGCCACAGTCGGTTTCGGCGTGGTTGGGCTTTGAGGGTCAAAATCAAACTTGCTTCCCTTATGATGAAGCAATGAGAATTGATTCAGACTGGGAAATCGGTCCGAGATGTCGTCGGATGGAAACGGCTGAGCCTTGGTTTCTGACGTCCCATCCAATGCGGCGAATGGATCGCCGTCTGCCACTCGTTTTGAGGAGTCACCTGATGCTGTCTGCTGGGACGGGGCCGGCGATGGTTGTGGTCTCCCGCGGCGCATGGGTGTTATATCGGGCAGCTTCTCCGTGCTTTGAGCCGGTGCGGATACCGATACGCCAACTACTGGTTTCGGTACTTCTTGGTGCGACGCGCGATTGAGCTTCGAGGGAGATGCCGACTCAGAACGCCCAGTGTAGATCTAAAACGTCAAATCAATTGTAAGCCCTTGCGAATAAAGCCACGATAACTTACATCGGGAATTGGGATCTTGCGGCCCTGCATGGTGCAGGCCTCAGCCACTACTTGGTAGATATTCGGTCGAGCATTCAAATCCTCTCGGAGCATGGATGCTACAAAAGTTAGCACTCAGCTATTGCGCCGCAAAATAGCCAGGCATACCAATGAGTCTCTTGATCTTGTCGGAAAAATTGGGATGACTGGGGAACCGGTAGCTCGCGTTCAGAATAGCAAGCTGCCCCTGGTCCTCGAACGGTGTGGTATAATAACAAAGCTTGTATAGGAACACGCCGAGCGCCCAGATGTCGGCCTTTTCGTTGAGGGGCTGCTTTCGGTAGACGTCGACCATTTCGGGACTCCTGTATTGCAAGGTGGTGTGTTTCTGGACGTCCTCTTCCATTAGCCGACACTCGACGACCGAGGTGGGCGCAGGCCGGGGCACCGCGGCTGAGCCAAAGTCGCAGAGCATGAAGCGACGGCCTCCGGATCGCGTGGTGATGAGGACGTTTTCGACCTTGATGTCGCGGTGCAGCAGCGGGGGCTTCAGGTAGTGCATGCAGGCAACGCCCTCGGCGACGTCAGCGAAGATGTTGAGGATCTCGGGTTCGGTGAGGCGGTGCTGCAGGCGCGTGTTCATGAAATCGATGAGGCCGCCGCCGTCGCAAAACTCCATGAGCAGGAAGACCTCGTAGCCGCCGCCGCGCAGCTCCGAGGCGTGCGAGTCCATGTAGGCGACGATGGGGCGGTGGCCCTTGAGGCGCTTCATGGTCTCGACCTCGGTGCGCATGGCGCGCAGGCTCTCCTTATCGGGGACGGCAACGCGCTTGAGAACGGCGAGATCGGTGCCGTCGACGGGCGCGGGGAGCTTGACGAGGTACACGTGGGCGAAGCCGCCCTCGGACAGATACTTTTGAATCACGACGCGGTGGCTGCCGACCTGGATCTTGGTGCCCGGAGCAAAGGTGCCTGCGGGAGCGCCGCCGCCGCCGGGACGGTAGCCATGGCCAGGCCCGGCGCCGGCAGCAGCAACAGCAGCGCCACCAGCATGGACAGCGTAGCCCTGCTGCTGAGGGGCATGTCGTTGAGGCATCTGGTGGCCGTGGGAAGCCATGATGCGCGCCCTGGGCAGCGAATGTGTGGTGGGTGTTTGTTTCTTTGCGGAGTCGAGAAGCTGGAGAGGAAAAGTTTCGGTCGAGGCTTGAAACGCCCGAGGTGGGCCGGGTTGCTTGATCGAGGGTCGCCGGGAAGGGAGGGGGGTCGGCTCAGGAGGATCGAATCATTGGGACGGGAGAGGGGGGAATTGGACGAGCCTATGGCGAATTCAGGATGCAGTAGAAGACGACGACAATAGTCTGGGGTTCTAGAAATCGGATCCGTGTATCGGGAGTAAGAATTTTTGAGGAGAGGCGTCACGCAAGGGGGGGGGGGGGGGTCCGAAAAATGTCAAGGAAACAAAGCGTGCTGATGCTCAGGCAGAGACCAGATGCCGATGACGACTCAGCCTCACACTGGCCGCTTGGCGGTGCAATGGTGGTGACTGGTGAGGCTTGGCAGGTGGCTGCGGGGGATTGTCGGCTAATAAAGGAATCATTTTACGATGAAGGGGTGCTGGCGAGTATATTTGAGTGTGCACGATGGATTAGAGACATTGCTTAAAGAAATTCATCATTTCCTTCATATAATTACGGTATATCAGCGAGAGCATATTGCTGCAGCCCATTGTTATCCTGCGGCGCATCAATTTGCCAGACATTGTGGCACCGCGAGCACCGCCACCTGTACTGTAGTCAGCGTCCACGCACTGTGCGCTTTACAGTGTGCCCAAGACTTCTATACAGATCATCTACTGTGTGTCTGGCCCAGCGGCCGTCAACAAATCGTAAAACATGCATGCCTACAAGCTGAATCTTTGCATCTAAAAGCCAAAGGTTCTTGGCAGCGTCTATCGCGGCACACCTTGACATTGCACTCCGTCCGGGGGGTCGGCTTCCCTTTTTCTTCTCCCCTGCCCTTGTTCACCAACACGTCGGGATTCGTCTTGGTTCAGTTCCAGGCCCTTTTCTTTGTCGCGGGTTTTTAGCGTCCCGTCGATCTCTCTCACCAGGGCATGGGGCGGGCAGGCGGGCGGGCGCCCTACGTTTTTTAGCCAAGACGATTGTACCAGGTCCCAGGTGCGGCCGAGGCCGGTGTCGAATCTCTCTCTCCATTGTTTAGCGTCGGCGTAGCTTCCTTCCTCTTCTTTTCGGTTTTCGAAGAGGAACTTGAGCAAGGGCTCGGCGGAAGGGCTTTGCTCTAATACCGCCTTCGGCCCCCCTCCCCGCGCGACTTACACTGGCGACCACCCTTTGGCGGTGTGACTTTGGGATTGCAAGGGGGAGGGGGGGAATGGGGAGGCGTTGCGCCTCTCGCGGGACAAAAAAAGGACGCCTATGATGTAATTGAGCGTTTGTTCTTGTTTTCTGGCTCGTCGGGGTTGTGAAGAACATGCACCAACAAGGACAGATCATCAGCGACACGAGCCTTGCGAAGTTGCGAAGGTTGTGCATTACTGTGCCTGCATGTGGGCGAGACACACCAAAACCAGTGTAAAATCCGCTAAACGTTATCCAACGTCAGCCTTTTACGGCTTCTCTTTGCTTTTCATTGGTCTTCTCGCTTGCAGATTAGACGTCGGATGTTTTCGCGCGGACAGTGCTCGATTCTCCCGCATCATCGAGCCGAATTAGTCTCACCTTTTTTACACATGTACTTGCCTTTCACCACGGCAGTTGTCAACTGCATATTCTCATCTTCTCATGATAACTATGGTATATTATCCCTGTGTAATAACAACCACAGCCTCGCAATGCACGAAAAGAGATGCCCACTGCCAACCACCGGCCCCCATCACATATCAGTAGCAAAGCAAAACAAAACAAAAAGCCCTTTTGCACTGCCCGGTTCGCAAAGTCGTTATCCACCCGGGTCGCCCGTGCCGAATCCAAACAAATCATCACCAAAAAAAGGGCTCATCCACTCACACGCGAGAGAGAGAGAGAGCGCCTCAGCCCGGGCCCGACCCCCCGTCTTTCCAATAGCTCACGGCACAAGCGTGCCGAAACGTCTCCATCCGACCATGTCCGCTACGGCCTAGCCTCTCCAAAAGGGAGCCCAATAATTGGCCCAAGATACAACTGCATGAGCCATCTCCAGCTTCTGCGCCTTGTTTGGAAATTACGTCCTCTGCGTCGAATCGTCTGACATGACGCTCTACCTATTTCTTTTTTGACTGCGGCCGTGTGGGCTATGTATGATACGTAAATACGTAGTAGACGTGGAGGTATAAGAAAAGAGCTGCCTTCCCTGCAGCTTTGAGCTGTGTCCTGGTGGCTCCATCTTCTTAAAAAATTTATTTTGTTTGTTTTTCTTCGTCAATCGGCCCCTCGCTTCTTTATATATATATATATCGATATATACGCACATATCCGCCGTCACAATGCCTTCCCAGGAGCAGGTTCCCCAGCAGCAGCAGCCCATGGCTGCCACCAAACCCGCGGTCGAGGCTGCGCGCCCCAGCACCGAGCAGCCTGTGAGTGCCACCACCCACGAGGGTGAAAAGAGGAGGAAAAAGAAGCGAAATGCCCCGGCAGGAGCTAATTTCGTCCTCAACACTTTTTATTTCTTATTTCCGCGAAGCGATTGCTAACAACTACGCTCTTCCATACAGCGCCCTGTCGAGCCCATGTCTGTCGTCGGCCTTCGCGGTGGCCACAATGGCGAGGGCGAGGTACGTCATAACCCCCAATCTTTATCTCTATTATTTTCCCTCAACTTGCCCTTCTTTTTTTTCCCTCTCCTCTTCTTTCGCAATTCTATACCGAAACTAAGTGCTACCATTTTCCGCTAACTTTTTTTTTTTTTTTTTTTTCACAGGCCGTTTGCTGCGGTCTCTGCGCCGGTCTCTGCTGCTTCGAGTGCTGCGAGTGCTGCTGCTAATTAGCGCCGAACGTCTGAACTTCCCCCGCGCCCCCCTGCTTGATATATCCCTCCGCCAAAAAGAATATACCACTACTATTTCTAAAAAAAAATATATATATACATATATTTTCGCACTCAGCGACCCAAACAGTCTTCTGTTGTCCATAGTGGCTTCGAATCCTGCGTGACAATCACCCTGATGCCGAATATATTAGTCGCGTCGCGGCTCCGGTCATCTTTGATCGGCTCATCGCGACCAAAAGTTGGTCGCGCTATAATTGACAATGGTTTGATGTCTGTCTGCACAAAAGAGGAGCCACGTGCGAGACAAGAAAGATGAACACTTTCAAAGCGTTATGGCCATGCAAAATGGTTCGTTTCGCATTGTGGTATTACTGATTGATTTTTCCAGGTACCAAGGCTTTCCGCCTCAGCATCTACCGGTCGCGCTGGCACAAGTTACCCGAGCCATCAGTCTTATCCACTACCACGGCGGTGGCGCATGCACTCGCTCAGTCATGGCATGCAGACCCGGCTCCTGTACGGAGCAGTGCAAGCGTCCCTCGTCCCGAATCTCAATATTGCCATGGACGCCACGGCATGGCCATCTGTCTGAAGCAGTCCCGCCTGCATCTTCCATGTAGGATAAGTGCTCGGTCCCTCCCGTTCATGACGGGTATAGGGAGCCGGATGTCTCGACCGGGTTCGCGTTAGGGCCGTCCCGTATGCACACTTGCTGCAACGGCCTTGGCGACGCTAGAATCGAGAGCAACCGTGCGAAACTGGTACAAGGGGTGAAGTCGCCAATTCAGGAAGTAATATTCGCAGCCAAGGCGGGGCCTTGTCCATCATTACAAAGCCTTCCTGCGTCTTGTGCATGATTACTTATACCACTGTTTGAGCATCATTGTGTATATATCCACGGACTATTCTATTGCCTGAGGGCAGTACATCCGTCTTGTGGTCGCGTCAGTTGTCGTCGTGCCACCATCAATGTCACGTTTGCATACGGCAAATGAAGGCTACGTTTAGTTCTGCCTGGACTGGAATATATACATATCTGTCTGGTTCTCTATCCAGACATCGACCTAGTCCCATGTCCATTTACCTTTTCCTCCATTTTCTCAATGCGGCTGCATTTTGAGGCTTGTGAGAAATCGTCAGCGCCCGTTCAAGGTTTGCTCTCAGGCCGACATCGGTGCTCTTCTCGTACCAACAGCCAGCCAGCTATTTAGTTATTTGTGCCAACCAACGAGCAGAAAAGTCACCAAATTCCACTTTTCACTGTTCAGGTTGAGTTAGCCTTCCCGCTCAACTGCCGACAAGGCGAGACAGATCCGGGGTCTGTTGCCCCGAAATGTTTGCTCTGACATATAAAAAGAGGGGAAGAGACAAGCCTTATTGCCTGTCAAACAATCGTCTCTCTCCCACACGTGGCTTCTTTACCTCATCGAAAGGGCTTATTAGTTGGGGCTTAAAATAGCTACGAGAACGGCAAGGACCTACCTGTTTGGCGTGTGTCTAGTATTGCGGCACGCCACCTCCTTCTTGGAACAGTTGCTTCCACGGCTCCACTATACGAATGCTTCCTGTGGTCTTTGAACAAAAAGAGGAGGGAAAAAAAGAGCAAAGACAGAAAAAGAAAAGCCAAACGAAAAGTGCGGGCGTTGTCTCGATGAGTTGGTCCACACGTAATTTCAGACTGGGCCCGTCGACCCCAAGCCACTGCAAATCCTCAAAGGCACTTCATAATTTTGTCAGTAAACGAACGACTGTCCTTAGTCGTAGGGCTGGCACGCCATGACGGTTGGGTAAAAAGTTTCAAGATTTCACAGAGAGCCTAGGCAAATGCTCATCACAGCGCCTTCACTGGTAGCAAAGCACCCAGGCGTTGGGCCCTCAACGTAGATAGCTGTCTTTCAGTTAATCCTTTTGCCTCGAGGAACATACACAACTGCTTGATGAATCAGTGAGCCGAAATGCATGGCAAGATTTTATGCAGAAATTTCGCAGAGTTTGCTTCTTTCTTGTTAGTTGGCCGCTTACCCCACCTCATAACACTCTGCTGGTATTATTCCATCCACGCCATAAGGAGGCGACAAGGGAAGATACCCAACACAGGATAAAGATCCTTTTTAGCGGCAGCATGAATCACAGCAAAAATGTGATGTGGCAACTCGCATGCATGCCTTCATCTCACGCTTGCGTAGAACGCCGCGCGCTTTGTTGTGGCCCAGCCAGGTGGACCATGCCAGCGCATCGCTCACCGTCTCGAGCAGCATCTCGTGCTTTGCCAACCGTGGTAACGGCTCGCAGCCCTATGTCTAATTCTCGGGTTCAGGATCGCGGCTAGTAGAATCTGTCACCCCATGTTGGTGCCGGTGCACTGGGAAATGCTTGCCGGGGTATGGGCCCTGGGAGGGGACGTTTATGCAGAGCATCATTGTTGTGGGCACAAAGGATGGCCAGGACCACTGCCCTCCGAATTCTCACGGAGAGGCGTCATTTGCTTCAACTTACTGTCCGTTGACGGCATACTGGCTGCAGTAGTCTCCCTCGAGCCTTCTGTACTCGAGTGCGTGGTCTTCGCAGCAGCATAGCTTCTTTTCCTACCAATATCAGACACTTTGCTCAGTGAAGACAACAGAACCCAACGCAAATAGTCGTGGCAACAGCTCATTGCCGGATTGCGCAAAGATATGGTGGCCAACGGCCCTGAAGGCGTCTCCCGTATGCCCACAATTAGGCCAGCCGTCGCAGCCTATCTTCACCGATACTGCCACAAAGTTAATGACTGATGCCCAGCGAGCCCTATCGCTTGCGGCCATTGGAAATCTTCTCATGAGATGATGGCTCGTGACTGTGTGAAAACCGCGAAAGTAAAATATGATTGAGAAATCTCGACCCAACCAATGTTTCAAAGGAGCTTTGTGGCGTTGTTAGCCGGAGCGCGACTACTTACATTTTGTTCTAGACCGATGGCATCCGTTTGACTGTATGGTTCATTAATGAAGGAAGCAATGCCAAGGTCAAGATCAAAAATTGTTTTCAAGCTTGTGAAAGCATGCAAATTACTCCATCCAGATACTTCAAGTACTCTTGCTCATGGTAGGTTGTACGGAGAGCTTGATTGTTAAAAAGCGTCCACGAGCCCTATGCAATTGAGAGGTGGGCCATTCTTTGAGCAACGGTTAGGATTTTGCTTGCATACAGTTTGCACACATAGGAGAAGACAAGACCAGCAGATAATCAGGCATAGACTGCCGCAGTGGATAACAGCCGCCATGTCCGAGAGACCGTGATCCGCGAATCATACTCGATTTCTCTGTCAGGATCGCATCGTGGTACCATGTAATCCGACGTAGGTGGATGAGCGGGTACAGCAGGCACAAACGGACGATGAAAGGTTGCTTTGGAATTAAGGTCGTCGTCAATAGCGCGTGTCTTGTCACGTCATGTTAGCTTTTCTGATCTTCTTGTACGTCATCATGATGGAGTATGATACCTCAACGCGTATCAAAAGCACACATCTTGGCTTGTTATTTAGACGAAGGCGGGAGCAGAGCGCCATCGGGTGGTTTCCGAAGACGCAAAGGCTAAGTGGCCGGCCCGCGGACTTGTAAGGCGGATTAGTTGAACGGCGGTGGAGTTCATGATCCAATGAATACAGTAGCTTGACTTTTAAGAGGCAATGCCAGTTTTGGCCGATAGATGTGCTTGGTAAGACACCCTGTAGATAGAGAGCGGCTGGGGCGTGTCGATTACGGGAGCAGCCGTCTGTTTGTCAAGGGGTAGTGGCCTACGACGTGGGGTTGGTTAGTTAGCAGAGAATCTTTGATAGCAAGGAATCCAAAGAAACAATAGAAGGCCAGGGTGTTGATTAAGTAGCGAGAAAAAGAAAAAAAAGAGAGAGAGAGAAAAAAGAAAAATTAGGGAATGACGAGCCGAGTCTGCGGGAGTCATGCATAATGACGGGACATAAGAGGGCCGGTTGTATGGTGAAAAGCATGAAAGAGGAGGGAGAACGGGGACGAGCTTGTTGGTTGATGGGTCTGGCACCGCGGTTGCGTTGGGTGTGCAGTGGTGGTGCCACAAACAAAAGCCGGCAGGGGGGGGCAAAAGCAGGAGATCTGTGAGAGGGGAGGGGACAGGGGTTTGAGCGGCCAGACCCGCTGGTGCCGCTGAGGAGGGGGGGTGGGCAGGGGGCCCATTCGGGGATTACAGGGGCTCATGTCTTGACCAGACTGCTGCAAAAAGACTGCAGAGAGCCACTCTGGGCTGCCCAGGCCACCTGCCTAGGCCACCTGTCTAGGTGGCCTGGGCAGCGGGGAGCAGTCAGCCACTCATGTCTCCCCGGAGCGGCCGCATCAGGGGCCGCAGCCAAAAAGCGTAGCACTGCAGTGCCGCACAGTCGTGGCCTCGCCCAACGCCACGCTACCTACTCAAACACACAAAACATCAAGCTCATGAGCCTGGCACGCCTACTTTTGCCCCTCAACCCCCTCTATATTGTACCTAGGTGTTGTACTGGTAGCCTTGTAGGTAGGTACCTAGTCAAAGTCGGTAGGACTCGGTACCTATGCTGGCCGGGTTTGGGTTGGCATGCGGGACACCTCCGTCCCTCAGGTCTCGGTCCCTCTCGCAGAAGTTCAGTCCACTGTTATGAGTCCCCCGCCTGTCTACGTTCTTAGCACTTTCCTCGACGCTTTCCTGCCGGATGGGCACCTTGAACAGACAGGCCGACCGACCACTTCCGTGCTATCAGATTTCTCGCCTGCTTATTATTAGGTAGCATCTCCGCCCTCTGCCACTCCCCACAAGCCGCTCTCCCACACATTACCCGTCGCCCGTTGCCTTGCTTCCATCAAGCGCACTCGTTTGCTTTTCCAACACGCCGCCGTCCCAATGTCTACTCCCATTTCGTAACCCTCCTGCGCTCCCTACGGCTTCACTTCTCTTTCTCAACTACTTCTTATCATCGTTCTTCTGCTGCCGACTTACATGAACTGCATCACCATCGCCTTCTCGCGCAGCGCTGTTGGCAGAAGCCATTACCATGGCAAACTCTGCCCGAAGAGAATCCGTTGGCGAACCGTCATCCTTTTCGAATCAGGACGCAACTTCTCCTGCCTCCAGATCCGCCAGCTCTCAGTCACTGTCGACTCATTCCGGAGCTACGACACCCACCGGGTCCGTCTTCCCATCCACCTCTACGGCATCAGGCGACGCTCGTTCAAAGGATGCAACTGTTCCAGCTGCCTGTCTAGCATGTGTACGCGCTTCCAAGCCCCTTTGTCTCTTCTCTAGCTGTTGGACGTTTTCCAGTGGCCACCGTCCCAGACTGTTAGTGTCAGGATGACACCACTTTGGCGCCCTCGGCACGGGCACCAACGCGGCACATCTTTGCTTATTACTCTGGTCCTATGAATTCGCCCAAGTGTACTCCTACTAACATGTAATACAGCGGAGCAAGCACCTAAAGTGTGACGGTCAAAATCCCTGCGTCAGATGTCGAAGTTCCGGCTCCGACTGCATCTATGTGGCTTCTCGCAGGGGCTACAAAGGCCCGCGCAAGAACCAACCGCAAAATTCAAGCAAATCCCGAGTCACGTCCCCTGCACCTCAATCGATCTCGGGTTCTGCTGATGGGTCAAACGTTCCCATCCTCATCGACTCCGGTACAGGAGTCACTAGTGCCTTGGCCACCCAGAGACCGTCTTTCAGTGGCGCGGCCGGTGTCCCATACGAAATGGGCGCGTACCCCTTTGATGACGTGCAACCGACCAACGCCGATGTTCAGCTCTATCGTTCTTATTTTCCGGACAACCATGCCGGAATCTCCTCTACAAAGCAACAGATCCCTCCAACTCTGCAATCTTTTTCTCTCGCCGATCGTTGTCTCGATGCCTTCTTCTACCATTTTCATGCTTCGCACCCGTTTGTATTACCCAAGCCATTCCTGCTCACGCTCGTTGGAGACCCTTCTTTGGAGCCAGTGCTAGCAGCAGCCCGATGGGTAGGCTCGCTGTTCATCGATGCCGGTGCTGCAAGGCAAGCTCTTTTTCAAGAAGCTTATCAGATCTTATATGAATCTCAGAGACCAAAGGATGGGTTTGTCGTTCAAGCAATGATGCTATTGATTGTGGCACTCGATGGTTGTTGCGAGAACGAAAAGGCGAGGAAGATTCTTAGAGACGCAGAGACCCTCGCAGTACAGATTGGCTTAAACACTCGACCTTTTGCGACCCTTCACGGAAGAAGCCTTCCCGTCATTGAAGAAAGTTGGAGGAGAACCTGGTGGGATCTATTCATCATTGATGGTCTGATTGCTGGTGTTCACCGCGTCACAAACTTTTTACTGTACGACGTCCCCACAGATGTCCCGCTGCCATGTGAAGAGGTACAGTTCTTGTCTGGAGTAAGTGGTACCAGATGGGGACTTGTCTGCCGTTAGGCCAAGAACATGACCACTGTTGCTGAGCGTTTGCCTGTCATTTTGAAACAGTGTTGCTAACTTTAACTAGAACATTCCCAATCCCATGACACTACCAGACTTGGAGAATATGGAATTTTCCGGCGATGACAGAGTCTTTTCTTCGTTTGCGTATCGAGTACTATGCGGCCGTAACCTTGGACGGTTTATGCGAACCCCTCCATTACAGGGTCCTGACGACGAAAATATTACTAGGATCGAGGCGCTTCTCACAAACTGGCGACTACACCTTCCGCAAAACAAAAAGGACTCCCTGCAAAAGAATGGCATGTTGGATGAGATGATGTTTCAGGCACATATGATAATGCATGCGACCTCCATCATGCTGCATCAACCGTTCTCCCAGCTCGACACGACACCAACACAGGGCATCATCTCATGTGCACCATACCAACCGGTAGCGACAGGAAGCATGTTCAATACTCACACGAAGCACACAATAACCTCAGCATGCGCTATTAGCGAATTAGTTACTCACAGGGTACCACTGCTATCGCATACACAGTTTTTTACCTGTGTGGTTACATCATCATCAATAGTCCATTTGAGCAAGTGGGCAGTGTTCTTTGTGCCGCACGATGATGACGATTTGCGTCAGCAAATACGACTCAATATTGGAGCTTTAAATCACCTTGCTACCGTTTGGGGTGCGGCGGATCGAGCACGAAATCAAGTCCGAGCGGTTGCTCGAGATATCTACCAACTTAAAAAGCAGCAGCAGAGCAACCCTCAGTACTGGATAGGATACTCACAACAGGACATGCTAAACAGCATGGCTGCAGACGAGACCATCATCACCGAAGTTGAGAACGCAGAAGGCTTACAGCACTCTCAGCATGGGATGGGCGGCGGCATGCAATGATACTGATAGCGAAATGGTTCCAAGGACAGAGCCACAGCTTTTTTTGTTGGTGTTGACGAGGTTGTGTGACCCAGAAGAAGAACAGAAGGCACTATACAGATATATTGTACATACGACGAGCCAACACGACCTCAATAAGAGGCAAATGGTGAAGTGGCCCTTCAGTGGTCTCGTCGATAACAGGCGCCCTTGCCGGCAGGGATAACTGCAGGGATGTCTGATTAGCGCCAACTTGTTTAGAGGCAGGAATTGGGGCAGCGTGTGCAACGACGCTATCTGTGGCGTGTTGCAGTGGATAAAATGTTTGCCGACTACTTGACAAAGTCGATTCCAGGCACATTGTGGTGCAGGACATGCCAGGCGAATGGTCAAAATCAAACAAGGTCGGGGTTGCAGGGAAGTGTCCGGCCAAGAGCACAGAAGGCTAACAGTGCAATGGAGACCATGATTGGTAATAAGGGCAGGCTAGCCAGCAAGGAACGTTGACCAGTCCAGAGTCGGTCCGGCGCCAGGTCGATAGCAGAAGTCGGCATTCTGCAGGTCCCCGGTTCCTGGTACCGGTATTGGCATCCATGCTCAGGCTCTCAACCCATGCACGCCCGCAAGCCCGGTTCTTGCGCTGTTTGTGCCTGAATAGCTCTCGGGGGCGAATTGATGCCCAATATGCCTAGGTTGTCAGCTATACATAACTAGTAAACCGGAGTCATGAAGAGCCAGGGATGTGCATAAACTTTGGCAATTGCCTGCTTTTGGATTTACACTTTTATTATTTCGTTTGTTAATAAACTTTGATTCCGAAGGGGGGAAAAAGCCCCTCCGCCCCTGTAGAAATAGCTAAGCGAACCTATAGAAACCCGCTATTTCGCGCCCCACATCCCTAAATGGGCAGCGAGCCAAGCAGCCCTTTTTTATTTTTAATCTTCTGCTTACTTGTTTTTTTTTTTTTTGCTTGCCTTTCCCTGTTAATACTTACCAAGTAAATAACCTGCGGGCGCCCTAGGTAATACCGGTCGGTGCGTTGAACCATGTCAATAAAGTCAACGCAGCCCACAACTCTTACTTTTTTAAATGAGGTACAAGAAGCGAAGTCTATGTTTAATGCTGCGCGTGTCGCGCCCCGTGAACGGACATGATTCTCGCTCTTCTTTTCTTTTTCTTTTTTTTTTCTTGGGGGTGGGAGGGGTAAAAGGCAAAGGGGGAGGGGGGCCAAGAGCCGCAAAGTTTCTCCTCTCCCCACTTTCAGAAAGGGTTTCATTAGCATTCCCGTCGTTGCGGCTTGCATGATCCCACGTGTGAATCGATCGGGGGGGGAGGCTGTGACACTGACAACAACAACAAAAAGTTACAAAAAAAAAAAGTTTGTTCTCCGGCAGGCAAATTTCAAACCGACAATATAGTAAATAGGACGACGACGACGACGACGAAGAAGTAGAAGCAGGAAGAGATGAGGGAGAGAGAAGAGAAGAATACACAAAAAAGACTGCAAGATGGTTAGAAATGCAGTCTTTTTCGTTAGCTTGTCAAGTATTTGGAATGCCAAATATTTGGAGCCAAACTGATCTGTAAGAATTACACATCACAGATCGTGGTGGCTTCGAGTCTGGTTCTGAGGCAAGTCGTCCACTCCCCTCCCTTCTTTGCTAGAAATTGAACACGCCCTCAATTTTTGAAACCACTGTAGCCTAGCGGGGTCTCCTTCGCTACCGACAGTTCGACAGCTGGCTTGCATGCACTAGCTGTATTTGCTCACACAGGTCGCTAAAATTGAACGCTGCTCGAATTCTACAAAAGAAACAATCATTATCAGCTCTATCTGCTTTACCTTGACCCATGCTAATAACCAAACCGCTTTCCTCCCATGAAATATCAGTCTTGTACCATCCAATTCAGTCAATACCCACCCTTCTCGATCCCAATCCCGTTCTACCGGCCAGCCCATTACTCCCACCTCATTCAGAAACTGCCTTTTAGGCAGTTTTCGATTGTCCCGATCCGATTCAGATACAAATAGACAAAGCGCACCTAAAATTGATTGCTGCTTCGATGCCATCATGCTCTGCTGTTCTAAAGCTTGGTCTTGAACCAGGCACGAGCCGGGAGCTTCTGCTCAAACATCACATCAATTTCGGCAGGTGTGCGGTCCTTCATCTCGGGGAGTCTAAAGTACGCCCAGCAGAAGCAAATAAACGATGTACTGGCCCAGACAAGCGCCGCGCGGGTTCCAAGTCCCCAGCCCATGGGCTTGGGCTCGAGAAGGTTGGGAACGAGAAATAAGTTGCCAATCGACATCACAATGTAGATACCGCGGGCAATCGAGTTAGTTGCAGTCTTCATGCGAGTAGCAGGAGTCTCGGCGACAATGCTGTAGCAAACTGGACCGATAGTAAAGTTGTAAACAACGGCGAACAAAACAAGAACGCCGGCGGACACCCAAGCTACCGTCGTGCTCGACTCGAGAAGGAATCCGAGGGTGCCGATGGTCACGAGGCAGCCAAACTCAACCGCGAGACCACCGAGCCACATTGTGCGGCGGCCAAACAAGCGCATGGCAGCCATAGATGATAGTGTCGACGCAATGCACAGTGCGTACATTCCCATGGTGACGTAAAGTGCATTGCCCTGGCTAAGACCACCCTTTTGAAGAACATTGACAGAGTAGAACACAAGAGGCGAGCCGACCAGCTGCTGAGTAAGGTAGGTGATGACGGCAATCTCAGTGCGGCGCAAATTGGCACCCTTGAAACATTCGGTAAAGCCCATACGCTCTGTCGTCTTCTTTTCGTGCTCATTTACGCAGTGAATGACGGCCAGGGAGCTATACTGGTCGAAGCTGGGGTCGCGATTCACACGGCTGAGCACCCTACGTGCCTCTTCGTCCTTGCCCCGACGGCTAAGATAGTAAGGACTCTCCGGGACGACCATCACAATCAGGAAGAGCGGGACCAGCCAGGAGTATTGAATCAGCATGGGAACCCTGATCGACATCATCGGGTCTTTTGTCTCAGAAGCGCCACGTAGGACACTGGCCGAGACAAGTTGACCAACGAGCCAGAAGATGTTGATCATGGTCGCAGCCGGTCCTCGGAGCTTCATAGGGGTGATATCGGAGACGTATGGAAGGGTGATGCCTTGAAAGAGACCCCAAGGAACACCAAGAAGGAGTTCTCCCACAAGATAAATGGGAAGCTTGGCAGTGGTAAAGGCGAACGTGGAGAAGAACCCAATCATTAGACAGACAGAAGCCCAACTAAGGCCACACATGGTGCTGATGCGGTATCCAAAGCGGTTAACAACACGAGGGGCAAGCCAGAGCCCAAAGAGCTGACCTAAAGCAGCGCAAATAGTAATGCCCGACTGCCAGGCAGGACGAATGATCTGGTGGCCATCAATGTTGGATCCGAAGACATCCCGGAAACTCTTGAACGAGAAGAAGCTAGGGACCAAAGCCGTTTCGTAGCCCTCCATGATGATGGGGGCCGCCATTACTGCGGCCCAGAAGAGCGCAATGTAGTAGTACTTGATTGTGTACCGCATGGTCATCGACTGTTCATGATCGCTAGCCATCTTGGCGGCTTCATTACCGGTATAGACATCATTGATAATTTCGTCGTCGATGGAAACCTCGGCGAATGTCACATGTCCCTTGTTGCCTTTGGTAGTGGTTTGCGACTCGGAGGATCCAGCCTGAGCATCAGGCTGGGCCCCAGCGAAGAGACTGGGGAGCTTGAAGGGCATGGCGATCGAGATTGGCGATAATCGTAAAGATGTTTGTTGAGATATGAAAATCTGAAGTCTGGTTAGAAGACGAGCTGGGCAATTGTCTGCCTTCTGGAGCTGGGGGAATGGCTCGCCTTTAGTAGTGATCTGGAAATTTATTGACTTTCATGAGGCGGTCGCGATCCAGAAGCGAATGAACCTTGGGGAGGGAGGAGGCGTCCAATAGAATTGTCCATTAGCAATATAATGGTCCAAAACTGTGTCTAGTTCCATCCTTCGCATGCTCTTAAGCTTCAAGCGCGTGTATCCGGGGCTGTTCATGATGTTTGGCGTCTGTCTTTGAAGAAGCGAGGCGTATTGGCGTTCGCTGTGGTTTGCTGCGACCAAAGCTAGTTGTGCGCCACGTACAAGTATATTCGGTGGGCGGCCAAAGACTCGACGACGTTGATTCAATCAAGCCTATGTTACGTCTGGGACTCGTTCAAGGAATGCGCCACGATGGTGTTGAGGTCTTGGGTTTGCTGGCGTTTGGCTTGCCAGCTGACAGTGTGTTGGCTGTTGGCGGCCCCCACGCAAGTAGCAACAGTTTGGCGACGTCGAGCTGCAGGCGCATCACGAGCCCTGCACTTGGCTGAAGAAGTTGAGAAAATATTTGGAAAATTCAGTCGTCTCAGAAGCCACCAATGTAATGTATCATTTACGTTCACAGGCTCCGACTTTTTTGGTACGTTTATTTGCAGGTTTACGGATCACGCCACGCTTCCCCCAGTGTGCCTATTTGTCAATGTGGCTTTTGATGATAGTTTTGACGCTACAGATTGAAAGTAACTTGGTATTTTTATAGGTCTTTCTCCTCTTCTTTTCTTTCCCCATTTACAAAAAACGCTCGTTGCTTTCGAGCGAATAGGCAGACCAACCATCGACAGGTGGTCGTCGAGACGATGCAATCTCGAAGCTCTGCAGCTGCATAATGCACATCTCGATAATACTTCAGACATGCATTGATTAAAACAAAAAACGTACATGCGTCAGATTCTCATCACAAGGTTTTTCTTCCAATGTGTTCAGGAGGTTGGGCGGATTTTGGGCTTTTATCTTTCGTTTGCAGGGTATGATTACCATCTAATAAACAAGCTGTAGCCAAATGGGGCAAGACGCGGGAGAGCTGTATGAGTGGGGCTGCGCTCTCCGTCACCCCGCGCAACCAGACAAACAAGGATGACAAGCTTGCGACATCTTGGGCACACAAGGGTCGGCTTGTGCTTTCTTGTCCGACTGTTGCGCTTCCGCATCTTGCATCTCTGAAGAAAGAAAATTCGACACGCATGGGCCCTTGAAATTTTGACGATAATCCATTCATCGAACCGATTCGGCAGCATATTTCACATTCCAGTAGTTGCCACTACTGTACGTCTGCCACACCGCCCCTCGTTTGTCAACGCTACACACTGTCAACAATACCACGAGGATCCATCCACCACGAGTTACCGCATTCCAACCATTCCGAGCGAGCGCATTCAGGGACAAGCGAACTCAACCCCCCGCCGATGACTGGAGAGATCTGGCTGGATCGACGCTGAATTAATTCCCAACTAAGACGCCTCCACTGCATCGCGGAAGCCAACTTCCACCTCGTCGCCGCCGTCATGGCGCCGACACCAGATGAGCTGTCGGCCCCCGGCTCTGCCAGCTATGCCTCCGACACGATGAACGTGGGAGATGGTACCTGGGTCTTTGACAAGAATACCTTCTTGCTTCCTAATTTGCAGGGTGTCAACTTCGACACCATGCGCTACAATGGTACGCTTACCCATCCCACGTAGTCTTGCGTCATGTCACTAATCAATTGTCCTCAGGTATGGGCAATCGCTTCTCAACCTTTGTCGGCTACCACAGTATCATTTTGGCGCATGCAGTCATGGCTGCACTGGTATTCCTACTCATTGTGCCCTTCTCCGTCATGACGATCCGCTTCTACGACAGAAACCCCGGCCGCGCCGTTGTCTACCACGGCCAGCTACAAGTTTTGGCCAGTCTTATGCTACTAGTAATTTTCATCCTAGGTTTCTTCGCGGTTGGCCCCAGCAGAAACCTCTCAAACCCACACCACGGTATTGGAGTCGCCATTTTCGTGCTCTTCATTCTCCAACTCGTCGGCGGCCGTCTGGTGCGAAACATTTCAAAGTCACGCTCTTTACGCATAATGATCCATCAATGGTCCGGGCGCGCCATTGGCCTTTTGGGTATTGTTCAAGTTCCGTTGGGCTTGACTCTCTATGGCTCGCCCAAGTATCTCTTTATTCTCTATGCGCTCTGGATGGCATTTCTGTTTCTGCTATACTTCATCCTCAGCTATCGTCGTGCTGGTCACCGTGACTACTACATGGGAGGCGGAGCCAGATCCGATGGCGGAAGAACTCGCCTGACCGAATCTGAGTACCACTCTGAGCACAAGCCGAACGACAACAGCAAACTCAAATGGCTAGGCCCTCTCGCTGCAGGTGCTGGCCTGTGGGCATTACTGCGCAATCGAAACAAGAAGCAGGACCGTGAGCGGAGTCGATCGCCATCCTCTTATAGGACTCGTACCGATGCGTATTCCTCGTTTTACTCGCATGGCCAGTCCGAGAGATTTTATGACGACAAGGACTCGGAACCACCTCAGCGAAAAAGCAGTGGCGGGGGATTCTTGAAGGTGTTGGGTGGCGTCGCAGCGGCCGTCGGAGCAGGAGGTCTGGCGGCCAATCTCATGAAGAAGAGAAACAACAGAGACGAGGAATACTCCGCAGTATCCACAGAAACCCCTCGTCGTCACCGTAGTGGACGCGGTGCACGAAGCGACTATAGCAGCGAGTACACCGACTATACTCCCACGCAGACGTCTCTGCTACCGCCGTCAGCAAAGCCAGCCAACACGTACACCACAAGAACAGGCACCACAAGAACAGACGATACAGGAAGACCTACAACGCCATATTCATCCGTCCCGCCGCGTCGCGACTATGATGATTCAGAATATTCTTCTTATGTCAGCCCTTCCCACAGAAGACAACCGGAAAACTCTGGAGGTGGAGGCCTAGGCAAGGGGATCCTTGGCGGACTCGGTATGGGGTGGATTGCCAAGAAACTTGCGGATAGGCGTAACAAGAAGCAAGAGGACCGCTTACGCGAAGAGGAAGATATGCGCGCTGGAACCAGTGTCTCTCGCTTCACCGGTGACGGCTATCCTTCTCCTTCGCGACGGGATTCGAGGCGACCCCCTCCTATTCGTCGTCAAACAGGGTATGGCCCGCCTCAAGGCACAGAAACTGCGTTCAGTGAGATGACTGAATCATCTATTGATCATCCACCCCGAGTTGGTGCGCGATCTGGTAGTATTCAACCAGTACCTATGCCGTCTCAGCCACCTAGATCTGGCGGCCGCCATGACTCAGAACTGGCTTCGATGCCGCCCATGCCAGCAGATCCTCATGGGATATTACATTCGGGGCCCGAAACTTCATATGTGTCTGGGGATGCATCACCGCCACAGCGAAGACCTTCAGAACGTCGCCGAAGAGCCGGAGAGCGAGCAGCCGCTGCTGCAGCCGCTCGTGCTGGTAGTCTGGCTGCGAATGAAGGGAGAGGCCATCGTGGCGACAGAGACTTGGATAGGGATCGCTATGCGTCTCCAAGTAGTCAACCAGTCAGCGTCAAAGTCAAGGTCCATGATGACCGTGATCGAAATGTGACACTGAGGCGATTGACAGAGGAAGAGGCCATGGCCACTCGAGGCCGTCGCGATTCTGAAAGCAGCATCTCCGAAATCGAGTCTCCCAGTAACGGACGTGGGTATCGCCGAGCCGCCGCAAACTCACGCGCGGCAGCGGAGCGAGAAGCAGAGCGCCGAGTCGAAGAGCAAGACAAACTGGCGCCTTTATCGCCGCCCAGACCTGCTTTTGCAAAGGGTCGACGTGGTGGCAAGGACTCTGCCTATTATTCTGGCGGGGCAGCTGGGCCAGGGGGATCAACAGCCGCACACGGCCAAACAGTGTCGAGTCTGGGCTCGCAAGGTACACATGGTACCTGGAGCGGTATGAGCGGCGTGCCGTCTCCCGGAGACGGTGGCGGCGATGGCGCGAGCGAATCCGCAGCCGCAGACAATAGGCGACGCCGGCGAATGGAGCGGAGAAGAGGTAGTAGTGCCGCGAGGCCGCCTGCGGGAGCAGACATGTTTAACTAGTATTTTTCTCTTTTATTCTGGTGGACCATTTTGCTTTTTATTTTCTGCACATAACGAAACAGGCTATTTGTTACGACTCTCGCCCAAAGCTTATGATGGATATGTGTACATTTTACAAAGTTTGATTTTGGATGAGGATCTATTTTCGAGTACATATTCGCAGCGTCAGTGGCGCACATTCCAGCCCAAGGTATGTAGGGACTCGGCTTTTATCGGGTTGGCAATGGGCGTTTTCATAGAAGGGACACAGCCTTGATGTATTTAGAAAGAGCTACGAGTTCACGGGGACAATTCGCAAACAAACAATAAATGACTTTTTTTCCCAAACCAGGGGCAGCAACTTTTGCATCATCGACATTGGGTCAAACTAGACACAATTCTTGCTCTACAAACGCCCCATTCGGCGCTTTCGCGACTTCATTGTCCATGAAGCCATACAGCAGCGCCGGCCCAACAAGCTCATACTCGGTCTCGGCGGTTCGTGCCGCCGTTTGCCGAAGAACAAGGGGATACTTGGAGCCGGGCAGGACGGTCACCACGTCGCCGTCGGCTACCGTGCGCGGCCCAAGGCCAAGCTGGCCGTCTCGAGTGATGAATACTCGCCGACACATGGACGTCCACGTCATGTCCTGCACAATCTGCGTCGCGCAACCCGTCGCCGCGAGCGCCTTCACCCGCAGTCTTTCTTCGACAGAGATGCTGCCCAAAAAGGCGCCCGGCTGGGCCGTGGCGCAGGCTGCACGCAGGTCCTCGGCCTTGACGGCGTGGGCGGCGCAGTCGGCGCGCTGCTGGTCCCGCGCGGCGCCTGACGCGGCGGGCGTGGTACCGCGAAAGGCGCCCGTGAGGATGAAGCTCAGGGCAGAGATGAAGGACAGTGCGCTGGGTCGCGTCGCGGCGGGCTGGGTGAGGACGAGCTGGGCGTAGATGCGGTCGAGCAGGAACGGGAGCTGCTTCTTGACTTCGGCGGCGTAGTCTGTAATGGCAAGCTCTTTGGGGGATATCATGTCCGAGCGTGCGCGCAACGTACCGACAATGGCACCCCGACAGCGCAGAGCGGGCGTGGATCTCGAGTTTTCGTCTACAATCACGGAGAGGTATTCTGGCGAAGCGGCACGGGTAGGGCATTTGAGCGGTGCGACGAGATTCAAGGCGTGCCAATCGGGCACCCACGTTGGGAGGCCCATTGGGTTTGGCTCCTCGCCGTGGTCGACAAAGGCGAGAATGTGCAAGCTGCGTGTGCGCCGGACGGTATTGACAACGAGGTTTGTATACACTTGTGCTGTGGGAATGGTGTACACCGGCTCGATGAGCAGCTGGCCGCTCACCACAGCGCTCGGATGGCCCAGGAGCGAGTAGACGTAGTCGCGCGGATCCGTGGAGAGGTGGACGCGTGCCCAGTGTAGGACCTCGGAAAAGTCGTACGCTGGCGTGCCGTCAGACTTGTTTGACCACACAAGGTTGATGTGGTTGCAGACCCACGACTTGAGGCCGAGCTCGTTGATGACGGACGCGCCATTCTCGTCCAGAAACAAAACGAATTGGGCCACTTCGTCCCAGTCGATGCAGACATTGCTGCGGCCCCAAGCGAGCCAGGCGCGGCGAGCGAGACCAATTTCCTGGATAATCCAGGCGCGATGAAAGTACTCACAGTCGAAGAATGTCTTGACAGCACGCCATGTCGTGAACAGCTTTTGCTCTTCATCGCTCCCTTCGGTCAAGTGTTCTTTAGTTTGCGTCTTTCTTCTTTGTATAGCGGACTGAATCTGCCGCAAATGACTATTTTGGTCTTTGTTGAACTCTCGCAGAAAGTGTATTGCAGTCAGTGCTAGGAACTCGCACGTTGCTGGGTCCTGGAAAGCCCCGAGCCAGCATAAAACTCTCGTCGCACTGCGGAAAATGTCACCCATCATGCGAACCTGAGACAGGCGCTCGTCCGAGTCATCCTGCTGGATGCAGATAGCATCGGCCCATATTCGTCTGGCGTGATCTAGAGGGCGGTAGGCGCGAAGCGCCGTGGCCAAGTTGGCGCCAATGTGCAGCACGCCGCCTTCTGTGTCGGGATGGTCCTCATCTACACACCAAATGGTGCTGTGAAAGACAGTCGGCTTACCCCATACATAGGACAAAGCCTCGTAAGGCTCGTCAGTAATGGTCTGCACTCTAAGTCGACAGGATAAGGCTGCATCGACGGAAGTCGAGGCTTGTAACTCGAGCACACGAATATACCCCGGTGGTAGCTTGGCATGCCTGAAGCTATTGTCATAGGGCTCCATGCTTAGGTCCTAGCTGGTCTGACCGCCTATCCCGCGTATCATCTGGCAACTGCGAGCGCTTACAGTCACTTCAGGTTGTCTTGCTTGAGTCAAGTGGTTCTTAGCGCAGTTTGACGCTGACCTACATCAAGAGGCGCGACGACATGATTCACGGAATCAGGACATAAGCTCTGATCGTATCAGAAGACAAACAACGCAGCATGCTGTGCGACGTTGGGCGGCCACTCAGCCGGGCTGAAGGTGCGGCTTGCTCGAGTGCCGCCCCTATACCGGTTAAAACGATATCGGATTGCAGACTTTGAGGCTGCAGCACTGTTATATCTGATCCAGACAAGCAAACAAGGTCCCTGATCTTGCCTTTAGAAGTCAAGGATTTGTTTTTGACGGCGAAAACACATCTTCAGTAGAATGACTGCAGTTTGGGTCGCTGCGGACGAAGGGTCAATCATGTAGCAGAAGGAGTGCAATGCGAAGCCGATATCCAATTCAAATGACAAGCCTATCCGGGTTGGAAGTTCCCAAGACGGCATCATTGCATTTTTGAGCTCGCTAGATAGCAATGCTGACATGCAAGCTGCCGCGTAGGTAAGCTCTTGGCGGGAAGTCTGCCAAGTGACGGTTTACGGGATAATGAACATGATGTAGCGGGCGGATGGCGAACGCAGAATACCACAGTCGACAGTAGTAAATTCTAGGAAAGAGTCGACCTATGTCTGGGGAGACACATGTATGCTTTTTGTTGACTGATGATGATGTCGATGGAAGCGGCCCGAACGTGGGCAGGGCCGGGCTTCGCATTCCCAGCCTACCTAACAAGGTGGGGACTCGAAAACGAACGCCAACGCGGTTCCACGCAGCTGCCAGATTTCGAATCTGAACAATCTAGACGACCTCTAAACACCTTGGCCCTTGAGTTTTCTTCCTGTGCGTGGGCGCAGATGTGGTGAATCGACGAGCCGGCGAATCGAACGACGAGAATACCTATCATACAACCAATGGCTGCGGTCCGGTCATAGCACAGCACACCTCAGAGACCAATGTCGCAACCCGGCGCAAAGGCCAAGGGGCCGTCCCTCACCGAGTACAAGGCCATTGCCGCCGAGTGGGAAAAGGCGAGAAAGGCCAAGGCGGCGGCCGATGCCAAAGCAGCCAGCCATGGCTTGCTGACCGAACGAGAGCGGGCCGAAGCCCTGCAGAAGAAGCGCGAGAAACTCAACAAGCTGCGGCAGACGCGGTACGAGAAGCGCTGGCTGTGGACGGTCGCCTTTTGGGTCTGGATACTCGCCATCCATGCGATTGGCCTGTGGCTCTTTACGACAGGTTTCTTGCTGACCAGGCTGGTGCTGCACGAAAAGTCGAGCTGTGATGCGCCGCCCATCGACGGTACCAAGGGCCTTTTCAACCCAGACAAGGGATGCTGGCACCCAAAGACGTTTGATCGCGCCGTCGTCATCCTCATTGATGCTCTACGATATGACTTTACTGTTCCTCATGCGGCTGACAGTCCGCATGCCTACCACAACGCCTTTCCTGTTCTTCACGAAATGGCCGTCAAGTCGCCGCAGAATGCCTTCCTGCGACCCTTTATCGCTGACCCGCCGACAGCTACGTTGCAGCGCCTCAAGGGCCTTACGACTGGCACGCTGCCTACATTTGTCGATTTGGGCAGCAACTTTGGAGGCGATGCAATTGACGAGGACAATTTACTCATGCAGCTGAAGAACAACAACAAAAAGGTTGCCCAGATTGGCGACGATACCTGGTGGAGTCTTTTCCCCGGCTACTTTGAACCAAACATCAGTAGAGCATATGACAGTTTCGATGTCTGGGATCTGCACACTGTTGACAACGGCGTCATTGACCACCTCTTCCCCCTTTTGGAGCCCAAAGCGAAAACACAATGGGATCTACTCATTGGCCACTGCCTTGGCGTCGACCACGCCGGCCACCGTTATGGGCCCGAGCACCCTGCCATGGCTTCTAAACTGCAACAGATGGATGATTTCATTCGCAACGTTGTTTCCAAGATTGACGACGACACGCTTCTCATTGTCATGGGAGACCACGGCATGGACAGCAAAGGTGACCACGGTGGCGAGAGCGATGACGAAGTTGAAGCCGCTCTCTGGATGTACGCCAAGCGGCCCATCTTTGGCCGAACCCATCCCGAGCACGCGATTCCACCTCCAAACGCCAAGATTCGACCAGTCAACCAAATCGATTTCGTCCCGACGCTTGCTCTTCTCCTTGGCATCCCCATCCCATTCAATAACCTGGGCAAGCCGATCGAAGAGGCTTTTGCCGGCCCTCGCGGCAATGACTGGGCTAACCTTGCTGCCGTGTCGCGCGTTGCCGCGGCAGGTACTGAGCGCTATCAGAAACTGTACTTTGAGACACGAGGCATCGCACCGGCGAGCGATCAGGGTAGCCCTGCGGCGCTGTGGACGGCGGCCAACTCAAAGAGCCTCTCTGGTCGCAATCTCTACGATGCGCTGTCAGCCTTTCAGGAGCGGAACCTTGCTGTATGCAAGAGCCTCTGGGCGCGCTTTGATGTCCCGCGCATGGTCATGGGTGTATTTGTCACCGCCATTGGCCTGGTTGTCCTGGTTATGTACTCATCGCGCACCGAAGACGACGAGTACGTGGTCCTAAACAATGCCGAGCTCGATTATGCCGAGAAGCAGCTCGAACAGCTTGCAGCTTCCGAAGACCAGGAGGAGCCCGAGCATCCCGACCAGTCCTTCCACCGAGACATTTTACACTGGGCCTTGGACCTGCGCGTGATTCTCGTCATTGCGACGCTGACTGGCGCCGCCGTCTTTCGTGGACAGCCGCTCGATGGACTGGCCACGCTCGTGGCGACCATCATGATTGCCAGCACCGGGACCGCGCTCTACAAGCACGGCAGGACCCTGCGCAACCTTTTACCAAACACGTTTTGGGGCTGGATGGCCGTCGTCTTCACCGTCAGCCACTCTCTCGGCTTTGCATCCAACTCGTACACGATCTGGGAAGACTCCATCCTGCTCTTCTTCATCACCAGCTTTGGTGTCGCCGCGCTCGTGTCCTCGTTCCGCATCGAGTCGTCGCGCGTCGACCTCTACATGGGCATCTACCACTCGGTCGCCTTCATCGTCCTCGGCCGCATCGCGTCGTACTCGAAGCTCTGCCGCGAGGAGCAGATGCCCTACTGCCAGTCCACCTACTACAGCTCCAGCGCCTCGTCCACCTCGGCGCCCTGGCAGGTCGTTCTGCCCTTTGTCGTGCTCCTCGGCCTCCCCGTGCTCATCAAGTCCTTCCTCACGCCCACCAAGTCGTACGCGGGCCTCGCGCCGACCTGGATCGGCCGCGTCTTTCGCTTCAGCTTGTTCCTTTCCGCGCTGTACTGGCTCGTCGACGCCGCCAACAACGGCAAGTGGCTCGCCGCGTCTCACCTCCCCGAGATGGCCCTCAAGACCGCCGGCGTCTACGTCGCGCAGCTCACGCTGGCCATTACCGTCGTCGCCGGCACCACTGCCTATATCTGGGCCCCGCCCTCTGTCGCCATCGTCCCCAGCCAGGGCCGCATCACCATCCTGGGCTACGCCAACGCCCTCGGCGCGCGCTACCTGCTCCTCCCCGTCAGCGTCCTCGGCACCTGCCTGCTGCTCACCAAGCCCATGGGCGCGGGCGCGCTCTCCCTCATGATGTGGCAGCTCCTCGCGCTCGTCGAGCTGCTCGACCTCAACGGCCTCAAGACGGAGACGATTGGCCCCGTCATGCTCGCCATCCTCGGCAACTTTTACTTTTTCAAGACGGGCCACCAGGCGGTCCTCTCCAGCATCCAGTGGGACGCCGTCTTCATCCCCCTCTTCACCATCCGCTACCCCTGGGCGCCGCTCATCGTCGCCGTCAACACCTTTGCCGCCCAGATCCTCGCCGTCGCCAGCCTGCCCCTCGTCGCCCTCTGGAAGGTCGGCCCCAAGCAGCGCGGCGTGCTCGAGACCGTCTCGCGCGCCCTCGGCGTCTTCATCGCCTACTATGCCGTCGAGGCCCTCGCCACCATTGCCTGGGCCGGGTGGCTGCGCCGCCACCTCATGCTCTACCGCGTCTTTAGCCCCCGCTACATGACGGCGGCGCTGCTGCTGCTGCTGCTTGACGCTCTGGGCATCTTGATCACGCTGGCTGGCGTGCGGAGCAACTCCTTGGCCGTCAGTGAGGTATTTGGCTGGGCTGAGTAGAGTCAACCCAAAGTCCTCGTCTACCTAGCCATGTTTATGTTTTTTTTATATTAGTTAATGTCTTTTTTTATTTTTACTTGTTAATTATCTTTATCTCGTCTGCCCCTTCTCTGAAGACACTTTCAACTGGGACAATTTTCTTCTTTGTAGTCACTATTCGGGATACCACAGACTCGTTTTGAGCTGTGACGAGCCTTGGGATGGGCGCGGGAATGTACATAGAGTTCTCAAAGGCGGTAATCAGATGTATCAACGTTATGTTCATTCCATAAATCAAGCATTGGACCATACTTGTTGGATACAACTTGATTGCATGCAGCATCTATGTCTCTCTTGCAGCTCAACTCAAAATAGCCATGGTTGCTGTTCCCTTTGCAGCCAGGCCTCCATCTGGGCCTTCCACCCACGCATCCCACTTTACTTGGCCGTCGCTGGGAGGGTCAGTCCGTGACAGTACAGGCCTTACCTTGACCGTCAATGGCTCATTGACGTAGAGCGGTGCATGATTACGATAGACGAAGCGCGAGACCAGCTGGCCAGAGAAGCCCGTCAGCACGCGCAGCATGAGCGCCAGCGTGAGCGGCCCATGAACAAGAGGCGCCCGGTGGCCGTCGACGGAACGTGCATACTCTGGGTCTAGATGGATGGCATGGGCGTTGAACGTCAGCGCAGAAAAGTGAAATAGGTGGCGCGGAGAAGGCAGGATTCGGACGCCATGTGCTGCTTCGTGAGGGTCTAGGTAGTCGGGAGATTGCTGGTCAGCCTGAACTTTTTGGTCTTCTTCTCGGCGAGGGGTCTACACGTTCTTGTTGAGATATCTAGAATAAAAACCCACATTTCACAAGTTTTGGAGTCATGCTGGCCTGGGCTTCAGCGTCGTCGCCTGGATTCATAAAGACGAGCGTCCGGCGCTCCTCTATCGACCAGGGCAGATTCGTCTCCTGGTTGGCGGGATGGCCCAGCGCATACCTACGCCATACGTCGACAAAGACCTTTTCACCTCCTCGCGTGGTCGTCGTCGTCGACGACGACGACGACGCATGGCCCGGATCCTTGACCCTCACGTCGCCAATCGTTTCCGTACACGTCCACGGCTGGCTGTTGAGAACGAGGCCGCCATGGCCTGGGCGCGACGACATCTCCTCGTCTGTATCATTATTACGAAACGTTACCTCGCCGCCCGCCCACAGGCGACGCGAGTAATGCGCGCCCGGCGAGTGGTCCATATCCGCGCCGTCGGGCGCGAGCTGTGAGGGGGCGGTCTGGATGGGAAAGTAGACCAGGTGGTGGCCCTGGGGCAGCGGCCGCGGCGGCGATTGGACCGTTGGCGACGACGATTCTTCCCCAGGGGTAGAAGGAGGAGGAGGAGAAGAAAGAGGTCCCCGAAACAAGGCCGGGTCGGCGGCGGCACCTTGTAACGTGTCGTCTGCACCACCACCATCACCGCCATAAGGTAACAAATCGGAGAGCAGCGTCGTCAGGAGGTGCGAGGGCATGGGCGTCAGATAGTCTGGAATCGTCTTGGCGGGCTGACGGCGCAGCCTCTCGACGTCAGGCTTGACTCGCTTCGCATTCAAGGGTTTTGAAGACGAGAGAAGCCGCTTAGTCCATGACGGCGGCTGCATGACCGGCTGCCGCTGCTGCTGCTGCGTGCCATGCCGTGACGTCGGGCTAGGTCGGCGAACAAGGAGTCGGCAGCGGCCGAGACGCTGACCGCTTGGTCTCAAGTTTGGGAGCGTGGCGCTCATACTCTGCACTCGAATCTACCCTCTGGGGGGGAGCCAGAACGAAACAGCGAGCGTGTACTCCTGTACGCCTGCCTTTCTAGTGGAAATTTGTCGGTTCTTCTAGACGTTTTTGAAGGGGTGGGTAACCCAAGGCCGCTGGGGCGACGCAAGAACGAACCTTGTCTCAGCCTCAGAACCTCGGGGATCTATCAGATAGAGGTGGCCCTGGCGGGGGGCTCGGTGTGTCGGTGTTGACTCTGTTGAGTAATAAAGGTGATGGGACGCGAGACGCGTTGTCTGGTTGAACTCGGTTTGTGTAGATTGGCCTTAATTTTGTCGTCAAGAGCGTCAGAGCTCCACCGTCACTGGCGGCCCCCAAAGAGCAAATAAATGCCAAGCCACCGCACGACTGAGTCAACCGGCGCATGAAACAATTACGCAATTTGCTGGTGATATCGCTCATTTTTCTCATTTTTTTTTATGAATCGCAATCTCGGACTGTCGAGCATTCGAGAACATTTGGTGCGGCCGGCGATGCTTCGAACTCTGTTGGTGCACTGAAGGCGTGGAGAAAACCCTAGTCCCGATTAACATCTAAGAACGCTACCAACGAAAGTAAGCCAACGCCCCTGGCTAAACTAAAGCCTATAAAGTCACCTTGATTAGATGGAAGAATATGCCGTATAACCCTTGCACTATATCCTTTAGCGTTCTAACGCGTTACACTACTTCCTACTAGGAATAGCGACCGGAACGGAGTGAAATTACACAGGAGCGGAAGGCTTTCCCTTAGGTAACATTTTTTCCCCTCAACTTGTATATAGCACATACTCTATACAGACAATTGACCAGGTCAGAGTAATTCAGTATTAATATAGAGTAACTATCTAGCTTTGGAGTGGATCAAGGCGCAGACTGACGCTCTGATGGACGCAAAAGATGTAAGGCGGGCGCTGCCGGCCCCCGATGACACCGGCAGGTGTCTACTGTCGACTGACTGTGTGACTCAGTCAGAAATGGTTATGCTAACTATCAGACGAATTTTTCAACAACATGATGAGATAGCGTCGAGCGTAGCGTCAAAGCCTTTTGTTCTAAGGGACATGGTGTGGTGTGAGGCTTCATTACCAGAAAGAGTTGCCAGAAATTTTAAGAAGCAAGTATAGATAAGTTTGCTGGCCAAAAAGCCCATGAGCTTGGTTTCATAAATCAAATATGATATCGCCGAGCTGGAGTGGCTACTGAGGCAGGCGTTCTGGTTCGGAAAATGGAATCATCCTCGCCTTGTTTGACATTAATGCACTGCGCGCAACGATGATGAACCCGTGTTAGACGCTGCCGAGCTACAGACGCAGCGTAACGCGAGGTCAATATACCTTTGAACAGTCTGGACAATCGATAGTACAGCTGCAGATTCGGCTTGGAAGAAGTTTGGGCGGAACAAAAGCACATTGTCTGTTACGATGCCGGGATGTGGGCGCGTTTGCCATCCGTGAGCCAGGGTGGGCCTCAAGACTGAGCAGATCAGTACGCTATCGCCATCCGGATTAGTTGCTCATGAAAAAACACTGGCAGGCGCCGTATTAGTATTCTCCGTTACATTGCCACCAGGAAAGGAGAGCTTCTGAGTCTGCTCCCGAATGCCGACGTACAGCAAAGTATACGAAAATGCGAACCGGACTAGTAGTCCAAAGATAAACAGTAAATCATACCCAGAACATCTCCGAAGAAAGGGAGCAGTGAAAATCATGATCGGGAAACGATATGCACGGGCTGGTGTGCGTGTGCGCGCGCTTGTCACGGTGCGTAACCCAGGAATTGCTGAAAGGCGTTGGACGCGGGAGCTCGGGGAGGCCGAAGAGTACGACAATGCGAAGTAGGCACAGCGAGCCAGGAATGCCAGTACAACCAGCTCGTCATACTTGATGTCTTATAATTAGTTAGGCTGAACAGGCCCAGAAGTAATGGATACACAGATGGGTGACCGTCGGCGGGTTTCCAGCTCCCCTCCCCGCACATACCGGCATCTTGGGCCATACCCAGGCAACCGGGGATTGGGTAAAGCAGGTGGTAGCTACCACCCGAGACTTCTCCAGGCTTGCCGGCTGTGTGCTGTGCGCTGTATATTCTGTAGGAGGGCCATGTAAACTGGCCGGGCCGAGGAACAACAGGACGCCAAACACCAAGCAATCTCGCCGTGTCGCCCTTGGCACCTCCCACTTTATTAACGGCTAACCTAGTGTCAACGCTCTGTCGGGCCCCGAAGGCAGGTGAGACGAAAAATTGCCTCGCTCACAATGGCTGGCGGTACACCGGTGCTCTGTGGTACCAAAACGTACAGCTGATGATAATCGGCTGCATCATTCGAGTGCTTGATGAACAACTCTCGTTCCTGCAGAGCCGCCTTTGAATATCCCGGTGGGAGGTTTGCGCCTTGAGACAAATATACAGACGACAAGATCTACCCAGGACTTGTAAAATAGTTATATCATAGAGCCATCATTGCGCGAACCGCGGAATGGATCACGGCACCCTGTGATGCGGGTCAAACATATCCTCAAGACCCAGCTGCCGTCTGCCGTTGTTTAAGGGCGCAGGCTGTGCAGCTGCGGCGGTCATCTGCCGAAGAGCGTACATCTCGACTCGAATCAGCCTATCGGCGGTTTATCTTGTTCGTGCTCTTTCTGGGCACAATTTTCGAAATGTTTCGTCACAGCCAGTGCGCTGGCGCTGCCGGAGCCCAAGAACGACACACAAACTATCCTAGGGCTGAGTCTGGTGTGGCTACTAATAGCATCACGATCAGCATCCGCAGGTGAAGACGCAGGCAGCCTGGTACGCAGCGCAGCTCGAGTCTCACACGTGAGGTGACCAGTCGGTGACATCAACGCCGAGGTCAGGCGCATGAGACGACGATCAACACGCCCCATTTTCCCGCGTTGCGCAACCTTGTCGATTCTGCAGAAATTCAAGCTGGGAAATTCGAGCTGGGAGTCGTTTCTTGAAGCCGCGTACGATTGCAACGGATGGCTCACGAGGTGATCACAACGATGCTATATCAGCAGTAGGGCCGCCTACAGGCCGTCATCTTGACCAACTTATGCGTGTTTCCCGCATCATAGCCAGCGTGTCAGCTTCAAGTGGAGGACTTTCAGCAGACAGGCCTCATTCCAGCCTAGCGTCAGCAGAGTGCGCGATCTTACGCCAAGAAAGGACTTCCAGTGGGTGGGGTGAGACTAACCCAGGCGAGCTGCTAGTTATAGGGGCTGGCTGAATCGGTGTTGCCTTGCTGCAGCCTTGCAGCTGCAGCCGGTTGACTGTCAAGCTTTATTGCGCGTTTCTGGGCCAGCCATGCAATAAGACGTGGCAAATACAACCTGGCGCCCCTGACATACGGGCTGATAACAATGACAACGCTCCTGTCGGCGCAAGAGGCAGGCTGAGAGCTCCGTGCTTGGCGAAACTGGCGTTACGCAAGCCGACCTGACTGTGCTGAACGAGTGGCTGACCAGTTGGTTATACAGGCAAGGCCTCCATTCGGGATTGGTGACGCAATGTCGTAACCAGCTGTTACAGAGTTGTCGGCGAGACCAGCCCACGGCAAATCCTAACACAGGAAACGACTTATTAGCTAATAGAATATAGGAAAGGAACTCGAGGTAGTCATTTATCACGTTTGCTTTACTCATCGTGCCTCGAATGTCGAACGCCACAAGCAAGGGCCTATGGGCAGCGCAATCTGACAGCTGCTCTGCTCCGAGGTGGAATGATCTTTATTACCTCTTCGTACCGTTTTCCTGGTGACCTGTCTATCCGTACTTGCCAGACTGGCCGTTGTTGTTGTTGTTGTATCACTGTCGTACAGGCGGCAAAATCGGCTCCGCTCGGAATATATATGCTTGCTTGCCTGGTGAGAGGGTGGTGGATGCCATCTTTCTGGCGCGGCACGGGCCGGGAGTCCGTTTGTGGTCTTGACACACCGCGACATCAGGCATGCCAAGACCAGAAGGCAATCACGACAATGAATGCGGATGCGCACGTGTGGCAAATGCTATGAGCAGATATCAGTCGGCGACTGGGAGCAAGGTCTGTCATTGCATGGATGTAGATGCGTTTGCTATCAGTACGGCAAGGTGCATGACGATGGCGTCGTGTAGGGTACCAAGCTTGGTAGGTAGGTATAGGGGGTACATACTTACCAGTACCTAGGTACCTTTTCGTACGTCGAAGAAAATTAGTAATATTAAGGTATTGAGGCGGCCAAAATTAAGCAGCATAAAGACAATTTCACCGGCAGACAGGAATACAGGGGTTCATTCGCTACAGTTTCCTTCCCTGGCAATGGTATGCTGCAGGTCGTTGGAGCCCACGGGAACCCCCGCTAAACGTCGCCGTACCAGCAATGCCCCGTTTGCAGGTTTGCAGGTGGCTGCTTTACATGTGCCACTTGACGCCAGTTTACCTGGCAAACAAAACCTTTTTCTCCACAGCATGGAACCAACCGACTGCAAGTTCACTTCAGACGTGCAGCTCACCACTTGAATGATTATTCGGTGGTCAGAGAAGTCAGCTCTGACTCAATATTACCTCGTGCCAAGTCGAGGTGGCACCGTATCAGCCGGCGTTGGGCTGCATGAACGCCTTTTCCAACGGCTGGCCGTTACGCCCGTAAGCTTCTCCTCCCAACAAGCACCATCTTTAGATCGTCCCAAGGATCCCAGCGTGGCTGGTTCATCATAGCACCGCTGTGCACCGCGTGCACTGCCATGCCTGTTTCAGTCCTGACAACCATCGGCAATCCGATCCCGCTTCTCTCCAGATCTCGGTGCAGTCTCCGTCCCGTCTCGCTGAGCTACCACGGTCCCCTGCAAGCGCCAGGTACCAGCCGCCTATTACGCACAAGCGAGGGCAGTTTGCCTGCATTTGCATGGGTGCCTCGTACACGTATTAGTAGGCTTTCGTTGTCATGCAGTCAAGTCTTTGTCTGCTGGTCAAGGCTGTATGTGTGGCGGAGAACCATG